TAGGAACATGCCTGCGATAAGATAAATATCTCAGAGTCTAATGTTGAACCGCCATGAACCAAGCCGATTACTTTTTTCTGCTTCTTTTTCATCTGATTTACCCTTCTGGCTGGTGCAACCAATCTGCATTATGGAAACTTCTTAGTCTCCCTGGACATTCACCATTGATCGAGGACGACGAAAGGTAGACGTACTTCAAAGGGGTGACGTCACGAAGTGAACATCGCGAAGAGTTTGTTTTTTCTCTGAGGGGAGTACAGAACCAGCAATGCATGCCACGGAGTGATGACAATTTTGTCCGTTGCTTCGCTGGCTTCCCTTGCAAACTAATGATGAACTAATTGTTTGTTTTTTTAACGAAATTTGCAGCGTTGTTCCCTAAAGGCCTAGCAACAGTCTTGCTTTAAAGGTATATTTGTTCGACCCTTGTATCATCAAACTACCGATTGATATTTTTTCCGGACTCTTTTCATTTCGAACTACAAATAGATTTGTGTTCAAAATGCGAGCTGCCCCTTGACAGAAAGAGAAACGCGCGATGGCATGCATGCGATATCAAAAATTAACTGTGCGTCAGTTGCCTTCATAGATCTTGACAACTTCATCTTCTTGTCATGTTCCATTCTTTACAGGAATACATTTCAATCAAAGCCCGCTTTTTACCCAGAAAAAAAAAAACCTTTTGGGAACTGTCTGGTTCAGTAACATGATATACTGATTTGATCTGGGCTGCCCATGCGTTGTCACGCTCCCAACGCAACAGCCAAAGGCATGTATACATGTATGAGCAAATAAACTCACAGGTACTTAGGTATACTGTGGTCGTGTGGTGCGATAAAAAAAGGCGACGTCGATTGTTTGTGAAACATTTACTTAAATCTAATGTAATTAAATGGATGGATGTGGGGGTTAGTATTTTATAGCACATATTATTAAGCGCTTCGTTGGCGCTTTCATGTACAATACAACATTTAAAACGCGCAACAAATTCCAACATTCCGAAATTCAGTGACAACATTTAAGCATACCTACTTTGCAGTTTTTCCAAAGTGTTGAGCACCTAGCAAGCCCTTCTCTTGGAAAGTATAGTATTTCTTATTAAAAGTAACACAGTGAGGCATGTCAAGAACTATTAAACTCGGCTTTGCTTTATTCGGCATAACAACATTTCCCTGATGGATCCACAACGTAATATTTCCAAACTAATGCCAATACCGCTGAAAAACAAATGAGTGATAGTATTCCATCTTTATTGTGTTAGTGGACGACGATAGTCAATATTAAGTGTCAGATGATATTATTAAACCATAGGCCTATTCCCTGTCAAAGCGTCACCACCCTGTTTACTTAAAGATGGTAAAAAGTAAAGCGTTATAAGATTTCAGCTCAAATGTATCATGCTTCTTAATTTACTTGCTTCTTTCATAGAATAGATAGAATCGAAGTGAAAAAAAACAACAGGATTGTTTTACCACAAATAGAATTTAAAGTCGTAAAGGTACAAGCACACCTAAGAAACATGCATCACTTGGACACTTTCAGGTGCTGAATTTCAGTCACTCAATGGTCTCGTTATCAAATTACACATTACTGGGAGATATTGAGCTCGGTCGAGGGATAAGATGTCGGGCTGAGAGACGATCAATCATAATCTGCCAACCGCGTTCGCTCACAAATACTGTTCCTGCATGGTACGGTTTGTTTTAACGGATGAAAGACCTTCACTATTTCTTTGTGGTTGATACTCGTAAAATGTACGTGTTCAGCTGTCACTAGGGCTCCGTGCACTGAGTACCCCTTCAACGGCCAGAAAAGAAGAGTTGGGAGAGACGTAGACTGGTCCATCCACTACGCCACGGTATTTCGAATGATCCAAAGATATTGGGGGCGGGGATTAGTCTGGGAGACCATCGCAAGATAAATTCGAAGACGCTGTTGCTAATAACTTTGAGCTCTCAAAGTACATGAAGTTAAAAAAGCGCCCTCTTGTTGGCACATGGAGCCAATGGTGGAATTATTCACAATGACACTGTCGCAGTTAAGATTAACATTATTTAGTTTTATGCCAAAAAATTATACGCTTAACTTTGTTAACGTTATTTGAGGTGATTTTCTAATCCATAGCATTTAGTTCACTCTCAAGGCAATTGAAAAATTCAAACGTTTCCCGTCTGCTACAAACATAGAACTTACAACACAATTACGACAGATAATTGAAAAATAATGGGAAAAATTAGTTTATACATACAGATTTTGTAAACATAATTACAACAGAATGTATTTATGACTAGAGCATACCGGCAGGACTTCACGAACCCAAGACCTCGTGGCAGACCTCCAAAGAAGTGGATCTCACAAATCCGTGAGGACACCGGCCTTCCTATAGCAACAGTCGAACGCCGAGCATCTCACCGTGAGGGCATTCGTGGTTGTCTACAACAGGGGAGCGCAAGGGTCCCATGGGACTGAGCATTTAAGTCAAGTAAGTAAGTCAAGTCAAGTATTTATGCCATACATGTAATCCTACAACTCGATAAATGTCAAGCATTATTTTCTGTCTCGTCGTTCTTGTGAGCTGAATTTTGATTCACACTGCATGAATCCCGTGGGAATTTAAAAGATCCACTCCACGCTGCATTTGTTTTTCATTTTAAATAAAAATTGGGAGAGATGTTCCATTAATTGCTTTTTAATTGTTGTTTCCTGTGAAGCCCTGTTCCATTAATTGCTTTTAATTGTTGTTTCCTGTGAAGTCCTGTTCCATTAATTGCTTTTAATTGTTGTTTCCTGTGAAGCGCATTGAGACCTTGGTGTGATGCGCTATATAAAAACTGTGTTGTTGTTATTATTATTATTATTATTATTATTATGTGCATGTAAAATACGTAGAAAGAGCCGAGGAAATCTGAAGCAAGGGTTTTAACTCTTCCGAGCGAATTAATCGGTTTAGAGTTTCTAGCAATACCATTCACTTAGGGGAGCACCGCCTCTTCTCGCTTATGATCCTTCGTATACTCGTTCGATTCCTTGACATTAAATTGTTCATTTCGGAAATACATGTACAACGAGACGGGCCTATCTGAAACTATACAGCTCAATCGCATCTTTAAAGAGATTATTACGTCCCGGTGGAACTATGTCTCTGAGACACCGTCTTGAATTACGTCCCTTGAGGCAATCTAAGACCAGATCTAAACGAGAAAATTAAGCTTCATACTAATGGATTTGCAGGGATAAAGCGACAACACGAGGCGTGGTTGGACCGATCAAAAGCCCTTAACTGCTGTAGTTCGCTATGAAATATGGATAATATGTCAGCACTTTCCGAGCTGTAGACCAGTCTTCTGTGTTGTCACGTCTGTCGGATACTGACCGGCAAAAATCTTTCTCATATTTCTTCCCCCGCTTTTTGAAGTAAATTTAAATATTGTTTAGCCAGCCATGTTTAAAGGTGATTTTACATGTGAATGCAGTGCATGCCAGCTGCAAAAGAACAGTTTACCAAAACTCGGCATCACGTTATCACTACATCCAATAATCATGGAAACAAGTGTTGGTAGTTTACGTCACGGAACATTTTGTACCATTTCCGCCATTTTTTTCTCCAAATGACTTTACTTTATAGTCAACAGCTGGCGTCCTAAGTTCAAGATAACCGGGTATAAGCAAAACGGTTCACGTCAATCACATACGATGTGTATAGGGTGCGTCTATAATTATGCTCACTTTCCATTATTAAGGATGCTGCTTAATACGGATACGTCACTTCACTGTGTGCAGATTACAGCGATACCATACTTCACTCGGTTACAATACGAGAGGTTACCTAGCAGGGTAACTATCTTCCTATATCCTCTTTCGGTACTACAACCACTGATAGATCTGTGCTGCGTCATTGGTGATTTCAATTTGCAACGTGCATTACGTGATTTAAGGATGCTGCTTAATTACGGATACGTCACTTCACTGTGCAGATTTCAGCGCTACCATACGGGCCTCACTCGGTCTCAATGTAGAGGTTACCTAGCAGTGTAACTATCTCCCTATGTCCTCTTTCGGCACTGCAACCACTAATAGATTTGTACTGCGTAATTGGTGATTTCAATTTGCAACGTGCATTACGTGATTTGCATTAAAGGGTCTATGCGATGAATGTTTCTAATGACACATTTTCTACTCATTTCTACTTATCTTAAATGTAGGCATATGAAAACTATTTGGTATCCCTTTTTGGTAAATTTTAATGAAAAGTGCACTTCTTTAAACTTTTTGTAAATCCATTTTTGTTCGGACAACTGGGGGCGCTGTAGCTGTGGGGTTTTTCTGTTCAAATTGTGAACCCGAATTCCCTTATTGTAAGCATGCGAGAAAAGGTTGCTCATTGGCATTTTACTCATTTTACTGCCGTGTACTTCCACAACAACGAATCAGCAAAGAAAAGAATTGTATGACAGCAACATTTCCAAACGTCTAGCAACTTTTTGTACTGAAATAGCTGTAACATTGAGGTTTCTGTCCAGAATGACATCATAGTTTTGCTCATGAATATGGAAATTTGCATAAGCATAAAAACGAAAAAGGCACCTAAAACCCCTTCAAAATGAGACAAAATGTGCATTTTCGAGGATTTAAGAAATTAAATTGCATGAACACTTTAAGACTGTGAAAACCATGCCTTATCCGCCTCGAAGACGATTTCCTTATTTCCTTGAATTCGCTAATAACTAAAGTTTTGCGGTAGTGTACCGAGGCAGGGTTTTCTAATTTTATTTAGAAAAGAAAAACGCAAATGGAAAGCCAATTCATTGTGAATTAAATCTACAACGGAAAGTACTAACGATAACTTCACGAGTGAAATGTGTTACTCTTTACGACTGTGACTGTGCTTGGAAGGGAGGCAGGAAAGCACGCCCTCACCGCTCGGTTAAGGTACAGTGATGGTAGGCCTACTCACGGTCCGCGTGGGCATACATAGCTAATAATTCACTATGATTGGAAAAACAAAATCATCGTTGTTTCCGACGGTTCTTGGCGCCGACGATCTTGAGGAAATATTGCCGATAGAGGGGGTTGACAGCGGCGTAGCAGAACGGGTTCATGGTGCTGCTGGTACGAGCCAGAAACACTGCCGACTGGAGCAGAACAAAAACGGGAGAAGGATAAAGGGAATGTAAAACATTTGCTTTCCTGCAATTTTCAGAAATAAATGGATTTGGAGGATCAGTATGTTATAGTAAATATTGTCAAACTAATTGTTTTACGTTTTGGGCTTGTAGATGCTGGAAAAACCGAGAAAACCAATCATGTTCTTGTAGTCTGGTTTCCAGACCCCACTGAAGATGAAACGGAGCAATTTATACACCTTGGGAAATGTAAGGTCGGGGAATTAGTCTAGCAGGCTTTTACCCCTTCACAGGTGTGTAATCAATTGAGAAAAAATGCGGAATAACTAAATATGAACAATTAGTAGCAGTTTTTGAAGAAACAAAAGTTGTTTTCAACGCTGGTCGGCCAACCAGTGTTGGAAAAAAGTTTTTCTTGAAAATTTCAGCACACCAGGAGTCACTATTTCACAGGATGCTTTAAACATTCCCTAAGGAATTTCGTGATAACTTGGTCATTTTGTTCTGTTGATGTTTGCAAATGTTGTATTTTCCGTTTAGGAATCAGGGTACAACAGCATCAAAAGTTGTTCCTTTTGAAATTGGCAATTTTTCGAGAAGCTCCGGATTTGATTATTTGGTGTTAAAACCTACGGAAGACATCGGCCCTAAAACACATTAGGGCACTATTTATACCTCTATATTTTCATAAACATGTACTTATTTATGTGGTAGCGTCTCTCTGAATTTGTCGGTGTCTGAAAAGTTTCGTAATTATTGGTAAGCGCCCTCAAGAGTCGGTCTAGGTGGAAGGTTGATTCTCGGTATCGATTCGCGGACATTATGTTGATGTTTATCTCCCCCCTCCAAAAAAAAAAAAAAAACACCCGATAACAATCACAAAAGGATGTAAATCCCGGAAAGGGTATGTTCCCTCCACTTTTTAACTGGGAGAAATGTTCTATCTACATGATCGTCTGCTTCCACCATATTGTTGTATTAAAACAAAATTGTTGCGCTGGTAAAAAGGTTATTGAGAGAGGAGAATAGACCTGAGACCTAATGACGCAATAGCTTTGTTTACATATGCGCTTTCCTATGGGAGCGAAGTCGGGACGCCAGACGAAGTAGGGACCGTCTACCACATGGGAAAGCGCACATGTAACCAAAGCGTGACGTCAATAGGTCTCAGGCAAACAGCCACTTACCTCATTTACAATGGTCGGTGAACATGTTTGGCAAAAGACATAGACGATAGCAATGATGGCCCAGGGTAGACCAGACACCATGAAGGATATGAAGATGGGAGTCAGGGTACGCAGTGCCTTCTTCTCTTGATTCTTCTTCAGCTTGGAGAGTGCCTCCTTCCGAATTGGCCCGTTGTCTGCGATTCCCGATTCTGAATCGGGCATGACCGTTCGCGAGCCATGAGCGTTTGCCGATACGCGATTCTGTCCAGAACTGCTAGGGTCGCTTGCTAAATCTTTATCGTCGGGTTCAAAGGAGGGATTTACCCGAGCTGCTGTTTCGCAGATTTTTATGTCGACGCTCTCCAGACCTGCGTTACTTGACGCGGATGTCATTGCTTTGCTTTCCGATATTCGAATCGTCTTTCTGGAAATGGCACCTCGGGCTATGCGGTACACCTTCACATAGACGGTCACCATCAACAGGATCGGCAGCCATGTTTGGGTGCAAATCGCGCCTACAGTGACGTAAATGTTACTTAGGTAAAGAGGGTAGCACAGACCTTGCACTCGTCTGAAGTCCCCGTCGTAAACAAATTCCCAATAGGTAAAAAACGGGGTCCACAGAACGATCACGATGGCGACAGCTCCAGAAATAACACACAGAGCAACTTTGGTCGAGCGGTAGGTCAGATGCCTAATGGGGTAGGCCACTGAGAAATACCGGTCAAGCGAAATGACCAAAACTAACAAGTAACCCAGGTGGTAAAAGTATGTGCCTGACCAGTTGCGCGCAGTGCAACCGATGTCTCCCAGGCCGTCGGGCCAGTACCCAAGCACCCAGTTAAGGCGAAGTGGGACGGCTGAAAACTCGCCGAAAAAGTCGGTTAGGGCTAGACTGACGATGTAGATATTGGCGTAGGTGTGCAGACGACGGGTGCGGGTGAAGGCGAGAACCACGGAGGCGTTACCCAGGAGAGTAACGAGAGTCGCTCCGCTGGCTATGACACCGAAGACGATCTGTACGGGCAGGGGCCAGCCTGATCTTGCAGGAGGATCGATGGGCGGTGTTGAAGTGATGTTTGTACTTGCATCCATACCAAAGATCAACTAGGGTTCACCTTAGGCCTGACGAGTTTACCTTATGGCAGTTAGAAGACTTCTTGGCAGTTAGAAGACTTCACGGTAGTCTCTATTCGATAGCTGATCTGATACCAAAATATCAAAAAGAGCCGGAAAATGAACGATCACGACAGAAAAAAAATGAATCGAAGAAACATGTTTCTGTGTTACACCACAATAAAGAAGATGCCACACATTGCTCTGAACTTTGAGAATTTGCAAAAAAGGTTAAATATAATTTTGATGATTGTTGGTGCTGGTAGCAGAGTTGGTAGCAAGATTTCTTCAAATCATTTTACACTTTTTTTTTTACTTAACTAGTATACAGTTTGAAATGCAAAAAATCCCTACTTTGTTAGCCGTTACGATCGACTTGATCGCCGTTTTGTGATGAGTTAAATAATGAAACATTGCCAGACTTGACGCCATTTATTAAATGCAATATCAGTTCAAACGTCAACTTTGTATAAGACGAAGTCATTTCTGTTTTGATTAGAAGTGTGGCAACATCAAAGAAATGTTGGACTTACCAACTATACAGGTCTAGCAATAGCAGGAGCTACCAATGTGTCAGGTGTAACACCTTTCGCAGGATGAACTGCTGTTGTGCCAGCACTTGCTTATAAGTAGGTATCAAAATTGGTCGCTATTTAACTCCACACTTGGCCAGTGTCGTCAACAAAAGGCAAATCGGAGACACTATCGAATTTGTCCGCCAGTATATGGGTTATTTAATTCGAGATTGTATGTGGAACGCCTCTTCTTTTGTTAGATATAGTTCTTGTGTTCCACGACTCGGTTAATAAGAGCAATGGTTGAGAATTTTCCAGAAGCGAATGAAATTACTCAGAGGCTCCTATTCAACTGTGAACCATGCTTTCTCTAGTATGGCGTATTCTAAGGCCTTGTTAGGTAAATTGACACACTATTATAAAATTAGGCCCATGGGCAGAGGGCGATTTTTTCCCATGACATTCCAATCCCTAATTAGTCAATTGCATGCATCACATGCCCTTTTTAGACAACAAAGTCCAGAATAAGTAAACTTTTATGTGTCGTAAGAAAATCCTTGCACATGTAGCTTATATTCTCTTTTGTTTTCTGATTTTGTAAGGAATTATTAATGTAATAATTAAGGAGCCAGGCCTCGTACACGCTTCGGCTCTCGATTGGAATCCACCATCTGCAACCCTGTGTTTTCCTCAAAAATGAGATGTCTTTCTATTTTCATTGTGGTGCTTGGAAGTAAACAAACAAACAAACAAAGATAAATGAGAGGAAACAACAGGGTCTCACTGGGATTTGGACTGCGAAGGGGATTAAAATGCCTTTCTTTCTTTGTAATAAAGCTCGTTTTTCAAAACCTTTCTGTTTTTATTAAGGCCTGTGTAACTAAATAAAAAGGCACGAATATCTACGAATATGCATCCTCGGGAGAGGGCGCCCTCGGGATCATGCCGGAACTGTATGGAAAAATGGCGTGCAGCCACTCAGACATTACGCGTATAACGCAGTGAACCATATCCCCCCCCCAAAAAAAAAAAAAAATCAGTCTTGTATCAAAAAGAAATTCAAATATAAAAAAGAGAACTCAGTTTAAATTGATAAAAAAAAACAATTTCAGATTCAGAATTAAATTTGCGGTCGACACGACTGTCGCTCTTAAATAAAAGCAATTTAATTGGTTTTCATTTCAATATCACGTCAGTTCAAAACTGGACCAATGCACATTTTGTAATTTAATTTAGGCTTCCAATAAAGAAATTTCTTTGAAACTATATAATGGCATTTTAAAAGTTTCAAATGGTGAAAACGGCGTGGCGTGACTTTATGGTTTATTCCGCAAGCGCATTGCTGTTTATGGGTAGGAGGGAGGGGAATGATTGACCTGACATCATGACGGATATGAAACTTGGGAGTCAAGGTGCGCAGAAACTTCTCCTGGTTCTTCTTCAGCTTGGAGAGCGTGTCCTTCCGATGTGGCCCATTGCCTGCGGGTCCCGATTTGAAATCGGGCATGACCGTTCGCGAACCGCGAGCGTTTTGCAGATACGTGTTTTTGCCCTGGACAGCTAGGGATGCAACCCTGCAAATAAATTCCCATAGACACTAGTGCTAAATGCCCATACTTCAACATTCTTTTAAAAATACTCAGAACTCTCACAAGTATTCAAGCTGCACAGAAAAATGATGATCAACATGTCATCTTTCGTTTTCTTTTCATTTTTTGGTGGGTTGACCATTGACTTTTCGAGATATTCTCACCCAAAGAAGACGACCCCTATTTTCCCCAAAAAGGAAAAGTAGCCATCTTGAAAAACGATCCCTCCACAACATGGCAAAATAGCGCCACTTTCGAGCCCAATAGCATCCAAATTGCTCAGCATTGGAAGCCCCAAGTCCGGGCCAGAGGTTCATTACCATATCTCTTCAATTCCCCCATTTTACGGCGCTCAGAACTCTCTAATATAGAATATTTTGAGGGTATTTTTTATTCATGAGCTCGGCGGATGGATTTAGGCCTATTTACCGGTGTGCACCCCTAGGGTCACTTGCTGAATGCAGTACAGTTGCTTACTGGTTACAAATGAACTTTGATAAGGGCACTACTTTGTTATTCTTCATTCCTTTTTTGTGAACTGACTTATAAGTAATTGGTGGAAGTAATCACAAGGCCTTTATCAGTTCATACGCGTCTACAATTTTATTTGGATGAAATATCAATTTTGATTTTATCATTAATATTAAGAGCCAGTGTGCAAGGACAGTTACTTAACTATGGCAAGGACGGCTAATGTGTTGAGAATGAACCGAACCACTTATAGCAATTCCTAACAATAACATAACGACAGGATACAAATTTCACTCTTGGCCAGTATTTCTGTTTGTATAATTTGCCCTGTGCTACTACAGATCCCCCAAATAATGCTAGCTGTATGTATACATCGCTAACAATATGTCATTTTTTAACGAAAGAGGGCGCTGTAACGATGTAATTGTTTTGGTACAAACATGACTCAGATCCAGGGATATTGACAAACATTTTCATGTGCATTATAACTCAAACATTGAATTTTTATAATCTGTAGTTTTTAGATAAAATCAAAGTTATTTTCGCTTCGATTAGGCCTAATGTGAAATTTATTGGCACTTTTTGCCAACTACGTGTTCGCAAACTATGGAAGGCCAACTTTGCAAAAATAAAGAATGGTTATTAATGTTTCCAAACATTATCATTAGATGTTAAAAATACAAAACAACCAACCAACGCTTACACAGACAATATAAATGCCTCTTTTTTATATAATGACGGTGCTGTTAAGCATTTTGTTTGGCCAAAAAATGATTGGGTGATGGTTGACCGAAGTGTTGGTCTTGATACCTAGACTTCTGCGTGACTTGTAACGGATAAATTCAGCATTATTCCCGCCTGTTCTTGGCGCAGACGATCTTGAGGAAATACTGCCGATAGAGGGGGTTGACAGCGGCGTAGCAGAACGGGTTCATAGTGCTGCTGGTACGAGCCAGAAACACGGCCGTCTGGAGCAGAACAAAAATGGGGATAAAATTGGGTGGGATTAACAAAGGTCTGCATTGTAAATTGATTTTATTCTACCTTATTTCGAAAATCTGACATGGCGTGGGAACTGTTGCTCCGACTATTGATAGAAAATAAGATCAGGGAGACGAGATTGTCTTCAGGCCCCTCGGCCAAGCCCACCCCTGGATTTAACGGTGTTTTCCAACGTCTGTCTGACTTGGTCGGTACTCGGGATTAAAACGAAGTAAGGGCCGGCTATAGCGCCCTCAAGAGACAGTTTTGTGTGGGATGTGAGTTAGCACGTGTCGGTAAAGGGATGTAGTGATGGGTCTTTTCGCATCTGTTCTTATTTCTTTTCACCAAAAAAAAAGAAGTAAGAGCAAAAGATTCATAATCCATGTACGAATGGTCATCAATTCCTAAGGTCCTAATAGTCACCGTTTAAAGAAAATGGGAAATCATACAAAGAGAACTTTAAGGAATTACAGTCTAAGACGTCCAGAGTGAGTAACGCCTTTTAAGACGTCGGAAATCAAGACGATCAAACTTCTGCAACAGTCCGTCTTGAACAAAGCACTCCCATTTCAAACGTCAAATGAAACCGAATCTTATCTATTATACGACTTACTCTATTTATAATGCTTGGTATGCACGTGGAGCAAAAGACATAGACGATAGCGATGATGGCCCAGGGTAGACCCGACACCATGATGGATATGAAGATTGGAGTCAAGGTACGCAGTGCCTTCTTCTCTTGATTCCTCTTGACCTTTGATCCTATCTGTTTGCGACTGCGGGGCCCATTTTCTCCACTTCCAGATTCAAAGTTGGGCGGTGCCGTTCGCAAACTGGGCGTATTTAGCGATTCTTGTTTCTGCCCGAAACTGTCGAGGGCGCTTATGTCGTTTCTATCATCAAGTTCGAAGCCCGGGTTGGCCCGAGCTGCCATTTCACGGATGTGTATCTCGACGTTTTCCATGACGACGTCACGTGACGTGGATGGGACTGCCTCACTCGCCGATTCGCGAATGGTCTTTCTGGAAACGGCATTTCGGGCTATTTGGTACACCTTTAAATACACAGTTATCATGAGCAGAAGCGGCAGCCAGGTTTGTACCCAGATCACGCCCACGGTGACGTAAATGTTACTGAAATAAAGAGGGTAGCACAAGTTCGGCAGACGCTTGAAAGCCCCGTCGTAGACAAATTCCCAGTAACTGTAAAATGGAGTCCACAGGACCACCGGTACTGCACAGGTCGCGGAAATAACCGACAGAGCGACCTTGGTCGAACGGTAAGATAGATGTTTGATAGGGTAGGCGACTGAAAAGTAGCGGTCAAGTGAGATGACCAAAGTGATCAAGTAGGTGATATGGTAAGCGTATGTGCCTACCAAATTATACACAAAACAGCCGGTGTCGCCTAAGGGCCAGTAGCCCAGCGACCAATTCAACCGCAGAAGAAGAGTGGGGAACTCGCCGAGAAAGTCGGCTATGGCCAGGCTCACGATGTAGATGTTGGCGTAGGTGTGCAGACGACGGGTCCGGGCGAAGGCGAGAACCACGGAGGCGTTACCAAGCAGAGTAACGAGAGTCACGCCGGTGGCTACGACACCGAAGACGATCTGTACAGGCAGGGGCCAGCCTGGTCTTGCAGGAGGATCGATGGGCGGCGTTGAAGCGATATTGGTGGTCGCATCCATAACAAAGACGCTGACGTGTTTACCTTGGCAGTAAATCTACTCGACGCTGGGCCTTCTCTTTATTAATGACCTGATGAAAATAATAAGGGTTTTCTTTCATAATTTTGAGTAAATCCGAAAATGAAAGATCAAAGCAAATGGAATCGGTAAAGTTTCTTTTAATATCACGAAATTACAAAAGGATATTACATACCTTACTTTAAATTTGGAGAATTTGCAAAAAGATTATATGTTTACATGTCATTTAGGTGATTGTCAAAATTGATAGCAAGATTTTATCAATTTTAAGTCTTTTACAGATTTTGTTTTGTCTGAGCGTTTAAAAGTCGAAGCGCAAAAATTATCTTGTCGCAACCGTTGCTTTTTAATACCAGAATTAATGTCCAGGGGCTGGCAACTATTTATACTACTCATTGAATTTGTTTTGTATTTCTGTGAAGATAGAAAGCAAGGCAAACTCAAAAGAAATATTGGGCTTACCTGCTTTGTCTGGAAACTGCAGAAGCTACCAATGGTGTGTATGATGTAAGTCTGTCGCAAGATAACGATTTATTCGCGGCGGTGCTTGCTTATATGTAGAGAAGTATGTTGCTTAACACCACGACATGACTCAATCGTAAACAACAGTCAAATTGGAAACAAAATCGAATTTTCCGACCCGTTTATGTGGTTACTTATTTGATTGTAGAGTCCATGTGAAACATCTCTTCTTTTGTGGTAAAATAGTAATTCGGTTGAAACGAGAAATTGTTGAGAATGTACAGCACGAATATTAATTTTACTTGGAGGCCCCTCTTTTGTTAACTTGGAGGTGTTTTGTGTCGGAGCTTTCCCGCCGTTGATCTGATGTGAATAATTCAATTGTTTGTCAGTTTTTTTAGGCCATGGCGTACAAGACTATAAACTCACACTATGAACACCGACACATACATGGACAGACAATCAAACAAAGTGTTCTGCAAAAAAAAACAATCAACGAGTTCCGATCACTGGGCGGCACGAAAAAAGTCGCCCGTGTAGGGTAAATAGATTAATCCACACCCGTAACAATTTCAAACAGAACTTGGACAAAAATAAGATGATTTTTTTTGGCAGACAAAGAATTTGCGGTCGGCATGACTGCCTTTCTGTTTATTTCATTGCTTTAATTTCTCTCCGTCGAGGGTGGGCCGATGCACAATTGTAAATTAAAAGGTAAATTCCAAAGTTTCCATTAAAAACATTCTTTGGAGCTAGATTCTCATAACGGTTGAAATGGTGAACTCTTATACTGTCGATGTGACATGACTTCGGTTTCTTCCCACTCAGTTTGTCTATTGGTGTTTATTGTATACATCGTGATACAATTTGTTTACAAATTGGATGTTGGGGTCACGTGATACCAACTTTCAACAAAATGTTTACTTCTGCACTGCATGTGTATCTCTTGAATGTGATTGGTATAAAAGTGGAGACATAAAGTGTTTGATGAGGGCAACACTGGGCTCCGTGCGCCAACAAAGAGGGCGCCCTTTTACCTAGCAACGACGCCCTACGGGCGGGATATTTCGCTAGTTGACGCGCACCGTTCCTTGTGTGTGACGCACGTACACCAGGGGATTCAGTTGTACTATGTACGCGCAGTGCTAGTGGTGGCTGCGCGTCGCGGCAAAATTGCAGTCAGGCAAGATGGCGTCGGTCGGGCACCCCCCAACTTTCTTTGCCGGTGAGGGGGTACTTGTGAACGGAGCGGATTACGTGCAAAAGATGCGTAAGTGTTGGGGTTGCCTGTCGCTTGACCGTTGTTATGACGTCACAGGTAACGTGGTCTATAAAATGAACATACTTCATGTAGTACATAGTATGGCCGTTCGCATCGGTTGGTGCGCGTCACGTGAAAGGGCGCATGTAGTTTCTTTGGTTTCGTTTACTGCCAGGTGTAGTGTATTGTCATCAGCGCAGTCAACGGAGTCACTTTTGTCAATGCAAACGCTCAGAAACTGTGTGACATATGTCAGTTACTTACTTCTCGTATCAGTTCATTCATTAACACAATTAAAAAGTCCACTGAAACGGATCTCAAGTAAAACAGTAAGCAACTGTGTACGACTACTTTTAAGTCTTAGTGTTTCAACTTTCAAATCTGTGATGAACCATTATGCGGTTACATTTTTAATGTACTTATCTTTCTTACTTAATAAACAACAAAAAAAAGTGCGTGAGTTCATCCTCGTATGAAAGAACAAGGTTATAGGTTTGCCCTTTCAAGAGGGCGTTTTGATGACAAATTCCAAGTGTCCGCGGAAACGCTAATTCCATAACCGGCGCCAAGGCTAAGTAGCTTAGCTGCCCGTGGTCTCGGGCCAACTGTGAAATATTAAAGAACTCGGTGAAAGACTTGCAAGTGTAGATTGAGCGTGCACAAATCAAACGGATCTCCTTCAACTACATCTGGAAAGAAAATCTATGAATTTATGTGAGGAAATAAGATACTGCAGCAGTAAAAATCGTCACTATTACGAACACCGTTACAACAAATATTTGGCTATAACGAACATTCCATTTGACTCCGAAATTGGAAATGTGATCACATTGCACAATCTCTATATAACGAACTACCACTATGACGAATATGGATCGGTAAAAGTTGATCCATTTTGTAGCATAACTAGATTTAAACCTTTCATTAGCAACACGCATTTATTATCATGATGGCTCTTTTTGTTTAAAGATGCTTGCTATTTGGACTTTTTTGTTTGAATTAACAAAATTGCTAAAAAAAAATTAAGTAGGATGCATAACGACTAACACGTGGAGGTGTAAGCTCATGAAGTAGCCACTAATACATTTTGAGAAAATAGACAAAACATATGCACAACTTTGTTTTATCCGGTTACTGGTTAATTGCTAATACACGTAAAAACAAATGTGTACCCGGGTGCACATCTTTAAACAATTAACTTAACGATACCATTTAAGCGGAATAATTGCACAGGGTAGTTGGTACCTTTCCTATCTTTGCCTATTGCGCTATTCTAAGCCTACGTGACGCAATTAGTGCTGCACAATTCACTGTGAATTCAAAAGTTGCGCGTAGGTTACACAGCATGCGTGTTCCAACTTTACTGTGCGTCAAGTTTGCTTGAAGATAAATTCGTTATCGCGCTCGCGCTCGTGGAACACGGACAATGTAGTGCGTCTGTGTCCCACATACCACTCAGCCTTCGGCCTCGTGGTATGTGGGACACAGACGCACTACATTATTCCGTGTTCCACTCACGCTCGCAAGATAACTAATATTATATCAATATGTCCATTACTAGGTAATTACCAATGTTAACTCTTTCGCTACGGCGAGCCGCTGACAGCGGCACATACAAATTGTACAGGTCGTACGGAGAGCCGCTGGCAGCGGCTCGGTTGCGTTGCTATAAATAAACAGGGTATCCCCATGACGTGGGCCATATCTACATAATTTATATCGCATAACCTCTGACCCTAGTTTGAGCCGCTGCCAGCGGCTTTCCGTCTGGCCGGGGTGCGCTTTTGGTTATTGTGAGCAGTTTTTTTACGGAGATACATTCAAAGATGGCGGCGCCCACATCGACGCTCGGCGGAATTTTCAGCTTTTAATATACAATTCTTTTAAAACTCAAAATAATATGCAATATTTTCTTTGAGCGATCTTTCAATACGTGTAAAATCTGATTACATATACAAATTGAGTAGGTACCCTACACGACACGTACACTATCAATTATTTTAATGATACCAACGTTACAACTTCAACTGTGCATTGTAGGCCTCCGTAAAGAAATGAATCCGTACAGGTATGGTTTTTGTTCGACAGCTGCAGATCTCAAGCACAATAAGATTCGTTACTGTAACTATGGGTTTCTCTTAGCACAGACGATCTTGAGGAAAGCCCGCCGATAGAGGGGGTTGGCGATGGCGTAACAGAATGGATTTATGGCGCCGAAGGTGCGAGTCAAAAACACTGCACTCTGAAAGTCAAGAATACGAAAGGAAATGTCTTGGAAAAGGCAACAACAGCTTGAACTGTATTATGTTGTGTGGCTAGAGGACTGTTGTATGCGTGGAACCGTGGAACGAACAAAAAGCCCGGGTGATAGAGTACAAGTATAACATGGTTTGAGGGTGGATAGTCGATAAATTATGAGCTCCCCGATGCATTGGAAGTTGACAAACTAGTTCCCGTGGCAAAGCCGAAGGAACTATTTTGTTCACTCAGTAGTACACGACAGTGGCATATTAAGGTTTTGGTAAAAATTGGTAACTTTTTGCTGAATTCAGTTACAGCTTCCAAGGCTTTCTTACTTTAGTCGTGCACATTTTTCGTTAAGGACAAATCGGATTTCTTTGACATTCTGTGAAAATTTAAGTACCATACGTACCTGATTGACAATGCTGGGTAAGCATGTAGGGCAGATGACAAAGACAATGGAGATGATCGCCCAAGGTAGACCCGACAACAACATTGAGATGAAGATGGGCGTCAGGGTGCGAAGTGCCTTGTTCCCTTTCAACTTGTTCCTGGATGAAACTGTCTTGATCTCGGCCAAGGTGTCCCCGCGTCCCGACTTCGAATGGGGTATGCCCATTCGCGAACTGGCTCGTCTCTGCGGCTCATCGATCTCCTCCCCACGGTCGTCGCCTTTGTCGGTGCCGAGGTCCTCCAGCGAAAAGGCCAAGTTGGCTCTGCCCGCTGCCTTGCTGATTGCGATGCCTACGTCCAGAGTGGTCACCTCGGTCGCCTTGGACGTGCTAGCCTCAGTGGCCGATTCGCGAGCGGGCCCCGATTTTCTACTGGCGCTGGCGAATCTGGCGATGCGGTAGACCCGCCCGTACACAATGGCCGTCAGTAAAATCGGCGCCCAAGTTTGGACGCAGATGACGGCCACTGTGACGTGCGCGTTGCTGATGTACACCGGGACGCAGAAACTGGGGGCCACTACAAAGACTCCATCATAGGCGAATTCCCAGTAGAAAAAGAACGGCAGCCAAAGGCACACTGGTATAAAGAATGCCAGGAAGATCGCAGTCAGGGCAACTTTGGTTTTGCGGTAACTCAGATGCTTGATTGGGTAAGCAATGGAGATGTACCGGTCAACAGCAATGATGAGGGTGATTAGGTAACTGGTGTGAAAGGTGCTGGCGCCAACGATCAGGAACAGGTACAAGCAGAGGGTGTGACCGAAAGGCCAGTAACCCAGCGACCAGTACGCAGCGTGGAGTGGGGTGACCAGTGTGCCTACCAGGAGGTCGGCCGAGGCTTGGCCGACGACGTACAGGTTGGCATAGGTGTGCAGGCGGCGGGTCCTTGCGAAGGTGTACAACACCGTGAGGTTGCCGAGTAGGACCACAAGCAGGACGGCTCCGGCTACCACGCCGAAGACGGTTTGCACGGGGAGGGGCCAGCCAAGAATCCAAGGAGGTGCAAAAGCGACTGCCGTGGTCGTCTCCTCCATACCAATGTCCAACAGGAATCAAATGAAAAATACTTCAGCAATCTTTCTTCTGAAGAAACTTAGTTCATGCTGTTAGTTTGAGACTTTCCTTCTTCTTTTTTCGAAATGCTTTCAAAGGCACATGGATTGTCTTCCGGGCTGCAGCTGACAAAAAAAAGATGTTTGTGGAAATTAAAACTAAAGATGTGAAATCGAATCAGGCCTACTTTAACAGAAGCTCCTTTTTGACAGCAAGAGCATATCCAGGTTATTGGATAATTTTGCGTAGATATATTCCAAGAATATTTTTTTTTATTGTTTAATCGTCTTTCTTTTAAAGAAAACACCTTTAAAAATCCAGGTTTAAAATGCAACCAGCTTTAGTTCAAATGTTCTAATTAAATGGGAAATCTCAAAATTATCGTTAAATATCGAAAAGGAAAACTTACTATCTAAACGTCGACTATCTACCTCTGCTTCAGATTTGATGACACTAAGCCCAGCGAGCGTGATCGAGGTACCGTCAATAAAATGATTGAACAGCCACCGGTTTTGCGTTTTTATAACGCGGGAGTATAAGCTACTTACCGCGGGGATGAAGAAAGATTGATTTTTCGTCCTGTTTGACCTTCTCTGTGGTCAAACACTGTTGAAATTACAAAAACCAACTCGCACAATAAACACGGACGTGACTCGATATATTGCCTTGCCCTTTCTCTTTGTTTCTTGGCAAGAACGCTGTCGCAAATGGACGGGCTCACCTCGGATTCCTTGGTGATTCGGTTTTATCACATCTCAATCTTCGAGACTTAATTTCTGCCTCAGTGGGTTCGTTCAAGGTTTACTAATAAATCCCTTTCGGGCGATGTTTTGACGAGTGGACGCCTACGTGCGCTCTACATTTGTAGCGTGAACGTGACAGCTTCAAATCAAATAATATTAATTTGACTTTAAAAGTGTCGTGCAGAGTGCAGACGCAAACATCGATTTTAATGTATACAAACGAGAGGGGTGGTTTGTCAAGCTGAACCCGAAAGTTGTATACAGTCATGTACTCAGTGGCTCGGTCAGTCAGTGACCCTTCACATTCAGCAAAAAAAGCAAGCCTTCACAGTTCAAAAACAGGATAATTTGCTTTTCATGCATTTTGTTCGTTTGCAATAAAAAAAAAAACACCGCTAAAAATCCAATACAAGTATGTTCACAACCTAACCTGTTAGAAGTTTCCGCTCAGTGGATATTATACTTTATCGAGAAAACAGTGAGGACCCACGCCCAAGCAACCTTTTGCACGATTTCGTCCGTATAACTCTTTAATTCCAAAAATCAGTCACTTGACATCGTTTGAAATCACCGACATTTCTTGATATCTTCTCGGTGACAGCGAGTCAGACGGAATATTTTCACAATCGGTCTGGGTATTGACCACGTGCAGTAAAATATTCACTGATATTCAACAATGCATGAATTATCGGATACAGACCTTCCTTTGTGACTACGCGAAAACACTGCCAACACAATGTTCAGAATAGGCCTCTAATTGCTATCAAGACAATGGCAACAATGGGCCTCTTAACAATGAAGGAAATAAAAGGAACAACATAACAGGATATGAATGAGATGGAATTACATTTATTAAAATTGAATCTAAATTACAGATAAGGTTCACATTTTCACTGTCCTGCTGCTCGACCGTCCACCTGTTAATACCGATCAGTGCAATGCATGGTTGAAGCGAAGAACACGGATGGTCTGCAGAGCTGTTGCAGACAGGAGGACACGGGCACAACTACGCATTGCTCTGAATGGCAGACAGGTGGAAGGTCGAGCAGCAGGACAGTGACAATGTGAACCTTATCTGCAAGGGCGTCAATCGCATCTCAAAAGTGGGGGGGGGGGGGGACATACCTTGATCAGCACTAATGCAAGCGCGAAGCCCTAACGGCGTGGGGTCCGGGGCCCGCTTAAGGGCCCGAAAAAAATTGGATTCTAGACGCTCTGTGGTGCGATCTGAGGCAATTTCTGACTACTTAAACCAATTTTGTGAGAAAAAGATAATCTTTTAACATTATTTTCGAGTTTGGAATAAATGAATCAGCTATTCTGAGCTATAGAATCATTATGTTGGCCACGGCTACAATTTCTATTTGGAGACGAAAAAGTGGGCCCCCCCCCCCCCACCCACCCACCGTCCCACACCGATTGACGCCCATGCTTATCTGTAATTCAGTTTCAAGTTCTGTTACTCCTAGCTTTTATTTCCTCCATTGGCCATTGTTGCTATAACCCTGGTAGCGTTTCCCGTGTTTATTGGAGACAAGAAACAATCCAAAGGGACATTTGTTTTTTACTCACCCTGTATAGTGTCGAGCGGCCCTAACATTCTATGCAATACGCTCCACCTTTCAAAACTATCAACCCTCCCTCCAGGGATAATTATATCCCGGTGAAGAGTGTAGGCCAATATATAGCCCTTGAGATCGATACGCAGTATACATTACGTCTAGTACCCTGAAACCATTCAATTAAACGGATACGTAATCTCCAAATCTGATATCCCCCGCGTGGCAAAGTAGTGTGATATCGTTTAATTTAGTAGGGTTGAAACTTGGTACGTCCATCGCCTGAGTTATCGGCCAAAAATCTGTTTAGCGAATCCCCTTGCGTTTTCTAATCGTATTTTCTTGGGCCTATCTGCATTATTTTGGCAATAACGAGGAGATTTAGTACGGCTTATGATAAACATGAGTACGTATTTATTTCGCCGTCCCTTGAACAAAGCGAATCGAAACATTCTTTTTGCAGGTTTTTTTTTGGCGGGGGTGGGGGTTATATCAAAGAAGACATGCTATTCAGTACTTCAGAAAGGTATAGCGTGCTTAAAATTGACCCAATTTATAGCTAGGTGTTTCCAGAAAATTTGTGGGGAGTGTGGCCTAGTGTTATAGGGTTCGTGACTCATGATCAGAGGGTCAGGGGTTCGAATCCAGCTGCTGGTCATATATGCTGCGTCCTTGGGCAAGCCATTTCACCCCCACTTGCCTCTCTCCACCCAGGAGTACAAAATGTGTATCGGCATTAGCTGGGGAGTAACCTGCGGTGGGCTGGCATCCCATCTAGGGGGAATAGAAATATTCTCAGTGGTTTCATGCTACTGAAACCGGAGATAAACGCCGGCCTGATGGGCCACATTGGCTCGTGACAGACTTGACTTTACTACTATTACTTCCAGCAAATTTGACAGAAAGGATCCAAATTGTATTGTGTGACAAGGCTCCGCCGAGTATTCACTGATTTTAGTGGAATTGTAAACAACTATAGGATTTTCAACCAGCATGGTATATACACGTAAGGTGAATGGCCGAAGGAGTAGCCAGCAGCAGTGTTTAAGGTCACTGCTTTAGAATCCTCATCGAGTGGCCATCTTTTCATTAGGCAGATAACTGGCTTTCACAACGGGAGGCTTTTGATACGCTTGGTGGCAGCAAACACATAAGTCCTTTTCCACTTTGAACTTGCGGACGTTTTGAACATGTCGCAAATGGTTCAGAAGCGAAGTCCAGGCAAGTTTGGGGTCTGAGGGGGCACAGGAGTAGTTGTCTGAAAACTTAAAGTGGCCCGATATTTCTTTTGATCTTATTCGTTATAATGTTCAAAAAAGAGGTGGGAAAACAGGGGGCGGACCCAGGAATTTTCGCAGGGGGGAGGGGTTCATCAGCAAAAAAATCTGAAAATGTACACAGGTTTTTTTCTCCGGACACTTGGCCTCCGTAAAATCAAAAAATGTGGGGGGGGGGGGGGGGGGGCTGGTTTCGCATTATTTTTTTATGAATTTGTATGATATTTTTTTTTGACAGAGCTGGGGGGCCCACCCCAACCCCCTGATCCGCTTCTGGAAAAGCGGTTTTTAATTGTCAGTACATTATTAATCGTTCGTATTATTGTTATTATTTCGGAAATTTTTCCACTTTATCTTGCATGTCATGTAACCTGTCTAATCAAATCCGTATTCATTTTGCACAGTTTTGAATGATGACGTCATCAAACCCGACGTAACGTGTGAATAAGATGTATAATGAAATCTATCAATCCCAAAAGAATGCATTAATTTTGTACAAATTAATCAATAGTTCAAAGTTAAATTTCAGGGTTTTTGTATTTGATAAACCTTCGTACAATGAACTGGAAAATTAAATAGTTTCGCTCCCCATCCCCCTGTATTTGTCTTAAAGAGAGAAAAAACCCAAATAATATCTAGTTCATTGTACATGTAGCCGTTATCAACTTATACCACCTGTCAAAAAAGTCCTACTTTTGATTAAACACTGTCATTTACCAATAGAATTAAAAATTCATGTTAACAAGGCATGACACATTTTTGGCAGCGAGTTTCATCAGCTTTGTGCAAGAGGGTGAGATTTAAACGCCATACGAAAAAATACTCAATTTCAGAATGTCGATACAGCACTGGAGACGGTGGGGAATGCGCGTATTGCGACTGAAAACTTCCGAATGAATGGAGGATCACCCCCCTGATGTCACTGCACACCTCCTCGTTCGAGTCATTTGTAATTATTATTAAAAGTGGGTCAAAAAATACGGTGCGGGGTTCGGGGCCCGCTTAAGGGCCCCGATTTTTTTTTTTTTTTTTTTTTTATTCTAGATGCTCTGTGGTGCGGTCTGAGGCAATTTCTGACCTCTTTAACCCTAAAAGGGCCGGGCTATTTGATCATCTCTCAGCCGGTGGGGGGGGGGAATTCCGCCCCCCCCCCCCCCCCAAAAAAAGATCTCGGCCATCGAGTGACGAACAATTTTGAAACTCGGTACATGCATAGAACAACTTATCATAAACTTACACAAGAAATTTCATGACTATAGGTTTTGGAATTATGGCTAATTAATTATTCTGTGCATCAATGGTAATTCTGATCTGTGTAGACTACGTGTATGGGGAAATTCAGTTTTCATGGCGCCTAGCGCCGTAATGTTTTTGGTATCAAACAGATGCGCAAGGCTCGAGGCCAAAAAGTCAGAACAGCTGGAGTCGCGAAATAAATGTTTTTTAAGGCTATCGCGGAAAATTGAGGGGGGGGGCGGATTCCGCACCCGGCCCCTTTAGGGTTAACCAATGTTTTTTCTTGAGAAGATGGTGGTGTACTCATCGCCTGCCTTTATTGCGACGTCGCATAAAAAAAACAAATTGGGTTCGGGTGGGGTTTTTTTGGGGGGGGGGGGTATGGCCCCCTGCTCCCCCCCCCCCTCCTCCCTTGGTAGTACTAGTGTGATCGACCTCTTTTCTTTCTATCCCAACAATGCCTATTGGCGCTCGTCCATGAAAATGGGTTGATCAAATTTTCTCAGAACAAGGGAGTGGAATAGGCCGTGACATAATGACGTCAGGTTTTGTTTACTTTGCTTTCTTATGGGAGCTTGGTGGCTCTCGTCCCCATCTGGCTCCCATAGGAAAGCACACACGTCATGCAAGCACAGAGTGACATCGGAATATGCGTTAGGGGCTATTGAAGGACCCGTTCATATGTGATATTCTGTTCTACGTATAGCTTGATCAAATGACCGTTCGTGAATTCAAACCCCACGTTCAGTCAATTACAGGACAAGACATTGCAAGTATTATTGTTACTCATGCGAAATATTTATTACTACTTTACATAGGCCTATGACTTGTACGGCATTAATTGAATTCGTCGAAAAACTTCAAAATTTTAAAATCAGAAGGTAACATTTCACACCACCAAAATATATTTACTGTGCAATTCTGAATATGATACACACAAATAAAATCAACTTGAAATAAACCAAAACAACAACGGTTAACCCTGGATATATATTTTTAATAGACAAAAAAAAGGAAATTATGCTTTACAACAATATGCTTTCCTTGCTTTTAAGGTAAAGGGAGTTATCACTGTCAGCAAACTGCAATCAATATAAACACTTTTTCCAATGGACTTCAGTTTACATTGCGTGAGAAACAATTTTGAGTTAGCTTAGGACTCAGTTAATAAGTGATCAGAAATGTTATCATTGACTTGGGTTTTTTTCAGTAAGTAATCAGTTTCTGTGATAATTTTAGCAAAACGTGGGTAAACCTTATTTTGACTTGAGAATGATAAAAGCAATTCAAAATATTGTCTTTTTGCGGATAAAATTTTCAAATGCCTTTTGAATCGCACAATCTGAAAATGTATGGCTATAAATTTCAATCTGATATAATTGTTGAAGTAAATTAAAATGTTTTTAGGCCAAAGAAAGAGAACATTCACATAAATAACATTTATCAACAAATAAAATCTATTCTACTACCATTAGTTAATATTTACAAAGCGAATAATTACTTTTTTTTTTTACTTTTCCTTAATATTACGGATTACAGAATGGTAAACGTGTAAATACACATTTTTGATTACTTTCATAGTATTTTAACTACATGTAATATCGAGTGTTTTACAGGGCAATATCTTAAACATGTTGGTGTGATTCAAACTAATTTGTTTGTTTTCCTTGTTTTTGGTCAAGTGTTGATTTCTTCAGTTAAATTTTGAGTATTGTATTCTGACAAGGTTTTTGCCTTGATATAATTTCAGGATTTGTTTCATGTAAAATTATTCCAAATATAGTAATTTATTCATAAGGATTGTGACTAAATGCAAATGTGGAATTTGCTGTCAGTTTTCTCGTACTTTTGTATCTCAGCTTTTCAATTAAGTTGATTATGTAAGAATACCTCTAATCTGAAATAAAAGTAATGCCTTAAATAGAACAAAACAAATTTCAAGCCCACGCACAAACCTATCCAACTTTAATTTAATACATATCATTGACACTATAAACGAAAATCTGGATCCACAGGTTGTCAGTGCAGGGTTCAATGATGTAAATGTAGTTGATAATGCTTTGGAGAGAGATTGCCGTTAGCTTTAAAATTTTGTGTTTATGTTCCTTATGGCTACTGTGGTACTTTCAAACCTTTCAAAGTACATGTAGATCTGATCTGCATCTACCTGTGTGGCTTTTAAAACTATGCGTATTATTGAAAACATTTGACAAGCATGCCGTATTGTCGCATCCATGTATGTGCACCTGCTATTTCCAAAATGAGCTTTTGACTTCTTCAAGTCCAAGGACAATTTCACGTGTTCTTCTCACCAAACTACCCCAAATCTGCCAACCCTAATTTTGGTGAACTTTATGCAACCCTGACGCATTTACCTCTATCAAGTGTCAATGAAGTACCGTTCGGTAACTGCACAGTGTTAGCTTTTGGCAAATTTGGGACTGTTTTAGAAAAATTAGCTCAGGAGTTACATGTAGGGTTTAGTTCTGTATGTATTTCGTTTTATTCATTACTTAATTTTTTTTTTTTGCTTATGCCAGTTTTGTTTTGCTGTAGTGTTGGTTTGTACATGTATACTCCGGAGATTTACCTAGGCTCCGTACACACTCTCGTCACTGTAGGCGATGTACAGGAAGAAGTCCTCCTCATGGTGATCCTGTCAAACAAACACAAACCAACGTTACTTTTGTTTCATGGTGTATCATGCAAAGCAATATTCTTCCGAAGCAGAAACCCAAACGCATATTGTATGGGAGCCATACGCCAACGAGAGAGGGCACCCTTTTACCAAGCAACGACGTCCCATGGGCAGGACATTTAGCTGGTTGACGCGCACCGTTCCTTGTGTGTGACGCACGTACACCAGGGGATTTGTACTATGTACACGCAGTGGTACGGCCGCGCGTCGCGGCAAAATTGCAGTCAGGCAAGATGGCATCGGTCAGTCACCCACAACTGTGCTTTCTCTGCCGGTGAGGGGGTACTTGTGAACGGAGTGGATATGTTAAACTCAAGGGGTAAAATGGCACCAGTAGTCCTTCGTGAAGCAATCAGTGGAGTCTGCCAGCTGCTGAAGCATGTAAGTTTCAATGTATTAAGTTGAACAGGGACCAATGGGTGAAAGGCCCAAACAATTGACCCTAACCCACTAGTAGTTCCCCAGGACTACCCTGCTAAATCCAACAGAGTCTGACGATTACTCATATGAATTTCCTGCTCAATCCAACACAGTCTCACACAATCCAACTTGCCAAGCTGTTGGGTACCTGAACATATGAAATGACTGGCACGCTCAATCCAACAGAATCCAACCGTGCCTTAGTTATCTGTTTCCTGCTGGATCCAACAGAGTCCAACTTGGCGTTATTGACCTGTACCAAACGCAATCCGACTCTGAATGTTTTCCGTTACCTGCTGAATCCAACAGATTTTCAACAGGACTAGATACAAGGGGTTTACTGCCCAATCCAACAAGACCCAGTGGGTATGTAAAATGTTGATTGAGCACTTGAGTGCTTCATTAAGGGCACGTTTGGTCTAGTGGTAGAGCACAGGATTCATGATCGTGAGGTTGTGGGTTCAACCTCGGCGTGGCCATGCATGTTGTGCCCTTGAGTAAGACGCTTTACCTAGTTACTCCTGTCAACCCAGGTGTTAAATGGGTACCGGCATTATTCAATGCTGGGAAGGTAACAGACTCGCTGTGGAGGAGGTGTGGCGATCCCCCCACAGCAGCATATGACTCTGGTCCAATCGCTAATGAAAGAGAGATGGGCACTCCGTTCCTGCGAACACAGGTTCGTCCCCTTTACTTTCAATTTCTATGAATCTGTGTAGTCTTTAGATATGGGTTTTTCTTGTCCAAAGAATTTACCAAATGTCAATTATTAACACATTCAGGCCTTGTATTCCTCAGAGAATATGAATTAAATGAAAAGGTACACACATGTACACGTAGACATACCTGGTACAGCTGGCCCATTGTGGCACTGGTTGGGGGGATTACGTTATTTACAAAGAAGAAGAGGGCATCCTCGGGGCGAAGCTGAATCCGTTTCCGGATCAGGAAGTAGAACTGCCCAACTGAAGAAAAATTTACAATTACAAACGTTAAAAACTGTCACTTGATTAAAAGACAACTTTGCACAGAATGAATGTTTGCATAGGAAACTGAAAAAAATTAACATTACAAACGTTAAAAACTGTCACTTGATTAAAAGAAAACTTTGCACAGAATGAATGTATGCACAGGAGGGTTAAGGCCTAAGGCCAAAACAAATGAAAAATCCGGTTTCTGGTATGGAGCTTGCCCAAAAAGTGGTGCGGCGATGCAAATTTTTTTTTTACAGTTTTTTATTCAAAGTCGTCTGATGACTGCAAATGGTGTCCGACTAAACTTAGTGCAAATAGGCCACATGAAGCTTATTCTTGATCGTAACCCGATCTAAAAACATGTTAAAATTGTGCAGCAGCAGGATTCCAGTCAAACCAGTGAGTTTGGCGGATTTGAGACATCATCTTTCATCTTTCGCGCGCGCATACCAGAAACCAGAGACTTTTTTTTTGGCCTAATGTGTGTAAAGAAATTTTACTCTCAAATCAATAATGTAAATAGAGAAATTTGACGTTCAATTCACAACGTTATGCATGTACCCTTGTAACCCCATAAGAGTGTCTCAAATACAGTGGTACTTCCTCTGTATTTAGAGCCCCCCAAAAATGCACGGTAAATTTTCAGAAAAGTTGTGCTTGCTGAATTTGAAATCTAGAATGTTTTTCCGCTTGATATTCACTCTGCAAGCTACTTACCCAGTAAATAACCAGGGAAAATCAAAAGGTCAAAGGTGCATGACCCATGACCTTGAGAAATATTCTCTCCCATTGTCCACTGAAAATTACAGCGGATAAGTAGAGGTCTAGGGGTAGGCAATTCAAGTTTTCCTGGTTATTAACCAAGTAAGTAGCTTGCATACCAAATATCAAGTGGTAAAATACTGTCTAGGTTTTAAACTTCAGGAAACACAACTTTTCAGGAAAGTTAACACGTATCGATCACTGTTTGGCTCTATATGTGGAGGTATCCAGACTGGCATCTTGAGTGCTGAAAAACATGCAAAACTAAATCAGGCCAACTTTACTCACAATTTAGCCAGCAAAATGCTCCAAAATTTCACCAACCACGTTTAAAGGCTCAATTCAACTTGTAAAGGAGACTTTTCCTCAATATTTTGCACATGAGAGAGAAGGCAAGTGATTTCACAATGGGGCTATAAAGACTAGACTGGTACATGTCCAACCATGGTCCAACTATTTGAGAAGACCGACCTCTTCATTCGTTGTCATTAGTCTAGTGGCTGACTATGGAGAAATGTGTAGAAATAGAGACTAGTACCTGAAATCCTAGTTATTTCTTTTGGTACAGTTCACTGATGCAGTACTGAAGAGTTGTTGGACTGGTTCTTTCAGGTGCCAGTCTATTTTCTTGTATTGCATGTTTTCAGTTCCTTAACCCTAACAGAACTCAACCCATCAAATCCCAACGGCATGTTTTGTTGGAATCTGAAAGGATGGGTACAGTACCCCTAAACTGACAGTCTTTTACATTGGGTTGGCACGCCTCCAGAATCTAAGACAGAAATATGTGTGTACAGGTGTTGGAATTTGCCAGGATGTGTATGGTTTCTAGTAAATCATGCTAGGGAGTAAGGGTTAAGTTTTGGACCCTCAGACACGTATTGAGAGTTCCAAATTTTTGGACTAGGAGCAATCCAGTATTTAAGACATACTTCAGGGGCTGGTTCCCTCTCAGAGTAAACAGGTCCAGAGTAACACGGGAGGGTCATGATTCATGAGGTACATCAAACAAACCTGTTAAATCTGAGGGTACCAGGTATTTCTTCTTGTCAAGGTCACCGATGCGTGCTTTGGCAGCCTTCTCTACGATCACCTGAAAACACAAAATTAGTCAATACGTGTTTAATAGGCCTACCAACTCTCTGTAGACTACACAAAAAGCTAAAAATTTACTCAAAAATTAGTCTTTGTTCAAGACCTTCGCTACAGCAAAGAAATCAGGAGTGAATAGAAAACTGATAATTATTTTTTTGATATAATTGTAAAAATAATGTGGGATCCAAAGTGGACATATCTTCAGCATTAATTTAAACAGTGTTAGAGTTACTATATTAACTGAAAGCTAACTGCATCGCGCGCGCTCGGTAACGGAATCGCAATCGGGATATGGGGACCATCGAATGTACGCTGGGCATGAAGAAGAAATCGCGTCGTTCAAACATTAACACAAGTCGGAAATTTAACGTGTTCAAGATCGCGAGGGGAGCTCTCAGAATTGAACGGGAAATTTCACTTTTCTTCCGGATCGTCATGATCGTAAGTAAACTTAAGTACAACCATCTTAATCATCGATGTCTACTTGTACCTTAAGTGGCATATCTAGTAATTTGGAGGCCGTTTTGAGGGTAAAATCTGATGTTTTTTGTTGGAAAATGTTGATTTTTGGGACAGTGACAGGATGATGTTGTCCAGCTCGCACTATTAGCTTGGACCTTACTATCACCAGACCATGTCCGAATGTTAAAAAGGCGATAAGTTTGGTCCAAGTTACTCGGACTAGTGGAAGTGTGGCCTTTATTTATGGAGGTAGTCCAGTAAATTGGCCACATTTATGGGACTAACAGTTGAGATGTCATCTTAAATTTAACTGTTCAACATGTTCAAGGAAATATTCAGAACAACCATGGAAATTGGAACAACCAATTCAAAGTGCTCATATTACTAGGTTTGCAATAAAATTAAGGACCCAATAAATTTATCCTTTTAAAAATGGAGAAAATTTTACTGTCAGTTTTGCATAAACAGAAAAACCACATTCACACAAAAAACCAACACCATTTTCATCAACAACGAACGTGTACACATACATGACATACATAGGCCTAGTTCGGTATGCATTGGCATGATTGGCATTGCGTAGTTTCGCCAAATGCATGATGATGAAATGCAGTGCATTTTCAAGACAACTTACGGGCACTCTGTCCGGGTATTTTCTCCTTATTTTCTCTCCTTCTTGTCTTCTCTTTTCAAAGGGATGCTCCTCCTTATATACCCACTTCATTGTCATTGGTTTCGGTCTTTGGAAAGCACGGAAAACAGCAGAAATCTCGACGACAATTCTTCGGCCTCTCTGATCGGAAAGTACACAGTTTGCTATATGACCTAACCACTATGTTTTTATTCGGTAGGCGTACCTAAAAATAGGTCCGTTCAGTTAATAAAATAAATAAATGAAGCCTTAAAACGTGTCTATTTAGTACGATTCGATCTTCCTTATTTGTACGTTAGGTTGTATATATACAAATATGAAGGCTGCACGAAATAATTGATTTGGATGAATAAAATGGAGTATCGACACGCGAACGGATTTTATGCTGACGAGTCACAAGATGTTGCCATTGATTATGACGACATAGACTGGTACCCAATTATAACCAGCCATATCTGTACTTGGCGACTCGCAGTAGGAGCTGGATACCATTCGGCCCTTGAGGAAATTCCCTCTGAATTTCAACAGCGATAAAAATAAACATGATGTAATGTTTATAAACTAACAGTACGTCATCAACCGGGGAGGGGCTAGCGATCGAGCGCGTGAGTATTTGTTGGCAAGCCTGAATTGGAGTGATTTGTTTTTAAACAAAAGCTGAAGATTTCAGTGTTCATGGATGACTCTTGTTGTCGATTTCCTTATCGCTCAGGAAATTTCCACCTGGATTGACTTTTTTTTCCTTAAAATTCCCGGAAACTACTTCAATCTTTTTTTATCGGTCACCCCACAACATCGATTTCGCAATCATGGTGTTGGATATGCGTGCTATGGTTGCATCATTAATTGCAAGAAAGATTATTGATATTCATTCAATAAAGCCAATAAAAAAATGTGGCAGGTAAATTGTGTGGTACAGTATATCCCCAATGATACGTTTGACCGTCAAGCTGGACCAAAGGGCGAACTCAAACAATATTGAGCGCCGTTTCCCGCAAAGGCCATTTTCCACCACCAAATCTGCCGGACTGAATTCCCATCATGGCTTGTTAAATGGGCTAAATTAAAGGTCGCTCGATCTGGACTAGTGTTGCATCGGGTCTGCTGGTTTAACAAGCCCGAAACCGTTGACCAAATCCGAACCGAATTTGACTAGAATCGAAGCCGACCCGATTTGTGGCATAAATCTGTGCCGGCGAGTTGGGGTGGGGGTGGGGATGACCAAAATCCAAAAATTGCCCGGTCGTGGAAATTCGAAAAGCCGGGGGGGGGGGGACACGGGGAGGGGCTGGACACCACATTGCACTATGGGGGCGCTTTTAGATGTACATGTATATTAACTTGCGCTTATAGACTTTTTTACTTTGTTTTTCCACTTTTCAGTGCCATTAATTAAAAACCTTTTAGTGCCGGCTGTTTTCCACAAGCTTCTGCTTATTAAAACAGTCCCATGCTCTATTTGCTTCTTTTATTTTGCTGTTAATTTGATAATTACTGCTTTATGGTTTAACCATTTTCTCTATACATGTAGTTTGCATATATTTCTTTTCTTCACGAAGCATGGAAATAAAATGTGAAGTTAAATTAAAAACCAAGTATCTGATTCAGCAAAATGCAAATTAGGGTAAAGCAACAAATTTGCGATATTTCGAATTTCATCATTGGTAGAAAGAAATGTATTTTTATTTCCTAACTATTCAACATCCCAATTTTTAGTGCATGATTGAAGCAAAACCTGCTCAGGAAATATAGGTCCGAATTCTAGGATTTAAATGATGACATTCCATATAAGAAATCAAACATCACATCTAAACATGAAAAAAAAATAATATCATGTATGGCTTGAAAGTTGCATTCCGCGTGCTATTTTTCAAGTTTCATCCTGAAAAATGGATTTCCTCCTAGACGCTCCTAGTCTGCTAGCAAGGCGGAGTGTGTTTGTACCCAAAGTAACAAAAACATCAGAGGATTGCAGACGCTCCAAGAAAAATGGGGAAAAAAACTTTTTGGTTGGAATACAACATATAGGCCTACAAGTTGAAAATTTATTAAGAGAAAACAAAACTTATTTTTGAAGCAACGGCGAAAGCAACTGCAACATGAAAGGAAGGGGGGAAAAATTAAGCACAGCATGGCAAATATGTTTGACCAAAAAAAAATAACATATGGAATTAAATGCATTAGTATTGAAATTCAACAAGTAGCGAGTCATATGCTCGATTACATGCACCATGTATACAGGGCGGTGCAAAAAGATGGAAACCCACTTCCGACAGGAATTTTAATCTACCTACTTAACCTATGTGAGCTGGGTTGTTTTGTTACAATGTAGTGAAGTATAGCTCTTCAACCATACGTGGTGAAAAAAACATCTTTTAAAAGAACGCAAGAATAGTGTTATTGTGCTTATTTGAATGCAAGTCACCAAAATCACTGTTGTCCAATTGAAAGTCTACTTGTAGTGTTTTTAGTCTTCAAATCAAGCTCCGGGGCTTAGTCAAGCGGGTGGAATAACGCCGTCCGTGGGTAAACACGTTTGGCACATGAAATTTCTAAACTACTATATCTCAAGAGACAACATATGCATTTGCAATCATTTTTTCGTCACTTCTGTTTGAAGATCAATGTTTTTAATACCATTAAATTGATTTTGTGAAATATGCTCAACAAGTAGGTGAAAATTGCTGTCAAAAGTAGGTTTCCTTCTTTTAGCACCACCCTAGGTTTTCTTTTTACCTGATTACTTGGACAAAACAAATGCAAACTGATCATAATCAATTAGTAATGGTCATACGCACCTGATAATACTTATAATAACAGATAGAAAAAGTACACAATAAATGAAAATGTTTTAAATATTAACCTCAACTACCTGTTTATTTACAGAGTCAACAATATTTCTGCATTATGGCAAGAATTGCATTTGGCAATGTGTTAGTATTCAACAAAAAGTAGGCACCGTGAAAACACAAAAGTATACATTAACAAACCTAACACAACAAGTATGGCAATTTAGCACACTGTAAATCGTACAACTGGCACTGAAATGCTAGCACATTCAGTAATAATATTTCTACGATTTCTGCGAACAAAAAACCAATTCACACTTTTGTAATTTCAGTATTACAAAGTACGTTTGGTTGCACACATCGTGAATGTTTAAACAATACATTTAATTGTTTCGAGCAACATTGATGCATACACTTAAATATTACGGAATGAGGTGCTATACAAAAGGAAGTCATAAGTTATTATAGTGACATGTTTTGACACTGAAGAAAAATGTTTGGCAAATTGGATGAAACATACAATACTGTTAAGGAATAGCACAATGCTTCCACACAGAAAACACCCCTTAATTAATTAACAAGACAGTATTTGTCAATTACAATTTCTCCTTGGATTTTTTCAACAATTGTTGTTTTGTTCATTTCTTTAAAAAAAAAAATTGCTGAGGACTAGCACAATTATTTCACACAGAAAAACCCTGAACCAAAATAAAACATTATTCATCAATTACAAGTTTTCCCTTGTATTTTCCACGATTGTTCTGTAGTTCATTTCTTCAAAAACTAAATTTCCTTTAAAAAAAAAAAAATTGATACGCAGGCTGCACTCAATATCTATCACAGAAAATACAAAGTTCAAGTTTTAAAATTGGCACTGAAACTTCACAATTTTTCGAGTGCATTCAGATAAAAAAGTAAGTATTTTTTTTACAAATAAAACAAATATTAACTTTGTAATTTCAATCTTACGAAGTAGAATTGGTAGCACACATCCTGCACGATTCAACAATACATTTAATAGTTTGCAACAACATTTAATCCAAATTTAGAGAAAAGAGAAATGTTGTACTAAAAAAGGGAAATCACAAGTTATAATTGGCATACTCTGACACTGAAGAAAATTATTTGGCAAATTGGATGGAACTGTTGAACTGTTGAAGGACTAGCACAATTCTTTCACACAGAAAAAATCCCTTAGCAAAATTATTATTAGTTTATTACAATTTTCCTTTGAAAATTGTTTCAATATTTTGGTAAACATTTCTTGAAGCGAGAAATTCACTTTCATTTTTCAGAGTTGTGGGACAAAAAAGTAGTGAAAAATAGGAATTTCAAGAAAAAGCAGGAAAAGCAGGAGCAAAGTAAAAAAAAAAAATAGGAAAAAGTAGAAAAGTAGGAATACTTGAGAGCCTGGCGTTATGTAGCCTTTAGTCAAGTCCCACGTGCTTACCCGGACACGTGACGCACCCCAGATACTGACTCGTAAAAAGACTAGCACGAGTGGCGAAGCCGCGAGGGCCTTTACCATCTCGTGGAGAACGCTTATGTTTTTCTTTACATTTGTCTACCGATTTGGTAGACATGCGTAATGCATTACCCGTTGTGAACTGACCAATGAAAATGTAGAATTACTAACGTCAAACCACTGTTAGATGATTGGTTTATATTGCTTGATTTATATTACGTGAATAAATGAATAAGTGATTAGTTCCACGAGATAGTAAAGGCCCTCGGGGCTTCACCGTCTGTGCTAGTCTTTTTACGTGCCAGCATCCGGGTTGTGTTACGTGTCCGGATGGTCCGGGTATAGGCGCGTGGGACTTGACTAAAGGCTAGGCGTTATGTAGTTTACAAACTCTGTAGGTACAAATATACAAGTGCAAACATGTATGTACATGTAGGTGTCCAACACTTTCTTAAGCTGAGTTTAGTCATATTATCCCCAGAAGTGATGTGGGTGAGGATTTCTAAATTTTTCTAAACAAACAGGGGGAGGGGGGGGGAGTGATAACCCCCTTGCGTCCCATATGTTAATTACAGGTAGAGTACATCATTTGCAGCTATCCAAAAAGTGACCACAAAGATAATGTTGAAAAGCATACTAGGTTTAAAGGTAGTAATGGTACTATACTCCCTGTGAAGCTATTCTTTCTGCCATGCTCTCATGTTGAAGAAAACAATAACAGAAGGCCTTTTCCAACGATGTGTCTTAAGATGCATTTTTGGAAATTTCTATCAGTAGTTTGTTTTAATTCGGCGAAGCTGTGAATGACTGCACGCAGGCGTTGACAAAACACACACACGTGCGCGGTTGCCCTTTTACGTCAATTCAGTGCGTGACATCGCGTAGATGCAATCGCCTGAATGAGAACATGTCACGGACGCTGATTTCGGGCGCAAATCAAAACATGGCTCGGCAACTTTTGAATTGAAATTGAGATCCTAGAATATTGGTTTCTCGGAATGTACAGTATTCACTGAGCTGAAACTTCATCAGGTTAGTTGTTAAACACCCTTCTTTAGATTTGAGCACTTTTGTTGCTTCAAACGAAAAAAATGCACGAATGACAAATGATGTACTCGACCTTTAAATCATATTTGCATGAGGAATGACTTGTACCCTGTGTCTGTTTTCTTTTTTTTCTTTGTTTTATAGATTTTAATCCACCTTGTACTTTCGGACCAATCTGAACTTGCCCATGGGGTCAGGTAGGAAGTACTTCTCCCAGACCAGGGTGTGCTGGGAAGTCCGGCCCCACGGCTTGAAGTGGCCGTTCCAGTGCAGGAGCTTGGCCGATTTCACAAAGTTTTCCGAGTACCGCGTTCCGGAGGTCACACCTGTGGAAAAGGGTGATTTGGCAATGAAATAAAGGATTGTTACTTTATCCTGATAGCTAACAGTGTGATATTATTTTGGCTTGGACAGAGACCTCCCGAAATTGACAGCCGATATACAGTTGTAAAATCGCTAGAACCAAGGCAATTTGGTCCACATAAGATTGGTGGATATAGTGGTCATTTGTTATAGTGATTTTGGTCATGACTGCACGGTACAATGTAGAATATTATAAGATGGAATTTTTACGTCGGGGTGATATAAATCAAATTAGGTTTTGCCCTTCACCAACGTTTAAACACTGTATACTCAATTAACACACTGAGTATACAGTGTTTAAAACGTCCGTGAAGGGCAAAACCTAATTTGACAATGTAGAATGTTCTCATTGTTCTTTGGAGTGTTATTTATAACAGCATTTTGCTGTATTAGCTTAATTTCAGCTGAAAAAAATCCGGAATAGTTTTCGAGTTTTACAAGAAATCAAATCCTCACAAAATGATCAGGACCTAATTTCACTGCACTGCTAAGCACACAAATTTCTGCTGACACAGCCTCTGTTCATTTCACGAAGAAGTTAAGCAGTAAGCACAGCAAAAGGCACGCTCACCTCAAGCAGAAGAATTTGCTTAAATTAGTAACATAAGTATAGAAACCCCAATGTACACTTTTAGCACACCAATGCTGTGAAAAAGTGCTTAAAGAGCCATGCAATGTAATTGTTTTAATGCAATCCTTGAAAATGCACCTCTGTGTCCCCTTTTCACCTGATTTTCAATTTTCGTTTTGCCATTTTCAAGGGTGTTTTGGTGCCGTTTTTGTTTTTATGCTAATGCAAATTTCCATATTCATGAGCAAAAGTGTGATGTCATTTCAGGCAGAAACCTCAATGTTACAGCTATATCAGCACAAAAAGTTGCCAGAATTTTGGATAATTTGCTGTCATGAATTTTCTTTTCTTTGGTGATTCGTTGTTGTGTCCGTACATGGCATTAAGCCAGTGAGCAAACATTTCTCACAAATGTTGTCAATCAAATTAGGTTTTGCCCGTCACCGACGTATACTCAGTGTGTTACCTCCCGAGTGAAAGTTGGGAAAAATCACTCAAAAAAAATTCCATCTTACGAATAGTTAATGCGGTACCCGCTGCTATGTACATCAGATTCGAACCAGCCAACCGATCCCGTTAGCTCGGTGGTCGAGTGGTAAGACATCTGCACTAGAAAGCAAGAGGTCGTGGGTTCGAGTCCCACCCGAGTGATTTTTTTTCCAACTTTCACTCGGGAGGTAACACACTGAGAATAAAGTGTTTATACATCGGTGAAGGGCAAAACCTAATTTGATTTACATCACCCCAACGCAAAATTCCATCTTACGAATAGTTAATGCAGTACCCACTGCTATGTACATCAGACTCGAACCAGCCAACCGGTCCCGTTAGCTCGGTGGTCAAGTGGTAAGACATCTGCACTAGAAAGCAGGAGGTCGTGGGTTCGAGTCCCACCCAAGTGATTTTTTCCAACTTTCACTCGGGAGGTAACACACTGAGTATACAGTGTTTATACGTCGGTGAAGGGCAAAACTTAATTTGATTTACATCACCCCGACGCAAAATTCCATCTTACAAATGTTGTCAATGAGCAAATTTTCGGGTTCACAATTTGAATGGAAAACCCTTTATCTGAACAGTGTCTTCCTGAAATGACATCACAACAACAGTGCCCTCAGTTGTCCGGAAAAGCATGGAAAATTAAACATGTTAAAAGAATCGCTCTTTTCAATAAAATGAACTGAAAATGGATGCCAGAAGGAGTAGAAAGTTGCACAAAATATGTTCCTGAGAAAAATTCATTTCATGGACCTTTTAAGGTTTCACAGTTTTCTGCTACAGTTAGTACAACTTTTCCACTAAATTAAGCAGTCGCATGGCCCTGGTCCAACTTTGTTACATTATAGCTCCCCAAAGCTCCCGAAAATCTTTATACTCAACAACTACAACTCCAATCATCTTGAATTATTCCTAACCACAACCTGTTTGGTTTCTTCTACCCACCAAGATGTCTGACGTGCCACTCTGGAGGGATGTCTGTGTGCTGTTTGTAAAGAACTATCATCATGGGCGGGGCAGCGTTCCCTCCGCCCCTCTGAGTACTCCAGATATCCTCCCTGAGAGAAACAGAAAAGATACAAGCCAATTATCATTCTTAGAACTATCCTGGGCACCACCGCAGTCAGGTGGGTCGAGAGGAGGGATTGGAGTAAAGCGTCTTGCTCAAGAACACAAGGACGGGGTTCGATTGGAAGTTGTCGGCTTGATGTTTATCCCATCATGTTCAACCACTAGAGAGTTCACTGGCACATTGCTCTGGCTTCCAGTGGATTTGAAACTAGGCAAACTAGTAACAGTTGAATGCCAGGGAAATGATCACCTCATGAAACAGTCGAAGTTTCGATGACTTCCAACTCCAGAGTTCGGAAGGTTTGCACTGGCATCATGGAAAGAAATAGCTTTAGAGTGAAAAGAAACGGGATTTGAGAACCAATCTTGAGATCAACCCTTTAGTCACTGTAGCGTCCGAAACCGTTTGTTTGGAACTTTATCAAAGGCTTCTGAATTATTCTGAAGCCAGAGATGAGCCAAAGCACAAGAGACAACCGGGATTTAAAAAACTACCAGCGAATGGCAAGACAGGTAAAGTGAATGACCCTCTCCCGTACTCACTTTGCATTGATGCTGAGCCAGTAGTCCAGCCTCTCGGTAATCTTCTGCTCCTTCCACAAGGTGACGTTGGCTACAAAGACCCCAGCATTGAAGGAGCAGGCCATGGGGTTCAGGCCTAGCTTCTTGATGTTCTCGTTTAGGAAATTCAGGTAGTTGGAGTATACGTTCTGCCAACAAAACAACAACAATATGATATCAATGTTTCTGTACTATTTATTTTATCAATGGTTTCTATGATTGTCATAATTCTATGAAAATAATTACTGAAGCTCAACCCAAATCGACGATGGCTTGCCTACTTTCGAGAGGAGCTACAGGGTCAGCAAGGAGGGTCAGAAATAATTATGGGGATTTATAAGAAGCTCAGTCTACTTGCCCTGCTGGAGAAGGAGTTTAGTCATCAGGTGGGCCAAAAGTAATAATTACAGAAATCTAAGAGAAGCTCCACAGTCTGATGAAGGCTTGCCCTGCTGAAGCAGCTACAGTTATCAGACTAGTAGCCCAACCTAGCCATCAGAGAAGGCCATGAATAATTAAGGACATTGATGTAAAGCCCCACCAATGAGGATTTGCTTGCTTACCAGAGGAGCTACATGTACAGTCATCAGACGGGGTCACAAATAGTAACAGGGTTTTCTAAGAAACTCCACCCACTTGCTCTGCTGGAGGAGGAGCTTCAGTCATCAGATTGGTTAAGAGTGTTAATCACAGAAATCTATGAGAAGCTCCACCCACCTGACGAAGACGTGCCCTACTGGAGGAGGAGTTACAGCACACAAATGAGCTAAGAGTAATCAAGGTAATCTAAGAGAAGCTCCACCCACCTGACACAGACTTGCCTTGCTGGAGGAGGAGCTACAGTAACCAAATAGGCCAATAATAATACATACACTAAATGAAGTGAAGCTCCACCCACCTGACAAGGCTTGCCCTACCGGAGGAGGAGCTATAGTCATCAGACAAGACCATACATACTTGAGCCCTTCCACGTCATGAATGCCTGCTCTGCTGGAGGAGGAGCTACAGTCATGATTGATCAGGGCAACGAATAATAATTACAATAGCTGATGAGAGACTCCACCCACCTGACGAAGGCTTGCCCTGCTGGAGGAGGAGCTACAGTCATCAGATAGGGCTAGGGCCACCCCCGGCTCCATCTTCGTGTTGTTCAACTCGGCAATGTCGCCCTGTACAATTGTATCACTGTCAATGAAGATCACGCGGCCTGTCAAAGCCGGAAACGTTTTGGTGAAGTAAAAGCGTGCAAATGTCATCTGCAAAAAATAAACAAAGCAAAATGTGAAATCAAGAGGACCTGTTGTTTATCTTTTAACCAAACTGGCGAGAAATTAAATGTGCGTGATATACTTCTTTTCATGTGGGTGAAATAAAAAATTATAATAATTTCCCATCTTATCTTCGTCATGGTTAATTAACTCTTTCAGTATGTATGAGGTATATTTGTTAGTCCGAAATTGCCAACCTCGTACATGTACGAGGTAATGTTCGTACTTAAAATCGCCAAACCTCGTACATGTACGAGGTAGAGTAAGCATGTTATCACAAGGGGGGCGCTCTCGCTCTTTTTAATATCATTTTCATTCAGGTAAGACCTGTATTTATTTGTTTCATTCGAGTTCTTGCGAAAGGGCGCAGCACTGACACTCGTATTTTCTGCAAAAAGTGCCGAATTCCCCTGTGTGCAGGACAGTGTTTCAGGGTGTAGCACTATGTACATGACTACTATTGACTTTCCAATGTACCAAGGATATACCAGAGAGCAACAACAACAAATTTAGTGAGTAAAACTTATTTACTTTTTTTTTTACAGAATTTTGAACAATTACAAAAAACGCTCAAAGTTGGGCACTTTAGGGTTAAACTTTTCAAATTTCGCGGGAACTGAAAGAGTTAAAAGATAAATTGAAAGGGAAACATGCTTGTAACAACGTAATATTTCTTTTCAACTTGTATGGAAATAATTACATCGTAAGGAAACACTGTTACAGTGGTATTTCGCATTTATTTACAAATGTGAGGCGTTCTGGCAAAATCAGACAGAACTGGACAGAGGTCAAAATGAGGGTTTGTTGGTATTAGTAAAGAGAGTAAAGTTCTCCTTACAATACTGTTTGTTGCACTTCAATCAGACATTCCGTTGACAAGTCATCGCTGTTTAAAGCTTGTATTTATCGACATAACAAACAAGTAAAATACTGAGAAAAGGGCCTTTAAAGTTTCGACTTTTGCATTTGTGAAAATGAAAGATGCCAATTGTGTTTTTCTTTAAAAAAAAACTCTTTATTCCACAATTTTTATATTATTTCCTTAAAATGTGAATAGTAAATATATCAAAGATTACAAATATCAATAAATCAGGGGAAAAATACCCCCATTTGCTTTTTTACATTTTTCTCCACTACGGCCTGAGCCCATTCCGTCTCATTTTGCCAGAATGCCTAACAAATGATACTGCGATTTGAATTAACATAGACTCACCGGCGAAACGGATTCTCTTCTCACATCTTTGGCTTGCGTTCTTCCCTTTACCCACGACTCGTTGAATGCCACCATAGTGTAGTCAATATCCCGTAGGGCAGGTATGGCCAGCCATGACCTACAAAAATGGACACAATTAATGTAACCGAACGAATCAAATCTATTTACCATGCAAGAGTTTTTGATGGATTTCTCATGGTTTAAGAACAACCATAAATGGGAATAAACCTCTTATTTACTTTCTTCAAATCTTATACATGTATATGTGCATCCATTATCTAGTAATGGTCAAGGAGATAACGGAGCGGGGTTTGAACCTGCGACCTCCAGATTACCGTACCAGTGCTCTACCAACTAACCTAGCCAGCCCAATGTTGGCGTATTCCCGGTTTGTCAATGTCGCTGTCTCAAAGGGCGCTGCTCAAAAGCAATAAACCTTGTCAGTTACCCTACCTTTGTGGTTTATTTGAAAACAAATAAGCAGCAAAAATGCACATGGTTACCTGAGATGCAGCAAGGATTCCTTGTCCACCATGATGTAGAATTTGACGTGGGACTTGGTATTCAGCCAAATACTGTTCACCGTGGCGATCAGGCCGCCCAGCGTCTTCTCGTCCGAGCACACCACCACGTTGACCACATCCTTGCCTTTGTGAGACAGTTTGTGCAGCTGGGGGGCTTTTCTGAGGCCCGACTTGGACCCTTTGCTGGTATTCCTCTTGGGATGGGCTGGGGCGAGGAGGAGGGGTCCGTCCGGCTTGGCTGCTAAAACATCTGTTTTTCAGGAAGACAAAGACTTCAATATCTGCCCAATTCCAAATGTACTTCAACTGGCTGCTAAAAAAAAAATGGGAAACGCTGTGAAACCCTTCAGGAAGTTTGGGAAAGCTATTTCCTAAAATCTCAGAAATCTTCAACTGAATGGCCTTTTTGAGTCCAGATTTCAGCAGGCAAAACTGCCCTGTGTAGAGTAACAATGGCCAGGCTCTACCTTCCGCAAATCCTTAAAAAAAAATTGTCTGAACCATCCAGAGGATTTTGAAGAGTTAAAGTTGTCTTCTCTATTGGATTTGTAACATTTATTTTTGGAGACAATTAACAAAATGTGGATTGTAGGGTTAGACTGTTACAGCTGGGTTCATACTTCAGTTTTTATAAGATAAGTTTCATACAGTACAAGCCCTTACTCTTTCCATGTTTACTTCTAGCAATTGCAGCTTAAGTGCTCTGTCACTTTTCAATGTTTTCTGAAACTAAATCACACTGCAGCAACCACCATCACCTGTACAGGGTGTTTCATAAAAAAGGAAACCCAACTTCAAAGAATGAGTATTGACAGACGATATGTTTACTGGCTATAAAACTGGTATCATCTGAAAGCGTCATCTCTATGCTTTTAATGATAACGTGTTTAGGTTTTCTGAGTCATGCATCACTGAGCATCATTGTCTTGAAAACTGGATGCAAAAATGCAGTTGGTTCACTTTCATAAAAAAAAAACACTGGACATGGTGTGCCTATTGTTACGGAAATGTCTGTGAAATAGCTTGAATGTCAATCCTCGGGAAAATGGCACATTGTTTTGAACGTGGCTTGGTCAAAACGAGAATTTGTGACAAACAATAAAATCCAGTTTTGAAACCAACCCGACTTGTTTTCTTGGTTTCTTATTATGCACTACTGTCTTCTTCTTGAATACTTATTCTCATGCACACCATGCCTATTGTGTTTGACATGAAAGTGAACCAACTGCAATTTTGCATCCAGTTTTCAAGACAATGATGCTCAGTGATGCATGACCCTGGAAATGTAAACAAGGTATCATTGAAAAGCATAGAGATTACGCTTTCAGATAATACCAGTTTTATAGCCAGTAAACATTTAGTCTGTCCATACTGGTTCTTCAAAGTTGGGTTTCCTTTTTATTGAAACACCCTGTACTGTTAATTTTGTACACTAAAGATATTAATTCATACATGATCTAGAAGCAAATTGGCACAGGTCAAGTAGTTGCTTTCCATGTGATTGGTAGTGGTATGTGGAATGGACTCCGTGTCCAAACAACAGAGGGCGCTTTTTTTAAACTACTTTCTAAGAACCCACTGGATGGGACACACCACAAACGCGTACTAATCTGTGCCTGTACAGCACCAAGCATGCCTCACTTATTTTACTCTGAATGTGCAAAAGTCCATAGCATCCTCGTGTAAGCATCAGGCGTCATCGGCAATGCGTTCAATTGTCTCTCCCAGTGGTCTCCTCCAACTCTCCCTTTCTTACCGTTGAGGGGGTACTTGTGCACGGAGCTCAAACACGGAACACGTACACACACTATACTCTCAAGGACAATGCTTTGTGTTTCCCCTTGTCCCTGTAATATAACACTCTCCCATAGAATAAGCACACAAACTACAGAGGACCGTTTCAACAAAAGACCCAACTCCCGAGGACTGAAAGGATCTGTTGTTCTCCCTTTCTGTGTCGGTCCTCGGGGGGTATGTAGGACACGTACATGTACACACAGTAGCGAGTATGACAAGGCAGAACCATGTGTGGTGTTACGTGGTGTCTACTGTAAAATAAAAAAATGAAGCTGCAACTCAGGCATACCTTTTGGTTTTCTGTCGTCTCCCTGGTTGGATGGCAAGGGTAAATAGAACACCAGCATGTAGACGACTACAGCGATGATCATCAAAGCCACAACTGTATCAAAACAAATAGTTTTACCATTCAAGTTTGACAATGACACGTACGTGTGGAACCGTCCAGACAAGCACTTGTCACGTTAAAATTCTAAATAAAAAAATAAAACACTAACAGCGCATGTTCAGCATGTTCTGTGCCAGTCAAATTTGCAGTGCCGAAATTGGAAAGATTCCCATATCTGGCCATCACTACTTTTTCCTTTCAGTGACCTAATCAGCCATCAGAAAGTGATATTTTCTAAAAAGTCGAATTTAGCAGGGAAAATATTGAAGCTTTTACTGAGAAAACACTTGGATATTTTCAGACCAGTTTCGTACTGGGTTTGTGCACAGGATGACAAGTGATGGCCAGATATGGGAATCTTTCCCTAATATCATATAAAGGAAGTTTCAAGGTCAATTTTTTCCGATCCCCTGGACTCTGAAGAATCTGGCTGGTGTCTTTTGGTGAAGTGAATTAATACTGCCACCCAAAAAAAAACATCTCTAATGCCCCACCCAATTCCTAGTCTATGTAATAGACCATGGTGAATCTATTACGCGTGAACAGATTTGCTGATTAATAAGGCAAGACCCTGCCTCTTGACCTCCTAGATTTTGACCAATCAGCCGGCGCTTTCTATATTGGGTTGTCAGTCATTCACCCGTTGCATGTCATAGACAATGGATAAAAAAGGTGCCACGCGCTCTGTATGTATTACAAATGTACTGCATTCGAATTGACCAATTGACACTCCACTCCAGTGGAGTGTCATGGCCTAGCAGTTAACAGCATCAGACTCATGCTCTGGTCAGAGGCAACAGTGGCAAGGGTTCACTAAGAAGAGAAGGGGTTCGCCCCGGTGTTCCTGGCAAGTACGTTTATCCTCATACGTATGAGGCTGCACTTTCAAGGGAGAAGGGGAGGAAGGAAGGAATCTAACCATTTAGTCCTGATTTAGGAATGAATAGCCCCATAAATGTGGCCAATTTACTGGACTACCTCCGTAAATAAAGGCCACACTCACTGTACTTGGACAATGTAGGCCTACCCAAACATGTACAACTTTGTCAAGTTTTTATTTTCACATTTAGACTTTATTTGCAGTTTATTTACGCTTTAGAAGCACACTCACCATGCTCACCCTCTTTAAAGCGATAGAAAATTAGTCCCCCCGTCATTTGCCTGTTTTTCAGACGTCTATATTTCGTGTAATTTCCAGGTTCATTTGCACACATAAGCGTATCTAAATTCCACCATAAAATTAACCGAAAAACAGATGTCTAAAAAAGGGGGGGGGGACTAATTTTCTTTCGCTTTTTTAAGTTTAAAGAGGGTAAGTGTGCGGTAGAGCATAAATAAACTACAATTAAGTCTAAATGTGAAAATGAAAACTTGACAAGCTCTACATGTTCGGGTACAAAATGTGGCCTTTATTTATGGAGATAGTCCAGTAAATTGGCCACATTTGGGCTAGGAATGAAATGAGTCATTTCATGACGTCACGATTTATTAAAGTCGACTCCGATTGGCAGGCGCGCGGCTTGCGTATGTACATGTCTAGACATATCAGACGTTATACATGAGAGGTAATCCTTACTTTTAGGACACCTCTGTTTTGTACGAGTTCTGTTCAAAACTGACTTTTGCAGATGACTGTCCAGTACCAAAGTGACTTTTGCAAGCTAGAGCAGTCTTTTTACTTCAGATAAACTCATGTTAGTTGTAATTTTGAAAGCACTTTCAAAGAAAATGTGACTTTCCTACCTTTTTTTGCAGTTCGCCATCTTGCATTTTTAATATATTTTCTGTTTGTCATCGTCGTCTTTAACCCCTCATAAATCAAAGCCCAGCCCTCTTTCTACAAAATTAAACCTGCCGATATTAAAGAGGTGTCATTGCCAAATGTTCAAATGTGCCAAGAAATATCAGAATGTCACTTTTGAGGGTCATTTAGTCAGCTGTTTGGTGAGTCTTTTAACCTTATATAGGAAAGGGGTCCTAAAGGTAAGGATTACCACATGAGACTTGCTCCGTGGATAACGGGTGATACTCGGACTACCTAATTCCTTGGTAAAAAAAAAAACCGACTGCCCACACCGAACTGATAACCCCGCCCCTTTCTTTATAGTAACTAACTTAACTAGAAATTTAGATAGTGACTTCATCAACCTCAATTTTAAGAACCAACGTACCCGTCGTCGGGTAAATTCTAGCCATGACGGAATTGAATCTTCTCATCGGTGGATGAATGGAATTCGCGTGATTTTTATGCCGTCCTTCTGAGCAGAAAAGAAGTTTTAAAAAAATTGCCTCGTCAACAATTTAAAGTCAACCTGGGCGCAGCCATGTTTTTTCATCACTTAGCCTCGAGCAATAATTCTTACCCGAGGTGCCGGTGCAAAGTTTAAGATAAACAAGATTTTTTTTGTTATAAAAATATATATACGACAAAATTACTTCATGAAAAATTAATGGAAATATTTAAAAGAAAAAAAAAAGTTTAAATAAAACAAATCTTTTTACACATAAGCTGCCCTGAAGAGGGCGCTGGTGCCTTTCAGTTTGTAAACTGTTGAGGGCGCTACATAGTTTCGTCTGCCATTCATTACAACAAAAACTTTTGTGATTTTGTAGGTTTAAAAAGTCACAAAAAAGACATCATGCCGGACCATTTAGGGGGTGATATGCGGAAAGTAAAGAAAGAAGAGGAGAAAGAAGACAAACCAATACAAGGTATTTTTATTGGTTCATGAAATCAGAGATTATTGACGCCGATCTGTCTGCATATTTTTGCTGAGTAATGACGGAACGTCTTCAGCATGTTCGGTCTCATGTGCAATGCTGTTGTGCGCTTTCTTGAAAATCACGCAATCTTAAGAATGAGCGCGCATTCTTAACAATGAGCGCGCATTCTTAACAATGAGCACGCAATCTGAAAAATGAGCGCTCATTCTTAAGAATGCGTGGGAATATCACGTGCGCAATTTATGAATTTTACGTAGCTGGAGTTACCCAGCCCTGAGTTTTATCATTGGGTTGTCATCTGGGCTGGAGCGAGTTTTTCTCGTAACTTGTAGTATAGGCAAAAATTTTTGGAAAATGTTCAATTTTGTCCCCGTTACACACTAATTGCAACTGCAACTCACCCCAAACATGCCAAACTTGCCTGGAATAACCATTACACAGGTCCTTGAAGTAAAATACGATCCACGATGAAGATTCAGCCTACAATTGCAGTGAAAACAGGAGGAATAACCGCTAACTTGCTGGCATGGCCAGGACCGCAATTGGTTTGTGCACAAAAAAAAATTGTGTACAATGAATGGCGGTCGATTATCAGGCACAGAGCGCTGTCAACTACGGAACCGTCAACTACTCGTTTTTGCTGGCTGCGCTGGCTGTTGGCGCCTGACGTCACGCGGAAGCGTAACACCCAATGACTGTTTCATGCACAATCGGTTGCGGTTCCAGTACCAAAGCTGTGATGCGAGTGGTAAACCTCATATTAGTGCATGAAACAGTTATCGGGTGTTACGCTTCCGCGTGACGTCAGGCGCCAACAGCCAGCGCAGCCGGCAAAAACGAGTAGTTGACAGCGCTCTGTGCCTGATAATCAACCGCCATTCATTGTACACAATTTTTTTTTGTGCACAAACCAATTGCGGTCCTGGCCATGCCAGCAAGTTAGCGGTTATTCCTCCTGTTTTCACTGCAATTGTAGGCTGAATCTTCATCGTGGATCGTTTTTTACTTCAAGGACCTGTGTAATGGTTATTCCAGGCAAGTTTGGAGTGAGTTGCAGTTGCAATTAGTGTGTAACGGGGACAAAATTGAACATTTTCCAAAATTTTTTGCCTATACTACAAGTTACGAGAAAAACTCGCTCCAGCCCTAGATGACAACCCAATGATAAAACTCAGGGCTGGGTAACTCCAGCTAAATTTTACGCAATCTTAACAAACATTGAACGACATAATTATGTTAAATGAAATGTATAGTATAGAGGTTAAAAGGGAAATAAATCATAATTATTAAGAGGAAAGAAAATGTTCTATGCTTCTGTACTCGTACATGTCGTATAACTACGATAATTTGAACCAAATTAAACCTGTGGGTGCCTGTTATTATTGCTTTTTTCTGCCCACTTATATTATGGGAAGTTTTGTAATATTTAACGGGAGGACTGGGAACTAGTCTGGAAAGTGCTTTGTTTAGGCTAGACAAGTACCAGTCCCTGTAGGCCTATGTATCAAATGCATGCTGAGAACGCATGAGGAATACGTTATACGTCCAGCATGTCCAGTAAGCAATGTTTTATAATATGACTCTGACAAGGAGAATGGGAACATATCATTGTAGTGGGACGTTCAACTTCAAGTGGTTTTGTAAGTTAATAGGTATATGTAGTACGAATTAAAAATATTATTCGGTTTGTAAAAACGCCATACACGCGCGCGCACCACCATGCGCCCATTGGATGACGCAAACACTCAAGTTGCATTAACTTACGGTTCCAATGGCGCGCGTTTATACTTAATGGGCAGTGGGCGTGCCCATCTTAGTGAATTTTAACATGTCACTGCCTGTTGAAGCCCTCCACCGGTGCGTGACATGTACAAATTCACTAAGTTGGCCACACATTCGCCTACAAATCTCTCTTAAAGACTTTATCAACATATTCCTTACAATTCTCACATGAAAGTATACTCTCTGTCTCTGACATGTCTGAGGTACAAGATAAGCAAAAAAAATCTTCTTTTTTTTTCTGTTTCGAAAGTAGCGTCAGGTTGCAACATTTTTTCCGAAAATGCGATTTAGCTGCTCACGTTTGTTATTAATCATGGTAGGGTTGGTGCTATGCGAATCAGTGGCAATGCGGATTTGTGCATTCACGGTGTGTCACGGTGATCACCATCTTTGTTTGCATCGTCCTTTTAACCCCACCATTTCCCTCAAAAAATTCAAATTCAAAGTCTTGCCCTCAGGCTCAGTCTTTCCGCAACAGTTTTTTTTTTTTTAAACATCACTAACTAGCTGGTTGAGTCAAATGACTGAATAAGGCCAAGTAAAAAAATAAAGACTATATTTGGTTTGATGGGTGAAAACTACTCCTGAAAGCCCGCAAAAGTCCTCCATTTATCCTGATTTTGTCCTCCAAAGTTGTTCTTTTGGCCTGGGGTTTTTGGGGGTTTTGTTTTGGTGTTGATCCTACTGTTCTATTTTTTTCACCTGGGTCTGCTTGAAAGCCTGCTATAATCGAGAAGTGAAGTGAAATTACATTTTAGTCTCAACTGTTTACAGGAGCGTCCCAACTGTTGTTGGGAAGATGCTGTTGTTCGGGCCTAAGAATAATTGTGTTTATGTGAAGAGACTACAGCTACTGAACCTGAGTGCAAATCGATGTGAAGTTCATTACAAATAATGCAAGGACATTTTTTTGCCTGTTTGTGCATTACCGATTACAATCAAGCTCCTTTTGTTTTTCCTCATTAGCACTCGATGAAGGAGATATCGCACTTCTTAAGACATATGTGAGTATTTAATTGGGTAATATTTTTTGTACAACCTGGTGAACCCTAGCACACAAATATCAAGGGGTTTTTTTTGGGGGGGGGGGAGGGGGGTCTCATGGAATTTGTGTGCAACAGTCCAATGTGCATTTCGTCATTGAATGTACATTACGTGTGTACAAGAATTCAATGTACATTTAGTCATTGAGTATATGTGCAATCATCGATCATCAACGTCCTGTTCACTGCACTTTGTTGAGCCTAGAACCCATTGTGTCTCTTTTGCTGATAGATCATTTTCTGTATACGGCCCCAGAATCTGGAACAAACTTCCAGAATACATTAGAGATACCACCTCACTGCATACATTCAAGACACTCCTGAAAGCTCACCTGTTTCAGGAGGTGTACCATCAATAATTTGTCTTCTTTTTGGTGCCCCCTCAGCGCCTTAGAGCAAACTGTTTGATTTTGGCGCTTTATAAATTTCTTTTGATTGATTGATTGATTGATTGATTGATTGCAACAATCCTGTACATTTAGTCATTGAGTTTATGTGCAATAATCCAACACATACATTTATGATTTAGACATGTCAGGCTGGGTAGGAAAGATTGCACAGTGTTACGTCTATGGTACTCCTATGCTTTACTTTATCAGTAATCACAATTTGTCCTATTATTTTGTAATCAGGGCTCAGGACCCTACACGTCAGTCATCAAAACAGTGGAGGATGACATCCAGAGTGCCATGAAGAAGGTCAATGAACTTTCAGGTATGGTGCCTATAAAATGCTCTTAAAGTAAATACCAAAAGAATATTGAAATTTGACATCAGAATGTCCAGATTAATCCTGTCCAGACAAAATCTTCCTTTATGGAATTTGTCAACTTGTTCATATCTGATATTTGGATAATTCATCTAGCACTAGCACCAATGCCATTAACCCTAAACCCCTAGGCCCTTTTGGCTAGGAACCATCCTCAATCCTGCGAAAGTCTCCAATTGCCACCATATAAAAATGGGATTCATCCTCAATCTTCCAAAATCATCCGCCCCTTCTTGAATTTGTTTAGTGGAGGGGTGACCACTGCCTCAATCCTTCAAAATCCTCTTATAATCAGTATATATTGAGGCAGTGCTAATGATATCCAGGGGCAGTGCCGACAATATCAAGTTTAATGTGGGCCTCAGCTATGCATGACTGAACATAAACAATGCTGGGGACAGCCTACGAACTCGACACAATGCATCCTCCAAAATCAACCAACACTTTTTTGCCATTCAGCCCCAATCCTCCAAAATCCTCCAAAACCACCTGGAAGATTTTGAGGGTTAGGGCTAATATATCAGAAAAGGGGTCTAAAGGGGTTGGAATAAATATCTTTGTGTACAGGCATGCAACTTTTCCTCGGATGAGCTGATTTCCTCACTTTTTTTACTTCCTATGTGTGCCATTAAAAATAGAAAAACACTGTACAAAGTCTTGGAAAGATCTGAATCGCCTCTTTTTTTGTGTGACTTTTTAGTTGCATGCCTGTGTGTAGTGAAGCTGTTTTTGACCCATGATTTACTTTCCCAATCATCCAGGCATCAAAGAATCCGACACAGGTCTGGCCAATCCAGCACTGTGGGATCTTCAGGCTGACAAGCAGACACTACAGAGTGAACAGCCGCTACAGGTAAGGCTATTTGGTGGCACGGGTGGCTTGTGCGTAAAGCGCTCGCCTCTCACCAAGGTGACCACGGTTCGAATCCTGGCCGCGGATCGCATGTGAGTAGAGTTGTGCGTTGGTTCTCTCCTGTGCCACGAGGGTTTTTCTCCGGGCCCTCCGGTTTTCCTCCCTCCGGAAAAATCAAACACTTTCGATCTCAGGCTGTGCTCCGTAGTCTTATATGGGTCGATGTGGCCGGCAGCCAGAGGCGCCTTTACGTGCCAGCGGCCCGACCACGTTGTAGCCGCATCCTTCGCAATTCAGCATCCCAGCTGCGAGTAAGGATGATTAGCCTCCCAAATTATTATTATTATTATTTATAGCATCGTCGTGTCAGTGCAACAAGGTCGTATCTCCTAAAATGGCATGAACGCAAAATGCGAGTTTTAGAATGACAAAAGGTTGTATCTCGCTACCCAGATGTACACGCAAAGTCAATGGACGTCGAGATACGGCCTTGTTGCACGGGGCGTATTCCCGCAAGATACGACTTTGTTGTAGAATCGAGTTACGACCTTGTTGCACTGACAGTATATGGTCCAGAAGACTGCGTACTCTGTGCATAAATAATAAAGGGTAGTCTGTAAACCTAAAAATGAGTCAGTTCCCAGACCTAAAGACTCTGACTATTTTTAAAGTATCTATAGAGGGCTCTCACTGACCCACGTGACCTGGCCTACATCCAGGTACCGGAAAGTATGTGTTCCATTATAATAAGTGTTGTGTGCAGTAAGTAGTAGGCAAACCTTCATAGCTATGACAGATGGCAAAAACTGTGAGAAAAATGTGGTGCCAACGACCACTGCGAGACAATTTAGACAACCGATCACGACACCGTTCACGGCGTCATACGATCGGATCGTACAGTCAGGTAGCTTCCAATATAACAATATTATTGTGACCAAAATTCGGAAGGATTCCTCTCTTTTTCAGAAATGTCCAAAGTGTGTACTTTTGTTACTGGACCAGTTGGAAGTGTTTGTTCATAAACCAAGTGGACAATTGCTTCAAAACCAATTTTACCAGTTATTCCTAAAATTGTCGCGCTCCACAGGTTGCAAGATGCACCAAAATCATCAACGCAGACAGCGACGATGCCAAGTACATCATCAACGTCAAACAGTTTGCCAAGTTTGTGGTAGATCTCCATGACAACGTGGCACCCACAGACATCGAGGAGGGCATGAGAGTAGGGTAGGTTCCCGATTTTTTTATTTATTTTTATTTATTAAAATAAATGTACAATTACAAAAATCTTTTGTTTGTCCAAAAATCAGTCCACTCATATCCAAACTTTGTTGTCTTTATATCCCATTGGCTTTAGCACTTAAAGTACAATTGTTAAACCCGATGGCAAGGAAAGAACCACTGCGCCGACCTGACTTACTTTTAAATGGACTTGTGATGGACTGCTGTACGGCCAGGCTACTGTCACGTAGGCCTTGATACTATAATTATACAAAGAATGCGCCACTGCAGTCTGTACAAAGAATGGTCTATAGCAATGTGTGTGGATAGGATTCAAAACACGTAGGAAGGTTTATTGCATAAAGTGCTGTAGTTATATGGCATTCTTTGAATAAAGAAGATACTAACTTTTTAAAATATCTTTTTTCTTTGATTCACCAGGGTTGACAGAAACAAATACCAGATTCACATTCCTCTGCCTCCGAAGATTGACCCTACTGTCACAATGATGCAGGTATAGTAATCAAGACTATGTTCGAAGAAGAAGAAGCAAAGTAACGAAAAAAATTACATCTCCTGATGCAGAGTTCCATTACACCAAATACCAATTGAACCAACCAGCCAACACCATTAAGGTTGATGGTCGATTTGTTGAGATAAATGTATCTGCTGTACTGGTAAACAGGGGTCGTGGGTTCGAATCCCTCCCAAACAGCTTTTGAATTGTTTTAGGCGAAGGGAAAATCCACATGGTGAAAATAAAAGAATGTGATTGTAAGTATCATGAAAACATGATTTCTGTCCTCAAATGCCATCTGCTTGGGCCATATCTCATAGTATAACAATAGCCATAAGCTAATTGACAATGTGTTGGGATTTTTGTAAAAGTTTTCAATAGTTTGAAGGAATAAAAAAATGATGAGTTATGAGCTTTCGTAGCTTAGGGTTACAAACTGCAAACCACACTACAACATTCTTATTCATACAAACTATATATTTTTCTGTAATATCTCATGCTTGATAATGTATGTATTTTGGTATTTATTAATTATTTTTTTGTGCTACTTAGGTTGAGGAAAAGCCAGACGTGACGTATTCTGACGTCGGAGGCTGCAAGGAGCAAATTGAGAAACTCAGGGAAGTCGTAGAGACACCTCTCCTTCACGTAAGATCTCACCCGTCTATCGAATACAAATATTTGCTGGTACAATTCCAAAGTATTTGTTAGAGCATGTTAACATTGTACACCCGTTTACACTAGCGTTTCACACTCACACCAAGCCAATAAATTTGAATACATGAGCCATCAGAGTATCGACTGTCAGCGTACTTACAATGATCCAGAGTTTTTTGCTACCAAAAAAGAAAAACAATAGAAGCAAAAGCACATTCACGTTAACCCATCTACCCCCCCCCCCCCCTCCCCGTTTTAGCCAAACCTCGATCCGTCCCTAAATCAATATCTATTTTAGTTTGGCTGAGTTTCTCCTGATAGTATTTGGTTCAGCGTAACTTTAGAATGATTGACTTGTAGTGACTTGTGATGAATTGTGTTTGACTTGCGATTGACTTGCAATGACATGTGTTTGACTTTTGATTGACTTGTGATAACTTGAAGTGACTTGTGATTGACTTGTGATTGACTTGTGATGACTTGTGATTGACTTGTGATTGACTTGTGATTGACTTGTGATTGACTTGCGATGGACTTGCGATTGATTTGTGATTGACTTGTGATTGACTTGTGATTGACTTGTGATTGACTTGTGATTGACTTGTGATTGACTTGTGATTGACCTGTAATTGACTTGTAATTGACTTGTGATTGACTTGTGATTGACTTGTGATTGACTTGTGATTGACTTGTGACTGACTTGTGACTGACTTTAGATGACTTGTGACTGACTTGATTTCAATGTCAAATGAACCTATTTCAAAGAGGTGGGTAATCATAATATTGAACTCTCCTGTAGTTTGACCATTCAAAACACCTCAAAATCTGGGTGCTGGCAAATTGGAGGGGAAAAAATGCTGGACCTTTTAAAATCCTGCAGAATTTATTGTTACTGCACTACCACACCTTTCAATTCCTTTCGTAAGGCATTGAAATGCAACTTACTGAATTTGCCCACAGAGTTGCTTCACCTTCCGAAACCTTTCGAAAAGTTTCAAAGTTCAAGCACTATTTCACCTTTCAAAACCCTTTTAGTCAGGCAAATTTAAAATGTTTTGAAAGGTCTGATAATTCTCTTTGCCAACTGCACTGGGCATAGCAGGGTTAAACAATGTTAGTGATTGCGACAAGTCTTTGTAGAATGGCCAATTGCACCTATGTCAAGTTTGCAGCCATTGATATTTCATTTTCTCTCCTTTCTTTCAAACAGCCAGAGAAATTTGTGAATCTGGGCATCGAGCCCCCCAAGGGCGTGCTGCTGTACGGCCCGCCGGGTACCGGCAAGACCCTATGTGCTCGGGCCGTGGCTAATAGGACGGACGCCTGCTTCATCAGGGTCATCGGATCAGAGCTGGTCCAGAAATACGTCGGGGAGGTGAGCAACGAATGCTTGGCTCTAAAAATTAAACAATAAACAGCTCACTATTTTAATAACAGAACTCCAAAGGTATTTTCGCAAGAACCTTCTTGTTGGATTTTTGAACGATCTCGGAGGGTTACACAATAGAAGAAATCTTTACAAAAAAAAAATTTCAAGTGATGTTATGGCATAGCTTTATGAATCAATCAACTTTTTTTCACAAACTTATGCAACCAATTTTAAACCGAACCCAAGTTTTTCATGAAAAAAATTAAATGGTTGAGACGAAAATAGTAATGCCAGTTGATGGTATTTCAGTATTTCATTGTTTGTGGATTGTGTAAGTACCAGAATTTTTGAATGATGCAGTTTTTTTTTAGTGTGACTCCTGGTTGGCGTGCACCATTAACCCTTACCCTACTAGACCCTCCAACGCATGCCAATATGTGCCTCAAGAAAATCTCCTATGTTTTTTGCACGGCCCTCCAATATCTGCCATGTCATTTCAAGGGTAACTGGACAGGCACTCCAATACATGCCACAGAGAACAATGAGAGTCCTCTGATAACAAAGTGAGTGCCCCCAGCTGGTCAGTATCAGGCACCCTCCAGGGCCTCCAACTCCTGCCAATTGGAGCCTTCACTGTTAAGACAAACTATCTGCCAATAAACTGCAGCTGGAGGGCATTGGCATAACCAACTGACATGCAGTAAACTACACTCAGAGAGTAAGGGTTAAATGTGCCGTCACCTTGAACATGTCAGTAGGCAGCATAGCGCCCTCAGGGGTGGGCGCACGAACCCAATAGCACGAATGATCAATGTTTCAACATTTTGAGTTGTTGACATTATTGCTCATTGCAGGGAGCTAGAATGGTGCGCGAGCTCTTTGAGATGGCCCGAACCAAGAAAGCCTGCCTCATCTTCTTTGACGAGATTGACGCCATTGGAGGTAAGATATTTAACCCTAACCACCCCAACTTCATCAAAATCAACCCCCCCCCCCTTCATTTTGTTAGATTTTTGGGGACTAGGTCCAGGAGGCCTGGCGTGACTAGATTTTCAGTTTTCTAGTGCAGCTGGATTGCAGGTGTAGTGTTTTTTGTTTTTGTTTTTTTAAAACAAGGGTTGAGATTATTATTTTATTTTTGGACAATTTCTCTCTCCCCAGGTGCTCGGTTTGACGACGGCGCCGGTGGCGACAACGAGGTCCAGCGTACCATGCTGGAGCTCATCAACCAATTGGACGGCTTCGATCCCCGCGGCAACATCAAGGTCCTCATGGCAACCAACCGGCCCGATACGCTGGACCCCGCTCTCGTCCGACCGGGCCGGCTGGACAGGAAGGTGGAGTTTGGACTGCCGGATCTAGAGGTAAATTAGTGTTGTCATGGAAATTGTGTATTAAAGGGAATGTACATCATTGGCTTTTGCTGTAATTTTCAGCAATGAATTATTTGAGGGGTTAGTATAATAGATCAAATATTGTTACACTGACATGTTTGAAGTTTTGTGTTCAAAAATGCTGGAAAAACCAAGAAAAACAAAAATATTCAAGTAGTCTGGTTCCCTGACTTATAGATGCAAGAAAATTGTAAGGTAAGGGAACCAGTCTAGCTGGCCTGCACCCGTTCATAAACATGTAACCAATAGCAAACAAAATTTGAACTGAAAAAAAATGAAAAATAGTTGAAAAATAGTTGAAAAATAGTTGAAAAATAGTTAGGTTTTTCCAACGGTGGTCGGCCGACCACCGTTGGAAATGTATACAAAAATACCATTTTCTTGAAAATGGCTTCACACCAGGTGCCATAATTTTACAGGATGCTTTAGACTGTCATTTACCAACATCCTAGTAAGATATTTCGTAAAAACTCGGTAGTTATATTTTTCGATGTTTGCAAATGTTGTTATTTCCCTTTAAACTGGGGATTCTCAGACCTAAAAATGCCAGTAGATCTCCCTGCACTGAAGACTTGTGTTTTGTTATTTTATTATGAAGTAGCAATGAAAGGACTAAGGGTACGTTTGTTTCTGTACAGATCCCAGTCCAGATCCTTGAACTACTACCGTGCATACAACAAATATAAGAGTGCCTGATCCGGATCTTCAGTCACATGACTGGCCAAACTTAAACATGGAGACGGTTTATGTACATTGTTTCATTATTTGTCGTTTTGAATCTCGCACTGATCCATTGAGAGAAGGATCCCTGAGACCCCTGATCTAATAGCAAAATTCCAACTAATCATCAGCCTTTTAGTGCGTGCGTGGCTACTACCCGGACGCTTCGACGCGCCCGGATGCTTGCACAAAATTTAAAAACAAAAAATGCGAGTCTAGGTTTCTACGAGATCGTGGCGTGTAATTGTTCTTACATTATCTTGTTTTAATTTTACTTATGAAAGTATTTCAAGAAATTATTTGAGTGTATGAACTTATTTTTCATCTGAACTTACAGTTATTTGCTCTTACGTTTTCCTTACTCACCCTTCTTTCACAAATGGAAGCGACTAGGCAAAATCCGCGTTGTGATTGGTTAGCCTTTCAGCGCTCTTCTTATTGCATAAAAACTATGAATAATTCAACAAAATCAAGTTCGAAGAGGCCTCGTGGCTTCGTCACTCGTGCGTGCTGACATAATCTTTGCTCCAGTCGCTTCGGGCTTTCGCAGCTCCGCTTCCATAAGCCACGATGGCCTTGGCGAAAGGCTATTATAACACAGGCCCAAGTTATCTATCAGAAAGAGGAGAAGTGATAAAATATATGGAATACTCTGAAGTTATGTTTGTAAACCTCCATGAGAAAGGTTTCCATATCAAAAGCATGTTTGCGAGAACTACTTTATAGAATCCTTAACATGCTGTGGTCTTGTTTTCAGGGCCGGACACACATTTTCAAGATCCATGCTCGCTCCATGAGTGTGGAGAGAGACATCCGATATGAGCTGCTAGCGAGACTCTGCCCCAACTGCACAGGTACAAGCAAAAGTTTTTTGATATTCATCCACTACTATCGGCCCTCCATTTGACGTATAAAGAAGTCAGTCCATAGTGTAAAGCAGGAAACAGAATAATGTGAAGAAATCATCTTGTCATCAAGCGTTTCCTATTTAGACCAGTCTGAAATAAGCTGTTCCAGTTTATAAGCAGTATTTTTTCACAACCAAACAACTTGAAATGGGTTAACCATGAACTGACACACAGCGCAACTCTTAAACCTTTAACATGACAAAAATAATTCACCGAGGTTTTTGTTCAGTTTTAAAGCTGAGACATGACTCTTCTTATAATGGTTCCAATTACTTTCTTACGAATTTTACATCAAATTTTAACTCAAGATCGGATGTTGTTGATAAGCAGGTACAAGGAAAATTGGGTTTAAAGGTGATTGTGTCAGGAAAAAAATCAATAATCAAATTTTGTTTTAGGCCCTCATTTTTGTGAAGCTAAAAATTTGTTTGGGAAAAGGCACGTGTTGAAGAGCACAGGTAGAGCAGCTTTAATGGAGCAAGATGTATTAAGATTTTCAGTAATTGTTATCAACCATATTTTATTACAGGCGCTGAAATCCGTAGTGTGTGCACCGAGGCCGGCATGTTTGCGATCCGCGCAAGGAGAAAGGTGGCCTCCGAAAAAGACTTCCGCGAAGCTATCAACAAAGTCATCAAGGCCTACGCCAAGTTCAGCTCCACTCCACGCTACATGACGTACAATTAGGTTCATCTAATTATTCTAAAACTATTCCTGTCAAAAAAAATTGTAAGGTCTGTTCCAGGCAAATGAGGAGTTCTTTTTTTTGTATTTCAGTTTTCTGAGGATTTGTCTGATAATATGGGTATTTATAAAGCGCACGTATCCACCAGTATTGCTGCTCAAGGCACTACATCATTATTACCCTGCTCATTGGGCCAATGAAACATTCCAAAGACAATCTCAGCTCCCTGGGGAGTATACAGCTCCATGCTGCCCTTTCGGCGCAAAGCTGCTTAAATCAACCACAATAACCACCTCTGCCCTGACAGGTACCCATTTACTCCTGGGTGGAGAGAAGCAATGAGTGACAAAGTGCCTTGCCCAAGGGCACACGCACCATAGCCGCTGGCTGGACTCGAACCCACAACCTGCAGAATTACCCGCAGACCACAAATTCATTGCTCCAGACCACGAGGCCACGGGGCTCCACATAATGAGACTTTCCAGTACACCACATTCGCAGTTCACTGGTCTTAGTGTATTTTCTGTTAATGCAACAAATCAAAAAACTGATTTGCTCAAAATGGAGAATGTTCACTCAATACCATATTTATATTAGGGGCCACTTTTTCATGGGCTTCTGAATCAAAAGTTGGCTAAGCTTAAAAAAAAAAAGGCCGAAACCAAAAAACTGCTTTGCAGAAATCAGTTTCCAACCAAACTGATGTTTATTGGTTGTGACTGTTTCAGTTAATTTCTGCTGAACAAGTGAACTTTCAATTCCTGTTCAGATTTCAGTTTTCAGTTGTTGAAATGGATCTTGCACTTTCAAAGAAAGTAAATACATTTTCATAAAGTTTCTTTTAGTTATAATTTTATAGCAATTTCTCCCCAGCAGTGTAAACCTTCATGGATTTCCTTGTTAACTCAACTAGGATAAGCATATCACAAAGACGCACTCAAAAAGTACACTTGTAACTTGTAACTTTAATAACTTAAAATGTACACGTGTTCATTGTCGCTAATAAACTGGAGACAATATATGTTTGAATCTTCACTGTCTGTTTTACTCGAGTCAAAAGAAGTATTTCTTTGGGGAATTATTTTCTTACAAATAATCAGAGGTCTCAAACTTATCTGATGGAGAGCGCGGTTTTCATTGTCATTTTGACAGTATTTACCCTAACCACCACCAAAACCCTTCAAAATCCAACTGCATGTTTTGTTGGAATCTGTTGGAGTGAGCACTGCAGTTGTAAACTGATTATGATTTTCATGGGGTCAGGCATATCACCATAATCAGAGTCCAACAGTTTGGGTGTAGAGTTTACCATATGGTGTTGGGTTTTGCAAGAGTGAGGAAGGTTCCTAGTAAATCACTGAAGGGGTAAGGGTTAATCAGTGCCATTTTTGCCATGTAAGGACATTGGTGCTCGACTATGGATGTTTCATCGGATATCTTCAGGTGCCTAGATTTTCAGAGTAAAATTCATTCAGTTATTCACAAACGGGAATCTGAACAAAACAAATTTTCTTGATAAATGTGGTCATTTATTTGTATTCTTAAAGTTTTCAATAAATTACATCCCCAAGTAATAATAAAAAATAGATAAGCCTCACAGAGGCAACATTTCCATTGAGATACACATTGGCAATCATTATAATATATGTTTCAGCAGTTACAAGCCTCAACTCTTTTTTTGTTGTACAATACAAATATCAAATGGCAACATGAATTATCTGGAAAGGTACAAAAAATTAAACAGTTTTGTTTTCTTAATTTGCATTACTTTTAATACTGACTTTCCGTTGCATAATTTCAAGAAAATGAAACAACCATTAGTACTTTACTCATAACAGTCAACACTCTGACTATAAAAAAATCATTCCAGTTTTGATTTCAGGCTTGGGAACAAAAAAATTAAAGGAATTCTGATTTTAAATCAACCGAAGTTTCCAAGGAGGCGACAAGACAATATTGGAGGGACTCCAATTATAAGACTATTTGGGAGAACCAAATTTCAGAAAAAAAATTGAAAAGGTTCAGAATATTTTGAAACGAATTAGATATTTACGAAAACAGGCTTTATTAAGGAAATAAATTAGGAAACCTGTGTTTCATTACTGGAATTTCAGGCAATGTGCACAATCAAAATTCTTCAAAATCTTGCGAGGTAGACAAAGACTGTCTACAGACTCACAGTCGATATAGAACCGTGTCCAGTCTGAATAGGTCAACTAAGGTCTGTCACCCGACGCCATCCTGCGGTTTATATCGTCGATGACCGGCGGCAGGTCCTTGACGCTGTCGATGACGTAATGCGAGCCGCACTCGGCGAGAACGTCGTAGGCGTGCTGCAGGCGACGATCGTACTCGGCCCGGTCCATCTCGGCCATTTGCTTCTCACTGGCTGCCATGTAGTTGCCCTTAAATAGTGGGGAGAAAATGTGAATTAAGACTTAATTGCCTTTTGGCCTGACTAATTGAGGGCGCTCTTCATGAATCACAGACACTGCTGAATTTCAGTTACTCGTCACACACGCACACAATCTGGGAACGTGATCGCTGAGCACTCATGGACGCATTCATTTTGGCCGCAGCAATTTTCAACCCATACCTGTATTGTTGATGTACCCTAACGTGGCGCGGCCCCCAACGTGGCGCACTTTGATTTTTCCCCTGTAGCCCGTACCTAGAGCAAAAGTTTTAACTGAAATTTCACAGAAAGTGACATTTCACCAAGTTCTTAACACTCCTGTTCATAAATCGCGAGTTTATTTACCCGTAACAAAGTTAGAAGAAAAAGTTATTTTGGCGTGATTTTCCGATTTTATTTTCAAGTGCAAAGTGAACCCTTTGAAAATGCCCCGAAAAATAAGAAAGTAATTTTCTGACAAACATCTGGCTGGGTATGTAAGTAGAGATAACAATTATTTATCAGAATTTATCAAGTTTACAGAAATTCTTAAATGTTAATTTGGAATTTTCCGAGATTTGTTCATGTGCGCCATGTTTGGGAACACTCCGCCAATTTGTGCCCAATTTCCGGATGCCGCTGTTTTTGAATTTCGAATTTAATTTTATGAAACCGAAATTTTTCACAGAGGTTAAATAGCAAGCATTAATAAGGTAAAAGTACTAGTATTTTACTGCATGAATTTGAGGTTTGTCAACAAAGAGGTTTGGCAACACTACACGAGGAAATTTGGGTAAGCTTCGAAGTGCGCCACGTTAGGGAACACGACTATACTACATTATATTATATTGTGTTTATTCACTGAAGAATCAATAATGCCACAGAGTGCTTGGCGGTTTCGGGCGCTACAGTGAGTAACAGGCAGGGAGATTTCGGGCGCTAAGAGTGATTTAAGATATGCCCTCCAGCGTTAACAGCAACAACATATTGCATGCAAGTGTGTCCTGTTGTATACTATTGTTATGCATTCTACAAATACACAAGCAACTACATAACGGTTGTGACCACATTTTAGACATATTTTCCAGACTTACCGTTTTAGCCACACCTACTGTCCAGCAGCCTGCAGCCAGCCCTTCCCGTATCCCATCAACTGTGTCATCCACCTGTGTGAAAGTTTATAAGGGACCCATTAAAATTTGATAATATGTGCTTTACTCGATATTTTAAGAGCACAAGTGAAACATTGCCTCTTTTGGGAGTGGATTCATGGGGCAGAAGCATATTACTGCTTTTTAATCTGTTTTGCTGTCCCTTCATGCCCTCACAGTTGTCCTTCGACTGGAAAGTTCCAAAAGTGTAGCATAGTTGAAACAAAAAAAAAATCTCCATCAAGAGCTCTAGTCAAGCCAATCACAAGTCCGATCCCAAGCCAATCACAAGTCCAATCGAAAGCCAATCACAAGTCCAAAAACAAGCCAATCACAAGTCCAATCACAAGCCAATCACAAGTCCAATCCCAAGCCAATCACAAGTCGAATCCAAAGCCAATCACAAGTCCAATCCAAAGCCAATCACAAGTCCAATCACAAGCCAATCCCAAGCCAATCACAAGTCCAATCCAAAGCCAATCACAAGTCCAATCACAAGCCAATCACAAGTCCAATCACAAGCCAATCCCAAGCCAATCACAAGTCCAATCCCAAGCCAATCACAAGTCGAATCCAAAGCCAATCACAAGTCCAATCCAAAGCCAATCACAAGTCCAATCACAAGCCAATCCCAAGCCAATCACAAGTCCAATCCAAAGCCAATCACAAGTCCAATCACAAGCCAATCACAAGCCAATCACAAGTCCAATCCAAAGCCAATCACAAGTCCAATCACAAGCCAATCACAAGTCCAATCACAAGCCAATCACAAGTCCAATCCAAAGCCAATCACAAGTCCAATCACACGCCAATCACAAGTCCAATCCAAAGCCAATCACAAGTCCAATCCAAAGCCAATCACAAGTCCAATCCCAAGTCCAATCCCAAGCCAATCACAAGTCGAATCCAAAGCCAATCACAAGTCCAATCCCAAGCCAATCACAAGTCGAATCCAAAGCCAATCACAAGTCCAATCCAAAGCCAATCACAAGTCCAATCACAAGCCAATCACAAGTCCAATCACAAGTCCAATCCCAAGCCAATCACAAGTCCAATCACACGCCAATCACAAGTCCAATCCAAAGCCAATCACAAGTCCAATCCCAAGCCAATCACAAGTCCAATCCAAAGCCAATCACAAGTCCAATCCCAAGTCCAATCCAAAGCCAATCACAAGTCAAATCCAAAGCCAATCCCAAGTCCAATCACAAGTCCAATCCCAAGCCAATCACAAGTCCAATCCCAAGTCCAATCCAAAGCCAATCACAAGTCCAATCCAAAGCCAATCACAAGTCCAATCACAAGTCCAATCCCAAGCCAATCACAAGTCCAATCCAAAGCCAATCACAAGTCCAATCCAAAGCCAATCACAAGTCCAATCCCAAGCCAATCACAAGTCCAATCCCAAGCCAATCACAAGTCCAATCCAAAGCCAATCACAAGTCCAATCCAAAGCCAATCACAAGTCCAATCACAAGTCCAATCCCAAGCCAATCACAAGCCAATCACAAGTCCAATCACAAGTCCAATCCAAAGCCAATCACAAGTCCAATCACACGCCAATCACAAGTCCAATCCAAAGCCAATCACAAGCCAATCACACGTCCAATCACAAGTCCAATCACAAGCCAATCACAAGTCCAATCACACGCCAATCACAAGTCCAATCCAAAGCCAATCACAAGCCCAATCCCAAGCCAATCACAAGTCCAATCCAAAGCCAATCACAAGTCCAATCACAAGTCCAATCCCAAGCCAATCACAAGTCCAATCCAAAGCCAATCACAAGTCCAATCCAAAGCCAATCACAAGTCCAATCCAAAGCCAATCACAAGTCCAATCCAAAGCCAATCACAAGTCCAATCCCAAGCCAATCACAAGTCCAATCACAAGTCCAATCCCAAGCCAATCACAAGTCCAATCCAAAGCCAATCACAAGTCCAATCCAAAGCCAATCACAAGTCCAATCACAAGTCCAATCCCAAGCCAATCACAAGTCCAATCCCAAGCCAATCACAAGTCCAATCCAAAGCCAATCACAAGTCCAATCCCAAGCCAATCACAAGTCCAATCCAAAGCCAATCACAAGTCCAATCACAAGTCCAATCCCAAGCCAATCACAAGTCCAATCCAAAGCCAATCACAAGTCCAATCCAAAGCCAATCACAAGTCCAATCCAAAGCCAATCACAAGTCCAATCACAAGTCCAATCCCAAGCCAATCACAAGTCCAATCCAAAGCCAATCACAAGTCCAATCCAAAGCCAATCACAAGTCCAATCACAAGTCCAATCCCAAGCCAATCACAAGTCCAATCCAAAGCCAATCACAAGTCCAATCCCAAGCCAATCACAAGTCCAATCCCAAGCCAATCACAAGTCCAATCCAAAGCCAATCACAAGTCCAATCCAAAGCCAATCACAAGTCCAATCACAAGTCCAATCCCAAGCCAATCACAAGTCCAATCCAAAGCCAATCACAAGTCCAATCCCAAGCCAATCACAAGTCCAATCCAAAGCCAATCACAAGTCCAATCACAAGTCCAATCACAAGTCCAATCCCAAGCCAATCACAAGTCCAATCCAAAGCCAATCACAAGTCCAATCCCAAGCCAATCACAAGTCCAATCCCAAGCCAATCACAAGTCCAATCCAAAGCCAATCACAAGTCCAATCCCAAGCCAATCACAAGTCCAATCACAAGTCCAATCCCAAGCCAATCACAAGTCCAATCCAAAGCCAATCACAAGTCCAATCCCAAGCCAATCACAAGTCCAATCCCAAGCCAATCACAAGTCCAATCCAAAGCCAATCACAAGTCCAATCCCAAGCCAATCACAAGTCCAATCCCAAGCCAATCACAAGTCCAATCCAAAGCCAATCACAAGTCCAATCCAAAGCCAATCACAAGTCCAATCACAAGTCCAATCCCAAGCCAATCACAAGTCCAATCCAAAGCCAATCACAAGTCCAATCCCAAGCCAATCACAAGTCCAATCCAAAGCCAATCACAAGTCCAATCACAAGTCCAATCCCAAGCCAATCACAAGTCCAATCACAAGCCAATCACAAGTCCAATCACAAGCCAATCACAAGTCCAATCCAAAGCCAATCACAAGTCCAATCCCAAGCCAATCACAAGTCCAATCCAAAGCCAATCACAAGTCCAATCACAAGTCCAATCCCAAGCCAATCACAAGTCCAATCACAAGCCAATCACAAGTCCAATTACAAGCCAATCACAAGTCCAATCCAAAGCCAATCACAAGTCCAATCCAAAGCCAATCACAAGTCCAATCACAAGTCCAATCCCAAGCCAATCACAAGTCCAATCCAAAGCCAATCACAAGTCCAATCCAAAGCCAATCACAAGTCCAATCACAAGCCAATCCCAAGCCAATCACAAGTCCAATCCAAAGCCAATCACAAGCCAATCACAAGTCAAATCACAAGTGGAATCTCAAGTCAGGTCAGATGTAGCAGGGGGCAATGACAAAAAGATGCCTTTGTCTTGGTTTCTTTGAACAGCTTGTGACTGACTTGCGACTTAATTGCTTGCGACTGACTTGGGATTGACTTGTGGTTCGCTTGTGATTGGCTTGTGATCGACTCATGATTTATTCAAGATTGGCTTGTGGTTAACTTGTGATTAACTTGAGGTTAACTTGTGATTGAGTTGAGATGAATTTGTAACTGGCTTGTGACTGACTTCTAATTACCCTGTAACTGCATGGCTTGTGGTCGACTAAAAAATTGATTTAGGATTGACTTATGACTGACTTGTGATTAACTTGTGACTGATTTATGATTGAATTTAAATTGATCTGTGATTGACTTGTGATTGACATGAAATTGACTTGTGATTGACTTATAACTGAATTGTGATTAACTAGTTGAAAGTTCTGCATACCTTGATAATCGCCTCAATAGGGTGCACGTCTATCTTGATAGCATTCAGCCACACCATGTGGGGGCAGGGCCGGGCCTGTGGCACAAGGTCAGCCGTCGCGATGAAGTCCGGCACGAAACCGTTACTCGCTGCGATGACCTTGAGGTCAGCCATGATGGGTGAAGTGAAACCTGTGCAGGAGCCGATCTTCAGGGCGCGGTCTGTTCGCAAATGGTTCACTGTCTCCACAACTCCTAAAAATTAGAAGTTAATGAACTTTTATTTTGGTTACTTGCCCGATCATTTCACAAGTATAAGCTAGTTGCTACCAATATTAGACCTTTCAAAAAATTAGACCCTTAATAATGCATCATGCTCCATGTACAATTCAGCCACTTGCAATGAGATACTATCCGTTTGTTAAGTGGCAGCCATCTTAAATCATGCGTTATGCCAATGCTGTGCCAATGTCCCCAATTTATAGTGACGGTGTCGATGGCAAATACACACATACTACTGCCATGGTCCAATGGTTACAATGTCCAACTGATGTGCGACTGTATGTGAGTTTAATTAAACCCTGATGGGGACTGTGTTCTTGGGCAAGACACTTTACTACAATTGGCTCTCTCCACCCAGGAGAAAAAAAGGGTACATGACGGGATACAGAGCAGATTGAACTGATCCTGAAACTTACAATAATAAATTGATCTCACCCTGATTTTTTTTTAAATTCAGCAAACTTTGAAGAAGACGCAGAATTGAAAACGTGCAATGGTGCATTAGTTAATGATAGTGCACAGAAACCGTAGTGCATATGAGAGCCAGCAAACATGCCTTTCCCATGAGAGCCAGGTGGGACATGTAAACAAAGCGTGACTTCTTTATGTCTTAGGTCCATTGTGAAGCATATGCACGACAGTTTCTGTGCGCTATCATTAACTGATGCACCGTTGCACGTCTTCAAATCTATGTCTTCTTCAAAGCTTGTTGAATTAAAGAAAAAAATTCAAAGAATCCCAGTTTCAGGTGTGCACCTTCTATCATCTGGGAGTGGTTCTTGAGGACCTCACACTGCAGTGGGACAAAGTTCTGGTACATCCTCTCGACGTCATCATCGGTGGGCGGTTTGCCGTGTGACTCCGCCCACCGACTGCGCACCGAAGACAACTCCAGTACCTTCTGAATGTGGACCTGCAGAAGAAAAAAAACAATTGGAAAATTTAACACAACAAATATGGGCCTATGAAATACTTACACAAAATACATTCATGACTAAAAATCTGAATCTGAAAGCTAAAATCGCCGCACATACCTGTTCCGTGCATACCTGGTTTTTAAGCTAATGCGAATGCCATGAGGCATGTCTGAGGTATGCCTGGTATTTATCATTGGGTCCCAGTGCCAAAGTTTCCCAAGACTTTATTTGACTAGCACCCCTTGAACAAAGATATTGACAAAATGGGGAACCGCCAGCATAGGGCTGGAGAGCTCAGTTGGTAGAGCACCGGAACGGCAATCTGGAGGTTGCAGGTTCAAACCTAGTCCGAGTATCACCCGTTGCATGCAAGGAAATTTGTGACGTCATTTCACTTCAAAATCTGGACTAAGATTTTGATTGGTCAAAACCGATGCCACGTTTTTGTAATACAACAAAATGCTGCTCATCGTGGGCGTGATGTTTAAATGCGCGTGAGGAGTTCGCATTACACGCGTATAGAAGGCACCCACTGAATGGTCAATTTCTTGATGTCATACGCAGTCTAGTTGCATAATATAACAGAATAGTTCAAACCCTGCTCCAGTCCAGCGCCCTCTATCTACCATCACCAGCTTAATGACAACGCTTGTCAGGGACTGGCAGCATGATTGCGGGAACAAAAATTCAAATCCAGTATTGAACTAGTCCGAGTAACTTGGACCCTACTTATCGCCTTTTTTTAACATTTGGATGTGGTCTGGTGATAGTAGGGCTACTGTCGCCAGAACATGTCCGAATGTTAAAAAAGGCGCAAAGTAGGGTCCAAGTTACTCAGACTAGTACTGAACCAAGGGCAAGGCTACTGGGGAGGGGGGATCTTAGTCGACCGACCCACCCGTTTGTGGGTACCCATAGGTCCTCGGGCCTCCTCGTCCGTAATCGTCACCCCTTCCCTCTTGAAGATCTCAACAAACGTCAAGGCAGGAGCGAAGACCCCACAATCCAGGACAGTGCCGGCCCAGTCAAAGATGACGGCCTTGATCTTGCCCGCGTAGCGTCGGGTGTGGTGGTAAGGCATTCGGGCATTGCTCCAAGGAACTGCTGCGTAAATTGAAAAATATGCATCTGTTAATTGATCAATATGAACAAATTAAAAACACAGTAACTTTTGCAGCTGATGTATTATCTTGAAGAAATGCTTTGATTTTAGGGTAATATATGCATTTTCTTACTTTTACTACTTTAAACCAAATATCTGAAAGATTTCCATATACGAAGTTCACTCAACACCCTGTGTACAAACCCTATGAGAGTGGACTGAAAAATTGTAAGTGTTTTCTAAGAAAATGCTTGTATTTTCTCACTGCTCAAATTGACTTTGATGACATGAAATTGCTATCTAGGGGCTTGTTAGTCAATACAGAGGAAAATTAGTGAACTTCGCATATGGTAATCTTGCCCAAATATCATTACTAATTTTTATTGAAGTAGAACAATTTTTTTTTTCTTGTGGCTCCAAAGGATTTTTTTGTATTTTTTAAATTTATTTTGATTTTTTTTTAATTCCTTAGATTTCTTTAATTTTAATGTTTGGCAATTTTACGACAGCAGTAACACAATTTTCAGACACTATATCATGACGGCATGCATTGTAAAAATGCAATGCAAACGTACTGAGTAACAGATTTACAACTGCCCATTTCAACCAGAACGCTTCGGTAGCTCGGTGGGGCTACTCAATTTTTTGTTTTTTTTAATAGATTTCTTAACTTTTATGTTTTTAATCAAATTGTTGTTTTTAACATGTTTAAGTAGATTTCATTTTCTTGTTTTCCATCTGGGGTTTTGGAGAATGGTTTTAATTAAAAGGGAAATAAAGTCCGAGATAAAAGACCGAGAACCATTTGTTTGATACAAATATCTGGTTCCAACAGCCAAAGATCCATAGTAGTTGAAAGTAGTGTTAATCGGTTATTCATGTACAGCTGCCGTAATACCGCATAATTTCAAAAGTTATAATTGTGACTGATTATTCCGCCCCCTTTTCATGTGTTTGCAAAAATGATCACAAATTCACATAAATCACATCAGGGAACGTCAATGCATATTTAAAATATTACTTTAATTGATTTTTCTTCAAGTTCAAGCCTCAAAAGTATTAATTAATTAACTTCAAAGATCTCTTGGCAACTACCTGAAGCCATTTAGAAAACCGTTCTGAGACTTAGTGAGAGAGTGACTGAAAACAACACCGCCCCCTTTACAGCCGGCCGCACAAAAGAAGTGCACCTGTCCGGGCCGATTGCACTGTCGGTTCCTTTGATCTTTCCTCGCCGCATAAACCACACATGTTCATAATCATTTAAATCTTTGTAAGTTTTTTTCTAATTATTATGTTAAAAAATTGTTAAATATAACACGCGATTAAATATTTTACCAATACAAAATTGATTTGAACCGTGAAAGTGACGTTAGACCTAGTTTTTAAAATTCAAAATATTTCCTTCACAGAGAAATCTATTTTAAAACTTTGAGCGAGCCCCTTTGAGGTCAGATGAGGTCAATCTTGCGACGGCCATTTTGATTTCAATTTGTTTTTGTGCAAGAGCAAAAAGGGGTAAGTACCTTGTCAAGAACGATTCGAGTGCACGTAACTCTTTTGAAAGACAGGGTTAAGCACCCAAATTTCTCAGATGAAATGCTTGTTGTGTTTTCTTTCTGAGGGAAGACCGTGGTTGATGTTTACGAATCGTGAGTGAAGAGTCACGCTGTTTTTCTGCAGCGAGTGAGTTACGGTCGCATTCAAATCCGACTCGACATGCTCAAATCGGTCATTTACCAAGTCGCCCCACGTATGCTTTGGCGTAATTTGCCTTGAAAAAGTCGCCCCAGCCAAAGTTGCTCGCTGTCAAACTCGAACTCAAAGTTGTATACATGTCATTTGGCGATGGCTACAGTTTATAATCAACAATTTTTATGGTGTGTTGTAAATAAGTGTACTTTTCATACGAAATGTTTTTAATTTTTTGACAATTCTTTAATTTTTATTTATTTAGGCCTAGGCCCTATATTTTATAAAATATATTATTTTGTGTGCCCATTCTTCGTTTGTTCTTTATTTGGAAAGAATTCCATATACGCCACTAGTTTTTCCCTGCAATGACTTACAGCCATCATAAAGCGGTAACATGTCCTAAAAAGTGAAAATTAGCAGGGAAAATATTGAAGCATTTATTGAGAAAACACTTCGAATTTTCCAGACCAGTCTCATAGTTCATAAGATTTATACACAGGGTGTCAAGACAAGTGATCACCTGATTATAAGATTTACAATTTCACTGCACCAAAAGTAGACCTAGCCTTCAAATTTGTTTCGACCCGTCATTCAAAAGCTGCCTCAAAACTTTTGGTTTTTCCTAGGTCTGGAATGTCGCAAGAATCCAAAAACCCACCAGATTTGTCCCTTGGCGGTAAGTAATGGTTACCCGCGAAGGGGGTTTTGTTTGGAGTGTACAGGTTCATGAATAGAATCGTTCTGCTGTGGGATTTAGCTCTGAAAGCAAACCCTTCAATTTCACTTTCTGTTTTGAATATTTCCTTTTCTGTTTGAACTCTGACCCTTCTGGGTACTTGGCTAGAAAGTAGAAACCCTGCTGAACGCAGCAACATGAAACACTTGTCAAAATGGCAAGCCTGCTGAGTGTAGCAAGATCCATCTGGTCAAAAATCCCAAGGCCAAACTGCCACAGAGTCCATGGTCGCCAACTGTAGCAGGATACAACTGTGGCATTGTTCAATAGGACTAGCTCTCATTGTTTCAAAATTGGCCATTTATGCACTGGTGTTGATGGCTCAATCCTCCAAAATCTTCTTTGCAAAACGGAGGATTTTGCAGGATTGAGGCTATATGGAAAAAAAATGTGTGACAGATTACGGAACATGCACTATATTGGCCGGACCTTGTGTTGTCTATGCTCAGCTGTGCATAAATTTGGGCCTACAATGTAGATGGAATACTTGAAATCCTCCGTACTTCTCCAGAATGTCACTGGCTCTGCCTCAATCTACATGTATTGACAGTGATTGTTGGAGGATTTTGCATGATTGAGGCAGTGGTCACCCCTCCAAAGACCACATTCAAGAAATAACAGAGCATTTTGCAGGATTGAGGCTGTGTGCAACTTTTACATGGAGACGGTTGGAGGATTTCGCAGGATTGCAGTTGCATCCTAGCAAAAATGCCTAGGGAGTTACGGCTAAAAGGGCTGTAGACTGGTTGTTTCATGTGCCAGTCCAATTTCTTGTGTTGCATGTTTTTACTATCGTAACTAGTTTTGTGACCCTCATACACAGGATTGTGAGTCCAAAATTTTCAGACTAATTGAGCTGTACCTAGTGTCCCGTTGTGTTTACAATCATTTAAATCATGTCTTAACCCTAACCGCCCTGAATCCTCCAAAATCCTTTTTGCAAATTGAAGGAATTTGCAGAATTGAGGTTACATGGCAAAAGTGGGTTGCTGATTTCGGAGTACGCACTGTGTCAAGGTCTTGGGCCGGACCTTGTGTTGTTTATGCTCAGCCGTGCATAAATTTAGTCCTTGATTATACTTGACATCCTCCGCACTGCTCCAGGATGTCACTGCCTCTGCCTCAGCCTATTGACAGTCATAGCCAGAGGATTTTGCAGGATTCAGGCAGTGGTCACCCCTCCATGGACCATATTCAAGAAACAACGGAGGAATTTGCAGGATTGAGGCTATATGCTATTTTTCCATGAGGCCAATTGGAGGATTTTGCAGGATTGAGGCTACATCCTAGCAAAAAGGCCTAGGGAGTTGGGGTTAAAACAAATTTGCTCACCCCTCACTTGTCAGTTTGATTTATTTATGTTCTGTAGATTTTACAGTAATCGTTTGTTTATCGATGTAGAATGCACCATGAGCATCTTACTTGGCAAAGACCGGTGTCATATGAAAATCTGACTCCTATGAAAATCAGACTCCTTTTTCCTATTAACAGTTAATCCCTCGCACGTGACAGGTCACTCTCCTATATATGATCCTTAAAAAATAGCATGTTATCGTACTTACGCATGCGCAATACTACCAATGAGTCCATATTTCATGGAGTCGGATATTCACGCTACACCGGCGCTGTAAAAGTTTTATCAAAATATTTTTGTATTATTAATTTTATTTGAAGTAGAGAGTTTTCACTGGTTTATTTGCACTTTGCTTTTTCTCCCCTCCAGAATTTGGTCTGTTAGGTGGGAACTTCAAGATCAGAAGCAAGATGAACTTTTACAAGGATGGAACGGAAAACGACTTGGGGGACAAGTCGGCCTACTTCCCACAGTCCACCATGTTTCCCACGCACAGATCAGAGAATGATGTAAGCAAGCATAATAACCCAATTCCCTGGGCACTTTTTGTATTTTTTTGCGAGAAAGCTTCTCAAATCTGCCAAAATCAAACAGTGCATAATAAATTAAAAGGCCCATGCGATCTATTTTTTTAAATGCAGTCCTTAAAAATGCATCTTTGTTTAAGCTTGTTTTCAATTATTGTTTTGCCATTTTCAAGGGTATTTTGGTGCCTTTTTGGTTGGCTAATGGCAGGTTCCATATTGACAAGCTCTATCGATCACTTAAAAATCTGAATTGGACCTTTTGACCCATTTTTCGCACTACGACGTTCCACGCACCCAACGTATTTGACTCGTATAAAAACAGTGATTTTGATTTGCAGTCAAGTCAAGGTAGAGGACTTCCCAATTTTAAATTTCAAATATTTTATTAACCCTAACCCTTGGGTATTTTGACTAGAAAGTATCCTGAATCCGCCAAAATCCATCAATTCTGCCATGCAATAAAATCTTGTTGGTAGTGAGTCCATCAGAATCCACCAGTTAGCCGGAAGTAAATCTGTTGAGATCCTGAATCCTTCAAAGTCCCCCAACTGCTCAATATGGAGGTATCCTGAATCCATCAAAATCCTGCAGTACCGCTAGGCTTACTGTCCTGAATCCATCGAAATCTCCCAACTTTTTCAATATGGAGGCATCTTGATTCCGCGGAAATCCCCCAAAACAGGGGTGTGGATTTTGATGGATTCAGGTACGTTAGGGTTACTACAAAGACCAGCAGCATAGATTTTTTGTGCCATTTGGAATTATTATGTTGCAGTTGAGTGAAGAATGTTCTGTATATTTTGTGTCATTTTTTTTTCAAAGCTTTTGACGTCGCAGTCCCAGTCGCTGTCACAGTATGGCATTTATGGAAACCAAGGTAAGCCATTTCTTCTGTGCAGTTGCCCTCATCACAAAAACCAAAGGTCGATAAGCCATTTGTGAGTGACCTATACCCTTTAAGATTTTAAGTTGGAAAACATCTGGTACACTGACTTCAGGGTTTGACTTTAGCGGTAGCCCGCTAGCCAAATGCTAGTCAAAACTGCGGTGGACTAGTCAAACTGTTCCTTAAGTAGTCCGACTGGCGTGTCAAAAATTATTGCACTACGGCAAAGATGATCTATATGAAAGGGCAGGAAGAAATAAATCATTAAATATCAGAAAGCAAACCTGTATCAATTTGTGGCTAAAATGTTTAGCACCAATACGTTGTTCACAATGGTCGAGAATGGGGCAAAGACACTCGTGCGGAGACGCTATGACTTCGTGCACATTCTGAACCTGTGATCTGATACACCGTGCCCTCTGGAGACGTGCGTACAATAGGGAACAAAAGATTGTATACATCTCCACAGAGCAGTTTCTATAGATGAATACGTCTCCACAAGGTTTTCAGGAAATAGATACATGGATTTTACTCAAAAACTAGGAATTTCCAAGGTGGGTTGATCTGTCGCAAATGGAAGAGTTTTAGAGAACGGATATTAAGTCCAAATTTCAGCCAAGGAAATTAATTCTGGTTAAAATAAGGGCATTTTGAAACTTCATTTTCAAACTCGAAAACTTTAGTACACGAGAACAAAGAAATGTCTTCACAAGGATACAAATTTCAGTATTGCTGTGTGCACGCTGTGTCCGACTACTGGGCTCTCAAAAGTGGTAAAAAAGCATCCTAGTCTTCGTGAAAGGAGCCCGTAGATGTCATTCATATTAGAATGGATGCAGTGTTCCAAAGCTGAGAATGTCCTGAAGCCGAGCTGAGACGAGGCCACTGTTTCAAAAACCTCCACATTATTCTTGTGGGATCCTAGATTGACCTCAAGTGTTAATCCGGCGAACAAACTTAGAAGCCATTTTTGAGGTGGTGCCAAACACAGCACGCGTTTTTAAAAACGAAGGGTGCTTGCATTTTGGTAACACCATCGGTCGAAGGAGCCCGGAGTGCGTGTGTACTACCTGAGCGCGACTTGCGCAAGCCTGGTGCCACCGCGGTACCACCTCAGAAAATGGCTGTCACCGAATTAGTCTACAATTTGCTGTTAATGCCAGCAGGGCTAAGTCATGTCCAAATCAGCTCTAAAGGCTACGGCTGTTTTGTAATGGCTATTTCTGACATTAACTCTAACTCCCTAGCGTCTTTTACTAGGAACTGGACCAAGTCCATCAAAATCCATCAATCACTGTGCTTCCAATACAAAACTGTACATGACATAATGGAATCCACCACTGACGCACTGGTTGACATTCATGGACTTGCTACACATGGCTTTTATCACAATAGCAGTACAGGAAGCTAGGCAAATTCAATCGGATACCCCTAGCAATGCTTCAGGCCATTAGCCCCAAGTCCATCATACTCCATCAATATTTAGTCACGCCAGGTCTTCTGGACCAAGTCCCCCAATACCCACCGAAATGGGGGGATGGATTTTGATGGAGTTGGGGTGGTTAGGGTTAATGTTGCTGCAGTAATTATCCCTAGCCATGAACAGAAACAGCCCAATTGTCATTGAGCAATTTTTGTTGGAACCACCCTCAGGTTACGGTCTGCAGCAGCAGCAGCAGCCTTCGGGCCCTCCGCGGGGGATGCCCAACCCCCAGCAACAACCCCAGCAGCAGCAGTTGCCGTTCCCAAGTCGCAGCATGTCAGGCCACCACGGCAGCATAGGGGGCCAGATCACGCCGACGCCTCCCTCACCCAGCAGGTACTGATGAGAAGAAAAATTTTGTGTTTGTTAGTAACAGGATCCTAAGAAACGACCTAGGTATTAACCCTAACCCCTAGACCCTTTTTGCTAGAAACCATCCTCAATCCTCCAAAATCCTCCAAAGTTTTGTGCTTATGTTCAAATGAAGGATACCCATTGCCTTAATCCTTCAAAATCCTCCAACAGCCTTGCCTCTCAAAATGCATGAAGCCTCAATCCTCCAAAATCCTCCAAAATTGTAAATTCCGTTCATCCTCGATCCTCCAAAATCCTTCAAAACCGCAAGGAGGATTTTGAAGGATTGAGGATGGTTAGGGTTTAGGGCATTTTTTTACTACTTCATTTTTTAGACATGTTAAAATACAGTAGAAAGAGCATGAATGGGTCATTCTATATATTAAGGTCCAAAATGTGACATTCCTGTCGCTGTTGCCTTGGTATTTTGTAATTAACAATTCAAATATCAAGTGTCAATCCAAAATCTGAAATCTCAATGTGTGCATACATGTATGCAGTTGAAATGCCAAACTTGTCTTGGTCTCATTTTTAATGTCCCTGACTGTTTGATTCCCCCACCCCCCAGGGGCATGCTTCCCGTGGGTCCGCGGGTCAGCCAGGTCCAGACCAGTACCAACCAGCCGTCCATGAGTGCCCAGAGCAGGGTGGGGACGTTAGGCTCAGGTATGCCCAGCCCAAACAGCAGGACATCGCCCAGTCTACTGGCCATGCAGCAGAAACAACAACAGCAGAGGATGCTGGGAGGGTCAGTATTAAGATTCTCAAATACTCTTTAACCTATTAGCACCTGTACTACATTGTGTTACATTGTATTACACTGTATTTATTCTCTGGTGAATCAATAAAACCATAGAGTGCTTGGGGCTGTTTGGGCGCTACAGGGAGTAACAGACATAGCGGTTTTGATGTTACAGGGACTTATTCAATTCAATTTAATTCAATTCAATTCTTTATTATCCATTTTAAGATAAAATGGACAATTTGCATGTCTGTTGTAAAAGCACATTAACCCCAACTCCCTACTGAGTTTGACTAAAAACAGTACCAAGTCTGCCAAAATCCATCACTGACTATGCTTCACAAAATGATTCCTCTTGACCAAATCCGCCAAAATCCACCACTAAGACCACCACTGCGACCACCACTGCTATAGGGGGATTTTGAAGGACTTGGTACACATGGCTTGCCTACCAAAATCCCACCAAAGGGATTTTGAGGGAGTTACGGTTAAAAAGGAAATTGTACTATAAAAATGAGTTAAACATAACATCAATGGGTTAAATACGTAATGGGTTAAAATACAACTTTTCTAAACATCTCCCAACATTTTCCGCACTGAATCCTTCTCACATCCTACATCTCTAGAGTTTTGACGTTCTCCCAACGAGTTGGAACGTACAGACTGTAATGTTGAATATACGACTCTTGTTCTGCTGAAAACCATTTTCTTTAAGACATACTTACTGTACATTACCAAGAGGATTGTTCAACATTTTTTTTTGAGAAATATTGTTAATTTGCTAAATATGATGTTGTAGACCTTATTCAAGAGAAAGCCATGTTTGATTGTGTTCCCTGAATCTATTTTATAAATTGTAAAGTGTTAAATGGGATGGTGCCCGACTATTTTTTCATTGGATTGCGTTCAAAGCATCTCTTTCAATTTTTTTTTAACGTGGCTTAAAACTTTGGGGTATGTTAAATTTTTAATTATGTATTAGAGCAGACTGGCATTAATTTGTAATGAACTTATATTTTCACTGCTTTCATTTCTAGCTGCAAGTTCTATTAATGAAGAGTTTGCCTCACTTTTAATTAAATATGGCCGATTTGTGAATAAAGTCTATTGTTGTGGTGCCTTTACAGATGAAATTCTGGGAAAATACCAAAATTTGCCCACCAATTTTAAAACTGCATTTGATTTTTGAAAAAGTTCATTTTTGGGAGGAAATGTTGGGAAGTGGTGACAAAATTTTGGTGGTTTTAGCCCTCACTTTTAGTAGTAGACTCAACTTGTAAACTGCTCCTTGAATAAACTAAAAACAAAGCAGTTTACACATTTTATTTTTTTATTTTGGTTTGGATTGATGTCATTAGGTCAACGCAAAGTGCAATTGGAGCGTTCGGCATGACAAGACAACAGAGTTACGGTGGACCCCAAAACACGTTACTCGGAAACTTCACGCCCCAGTCACTTGCCGCATCTTTCAATTCAGGTAGCTGTGTTGCTCTGTTGACAGACAGTAAGATTAACTTTAGAAATATGTGAACTTTGGTCGGCTGACCATCATTTGAAATTGATACAAAATTTTTCTCAAAAATGATAGCACAGCAGGTGCCATGATTTCACAGGATACTTGAGATTATTGTTCACTTACAGTCAAGTAAGGTATTTCATAATAATTTGGTAGTCTTGTTTTTAGATGTTTGCAAATGTTGTATATTACCTTTAAATCTTAAAATGCAGTGTGTGCAGTTGGAATATTGAACGGGTGTCTTTGCCCATGCGCTCTGCAGAGACACAATTGGGTACAGGGTTTATTGAGGTTGACCTTTCTTCATGCGATCTTATACACTCAGTTGCATATAACGTGGACCCACTAGGCAGCAAACCAAGCAACCAATGTATTACTCCACTGTCGTTCTCTTTGTCTTTTCAGTTAACGAGAGCTCACCATCATTGGACATGTCTGACTTTCCTGTCTTGGCCAACAGAGGGCGGCAACAGCCTCCCCCGCAGCAGCAGCAGCACGACAACAACAGCTTGAGTCTGTTCCCGCCAAACCCCATGGCAGGCAGGCCAGCGTATGGTAAGCCACAAATAACTTGCACTTTCATATCAATATTATTCCTTCTTATGGAAATTCGCATTGGCATAAAAAACAAAAAAGGCACCAAAATTCCCCAAAAAATGGCAAAACAAAAATTGAAAATCATGTTAAATGGGGACCAAAGATGCAGTTTCAAGGATTGCATAAAAAAAAAAATTTACATTACACGGGCATGCAACTTTTCCTCGGATCAGCTAATTTCCTCTTTTTTTACTTCTCATGTGTGCCATTGAAAATAGAAAAACACTGTACAAAGTCTTGGAAAGATTTGAATTTCCTCTTTTTTGTGTCTTCCCAGTTGCATGCCTGATTACATGGTCCCTTTTACCCTTTCCTTACCATGGGCGACTTTTGCCAACAAGAAGTACCCCCCTGCTGATTCCCATGGGCGACTTTAGTCGACCAGGAAACCACATACAGAACACCCGCAACACAGATATATTTACTACTTTTCAGAAAGGCATCATGTTGATATTTTTGGCCGCCCATACATCAACCATAAGTATACCAGCTGAAAGAGTGTTTTCGAATCGTTCTAATGGTGTAGTTTATTCATAGTGTTACCATTACAAAAAAAATTGAGAAAAGTGCTTCAGAAGTATCCACGCACAACTTGAGGTATGGAGTGCCATTTGGTCATGTGGCGAAATGGTTTGCAGTTTGGTAAATAGAACCACATGAACAAAAAGGCATAACTTTCTTATTTGCACATATGGACTTCATTTTTACATCAAATAAAAGAGTAAGGTTAATTTCAAGGAACAAACGTTACACACAACACCCATGAGTTTAATCACTCCTTGGCAGTGAAATCTGGGTTGAAAAAAAGTTTTCACATTCTAATGATTTCCGCATGACTGAGCTAACAATTTGGTCCTGGGGAGAGCCAAGTCCATAAACAAAATCGTAATGAAGGGGTTAAGGGGTGCTTTAAGACGAATACAAACATATATCACAGACCCTACTTTAGCATCCCCGAAACCCCTTACCGATAATTTTCTGTGGATCTTTCATTTCTTACCCCTTGTTGCAGTGGGCATGGTCAACAAACAGGCGGATCCGGTGCCGGAGTTCACGATGCAGAGCGAAGACTTCCCAGCACTCCCAGGCACAAACATCATCAGCAAAAACTCATCAGGTATGCCAATGTACTGATTGAACAGTGCACAGGCCCACTGCTGTGCACAAAGCTGTGAAGCCGGCCAGAGTCACTATTTGGCCCCTCCTAATATGGCTGCTGCACACAGTCACTGATCTCTGGATTGATAAGTCCATACGTACAGTATATAGTGTAGAGATTTGTGTAGATGGAATTTTCATATTATTGGTTGATGTACGTCTTGGCTGTCCCGCTCCACCATGGGCCTTATTCACGAATTGGCCATTTTTGTCAAGTTTCCTGAATATATTTCATTAATTGTTAACTGTTGATTGGTATGGCGCCAGACTATTTATGCAGGCACAATGCAACTTTAGTTTACTGTCATTTTTTTTATTTAAATATGGCTTTAAACTTAGGGAATGTTTCTTTACAAATTTTAAATTATTTATTGAAGCAAACTGGAATTTATTATACATTAACTTGCTGTCAATTCGCAAGTTCCAAAAAGTAAGATTTGACCTAACATTCAATTTAATATGGCACACTCGTGAATAAGGCCCATAATTTGATTGGCCTACTCCTACTACTAACGCATCACTCTTTTGGTACACATGTAGATATTTAATTTAGGTTGACCCCTACTTCATAGTTCATTCTGACAATCCATGCGTTGGCCGGAATCAGACTTTGAATGGCCCGCCATGGCTGACCATTTTGAGTCTGCGTTCAGACTAGGTGATTCCCAGCAAATGTGTTTTCTCCGTTTTTTTGTTCAAGCTCTTTCCCCTCCACCTCTCTGACCACTCATTTTTGTTTTGTTTCTCAGAACAAAACAGTACCGGTGTGATTAAGGAGAGCCCGAGGTACCCTGGGGACAAGGTGGCCAACAACAACAGCAACAACGACAATCAGCAGAAGCGCGGCATCCAGATCCATCCGGATGGTAAGTCAATAAGAGAGCAGGGAGGGAACCAGTCTAAAAGGGTTGCAGAAAAGTTACGGCTGCGTCCGAAGCGGACTTCCAGAGCTACGGCTACGTCTATGAATCCCATCCTAAACGTAATTCCGACATGATTGTTTTTGTTTTTTTCAGGTAAGATCACGCATATCCCACCGGGTATCGTGACGGATCCCTTCGGCATTGTGGGATTGTTGACATTCATCCGGACGGCCGAGACGGACCCGAACTTAGTCCAGCTGGCGCTAGGCAGCGACCTGACTACCCTGGGGCTCAATCTCAACTCGCCAGAGTAAGTCAGTCGTAAAACCCTCCCTCTCTGGCGGGCCAATTCAACAAAGCCAGCCCAGCAGTCAAAATCCTTCAAGTGACTGTTTTGAACAGATAGTACTCCATTCCTACTTAAAGATATAGTCCATCATTTGTAATTTGTGCATTTTGTTCGTTTGAAGCAACAAAAGTGTTCAAAATCTAATGAAGGATACTGAACAAGTAACCTGATGAAGTTTCAGCTCAGCTTCAGCTGTATATTACGAGCAAAACAGCATTGTAGGATCTCAATTTCAAATCAAAAGTTGCTGAATCATGTTTTGAATTGTTTTGAATTGCAGCTATACGCGATGTCGCGCACTGATCCGACGAATTATAGCAACCGCGCGCTAATGCTAATGCTTGCGCGCGCTGCGCCGAATAACAAAAACGAACTACTAATTTAAATTTTCCTACGGTGCGTCTTAAGACGCACCGTTGGAAAGGCCTTCTTTCGTTGATTACTTCAAGATGATAGCTTGCCAGAAAGATTAATTTCAGAGGGAGTTTAGTCCACTTACTATCTTTCAACCAAGTATGTTTTTCAACAATAATTACGCCAGTTACTTTTTCGGATGGCTGCAAATGATGGACTATAGCTTTAAAGCAGGATTGACTGGCTGTGACTGTTTATATACAAGCTTGATACAAGCTTTGCTTTGACTGTAGGAGATTGATAAGCCAGCTGTATACAGTTACTAGTTTGTGTCTGTTGATGGAATTTGACTAGTCACACTGCTTATTAGAAATGTGATCTGACTGTTAGTGACTAGCCTGTGTATAAAGGCATGGCAGGGGAAGAGGATGATTTTTTTTACTGTCTGTGACTGTCCGACAGCAGGAGGGGTTGTCCCATAATTTTTCTTCAGATTGCCATGTGACATGTTTATTTTTGCAGTTTGTAGCAGGATGACATCATCAGTAAAAAGAATTAATCTTAAGGCTGTGCACATAAAGTTAACCTGGAGGAATAGTGGTGAAAATATAATTGAAAACAATAATGATAAGACAAACAGAACGTACAGATAATGTGATTCATCTTTTTCCCTTCTGATCAGGAATTTGTACGGTACGTTCCAGTCACCGTGGGCGGAGTCCCCCAGCAGGCCCCAAGACATTGACTTCCATGTTCCCCAAGAGTACATCACCAACATGCACATCAGAGACAAGGTACAGAAATCTCTCTGCTTTCTTAAAGGGAAGATACAACATTTGCAAACATCAAAAAACGAAAAGATCCAACTATCGCAAAATACCTTACTGGATCGTTAGGGAGTGACAGTCTAAAGCATGCTGTAAAATTGTGGCTCCTGGTGTGCTGACATTTTCAAGAAAAATTGTATTTTTCCAACGCTGGTCAGCTGACCAGCGTTGGAGAAAACTGCCTATTTTCAAAAACTACTACATATTTCTTATATTTAGTTATTCCACATTTTCTTTGCTATTGATTACACACCTGTGAACGGGTACAAACCAGCTAAATTGATATTCTGCCCGTGCAATTCCTCAAAGTCTATAAATTGCCCCAATTCATCTTAAGTGAGGTCAGGGAACCAGACTACAAGAACATAATTTGTTTCCTTGGTTTTTCCAGCATCTACAAGCCCAAAACGTGAAACAAGTCAGTTTAACAATATTTGCTACAACATACTAATCCCCCAAATCCATTTATTTCTGAAAATTACAGCTAAAGCCAATATTTTACATTCCCTTTAAGCCTTGAACCTTTGCTTCATGAGTGGATTTTTTTTAGTCAACTCAGATTTGCCAATACTTTCTAGACAGAATACATTGAAGGATGGAAACCTGAGTCAACAAAGACTACAACATTTTAAGTGATTTGGAGGGTGCATGCCTTTGAGTATAGACGAATCCAGGCATGTGCGCACTCGCGATGGCCCCCTTCAATGGAGAAACCATTGTGCAAGCTATTGTACAAAGCAACTGCCCCGTGACAATAGCTAGCACAACACTTTCGCAATTGAAGCTTGCGTGGATTGGTCTGTATCTGAGAGCCGACAAAACGATGGATGCCTTTCTGTTGTTGATTTCACACTTTTATTTTCGTTGTACTGAGATTCTTCTGTCTTTCTTTTTTGGTACCTAAATTTGGAACTGTTTGGTTTGCTATCTACAGTTGGCTCCCATCAAGTTGAGTAGATACGGTGAGGATCTCTTGTTCTATCTCTACTACACTCACGGTGGGGATGTGTTACAACTGGCAGCAGCTGCAGAATTGTGAGTTGACTGATCAATCCAAGCAAAATGTTCGCCCAAAATTTTGATTAAACGCAGCCAAACCCAGCCTAACCCAACCAAGCCCAACCCCACCAAACCTAGACTAACCCATCCCAACCCAACCCAACCCAACCCAACCCAACCCAACGCAACCCAGATCAAACCAACCCAACCAAACCGATCCCAACCCAACCAACCCAACGCGACTCAACCCATATCAAACCAACCCCACCCACCCGAGCCCAACCCAACCCAACCTATCCAGACCCAACCCAATGCATTGTAGCCCAACATGACAGAGTGTAACCTACCAACCCCAACCCAGCCAACCCAACCCAACCCAACCCAACCCAACCCAGCCCAACCCAACCCAACCCACCCAACCCACCCCAACCCAACCAAACCCAACCCAACCCAACCCAACCCACCCAACCCACCCCAACCCAACCAAACCCAACCCAACCCAACCCACCCAACCCAACTCAGCCCAGCCCAACCCAACCCACCCAACCCAACCCAACCCAACCCAACCCTGCTCCACCCATGCAAGTGTATATTAACCTTCAATCGTGGACCCCTATTGTCCCTCTTTTGTTTGTACTCTTACTTTTTAGGAAGACCTCCCATATGTTTTGTACACAATCTTCAATTGTGGACCTTCGGGAATTGTGGACCCTATTGTCCTCTATTGTTCAACATCCCCTATTGAATGCAGAAACAAACTCAACCCAACCCAACTCAGCCCAACACAGTGCATCTCATACACTGGAGCTCTAGTGCGTGTTAGCAAAACCCATATTGTGAATCACTCATATTACCTCGCGATTATTTCTTGGTAGGTACAACCGAGACTGGCGGTACCACAAGGAAGAGAGGGTCTGGATCACGCGAGGTCCCATGATGGAGCCCCAGGTCAAGACCAGCCTGTACGAGCGAGGCCTGTACTACTACTTCGACCACCAGCGCTGGTGCAAAGTGGCCAAGGAGTTCCACCTGGATTACGACAAGCTTGAAGAGCGCCCTCACCTGCCAGCCTCCTTCCACCACAACGTGTCCACCAATCCCGTCATGGCGCACTGATGCGTCGGCGGCAACTGTGGGCCGGAGAACTTTTTACGGCAGCTACTGAAGCGCGTGTTTAAGGGACTTCTTTTGTTTTATATGGAGACTCTCGATAAATACAAAGAAACAGAGAATTTTCTGGAAGTTCATACCTCAACCAATATATAATCGTTTTGTCTGGATGCCATTTCTGAGGGTAACCAGATGGTGGACTAGCATCATTCCATTTTTCATGGACAGCTCAAGCCCAAGAGCACCAAGATCTTAGAGCAAGTTCAAGCGCCAGCTATGGTTAACCTTAGTTTGACCTACCGTGCTTAAAGGTAGACTATATCATTTGCAACTATCTAAAAAGTAACTGACGAAATTATCGTTGAAAAGCATACTTGGTTTAAAGATGGTAATGGCACTAAACTCCCTTTGAAATTATTCTTTCAAGCATGCTGCCATAGTGTCATTTTGAAGAAAACAATAAAAGAAGGTCGTTTCCAAAGATGCGTCTAAAGATGCATTTTGGGAAATCTCTGTTTATTCATTTTTAATTCGGCGAAGCTGTGAATGGGTGCACGTAAGCGTTGACACGACGCACAGGTGCACTCGGCTGCTGTGATTCGTCGGTTCAGTGCGTGACATCGCGTAGCTGCAATCGGCTGAATGAGAACATGTCCTGGGCGCTGATTTCAGGCACAATTCAAAACATGACTCGGCAACTTTTCAATTGAAATCGAAATCCTAGAATATTGTTTTCTCGGAATATTTACCAAGCTAAAACTTCACCAGGTTAGTTGTTAAGCACCCTTCTTAAGATTTTGAGCACTCATGTTGCTTCAAACGAAAAAAATGCACAATGACAAATGATATACTCTACCTTTAAAGGGAAAATACAACATTTGCAAACATCAAAAAATAAAACTACCAAATCATTTTGAAATACCTTGCTGGACTGTTAGTGAATGACAGTGTAAAGCATCCTGTAAAATCATGACACCTGGTATACTGTCATTTTCAAGAAAAGTGCTATTTTTGTACCAATTTCCAACGCCGATCGGCCGATCAGCGTTGGAAAAAACTGGCTTTTTTTTTCAAATACTGGCCCCAATTGACCATCGCACTTGTTTGCAATCGATTACACACACTATGAACGGGTACAAGCCAGCTAGACTGGTTCCCTGACCTTACAATTCCCCAATGTATGTAAACTGCTGTTTCTTCTTCAATGGAGTCAGGGAACCAGACTACAGGAAAATGATTGTTTTTCTTGGTTGTTATAGCATTTTCGAACCCAAAACCTCAAAAAAGTCAGTGTAACTAAATTTGCTTTATATTTCCAACCCCCCAATTCCATCCATTTGTGAAAATTACAGCAAAAGCAAATGATGTACATTCCCTTTAAATCCTCGCTTGTCGACTGTGGACTCCGTTCATGGACAGTAGAGGGCGCTTTGCAACCACTTTCCAGAGACCCAATGTGAGGGACACACCGCGTGCGCGTACTGGTTCACACACAGTGTGTGATACGTTCTTGCAAAATGAGAGAGAACTGGGTACAGGCCGTAGTGGAGAAAAATGCAAAAAACTGAATGGGGGGTGATTTTTATTGCGATTTTCAGATTCATTCATATTTGTAAACTTTGATATGTGTCCACTACACATATGTTAAAGATATGGTATAAAATATGTGGAATAAAAGTGTTTTTAAGGGAAAAAAACAATTGGCATCTTTCATTATCACGAATACAAAACTCAAAAATTGAATGACCTTTTTTTTTCTCAGCATTTTTCCTTTTTGACATGTCGATAAATGCAAACTTTAAACAGCCATAACTTGTCAACAGAATGTCCGATTGAAGTGCAACAAACATTATTCGCTCTTTTTACGCTTCCGCCATAGGCATGCAGAGCCTCGATCTGGCAACTTTACACAATAGATAAAGCTGGTTCAGTGATTCCCGTGTCGGGGTTCAGATCACTAAGCCGGCTATTTGTATTGTGTAAATTTGCGAGATAGAGGCTCTGCATGCCTATGGCGAAGCGTGAAAAGAGTGAATTGTTTTAAAGAGGTTGTGGAATGCTCGAAGACATTTCCGTCATTTTTTGGGTATATGTAGCCTAAGGTGTGATGAAATAAAAACGACTATTGTTTCTGTCATGAAATGAGTACAAAGGGTACTTTTGAGAGCTGTTTTTCAGGTCCTGTTTCGACCTGAACGTGCAATTTGTGTAGAAGTCGTCATTGCGGGCAGCAAACAAACACAGTAAATCGTGACATAATACACAGGACTCGTTTATGCTACTCTGCATCAGGAGTCCTGTTTATTACGTCACGATTTACTGTGTTTTGTTTGCTGCCCGCAACGACGACTTTTACACAAATTGCACATTCGGGTCGAAACAGGCATGACGGGACTTGAAAAACAGCTCTCGAAAGTAGCTTTTGTACTCATTTTATGACAGACACAATAGTCGTTTTTATTTCATCACACCTTAGGCTACATATACCCGAAAAATGACGGAAATGTCTTCGAGCATTCCACAACCTCTTTAAAGGAAGATTTGATTCTCTATTTCCTAATACCGGCAAACCCTTATTTCAAGCTCTGCCCAGTTCTGTCTCATTTTGCCAGAACCCCTCAGATATTGCGAAAAGCACACACGACTTACGTTGTCCTGAACGATGCGTTGAAAATGTTATTCCCAGTGGTCTCCCCCAACTCTCTCGTTGATACCGTTGAGGGGGTACTTGTGCACGGAGTTGGACTAGTCCGGTTGACCAATCGGGGACCAGCCTTCCAATTCATCACTGGTTACCAATAACCATGCGCATTATTATGTACAGCAGGGAGCCAGGGGTTCAAGAAGTTTCTTACTACTATTTGAACATCGCTCGACTAGAAACGTCCGCTCTTTGATATAACAGTACAGGTACAAGTTGCGTTGCAAAATAACCGCTAGTAAACTAAGGCCAAAAAAAAAAAGTTTCTGGTATGCGCGCGCGTCGCCGTAGCCATGCGTGTCGGCAAAATGAAAAAGTTTTTTTTTCAATGAAAGATGATGTCTCAAAACCGCCAAACTCACTGGTTTGACTGGAATCCTGCTGCTGCACAACTTTAATGTGTTTTTAGATTGGATTATGGTCGAGAATAAGCTTTATGTGGCCTCTCTGGACTCCCATATATTTGCACTAAGTTTAGTCGGGCACCATTTGCAGTCATCAGCCGACATTTGAAGCCAAAAAATCAGGTAAAAAAAAAAAAAAAGCCGCGTCGCCGCACCACTTTTTCGGCAAGCTCCATACCAGAAACCGGAGACTTTTTTTTTTTTTTGGCCTAATGATCGTTGATCGAACTCGCTTTTACTGTCATACCTTCTCTCTATTGTTTTTTTTTGGTAACTTTCTATAGACCTTGGGATATTATATTTGTATAACAAGAGACCACCTACGTGAATCAGTTTCTATGCCAAATATTTTGGCACTTTATTTTCAGTCACGTTGTGCTGCTGTAGAAAGATGTACAAATAAAGTCAAACATACAGTAAAACTAAATGACTGACTGCAGAGACTTTGTATTTTGTGTTTGTATTTTGCGATCCTTGGTATTTGCAAAAGTATGGAGAAGTCTTCTTTTTGTATATCAATGTTCCACATTTTGAAGACAAGTCTTGAACTCGAGAAGAAAGGTGGGGGGGGGCTACGCCTCTCGGTATATATAGGCTGGCCCTCTCTGAGACAAGCAAAAAAAATATTGATTTAATTTTTAACATACAGTTGATGCACTGATTGTCTTGAAGATGAAACTTATGAGCTTCAGGAATAGATAATTACCAGGGCAGATCACAGTTTTGTACAGGAGATAGGGGGAACTGTTTTTGAGTTGGCACCCCGACAAAAATTGCTAGCAACCTAGCAATGAAAAAGTTATTAAATTCGAAGAAGACATCCGAAAAAAATTATCTGCCCACGTTTTGCTGTGGAATATATAATTACCCGGCTGGGTAATATAAGGCGCCTCCTGTACGGGGGGGGGGGGGGGGGGGGGGGGGGGGGGTGGGGGGGGGGGGGTGAATGGGCGCAAAAGCACACCCACACACACACCCCCACCCCTCACCAAAAATAAAACATTTTCAGGATATTAAAAACATCCAGAATAGAAAACAAAAGGAGTTTTTTTTTCAGCTTAAAAAAAAAGCTTAAAATATGTGAAACTTTCTAACTGAACATTCGTGATTTGGGGGAAAAAATGAATTTGTTGAGGAATATCGCAGACAAAAGTTTCAACTTTTTGTAGGGATGTTGTGCCCATACTTGAAAATCACGCATTCTCAAGAATGTGCATGCACATTCTTAAGAATGTGCAACTGGATCCTTGCACAATCTTAGCAAAAACTAACTCTTCCAGATTGAGCGCACATTCTTAAGAATGCGCGACAAGATAACGGTCTTGTCGATGCCGAGCACCGGCTGCGCTATGCAAGTCTAGCTGCATCCTCGTTCACTGATTCTCAATAATTATAGGCAGTGTATATTTTGCCGGAGACGGCAAACCTTCAGTAAACGTTAGTTTGCCGGATATGCACTGAACATGCGCAGTTACTGTTTTTTGGTACTTAAAAAACATTTTCCGGTGACAAGTTTTAGTCTGGCTCCATGCCAAAATTATCGTTGTTACCTCGTATTCACAAGATAGATGGGATTCAGACCATTTTATAATTTCGGACTTTATTTCCCTTTAAAAAAAAATCCTCCAGAGCCACTACTCTGCAAAAAATGTTTGAGACATGTTAAAATATTAAAGGTAGAATATTCTTATTTATTTGGGGATGAGAAAAAAAAACTTAAAAATGTGGTGCGGTCGGATTCGAACGCGAGTCATCCCGCTTACTAGAGCCTTTGCTTAACCACTACACCAAACGTACTACACAACTTTTAGTGGGAATTTAATACATCTTATAATTCAGCCCTATTTTAAAAAAATACAGCGCCCTCTGTTGATATGGATTGCCGCCGGCAAACCTTTAGTAATCGTTAGTTTGCCGTCATTACCTCCGGCAAAATATCCACTATCATAATTATACTGTTGCAACGCAAGGCGCTGAAAAGTAGAGTGGATATGATAAGTATAGGCGTATTGATATGGGGGGGGGGACCGGGAAAAAATAAGAGACATAATAATACTAGTGGAAAGAATTAAATTCTGATTTTTGGGATAATAAAAGCGGGGGGGGGGGACGTAAGAATGAAGAATGTGAAGAATGAGAATGAATACTGTGACATCCCATAGTGCTAATGCTATTTCCCATTTAAATTGCCACCAATTTATTGTTCACACCCCACCAATACGTCGCAGAGCTGGATGCTATCTAGTCAAAAGAGTAATTTTGGCAGCTTCTGGACATCATTTTTTTTCGTGGCATGCATGATACATACAGGGACTTGTAACTTGTCTAGCCTAAACAAAGCACTTCCCAGACTAGTTCCCAGTCCTCCGTTATTACAAAACTTCCCATAGTGGGCAGAAAAAAGCAATAATAACAGGTTTAATTTGATTCAAATTATCGTAGTTATACGAGTACAGAAGCATAGAACATTTTCTTTCCTCTTTATATAAATTGTTTCCCTTTTAACTGCAATACATTTCATTTAACATAATTATGTCGTGCAATGTTTGTTAAGATTGGGCAAAATTCATAAATTGTGCACGTGATATTCCCACCCAATCTTAAGAATGAGCGCTCATTCTTAAGAACGCGTGCTCGTTCTTAAGAATGGGCGCTCATTCTTAAGAATGCGTGCACATTCTTAAGATTGCGTGATTTTCAAGAATGGGCACAACAGGGACAGTGAAACTAGAAGAGCGCCACCACTTGACGGAAATTGTATGTAAAAGCACTAGTAGAGAGGGGTATTAAAAAATATTCGTAAATCATGGCGGTCCAAAATGATAAGGACGCCGGTCTCAAATTGCCAGGTTTTGTAGAACTCCCCATCGACCTAGACGACCATTTCATCGGCTCCAGAGACTCGAAGCATACCAGACAAGTGGTTGCGACGTCTGTGAATGTTCTGTCAGATTACTGCAACAAGTCCTCGGGAACGACGTTGGCGGACGTCGAGCAGATGACACCTGGGGAATTGTGCCAATTCCTCCGGTCGTTCTACAGCACCGTCCGCCAAAAGGACGGGTCGTTTTACGCCCGAAGCTCGATGATGACATTGCGGTACGGACTGCAGAGACACTTTCAAAAGCTTCTCCACTTGGATATTGCCAATGATGCCATTTTCAAGCCCGCCAATACTGTTTTCAACACCATTCTTACCAATCTGAAATCTTCGGTAAAAATTAGCCTAGTCCAAAGAAAAAACATGGCAAAGATTCGGTCTTCGCCTGCTACAGATTGCTCAACTCCCAGAGGCCTGCAAAACACCGTGTTCCTGGACATGATGCTCCACCTGTGTAGCTCGTCCTACGGTCGCAGCAACCTCCGAGGAATGAAGAAATCCCATTTTGTGATTCTGAGCGATCCGCTCGGCCGACGATTTGTGTGCTTTGCAGTTAAACAAACAACAGGCCGCCGTGCTGAGCATGAGATTGAGTCGGATGAAAGCGACGATGACCTGACCGCTACTTATTCCGCCAACATCAGTCGGATGTACGAAACACCGGAGAAACCGGAGAGTTGTCCTGTGCGCTGCTTTGAGAAGTACATGTCCAGGCTGAATCCTGCCTGCACGGCTTTCTGGCAGAGGCCCAAACTGCCCAACAAAATCTTCTATTCTCCGTATGCTGAGTGCTGGTACGATGGCGTGCCGCTAGGGAAGAATGCGCTCGGCAATAAAATGCGAGAAATCTCAGCAGAAGCGGGTTGCTCAATCATGTACACCAACCAGTGCTTGAAAGCCACTGGCAAACTAATGAATCACATTGGGCATGCAGGTGATTACTAAAGGGGAATACGACTGAAGTCAAAATTAGAAGAAAAAAAAGAGTTCTAACTTCTAGCACCTCAGTTACTCACTGAGTCTAGCATGTAAAGTGACTCAACCAAAATGTCACGTTTGACAAACAAATAAAGCCATGCAACTTATAAGATTAACATGTCAACACGGATGTTTTACCTCATCTGTGAGACCCAGACTGGGACCTATTAAAGGCTGGAGTGCAGGAAAACATGCAAAACAATATCGGGCCAAATTTACTCGCCCTTTAGCTGACAAAATTCTCCAAAATTTCCAAGAGGCAAAGAGAAGGTCCTCGGCATTTCACCAGCCTAGTTGGAGGTTTAAACTCAATTTTAAAAGGCGACTTTTCTTTAACATTTTGAACCTGAGAGTGATGCAAATTTATTTCGATTTGAAGCCTAAGACTAGACTGGTACATGTCCAACTGTTTGAAAAGATGGACTATTCCATAGTCTTGTGGTATGACCATGATGACTATGGAGAAAATGTGTAGAAATAGAGACTTTTTTGACAAGCAAAAAAAACATTAATAGCCAAACGTATGTACATGTATGACTTATTGCTTCATTTTCAGGATGCAGGGCAAGGTGTGGCGACTACTGCTACAGTGAGGCGATGACATCAGACAATGACAGCTCAGCAAGTGAGAATGACGGACAGATGGACGACGGCAGCAGCCCTCAACAGAACGCCCACCAAGAAAATGGTAATTGGATGAAGCCTGCTGTGTGTGTGTGACCAGAGCAAAACCTAATTTGATTTATATCACTTTGATGCCCAAAAAAAAATTAAATCTTGTAATACCCTTTAACATAATCATATTTCTTTTACAGATGGCCACATCATTGCTGTTGAAAATGGGGCAACAGGTCAAGACCAGAGTGGCTTTCACATTAAATTGGAAGACAGCGAGATGTTGGCAGGAAATCAGTAAGTAAATAAACGGTCCATGGGAAAAAATGGACAAGGGAAAACATGCTTTGTTTCCCCCAACAAAGCATGCTGAAGAAGGTGGTTTTGGTCAAACTTAGTTTGTGAGGTTTCAGCATGTATTTTAGAATTTCAAAAATTATATTATTATTTTTATGTGAAGATCTTGAGACATAATAATGTGTCTGAATGCTTTATGGCTTCAAATGTCTAACTTTATATTTGTCATGTTCGGCAGGCTGGTAACCAACCCATGTGTTGGTACTGCCCAGGCTGGAATGCAACATGTCGTGAATGCACCTCCCATCACCTCAAGCGCAGGCTACCCGATTGAGAATCCGAGCCACCTGTACCCAGTTAACGTCAACAACGTCAGTTCGAACCATAATAATAGTAGTACACATCAGGGTCCTGCTGCTTCACAACAAAGTCCGCAGATTCCAAACGGAATTGACCTCGATGCTTGGGCCGTCGAGATATCCTGGGTGGACGAGAGGAATCAGAGAAAGTGGCTCCTCACTAAGAAGACGACCACGAGCTCGGCAGTAGAGGATGCGTGGAGACGAAGCGTCGAACTGCAGACGCAGAGGAATGCCATGTTGACCGACCATAGTCACCAGGATCTCACTCAACAGGATTGCTCTGCAAACTTGCCAAAACAAGATCTGCAGACTCAGAGGAATGCCATGTTGACTGACCATAGTCACCAGGATCACACTCAACAGGGTTCCTTTGCGAACTTGCCAAATCATGATCTGCAGACTCAGAGGAATGCCTTGTTGACCGACCATAGTTACCAAGATCACACTCAACTGGGCGCCTCTGCAAACTTGCCAAGTAAAGATTTGGGCAATCCCTTTCCATGTTTGTCTAGATCTGCGTCTGAAATGCCTCCTCATCCTCGTCTACCAAGCAATGGACCGTCATCATCAGGTGCTGGTGCAGCACAGAGTGTGGGATCGGTAACTGGTGGCAGCAGTGGGATCGCAACGAAGAGCACAGTGGATGACCAGCTGATTCAACTGCAGAAGAACGTCTTGATGATGCAGCAGGAGAATCTAGCCCTGGAGCGACAGAAGATCAGACTGGAGATGGCCAAGCTGGAGGCAGAGAAACTGAAACTGGATGCGGAAAGGAGGAAGTTGACCATGGAGGGAGATAAACTACAGCGGGAGTTGCTGTAGATTGTCAAGACAAGTGTTTCCAAATCAAGCTGTGGCTTCAGCTCTGCCTCCGGAATCTGTTCGAACCCTTTCAAGTCAGAGTGGAATGAGCAAAACTCTGGACTTTAGGATATGATTCTTGATTCTTAAACTTGGACTTGGACCACAACTCAAGGGCATAAATATCCTCTGCAGTCAAAGCCAGAGAAGAACCCGAGTTTAAAAATTCTTAGAAGCCGCTCTGAAATCTGTATGACATGGGCATTAGCAGTATTACCTCCCGTTTGACAGCTTTTATATTGGACTTTTTTACTTTTGTTTGGCGGAATTTAAAGAGAAACAATTATTTATTTACCATGGGCCAAAAATGGTATGAGATGGAGTTTTACATAGGACACCAAAGAATATATAGTTTGTTATTGTATTGCTGTTGTGCGTTTTAATGTTGTTGAATACATTTTAAAACATTCCATCCAGTTTTGACAGTTTTATTCAATTTTATCTTTAAGAGGAGACATACTTGCCTATCTTCCCAAAAAATATATTTGTGATCAATTCATTTCAAAGTAAGTTATGTGCTGCTTGAATGCCAAATATATTAATTCTGAACAAAAGTCAAGTTGACAAATTAATTTCATACAATATAAAGTTGTTTTATTTCTGATGTTCTTAATGCATAAAAAATACACATTATTAAGCAATTCGTTTTTGCACTCGAACTTCAAAGTGCAAAGTTAGAACTTTGTGCTAATGCAAAATGAATACACACTTATTTACAGCACAATTTCAAAATGTGAAGTTGACCAACGAATTGACAAATTAAGAACCAAACAAAGGGAAGGTTAAAGGCTTTGACATTCTAAAACTTGTTCTGACAATACATGTTATCCTGAACAAATCTTTTCCAGATAAATATCTGAAATAAACACATCTGTTCACTGTTCTTAAGTAAAAAAAAAAATTTAAATGTATAAATTTCAAATAGATTTTTTCAATTTTAGACGTTGTGCACTAGGTGCATTGGTTAATGTAACCATCATTACAGTTCATGTTAATTTCAGTTGTGGAAAAGAGATTGTGAAGACAGTTTCAAAATGTTAAAAATTTGGTGCATGTAAGTAAGTTACATTTTTACCGTTAAGCTGAACAAAATTCAAATGACAATTACATTGTAAGCTATTATATTTTGACAAGCTCTCATGATACTCTACAATGGTGATCAAAAAGACATGGTCTGGACTTGGACCTTGACATCATCAATTATCAGCCACACACTTTTGCCATATAGCCTCAATCCTGCAAAATCCTCCATTTTGCAAAGAGGACTTTGAAGGATTTGGGACGGTTAGGGTTAAAGACTAACAGCAATCAACTTGGTATCGAACACATGTGCAACTACAAGTCAACTCTCGTTAATACAAACACTGTTAATACAAATTCTGGTTATAGCAAACATCAAGCCTTGGTCCCGACTGTGCTTTATGTGCACAAATAATTGGACCGGCAGTACCAGCACTCCACTTAATACAAAATTCTGATATAACAAACGTTTTGGCTCGGTCCGGCCGAGTTTGTATTAAAGTAAGTGGACTGTAGTTTCATTTTGAGTCCCTTGATTTGGCTGAATGCTGTCTAACATAATGCATCCTAAAATGCACTTCGTGCAGACGGTTTTTGGCACAACTAGTTGACCGGCAAGAAAATGCACTTAAAAAGAGCACACAACGTATTCATTTATTTATAATTTATTTATTTTTTATATATTAAAATTTAGTGCAAAAATAATGTGCACAAATTCAGGTTGCAACTTTGGCTTTGGAAGTCATACAAGTTGGTTATTGTTAACTGTTATTTGGTGTTAAAACAAAAAAATAAAGAAGTGTTTTACCAGTACGCCACTTTCCTGGAGTTACCCTTTTTCTCGTTTGACTTTCTTATCTACAGGGCGAGTCAAAAAGAAAGTGACTTAATCAGAAAACTTATTTTAAACAATATGTGGCTCATTACATTTCACACACAAAAAAATAGGGATAAAGTACAAATGTACATGTATGTAATTGACTTGGTATTTGTACAATCGGGCATGCAATTTTTCCTTGGATCCGCCGATTTCTGGGTTATTTTTACTTCTCATGAATGCCATTACAAAGTGAAAAACACTTAGTCTTTGTGCGTTTTGGAATTTCCTCGTTTTTGGGTTTGTTTTTTTTAATTCCCAGTTCTATGTCTGTACACTGTAGTTACTGAAAATTACACGTAATTTGCGTAATGAGTGGAAGAACATGCTCGTTTAAGACATACTTCATTGGTTTATCAAATTTGATTGCTTATTAAGAAAAAAAATCATAAACCCAGGTCACTTTCTTTTTGACTCGCCCTGAATATGCTCCGACACCACACTTCATACATGTCTGGGACGTAAATATTTCTTTGTTAAGTACAATCTTTCAACTGAACCCTGGCAAGCCACATTACAATATTAACTGGAGTGTCACTCATTTTAATAAACAGTGATGTTCGTCTCTCTTTGGTTCACACGTTTTACATTTTAAAAATGTACAGAAAATTCCCCAACTGTAACATGAAATGAGGTAAATCGCAGCAAACAGCGCCCTCATGTGCCAAGAATTATAGCAAAGTACAGTAGTACACACGCAATTAATACTGGGAAAATAAGTAAAATAATACCCATCAGGGCATGAATGTTTGCACATAGAAAGATTTTAGACTGACATTCAGTCCAAGGTGCATGTATCTCGTCAGGTCGGTTAAATAAGTCTGTAGATTCAGGAATACGGCGTTTTGAAGATATATTAATAGACAGGGAAAAAAATTGATGGTAGAAAACATCGGACAAAGGTTATGTCTGTTTACTTTGTTTCTTCAATGTTGCACTACAAACGAGAAATACTGAATGTCTTATGTGTAAAAAGTGGTTTTTCTTCATCAGAACTGTTTTTTCCAGATACTTTGTAAATTCCAAAGTTTTCGTCAATGGGATGTCGGGGATTCTTTTGGACCCTATTCTGAATGTTACAAAATATTTTCATCAATTTTTACAAACATGTTTAATATTGTTTATCAATTTACGGTAAGATTGGACACTCAAATTATTAGTAACTACAAAAAAAAAATCAATCTTGTCTGTATGTAAATATTTGGGAATACTTGATGTTGAAAAGCAAGATAGTTGGCGATAAAGAAATGGGCAAGTTCAGGGGCTAAGAACTAAGTAGCACATGTTTAACCTCAATGGAAAGACTTCGATTAGAAATCATATACCCCATGTAAACTAGTATACATGTAAGCCTTTCTGAAAAGTAGACTTCAAGTCCTCTGAAGTCTGAAATTAAGTCAATTAAGCCACAAGCTACTCCAATTAAAACTTTAAAAACTTTAGGCATTTCTATATTATTGTTTTGGTCCTCTGTTACCTCTGAATTTGCTTGGGATTTGACATGAGATACATGTAGACTTGATTACAACTCTGCCTAAAGTACCTGACCCTTGCACTTGAAGACTTGTATGGAGGCAATGCGAGAACCAGTAGATTAGGTTGTTTAAGAGTTGTTGGGGCCTGGCCTACTTCTCGGGCTAACTTCCTCCCCTCATTCTGAGAGTCTCCGCCTCCAATTTGGAAATCTGCAGTTCCATCTTCCTTCTCTCTAGGGCCAGATTGGCCCGCTGCATCCTGAGCACTTCCTTTTGCAGTTCCAGGACCTCGCTGTCTGCTGTCATCATTGTTGTTATCCCACTTCTGCCACCGCTCGCAGCTGGTGCATCCTGAGGAGCCTGTGTCGCTGATTTGCCTCCTTCTCTTGAATCGGGCCTGTCCACGTTTTGTCCAGACCGGGTTTCAGTTGTGGGCCTTGGCATAGCATGGTTTGACCTCTGAACTTGATCCGCCAAGTTTTGTCGGGTGTTCTGGCTCGTTTGACAGAACGGCGGCAGGTTCCTTGGAAGATGCTCATCAGCGCTGCCTCTTGATGTGCCTTGTTCCACGGGGCTTCCGCTGTTTTGACTCAACAGCCACTTCCTCTGCTTGTTCTCGGTGTTCTGGGTCAACAGCCACCTCCTTTCATTGTTGTCGTCCAGCCAGCTTCTCTCCACCCTCCAGGCATCTCGGAAGTCAGGGCTGTCTTGGCTCTTTCTAAACTGCTCCTCGATCAGATGTGCCTGGGGGTTGTCGTTTGTGTGCACACTGATGATACAGTCCGGCAGCGCTTGGTCCTGATACTGAATTGGGTAGGCATTACTAGTAGCTGGCGGTGAAGGAAGCACAGCTGATTTGTATATGATGCCAGATTGGGAAGTGTGCCCGCTGTGACTAGGTAATGACCTATCAACGCAAACAAGAGAATTGTCCTTTGTTTATATATGGCTCCTAACAAAACAATTTTCAAGTCTACTAGTCTAGTCTCTTGCTTAAAAGTTAACATCACTTGATTAATAAAACTTGCCGAATGAAAAAAAAATTAAAGGAAACAATGCAAAATTTGACTTCAGACCTCAAAACGTCAATGGCTGGAAAGCGTGAAACACTCAGTACCTCGTCATAACCTTATTGACATTTTGAAAATGACTTTGTTTTCACAGTTTGTTTGGTCAGACTCATTTATGTCCTCAAACACATGAAAAATGCTTCATTGCTCAGCACAAAGAAAACTTAATAAAAAATTACTTGTGACTTTTGATTCTCAGCTGATTTTTGGCTCAAGTATAGGCCTATTTGTCTCCTTAACAGCTCTGCAGTTAAGGTCTTTGTCAAGCTTTACTCACACGTAAGTAACTGGGCTAGTGTCTGACCTAGCAGAGACATCATTATGCATCTCATGGCTCCCGTCATTCTCATCATCAAGGACGATTACATCGTCTGTTCGTACATACATGTATGGAGAGAACAAAGGAACTTTACTTGTATATAATCATGTACACATAGTATTAAGTTGGGAAGGATTATGCGAGCTGGTGTAGACATATTATTCTCTCACCCTGGTATTGGATCATTTGCATGTGCCAGATTTTTGAACACGTATGCAAATGAGGAATAGTCTGGTGCCTGCATGTGCGTTACATTAGCGTTTGTTTTTGTATGCGGTGTCTGGGGTAAAAACAGAGTCAACTCGTCGCAGTGCGAGCATGGCGTGAGTTACAAAAACACAATTTTTTAAAATTAAACTGTTACGATCTTATCGAGACAACATGCAGCATCACTTTTCATATTAATATGAACAAATTGGAAAGAAAATGAGTATTTTCGAGAAGGCGTGGATGAATGATCACGAAAACACGTACTGCACGTTGTGAATAACAACACCAAGTACACGATAAAAATCCATTACTAGCCAATTGCGATATCCAATCAGGATACAGGAAGAAAGTTTCCTATCCAGGGCTTACTATTGGAAACAAGGTTGGAAATAAAGTAAAACCAGGTCCACTTCCCCTCCTCCAACTTACACAGGCTTCCCCGACTCGATTGATTTTGACTGCTGAGATGGCTTTGTGAAATTTGCCAGGCAGAGAGGGAGGGTTCAAATCCTCAATTATAGAAATACTTGTGCAGATGTTCCACGGGATCACTATGGTAATGAATTTGATCATTAAGTAGGAGAGTTTGATCATTATTATTATTATTATTAATCGTTTGTGGTAATGAAACCAAGGATTCCTCAAAAGCGCCCACGGCACTGTAGCTCGCAAGCCTGAAGAAACCTGTAGAGAGAAGACAATGAGAAGAAATTACAGTTTTAGAGGTGGGAGGAAAAGCCCAGAAGAATATTCTGGGGAAAACCCACGGAATCAGGCAGGGACTGAAAACCCAATCCACATATTGGCCCAGGCGGGATTCGAACCCGGGTCACAGCGGTGGAAGGCGAGCAAAGTACCGCTACGCCAACCTGACTCCCCGATCATAAGTAGGAGAGTTTGTATCAAATGAATTTGGAACACCGGGAATAAGTAATGGCATTCTGCACTATATACCTGGTTCATCTTTGACAAAACTCAGGAAGCTATTTTCCTCCTCACTCGATCCTGTGCAAAAAGATGCCCTGTTGCCATGGAAACCAGAGTCAGAGTTCTCACTGGTGTCTGGAGGAAGGAGGTGCTGCGCTGAGCAGGTACAGGGAGAACCTAAAATGACAACAAAAATGGCACATGATATTTCTCAAATCTTGAACTCTTGAAATGTTCACATTCATGCGTTTACTGCCTTACTGCTCAAGGGGGGGGGGGCGATAAGAAAGTGTACGTATTGCTCGGTGAATGAAGTCCACTGAATGAAGTGAACTCAAAAATTGTCTTGTCTCCTGAGCAAAAGAAAATGTGTTTAAGTGTTGTTTTCCAAAGCCAAATGAACATGTATTCAAATGAAGAGTGATTTTTCTCCTGTTTCTTTTGACTGGACTTGCCCACTCCCCACGTCCACACACACGTTTACATAACTAACCTAGTGTGGACATTCATTTGTTTCTAAGATTCCCTTGAGTGTTTCTCTTTATTTTGCGACGGATAAATTAACCTAACCCAAAATTGTTTCTAAACCTGTTTTCCTAGAGAGGGGGAAACCTTGTGTGGACATGGGCAAGTCCACACAACGTCGCTGCTATACCTGGTTTATGTGGACATCTTTTGTTCAGGAGGTCCACACATAAATGCTTGTACAAGGTTCCCCCCCCCCCCCTGGAAAACAGGTTAAGAGGCATTTTGCGTTAGGCTTCTGCAGTCGCAAAATGAAGAGAAACCAACAAGGAAATCAAGATAAACAATTTGAGTTGAAAGAGTGTTCACAGTGGGAGTAAAATGACTTTTGTTCTCCGATTTTTCTTAACTACACGAATGCAAAGGAATGTCCACAGTCCATGTAGATGGATAGGTGGGTTTGTTTATAGTGTACATCAAGGAACTACAAGTTATTGTGTGAAACATCCTTTAACTGAGGACAAGAGTCAAATCCAGGAAGTCCTAGGTTAGAGCAAGTGGCAAAACCAATGGGAGCTGAACAAAAGATTGATGATGAGGAACAGTAGAAAATCCACGATTTGCACCATAAACAAATGTTCAGGTGTTTTAGTTTTCAATGTAGTAGTTTGTAATGAGGGCATGACGTCATGAATGAATTATCTGTCTGCTCCCGAAATCATGTACCTGTCTCAGTCATTCTCAATCGACAGGCTCTACTCGTAACTTTCAAACACTGGTTGGAGTAAACCATGGAGCATCCAGCTAGGGTGGAGATGTCTCTCATTTTGTAGCCCAGGCAATTAACGCCAACGGCAACCCCGTCGTACCAGTAATTGTCATGTCTTTTGTATTTGTGAGGCCTCTGCCAGAAAACATCGCACTTGGGGTCCAGCTTTGCGAGGTACTTTTCAAAAAGCGCTACAGGGCAGCGTTTTGGGTCCTCGAGCGCCTCGTACATGCGAACTTTGTCCATGCTGAAATCATCATCGCTTTCGTCTCCTCCGTTTTCGGTGTCTCTGTTACCAAGGTGGGCCTCGGCGAGGTTGCCCGTTTTGTCCTTGTTGACGAAACAGATAAATCTTCGGTTCAAGGCCCCGTCCGTCATGACAGCAAAATTGGATTTCTTCATGTCGCGGAGGTTCCAGCGGCCGTAGGTGGTGCAACAGAAGTGAAGCATGACATTGAGGAACACGGTGTTCTGAAGACCTTTGGGACTGGTACAGTCTGTTAGGTAGGAGGAACGAATCTTGTCCATGTCCTCCTTGGAGATGATGTGAACATTCCTCTCTTTTTTCTTCCTCTCCCATGCATTCCACGGCGCCTGCTGGGCATGCTGAGAGACAGAAATGTCCATGACTTCGCAGTCAATGGCGTCAAATACGTCGTTTGCTGGCCCGAAGGTTGGATCGTTTAAGATGTCCGCTTGGAGGACATTCTGGAAGTGATTTTGTAGGACGTGCCTCATTGCGAACATCGAGTGCCTTGTGTACCGACGCCCGTCGGGCTGCCGCACGTCAGCGTAAAACTCTTGGAGGAACTGGCACAGCTCGCCCGGCGACATCCGCTCGACGTCCGCCACCGCAGCGCCCTTGGAGTTGGTGCAGTAGTCCGCTAAAACACCCATGAAGGCTTCCCTCATGGCCCTGAAAACCTTCTCGTCTGTACTGCCCATGAAACTCTCAAATACTTCTGGGTCAGACCACAGCTCGGCGAAGTCGAACATACTGCCGTTATTAGCAGACGAACCGTCATCTTCGTTATTCTCCCAACTTGCCGCCATGTTTACAAAATGTACTTTAAAATAATGTGCGTGCAATTTTAAGATGACCGTTTTGGACGAATTTCGGCTAAATTTGACAGAATTGTTCGAACAAAAAACGAGTCTGACAGAAAATTTAGCAAAATGAATTTTCAGCAGATTTCTAGCAGAATGCTGTAAAATTGTTGATTTGACAGGAAAATACGACAGATTTTAAAATATTAGGTGATTTAGCAGATTTTTGTTAAATCTAGCAGATTTTGAAGCGCATAGAACAGAATTTTGCGGTCACCCTGCACAAAATTTAATGTGCATGTCGAGCGCAAAGTGAGTCCCCCGCGCAAGTTTAAACCTGCGCGCACGCAAGTTTAAACTTGCGCACTGCATAGATTTTCCCGGCCACGCATACAGAGCCGCTAAACTATTTTTTCCCCCGGGTATACTCAATAGTCATGCAGATATGTAACATTATTTTTAAAGCAGATTTTTTTCTCCGATTTAATAGCATCACTGAGCTTCGGGAGACAATGCCTTAATGCCTTTTTTTGAACATTTTATTAAATTCATTAATTAAATCATTTGCAAATTTAGTTTACTTTTTAAAATAATTACCATTTTATATGCATAGCGTTTTTAAGTTGTAAACATTTTTAATATGAATGATTGAGCCTGCAATAAAAAAAAAATATTTGTTAAAGTAATAAATTTAATTAATTGATTAAATTAGTAATGCATTCATTAATTTTTTTTTTCCAATTATGCATTTTTGAAGTGTACAAAGCGCTCCGGCGAAATGTTATGCAAGTATTTCTAAAAACAATATGTATTATTGTACCGTCCAATTTATTAATTGTTAAATTAATTAGTACTTTTTAAGAATATCAGTACTGTTTTAATTGTAGAATACCAAAGCATTTTCAAAAATAATGTAAATGATTACTATCATGGGCGTCGCAAGAAATTTTTCCAGAGGAGGGCAAAACAAATTTTCCCCACAAAATCTCTATGTTTTCCGGGATTTTCCTGAATTATCATTTTATCAATGGTGTTTTTTGGGCAGGGACATTTGCACCCCCCCCCCATTAAATTAAAAACAATATGATTTTGCGGCTCTTTTTCTTCCTTTTTTTTCCTCTTTATTTTCAAACAGTAATTTGGGGCAACTGGCATCGGCTGGTCTCGCACTTTAATATTCTTTCAGCAGAGGGCGCGCCACATAAATAGTGGTCTCGATAATTATCCACCACCAAACTCGTTTGGGGGCAACAACTGCAGAAATACAAGATGTATTAAATTGAATTTTCGAGTAGTGATTTTCCACAATGTGCGTCAGAGGTGTATTGAATATCATGAGAACCAGTGCAACAACCAAAATAATATGATCGTAACAATGTAATGTTTTACACGCGAAAAATCCACATTGACTTTCATTCGGATTGCACTGGTCGCGCCTAAAACACTGTATTGTTACGGTCAATATAGCTTCATTGTTTGACGGTTTCTTCAGAAATTAAATCTCCTAATGTTAAACATAATGACAAATCACTACTCAAAAATTCAATTTAATACGTCTTGTATTTCTGGAGTTGTTGCCCCCCAAACGAGTTTGGTGGTAGATAGTTATCGAGACCACTATTTATGCGGTGCGCCCTCTACTGAAAGAATATGCGAGACCAGCCGATGCTGCACTATTGAACAAAATGAACGACTCGTTTTCCGATGAATAACTCAAGAAATACAAGATGTATTAAACTGAAATTTCGTGCACTGATTTTCCACAATGTGCGTCAGAGGTGTATTGAATATCATGAGAACCAGTGCAACAACAAAAATAATAGGATCGTAATAATGTGATGTTTTACACGGGGGGCAAAAAATCCACATTGACTTTCATTCGGATTGCATTTGTCGCGCTTAAAACTTTGTATTGTTACGGTCAATATAGCTTCATTGTTTGACGGTTTCTTTTGAAATTAAGTCTCCTAATGACAAATCACTACTCAAAAATTCAATTTAATACGTCTTGTATTTCTGCAGTTGTTGCCTCCCAAACGAGTTTGGTGGTAGATAGTTATCGAGACCACTATTTATGTGGCGCGCCCTCTACTGAAAGAATATTAAAGCGCGAGACCAGCTGATGCTGCACTATTGAACAAAATGAACGACTCGTTTTCCGATGAATAACTCAAGAAATACAAGATGTATTAAACTGAAATTTCGTGCACTGATTTTCCACAATGTGCGTCAGAGGTGTATTGAATATCATGAGAACCAGTGCAACAACAAAAATAATATGATCGTAACAATGTAATGTTTTATACGCGAAAAATCCACTTTGACTTTCATTCGGATTGCATTGGTCGCAACACTGTATTGTTACGGTCAATATAGCTTCATTGTTTGACGGTTTCTTCAGAAATAAAATCTCCTAATGTTAAACATAATGACAAATCGCTACTCAAAAATTCAATTTAATACATCTGGTATTTCTGGAGTTGTTGCCCCCAAACGAGTTTGGTGATAGATAATTATCGAGACCACTATTTATGTGGCGCGCCCTCTACTGAAAGAATATTAAAGTGCGAGACCAGCCGATGCTGCACTATTGAACAAAATGAACGACTCGTTTTCCGATGAATAACTCAAGAAATACAAGATGTATGAAACTGAAACTTCGTGCACTGATTTTCCACAATGTGCGTCAGAGTTGTATTGAATATCATGAGACCCAGTGCAACAACAAAAATAATATGATCGTAACAATGTAATGTTTTACACGCAAAAAATCCACATTGACTTTCATTCGGATTGCATAGACGCTAATTGAATTCCCCTTTTTATTTATTTATTTATTCATTCATATATTCCATAATTTCTCCATGTACTCGTGTTTTGATTTTTTTTTTCTTCATCAATGAAAATCCCGCCCGCAAAAGAAGGTTGCGATCGCCTTTGCGCAAGTTTAAACTTGCGCGCGCAAATTCAAATGGAGCGGTGTAATTTGCGTGCTTCAGGAGTCCCTCGCACAAGTCCCTTGCGCGCGCAAGTTTAAACTTGCGTGGGGGACTCTAATTGCGCTCGACTTGCACAAAAAAATCGCTTGTGCATGGATCGCAGTGCAATGGGTGCACGAAAAGAACGGCAAATTTCACTTTCCAACCGAATCGTAAATTGACATTAGTACCATCACCCTGAATTCTAATCTGTTCTAGATCCGTAAGTGGCGCATTTGGTAGTTTGGGTATGTTTTGGGGGCAAATTTTATCGGAAATCCGCCAGGTGAAATTCTGAAATGACAGACAGGTTTTTTTCTCTGGACACTTGGCATGCTTGGTTGGTTCCTCCATGGTTGGTTGGTTGGGGGGGGGGGGGGGGGGGAGGGGGCTGGGGCTCGTACTGGGGCTCGTACCATACTTTCAATGGGGGCGTGGGGGGGGGGGGGCTGAGGGCTCGTACCATACTTTCAAGGCAGTGTATATTTTGCGGGAGACGCCAAACCTTTAGTAAACGTTAGTTTGCCGGATATGCACTGAACATGCGCAGTTACTGTTTTTTGTACAGCGCCCTCTGTTGATATGGATTGCCGCCAACAAACCTTTAGTAATCGTTAGTTTGCCGTCATTACCTCCGGCAAAATATCCACTATCTACTTTGCATGGGAGCGCTGTTCAAATCAGACGATTTTTATTACGCTACATTAACAGAATAGTGTAAAAATACCCCCTAACCATGGACCCCTAACCATGGTGGCTCTGTCCGTATTTTGTGCACAGTACTAATAGCCTAGGCCTACATTATTTCCAGTATCGTCAGACCCCCTAACATGCCTAGAGCTACTCAGTCCTTTTTCTACGTACTCACGTTCAATTTGTGTGTGACATAACGCGCGCATATGCAAGCGTTACCTGTGCAGATAATGAAGGGTCCAGGATATATTTTTGGGGTCGGAGCAGGGGCCGGGGGGACGGATCCGCGCCTGCTACAGAAAGAAAAGGTATTCGACATGATCGACTGATCGCGCTCATCGACCGATCGCGCCCAAGACATTTTTTTACCATAGAGCAAGGAACAGGCTAGGGGGGGGGGGGTAAATTAGTCTGAGTATAAACTAGGAGTAGGATTCAACGAATCGCTTTTTTTAACATTTGGACATGGTCGCCCGACCATGTCCAAATGTTAAAAAAGGTGATTCGTAGAGTCCTTATTCGGACTAGGGGTATAAGCATGTAAAGTAGGCTACTTTTTTCTTGTAGAAAGTGGTCCCACTTCCAGCTCTAAATAAATGGAGAATTTCCCATGTCATGAGCCTAAGAACTGGGTTTGAGGAAAGCAGGGGAACATGTTGTTTCTTTTTTTTTTTTTCTTTTAACAGATTTGTGAAACTCGATTTGAAAATCAACATGGCAAAACCAACACGGTTGCTTTGCAGAAAAACTGTTGCATCAGTCATCAACATTCTTGCCCTTGTCTCAACCGTGGAGTCATTAAACTCTTTACGGGGTGACGGGCAACAACTGGGCAAACACCGCGACCCAATCGGCCACATCGAAGTCCTAGAAACACTGCCCCCGCCCAGGGAATTCTGGGATCTTTATGCCAGTCAACGCCGTCCGGTCCTGTTCAGAGGTGCGGCCCGGCAGTCTCCAGGTATGCACCTCTGGTCGGACGACTATCTCTTAAAAAATTACGGCGACCTGAAAGTGAAGATTGAGTCGAAAGCTGAGAAGGATGACTCCCCGACAGGAGTCAAGGGACTCGGACAGGACACCATCGAAAATTTCCTGGCGAGTTACATAAAGAGAAATTCTTACATCGTCTCGCAGTTGCCGGATGCGATGTCGAGGGAGGTGTCCGTTCTGCCATTTCTGACATGCGGGACGTTCCGGGACAGGATCTTAGAAGCCAATCTGTGGATGAGCAGTGGTGGCACCAAGAGCTTACTCCACCGCGATGCAGACAATGCCATCAATTGTCTCTACGCTGGACGGAAGGACTGGATCTTCATCCATCCATCGTTTGAAGATCGCATCCCTATCGCCAAGGTAACGGTCAAATGCTGAAAAGGGAGAAAGGATGACCACCACATTTTCTCAGACCACTACCAAGGATGTCTTATGTTATGCCACAAACGCTAGGCTTTCAGGCTCAGATTTTCAGATGGAGAAATAGAGTATTAAATTTTACATCGCCTGGCAGAAAAGTTCTTCAAAAAATTATTCTTTTTTTTTTTGAAGTTCAAGTCCTCTGGGGGAGTGTGTGGCCAAGTGGTTAGGGTTTGTGACTCATGATCAGAGGGTCCGGGGTTCGAATCCAGCTGCTGGTCATATATTGTGTCCTTGGGCAAGCCACTTCACCCCCACTTGCCCCTCTCCACCCAGGAGTATAAATGGGTACCGGCATTAGCTGGGGAGTAACCTGCGATGGACTAGCATCCCATCCAGGGGGAGTAGAAATATTCTCAGTCATTTCATGCTACTGAAACCGGAGATAAACGCCGGCCTGATGAGCCACATTGGCTTGCGACAGGCTTTACTTTTACTTTAAGTTCTTTGGTGTGTTCCACTCTCAAATTTTTGGCAAAGTTTGCATCTTTCGCATTTAAGAGGAACATGCTCCTGGTAAGTTATATTGTTCAATTTCCACCTCGCAGGAAGACGTAGAAGCTTATGGCGGCTTCGCCCTCCTGGATCCAGACAACGTTGATCTGGAGAGATACCCAGCGTTTGCCGATGTCGACTGGTCCTATGCCAACATCATGGCTGGAGATTGTCTCTTCTTGCCCTATGGTGAGTGCAGGTGCAGTGATGAAGTCGGGTCCGTAATTCAAGTCACAGGGATTTTTTGCAATAAACTTAATTCCACGCAAATCCCAAACCTTGAGCACTAGGCTGAAAGGACAGGGCTTGGATCGAGCACCAAATGGAGTTGTCAAACTTTTATTTTTCAATACCTGACCAGTTTTTCACATCCCACTATCGAATATAACTCTAGTTCAAATATTGACAAGCTCATTTAAAGGGAATATACATCATTTGCTTTTGCTGTAATTTTCAGAAATGGATGGAATTGGAGGGTTGGAAATATATAGCAAATATAGTTACACTGACTTTTTTGAGGTTTTGGGTTCGAAAATGCTATAAAAACCAAGAAAAACAATCATTTTCCTGTAGTCTGGTTCCCTGACTCCATATAAGAAGAAACAGAGCAGTTTATATACATTGGGGAATTGTAAGGTCAGGGAACCAGTCTAGCTGGCTTGTACCCGTTCATAGGTGTGTAATCGATTGCAAACAAGTGCGATGGTCAATTGGGGCCAGTATTTGAAAAAAAGGCAATTTTTTCCAACGCTGATCGGCCGATCAGCGTTGGAAATTGATACAAAAATAACACTTTTCTTGAAAATGACAGTATACCAGGTGCCATGATTTTACAGGATGCTTTACACTGTCATTCACTAACAGTCCAGCAAGGTATTTCAAAATGATTTGGTAGTTTTATTTTTTGATGTTTGCAAATTTTGTTTTTTCCCTTTAAGGTGAATAAAAAGAAAATTAAGAACTAATTGTGTGCAATAAATTTATGAATGAAAAGCTGATGTAAAATATTTCACAATGGGAATTGCTTGCAGATCAAGTCATGATACTGAAAGATTCAATTAAAGAGGCATATATATCCCCGATCATTTTATGCCATGGATTGTTTGCTCATCCCATTTCAAAGGTCTTGTTGAAAGGAAACTAACCTTATGTCTTACCGTTCCTGAGAAAAGACGAACAAACCTGGGGCCAATTTCACGGCGCTGCTAAGCACAAAAATTTGCTTAGCACAAAAAAAGTCTGGTTTATGAAAGCAGGTTACCAGCCAAAACTCCATGTGATTTTCATGCTAAGCAAACAACAGCTGAATACTGATCACGAGCAATATACATCACATGGAGTTTTGGCTGGTTACCTGCTTTTATAAGCCAGACTATTTTTGTACTAAGCAAATTTTTGTGCTAAGCAGCGCCGTGAAATTGGGCCTTGGTTGTGTACATTGGACATGGCGGACATTTTGTGGCATACGCATACATATTCCAGCTGTGTCCATTCAGTGTATGGTACACGCGTGTCACATAATGCACACAGCACCAACAAAGGAATGTTGTTTCTCGCACGTCTGCAGAATGCGATGCACTCCGCAGCAGGATTCACAACTAGCACTCAACAGCTTGATTTTTGGGAGTCATTTAAATTTTTGACCCCCAAAATTTTTTCTCGCATGGTTCTTGCAAGAATAACACCAAAACGCCCAGTTTGTAAAGGGTGGTTGTGTGGACCTTAATACCCTACTATAAAATGCTCTTTCCAATCAACATCATTTCATTTAAAACGCGTTGTGTAGCTCAATTTGGGTGCATTGCAGGACGTAATGTCTCGTTAAGCATGGGAACCTGTATGATTTTCCATTTTGTTTTACATTTTCAAAATCTCTTGTCAATTTGTTGTCAAGGTTACTGGCACCAAGTGCGCTCCTACGACAGAAACCAAGCGGTCTCCGTCCTGTTCTCCCGCCTGACTGAGGTCGACTTGAGTGGTTGCCATGACGATGACCTGCACTATACCCCCCTGAGTGAGGTCAACATGGTGTACACCTACGATGGATATGGTGATCAGACAATGGGAGATACTGATCCATTTGAACTCAAGTGAGTGATAGGCCTATCCACCAAAAAGTAAAAAAACCGACATGTCAAGCTGATTCATAAGATGGAATTTGCATCGGGGTGATGTAAATCAATGTTAGGTTTTGCCCTTCACCGACGTATAAACACTGTATACTCAGTGTGTTACCTCCTGAGTGAAAGTCGGACAAAAATCACTCGGGTGGGACTCAAACCCAAGACCTGCTTTCTAGTGCAGACGTCTATTACCACTCGACCACCAAGCTTGCGTGTCTGGCTGGTTGTTGGCTGGCTCAAATCTGATGTGGAATTTGCATCGGGATGATGTAAATCAATATTAGATTTTGCCCTTCACCGATGTATTTAACACTGTATATACCTCCCGAGTGAAAGTTGAAAAAAAAAATCACTCAGGTGGACTCGAACCCACAACCTCCTGCTTTCTAGTGCAGACATCAAGCTTTATCTTCAAGTAAACTTGAATCCTCGATCCTGATTGGTCGATCCATGGCAACAAGCCGTGCTACATATAACCATATAGCACGGTCTCGATCCATACCGCACTCCGCATCCTGCATATGGACACAAATTTCATCAACTTAACTTGTCCTGCTTGAAGTAATATAGTGTTCAATTATGTTGTAGTACCACTAATAATAATGTCATGCTTAAATAAAGGGACACTGATTTCTTGGCGTACATGTACATGTAGCTATGAGATCCAGTCAAATCGAGTATAACAATGGACAGCTTCTTGATGCACAGGCCTACTACCGTCCAATGCGGTACCCAGTCAGGCCCAGTAAAACAGCTGTGTGTTTGAGTGGTTAAGATGTCTGCACTATTAAGGAGGAGGTCTTTGGTTCACATCCCTTCCAAACAAGCCTTTGAGTTTTGGGGGTTTTTTTGCAAGTTTTTGGATGTTACTAAAGCATACAGTGCATACTAAATTGCTACATCAGTGATTTATGTATCATAAAGTAAGTATCTTTTATCTTTTATATTCTCAATTTTTGAATAGTGACACTTTGAAGGAGTGGTGTAGTTCCCTGGGAGTGTTAAACCAGCCGTTAATGCTGACGGGACTTTTGGAGGTATGTTAGAACTGTAAAATTAAAGTTCCCACGTTTTAGCAAACATTGGTAAACTTGTACCATTTCACCCAATCTTCCAGCTGTTCACATCCGTATACATGTACAATCGCTGTACCCAAAGCAAATTTTAGGAAACATCCACCCAGTTTCTTCCCAAGCACTGCCCCATTCTGGACCTCCTTTACCTGTAGTCCTGTTTTTGCGAAATCGTGGTGCGAAATCTTGCCGTGGCATCACAAATTCGCGTTCGCATTCGCATTCGCTTTTTTAAGAGAATCGATTTGTGAATACTTTTGTGTGTTACCATTCGAAAGCGTATTGCCTGCTCTGTTTATTTATAGCAGTGTCATTAGTCTGTAGTATATAGCCTAACCACTCATGATCAGCTGTGGAAAATGGTGCACAAAATGCAATGTTGCATTGCCAAAGACAATGTCTAGTTCACGGGGCTTCACTACGTAATGGAAATAACACCATCTGATTGGACCACATTGTATGAATAGGCAATAGAGCATGCGCTGTAAGTGTTGTTCCTTACATACGTGATGTATATTGCAGCACCGGTCCAATCTGTGAGCGCGTGCCTACACAGTGTGCACTCAGAAACTGTTTACAATGTAACAATATTGTTTCACATGCATATGTACAAACACATTGCACATAAAGCTTGCAATGCAACAACGCGCAACACACAACTTTTTTTGAAGCTGTTTTTCTCGAAATGAGTTCGCAGAAGTTCGGCAACGCACTACTAGTACTGACTTTCCCGCGGCATATCTTTGAAAGTAAATGAGTTACAGAAATAAATTTGGTATCATTACAAAGCTAAAGAGTTCTTCTTTTACATGGTATAAAACTCAAAGAGTCAAGGATGGGGGTTATTCCTCATTATGCCATAGCAGGTCACATTTATCAAAATGTAACATGCATTTCCTTATTGTCACATTATCTTGCAGGAGTATGGTTTAGATGAACCAGATGATGAATCTCCCAACCACATCTTGAACAGCAATCATGGACAGGTAAATGTAATGCAGCCACTTCCTATCCGCTCCGTTCACAGGAAGGAAGTACAGTTGGGGGTGACCGACCGACGCCATCTTGCCTGACTGCAATTCATTTGCCGCGAAGTGCGGCCACTGCCTGTACATAGTACAAATCCCCTGGTGTATGTGCGTCACACACAAGGAACGGTGCGTGTCAACCAGCGAAATGTCCCGCCCATGGGACGTCGTTGCTAGGTAAAACGGCGCCCTCTTTGTCGGCGCACGGAGCCCATAGACCCATATGTTATTTCCAGCCGTCGCTAAGTAACTTGGACCCGACCTTAGTCAAATGTTAGCCATCCTTTTTCAGCTTTTCTCTTTCAGTCAACCAGCCCAACTTTTTTTGATAATTATTTGCCCCACTGATTGTTCTTTTTTTCCGTGTTGATTTCATTCTTGTTAGTTTCAAGAAGACAAAGAGGACATTAAACAAATGCTTATGGAAGCTACAGAGAAGGTGAGTGCACGTAAAGCTATGTTCGCACTGGAATAATTCTTTGTGAGATTTGACCAGAAAATTACAATGATAAAACCATACTAGTGTCGGCACTCGGACTTATGACGTGGAAAAATGTGACTGCTGTGGAACTGAGCTGTGCAATAATACACTCGAAAATCCTATACTCTCCTTTATTGTAATGCTAAACTAAATTTTTGTCCTTTTTTTTTATCTGCAGATGATGAGAATTTTGGACACCAACGGTGATGGTAAGGTATCCTGCGCTGGAGAGCTGAGCGGTCTATCCTTGGGCACCCTGAAAACGTTGGCCAACATCCTAGATGGCGACAGCGCCAACACAGAGGACTATGAGTATGCAAGCTTCTCCCCTCAAGCTATTAGGTAAATAGTGTCACAAGCCAATATAAAGGTTATTAAAGTTTTGCTAAACCCATACGGCAACATATACTGGAAGCCTCGCGTTCCCGTGTGTGTACATGGAAAAGAACTTGATAAGTAAACAATTCGTGGAATCCGTGTACGCAGCCTTTTTTAAAAACGTTAAAAAATACTTCTGTTTAATCTCCTCAAACCTACTGATTATAGTTTATTTAACCTGCCCTAAATCTTCATTATCAGTCTTTAACATTTTACATGCGTAAGAAGTGAAGATGTTTTTCCTCCATTTTTGTCACGTCACGGGAAATGCCAAAATCACTCATTCGATATTGCTTTAACCGTATAGATACAAGTTAGTTTTTCCAAGTTCTTTTGTTTTGCTTGCGTTGTCTCTCTCGAGATCCTGATATATTTTTGTCACTCACAGTTCCCTTGGGGTGCATAGACATTCACTAGTGACCTCTTTGCCAGTCAATATGTTCACAATAACCCTCTCCCTGACATTCACTAGTGACCTCTTTGCCAGTCAATATGTTCACAATAACCCTCTCCCTGACATTCACTAGTGACCTCTTTGCCAGTCAATATGTTCACAATAACCCTCTTCCTGACATTCACTATTGACCTCTTTGCCAGTCAATATGTTCACAATAACCCTCTTCGTGACCTCTTTGCCAGTCAATATGTTCATAATAACCCGTTCCCTGAAAACTGCTTCAAAGTGATGGACACAAGTTAACATTTCAAGTTCTTATATGCTGGTTTGTCTTTACGTTGTGGGATCTGAAGATTTCTTTCTATGAGTTATTCAAAAACGAAATTCCCAGTGATCATTTTAAGATTTTGTTCCTCGTCTCCTTAGGGATTTCCTGATGCAGTGCATGGAAAGGGCCGACACCAACTCTAATGGGGAGTTGCGCAGGGAAGATTTCTTGGAGTTCTACCAAGCGTTTGGCGGCTCACTCAAAGGAGGGAAAGAGGTAGGATTGCATGCAGAAAAAAAAATAAAAAATATTTTTTGAGGTCGCAGGTTATAAACCCTCTCCATTCAATTTCTTCATTCAACTTTAAAACAATTAAATGTGGTTTATTTAGAAATTCACTTATCACATTATCAGCAAACCTGTGCAAATTCAAATGCTAAAAGTTGATTGGTCAATGGTATACAAATATTGAGTGGCTCAGAGTGGAATGGGAGGAATATCACAAGGTAAAATCTGGACTTTCCGAGTGAAATGGAGAAGTCAAGATTTTACCGAGCAATAATTTTCCTCCCATTTCACAATTAAAGCCACTCGATATTTTGTTTATGTAATTGAGGAATAGATCCTTGTCATTTGATTTACAGTTAAAATAAACTTCTATTTCAATACAAAATTGGTGGGAAACTTATTTCTCTCTTCCAAACCACCCCTTCACGAAATGTTTGAACTTGTCTGTAGCTACTGGCTCTTGGGAACAATATGCGCAACGCTCAACGCGCACACCAGCACACAATACCGCACCATGAAACAAGGATGATCCTAACTGTTGAATAGTAAATCCCATTTGCCCCGGCGTGAATGGGAGCAATAATGAATGTTATCTGTATGTCAGTTTATAGTAACAGCTATTTTGATAGTAAAATTGGAAATTGTTTGCATCTCGCCAGCTGCTTTCTATCTTGGACAAGGAGGACAATGGTTTCATCTCCAGATCAGAGCTACACAACAACATGGAGAGAGTACTAGTGATGTACAATAAGAAAGCCAAGCCTGACTCATCAAGTAAGAATCAATTAAAACAAAAAAAGCTTTTGACATTAGCATACAATTCTGAAACTTTTTATTTTTTTCCTTAATAGTTGAGAGATCACCTTGTGGAGTGCTGTGGCCTCGTGGTTAAGGGCATTGGAATCATGGTCTGCCGGTAAAGCTGCGGGTTGTGGGTTCTAGTCCAGCCTGGGGTCATGGTGCGTGTGCCCTTGGGAAAGGCACTTTGTCACTCATTGCTTCTCTCCACCCAGGAGTAAATGGGTACCTGTGAGGGCAGAGATGGTTATTGTGATTGAATTAGCTTCATTGCGCCTAACAGGCTGCATCGAGCTGTATACTCCCCAGGGAGCTGAGATGGTATTTGGAATGTTTAATTTGCCCAATGATCAGGGGAAATAATAATGTAAAGGGCTCTGATCTTTGTTAAAAAGCGCTATATAAGAATCCTTAATTATTGTTACTATTATTTTTTTGCATAAAATAAAATTGATCTTTATTAGCCAATCAGAATCAGCGTCACAAAATGCTACAACCAATCACATTATACTGTTTCTGCGTGTTCTTAAAATACTGGCAACTCAACGTGCCTGATCACATTTTTGTTTTTGCATGCACAGATTTGTTATGGGAGACAGAAAGGAAAAGATTACACAGTGAGAGAAGGAAGACTCACGTCCACGATGACCTGTAGTTTGAACTCCGAGCGTTTGCCGTGAATGTTATAATGCGACACAAAATTTGCTTGAAGTTCGCATTAGCTTGAAGTATATGAGCCTTTATATCTTGGTTCTTGGCAGGTTCTTCTCCTAAATAGTCTGCGTGGGAGTTTTAACGGGAGACCAGAAACACCGGGGCAAACCCCTTCTCTTAGCGATAAGTGTTACTTGGTTACTTCTCCTAATTACTCCGCGTGGGAGTTTTAACGGGAGGCCAGAAACACCAGGGCAAACCCCTTCTCTTAGTGATAAGTGTTACTGGGTTACTTCTCCTAATTACTCCGTGTGGGAGTTTTAACGGGAGGCCAGAGAACACTGGGGCAAACCCTTTCTCTTAGGGATAAGTGTTAATGGGTTCTTTTACGTGCATTGCATTACACAACGCACTGGACCTATGGCTTTACGTCCCATCCGAAGGTCAGGGATAGTTGGGGGGGGGGGGTATGCAGCCAGTGCCTTGCAACCCAAAGAGTAGATTTTCAATGAAATGAAAATGTTTATCCTGAGATGATCTCTGAATTATGTCGCAACAGGGCCTCTTCTCAGGGTAACCTATGAGAAACGAATAACATGCCCTAATTAAGGAAAGTTGCAGAGATTTTCCATTTTAACTGAAACGACATTCATTAGCTTCAACTCTGTGTTATAGGAAAGTACATGTAGTGTGTGAAAAAAAAAACTTTTTTATTGTACCTTACAACACACAATAGCGTTCATCTATTTTCATGCCTATTTTCATGCCAATTTTAAGGTTTAAAAAAGTAAAAATAAAAGTACATTTAGTCTCAATGCACTTATTGCTTCAATTCACGTAAATGTTAAGAAAAAAGCTTGTATTCTTTTTTTTTTATAATCTTTTTTATAACCTTTTGTATAGAGTTTGTTAAGAATACCAAGTTTATCACATGTATACCAATGAAATATATCAAAGAAATGAGATGATTTTTGTACTATTTTGTGACTGGAGTTTATTTTTTATACTTTTGATACTGTGTAAAGAAAAGGTAATAAATGACACCTTTTTCGAAAAAAAAAAGGTTTCGAATGTGCTTTTCACATTATGGTTCTGTCAATCCTTTTCAACCACTTGACAACAGGATTATTTCGGCCAGAAAATAAAATTTTTGAGACGACAAAATGTATCGGCCAAATTTTAAAACTAAGACTTAGTCAAATACTGACTCTTGAGAGTCATTAGTACAATATTTGTAAAATACTTCTCATCATAGCTTCAGATTTTGCAACACTCCAAGGTCTTGCCACAGAGCGATATTTGCTATGACAGACTGTTTACAGTGGCTAAGTTTAACACATGGTTTGTACAGAAACAATGGGAACAGCTGATGTGTTTACATGTCCACTGCAAGAATATTCAAAAATGCAATTTTTAAAACGGCAAATCTATCGAACACTATTGGATCTTGCCCAATTGTCACCAGTGGTGAAAGTCAATCCACCTGCGAAGTACACATGTACTGCAAAATTTCAAACTTTTCTTTAAATTGTATTCTTATTTTTCTGGCATATTTCCTACAAATGTGAAGTGTTCTTGCAAAATGAGACAGAACTTGGCAGAGGTCGAAATGAGGGTCTGCAGGCATTAGGAAAGAGACAAAAAATTTCTTATGACACCATCCGCTCTGTTCACAAGTACAATGTACCCCCTCACCGGCAAAGAAAGTTCAGTTGGGGGTGACCGACTGACGCCATCTTGCCTGACTGCAATTTTGCCGCGACGCACAGCCGTACCACCACTGCGTGTACAAAGTACAAATCCCCTGGTGTATGTGCATTACACACAAGGAACAGTGCATTACACACTAAATGTCCCGCCCATGGGACGTCGTTGCTAGGTAAAAGGGCACCCTCTTTCGTTGGCGCACGGAGCCCATTTATTGCACTTCCATCGGACATTCCATTGACAAGTTATGGGTGTTTTAAGTTTGCATTTAACGACAAGCTGTAGTCAAACTGGCCAAAGTCCTGCAACCAATGCTCTTGGTTCAACCCTAGCAGTATGCTGGTTCTGCAGAGGACTACAGTAGTCCAACCATCAAAGACCACTGTGAACTAGAGGAAAGAGTTAAACCTGACCGAAAGTTAGCACTGCCCCTGCATGTAGTAGTAGGCACTGACATCATCAGATCCAATTGTCTTGAGGGATGTATGTATAACCACACCTGCCAACATCCCACGGCAGCCAAAGTTGTTCGCTGAACTTTACTGACCAACAGGCTGGAGAGAGTCGGACCTAATCTGACACTAGAAGGTGCCATTCAAAGTGAAAGTGGTCAGAATGAAATACCATCAGACATCGGGCAGTATCGTTTATGGTAGCCTCATAACTGCTTGCAGGGATGGCCAGGCCAATACTTAAATTTCCACTGGGTCACTGTTTGTGGTCCATCTTGTCGATTTCAATGGAGACAATGTGCTGGCCGGGCACCATCGCGAGACCGAGCACTCTCGGTTCTTCCTTCTGTCCAGCGTCTGGATGGAAAGAAAAAGGAGATAAAATTGACTTCAGATAATTGACTTGGTGCTTCATTATCAAGGGAAAAGGGTAATGTGGGCCTTTTCGTGGCCAGGGAATTGCCTGGCCAATTTGCCTGGCGGAGGGGACAAAATACCGCCAGACCACCTGTGCTGGGGGGGGGGGGCAGGGGGGGGGGCGGTAGGTTGGCGTAGCGGTACTTTCCTCGCCTTCCACCGCTGTGACCCGGGTTCGAATCCCACCTGGGCCAATATGTGGATTGGGTTTTCAGTCCCTGCCTGATTCCGTGGGTTTTCCCCAGAATATTCTTCTGGGCTTTTCCTCCAACCTCTAAAACTGTAACTTCTTCTCATTGTCTTCTCTTCACAGGTTTCTTCAGGCTTGCGAGCTACAGTGCCTAGGGCGCTTTTGAGGAATCCTTGCTTTCACTACCAGAAATGATTAATAATAATAATACTAAATAATAAGACACCATTTTACCATTGGCGACGCTATTCAAAGCGGACAATCCTGGACTCTATTGGACAATAGGTGGCACAATTATTTTGCGCTTAAGTACTTTGCCAACATTCATACGATTTTCGAGGCATGGTTCCATCACTGGTTACCAAAAAGCCACGCCCATCTTAATGCACAGCAGGGGGCCAGGATCAAGGAGTTTTGTCATGATGTTTGACCATCGCTTAAACTCAAGAGGCGTTCAAATGTGTGATCTTTTACCCGTTGCGGTGAGGTATTCCTCACATGAACCGAGGATCACATTCTGGTCTTTGTCGGTGCACAGGAACAGACCAATCAGGGTGCGACCATCAGTCATCCTGACACGCAGCGATTGGTTGAGCCATCCTCGTAATCTCTCACGGCCATCTGGGGACTTCTCTGGGGCCATAGTCTGTCACAGAGAGTTGAGTAAAGAAATAAATACAAAAACAATTAAAAGCAGAGAGAAATTATGAACCCCTCTCCCCAAAATAAAAATGTGTGTATTCCAGTTACGCAGGGTAACATTTTAGGCCCTGTTAATGTCATCAAACTTTTGTTGGAAAGAATTCCTTATGGCCATCACTAATATTTCCCTGCAATGATATATCAGCCATCAGAGAGCGATAACGTCCTAAAAGTAAAAAGTCAAATTTAGTAGGGAAAATGTTGAAGCATTTAGAACTTACTTGGAAAACAAGTGATGTCTAGATATGGAATTCTTTCCATTTTGTTATATTCATCTGATAATTGTAAATCATGTGGAAAAAAAAGGTTGCAACCTGACGCCACTTCCCCGATTATTGTGTAGGCCTACAAAGTCTATCATCCAGAAACTTTTTTAAGTATTTCCTAACAAATTTGGAAACGTTTCTCAGTCCCAGATTTCATGTCTTATCATTTTTTGCAAATTTTATGAATGACCTTCAATTCAATGAATTGAAGGTCATTCATAAAATTTGCAAAAATGAATTAGGCCTAGGCCTAGGCCCTATTCACTGATTGAGATGATCGATAGGCCTGTTGTGCGCTTTCTTGAAAATCACCCATTCTTAAGAATGCGCATGCACATTCTTATGATTGTGCAACTGGATCCTTGCACAATCTTCGCAAAAAATAACTCTTCCAGATTGAGCGCACATTCTTAAGAATGCGCGACAAGATAACGGTCTTGTCGATGCCGAGCACCGGCTGCGCTTGGCAAGTCTAGCTGCATCCTCGTTCACTGATTCTTAATAATTATACTGTTGCAACGCAAGGCGCTGAAAAGTAGAGTGGATATGACAAGTATACGCGTATTGATATTGGGGGGGGGGGGGACCAGGAAAAAAATAAGAGACATAATAATAGTGGAAAGAATTCTGATTTTTGGGATAATAAAAGCGGGGGGGGGGGGGGGAAGTAAGAATGAAGAATGTGAAGAATGAGAATGAATACTGCGACATCCCATAGTGCTAATGCTATTTCCCATTTAAATTGCCACCAATTTATTGTTCACACCCCACCATTACGTCGCAGAGCTGGATTCTATCTAGTCAAAAGAGCAATTTTGGCAGCCTCTGGACATCGTTTTTTTTTCGTGGCATGCATATGATACATACAGGGACTCGTAACTTATCTAGCCTAAACAAAGCACTTCCCAGACTAGTTCCCAGTCCTCCGTTATTACAAAACTTCCCATAGTGGGCAGAAAAAAGCAATAATAACAGGTTTAATTTGATTCAAATTATCGTAGTTATACGAGTACAGATCGAAGCATAGAACATTTTCTTTCCTCTTTATATAACTTGTTTCCCTTTTTAACCGCTATATATTTCATTTAACATAATTATGTCGTGCAATGTTTGTTAAGATTGCGCAAAATTCATAAATTGTGCACGTGATATTCCCACACAATCTTAAGAATGAGCGCTCATTCTTAAGAACGCGTGCTCATTCTTAAGAATGCGCGCTCATTCTTAAGAATGCGCGCGCATTCTTAAGATTGCGTGATTTTCAAGAATGGGCACAACAGGCCTAGGGCGCCTATGAAGAAAAAGCGGTGTTCCTGTCAGGTTGCAAGTAGCACATTTTCATTAATTTACGCAGTGCCGGTGATCGCATGAGCGAAAACACAAACCGCAATAATACTGAATATCATCTCTAACTGTACCATTCAACCTCTGTCGCTATGGTTTCCCTCGATAGTCAAGGGCAACAGTTTCAAACTTTCATCAATGTTGGAGAAATCGGCAGAGAGCAGATTTTTATGGCCAATGCAAAACAATGTACACCGATTGCATGTGCAAAATGATGGCAAGCCAGATATACAAACTTATTTCTCAACAATAAATTTTGTTCAGAAAACAATTTCGATTTTTTTTACGCACAAAAAAAGGAAAATAATGCATAACAATATTTCAGTTTGGGGTAAATGTACGGAAAAATCTAATATGACCAAAATGTGATAGTTTTGTTGGAATATGTTGATAAATTCCAAAAATAAGTACATGTTACATTAGGCTTTTCATAATAGTCGGCACCCCGGACCTCGAGAAAGTTGCGATATATTGCGTTTGATTGCACACAGGAAGGAGAGTATACGCCTAGGTTTCATACAGACCTACACTCGTAGCAACTTGCTTGGCAACAGAAGGAAACAGGTCAACTCGTACGCGAACCAACTCGTACGCGAGTCAACTCGTACGCGGATTGGTCAACTCGTACGCGAGACAACTCGTACGCGAACCAACTCGTACGCGTGCCAACTCGTACGCGAGCCAACTCGTACGCGAGCCAACTCGTACGCGAACCAACTCGTACGCGAACCAACTCGTACGGGGGCCGTTTTAGGAGTGGTTTCGAGGATTGGGTTGGCATGGTTGGGAAGAATTTGGGAATAGTGTGATGGGTAGTCCGTAGTTCAATTTGTGACCGTTGTGTGTGACTGGGAGTGAACCCGTAAATGATGATAATAAAGTAAATGATTTTTGTAGTTAGACGAGTGTTGTATCGTTTTGTGCATACCTGTAGCCTTGTCACGTCATTCTTTATACAATGCGCGGTGCGGCGGGAACCAATCATACTGGTTATCGCGAAGACAACTTCCCAATCAATCAAGCGAACTTGTAAAAAAAAAAAACAAACGCAGAATTCTTCTCTAAAAAATCGCGAATGTAAGTAGCACTGGCGGATTCAAAATCAACTACACTTAATTTGAAAATCTCAACCTTTCAGAAAAGGTAAAGTTATGCCGACCTACCGTACCGAACCTAATTTCATCTGTCCATGTGAGCTAAACCAATCGTCTAAACTCACGCGTACGAGTTGGTCCGCGTACGAGTTGGTCCGCGTACGAGTCGGTCCGCGTACGAGTCGGTCCGCGTACGAGTCGGTTCGCGTACGAATTGACCCGCGTACGAGTTGGTCGCGTACGAGTTGGTTCGCGTACGAGTTGACCTGTATTCCAACAGAAGCGGTGTGCTGAAAAATTATCAAAATCGTCTTTAAAACCGTCCAAAATGCGCCCCAAATATTACACACCTAACGAAGTTTCGGTGCATAATACACTGAAAGACCTTTGGGTGTCATTTTTAGGAAAAGTCTATGATTTGACACCACTTTGTGACGATTATACAGGTGAGTGAAAAAAAAAAAAACGAATGAAAATTTGGGTGCAATTGTAGCCTATAGGGTAATGTGAAAATTACTGAAATAAACAATTTTAACCCATATTTGTCCAGACATAGGCCTATATCGTATTTTAAGTGTGTCCTAAGTTCTTAGCGTATGCGACAGCACAAAACTGATTAAGCCGAATAAAAAAAAACATGTTTCTCGTCCGGGTTTTTGAAAAAAGGAGGAAGAGGGGCTTTTTAATTTTTTTTTATAAGATGGTCGCCATTTAAAAATTTCCTGCAACCCTTAGGCTTAGTCCTAGTCGAAGTTAGAGGCTTAGTGTTTTCACTGTTCAAAGACACTTTTAAAATGAAAGACAAGTTGGACAAGAAAACTAAACATATTTAGGCCTACAGTAGAGTTGTATTGTTCACATATTTCGCAAGTATTTATTTTCCTTTGAATTTGTGGACTTTTTCTGTGTTTTTTTTTTACTGCATTTTGCAAAAATATAAAATAATATAAAAATCCAGGCGGCCTCCAAAAAGGAAGCGGGCGGGGACGAGAAAGGTTTTTTTTTTACTTCCCCTTATGTTATGATTTGATTCTGATTTTGTTATGGTACTAGGCCTAGCCGTAATGCGATGTTCAATTGCTATCGTAACGGAACCGTCTGGTTCCCGGATTTCTAGCCCAGGTTGGACGACGTCTTCATTGCATTATGATCGACTGAGGCACAACTATAGAATACAGGGCCACTCAACTCTATATCCGCGCCTCTGTATGGGTGCGTGGAGCCGCAGTCGACCTACCTCCGAGAATTGCGCCCTCTACCGGCCCGCGACTCCAAGGCTCCACGGCTCAGTAACCCATCACAAGCGCGCCCTCCCGTCCTTTGAGAAGACCCGTTACAAGCGCGCCCTCACGTCCTTTGCGAGGAAATTCTCAACAAAAATGTAGTCCTATAGAATACAGGGCCACTCCACTCTATATCCGTGCCTCCGTATGGCTGCGTGGAGCCACAGTCGACCTACCTCGGAGAATTGCGCCCTCTACCGGCCCGCGACTCCAAGGCTCTAAGGTTCCGCGCCTCCACGGCTCAAGTGACCCGTCACAAGCGCGCCCTCCCGTCCTTTGCGAGGAAATTCTCAACAAAAATGTAGTCCTATAGAATACAGGGCCACTCCACCGAGAATTGCGGTAGATCTAATAGCGTTAGATAGATTTCCCTTTTAAAGAAAATCCTCCAAAGCCACAGATTACGAAGAAGAAAATGAAATCTACTTAGAACGATTTGATTAAAAACATGAAAGTAAAGAAAACTAGAAAAAAAAAGAAAAAGAAAAAAACAATTGAGCGACACGGCAGCGATTTCGAACCCACATCCCCGGCACAGTAGTCCAACACGTAACCACTCAAGCTACCAAAGCGTTCTGGTTGGACGTGATGTAAGCCCTATAGTAGATTTCCAATGGTGATTTTGCAGTACTGTAACGATAGAATTCGAAAATCTCGTTATGGCTGCCATAACAATAGCCACTCCGTTTTTGTTAAACACAAGCCTAAAAGAAATACAGTTAAGCCAGTTCTGATTAGCCTCATCCCTAATGTCACCACTCAACATTTTGTCAATATTTCTCGTTTTCTATTGCAGGTGATGTACTTCTGAAGCCAGTCATAGCCTCTGCCGGCAAAGATATTTCGCATTGGTTTGATAAGAAAACCAAAGAGGTAAAACCATGAAGAAAAAAAGTGACATTATTTTTTAGATAAAACAAGTTTTAAATTACAATTTTGGGTAAATGCTTGAAATATTGTCATGAAGTAAGGTGCATTATACTTGCTTTGTAGCAATTGACCTATCGCCGTTTGCGAGTTAGCCACGCCCCTAAGACAACCCTGTGCAGTTTTTGTACACTAAGTTTTGTTTGTCTCAGATGTTGGGCGTTCCGCGTCCGTTTGTATATCATGTAATTGGACATTATTTCACAAGTTGCGTTGACGCGATTCTACCGCGATAGGTCAATTGTGGGAAAGATTTCCATATAAGAAGTTCACTAATTTTCCTCGGTATTGACTAACAAGCCCCCATATAGCAATTTCATGTCCTCAAAGTCAATTTGAGCAGTGAGAAAATACAAGCATTTTCTTAGAAAACACTTACAATTTTTCAGTCCAATCTCATAGGGTTTGTACACAGGGTGTTGAGTGAACTTCTTATATGTAAATCTTTCCCAATTGTGTTTTTGAATACCAAATATTTTACATATTTGAGAACCTTTGTCTACATCAAAAAGAAAAATAGTCCTAAAACTTCCTAGTTATAAATCAAATTGGAAATCCAGTATTATAAATGAAGAAAGTGATTCATAAGTGATAAATCCCCTTCTTTTTCCAATTTTTCTTTTCTTGTGACCAACCCAGATTCGAACCCACGTTGACCCGACCACTGGTTGTGAGTTCCCGTACACTCCACACGGGCGGTTCGTGCACATCCCCCCGCCCTGCCCCCGCACGGACTGGGCCAACGACTTTGGCCGGCCGTGGTGGAAGAACGACACTTTCTGCATCGGGATCCTGTCCGCCAAGACGCGCTACATCAAGATCATCAACACGCTGACGTCACAAGAACACATCATCGAAGTGAGTTCCAAACTCGGGGAAAGTTTCAGGCCCTAAATATTAAACTATGGGATAATTTCACTCAAATTGTTCTTTTTTTGGGGGGGGGGTGTTTGGATGAGAATACATCTCACTAGTCCAAAGTAATTTATGCAGCAAATCAGTCGAGGGTTCTGTTACAAAGTGCTAATCAATGTTTTGACATTTCACTGCTAAAGTCATAAGTTAAACATGATGGAGTCCATTCATTACGTTCTTTCTTTGTAATTATTCGGCAATTGGCCGGGTAGCCCACGAAAGTCTCACAACGTATTTCCAGTGGGATCCCTTGGTAGAAGATGTGGAAGGAAATTACACTTTTTAATGACGAGAGATGACCCCAGAATGATATTCTAGGGGAACCCATGGAATCAGGTAGGGACTGGAAACTCCAATCCACATATTGGCCCAGGCGGGATTCGAACCCCGGTCACAGTGGTGGAAGGCGAGGAAAGAACCGCTATGCCAACCTGATCCCCCACTTGATTGCCTGAAGTAGCTTGTGGGATTTAGTTTAAGCAGTTACCACTTGTAGTTCAATGTATTACATCATTTACTCCCTGAAGAATCGATAAATTGAACATAAGTTCAAACTCATTTTAAATGATACTTGCGCGGCAAATTAAAACAGTTCAGAGGTAACAGGAATAGGGAAAATGTCACACTTTGGACTCGAAATTAGAAAATGACTGAATATTGAGTCAGAGAAGGGAGAGCGTGTAAGTGTCCTAATGACCTCTTACATGGGGTCAGCTGAATTTAAATATAAACGTGCGCACACAGGAGCTGCATTCTGCGTGTACATGTACATGTACTTGAAAACCTGGCCAAATTGAGTACAGGGAAATAGAGTACAGGTCTCCAGTCAACATGCCCTATTAAACGGTTATTTCCCCCCTCAGGTTTGCTCGGAGGAGATCATGTCGGAGATCTTGGACCGCTACCTGAAGTGGAACCAGCACGCGGCCAGCTACACCTGGAAGTACAACGGCGTCAACCTGGACATGGCCAAGACGCTGGAGCAGAACCAGGTCATGGACGAGGACCAGGAGTTCTACAAGCTCAGCATGAACGATGACGAGTTCCTGCCGGCCATCCACCTGTACTTCGACGACGACCTCACTGAGGCTTGAGTGGTGTTGCTTGTGGTGGGGTGGAGGGGGGGGGGGGGTTGAGAGGCAAGGAAGGGGAGGGTACCAGAAAATGTCCAACAATGCATGGATGAACCTATTAGCATCCGCACTACACTGTATACAGTTGACACTCCGCAATACAAACTCTGCCGGACAAAGCCAAAATGTTTGTTCTATTCGAATTTTGTATTAAGAAGAGTGCCGGTCCTATTCGTTGTTCACATAAATTCACGGCCAGAACTGAGGCTTTATGTTCACTATACCCAGGAGGTGGTTGTAACAGAGTTTGTATTGAAGAGATTCGGCTGCGCATCATATTTATTCCTGAAATGAATCTATGAACCATACAGTGCTGGGACGGAACAGGGAGTAATAGGTAGGGATGCTTGGGTGGTACACGGACTAACGGGTTAAGAAATTCCTCTTGAAAATTCATGTGTAATACCATGACGCTCATTGAGGATGTAAGTGGTTACCTGGGGGTGCGGCAGACCATTGCAGTGGGGGGGGGGGCACAAAGTAACAAGCATGTATGACGATGAATTCTTGCGATCCATTTCAATCTCGGTGACAGCAATACATGTGCTGCTGAAATTTCATTGCGCTTCAAGCAGGTCAAAGCACTGGAGCATCAAAGGGGCCGGGCCTTGGGCCACAGTAGGGGGAAACAAGATCAAACAGCATGAAAGTTCGGTAACATCCTTTCGGTCCGAAAATACGAATACATGTATCAGCAAATGGACCTGAATCATTGTGACTTCACGCTTTGCTTACATATGCGCTTTCATATGGGATCTCTCGTCCCAACCTGGCTCCCATAAGAAAGCACGCATGTATAACAAAGCGTAACGTAATGATGCATGGCTTTTGGGCATGGTTCTTAAACATTGATACCTTTATTTCTTGCATAACTACTTCAATGTCATTATATTGTAGAAAAGCTGTTTTTAACAGATGATGTTTATAAAAAAATTCCCCACTGATTATTATTAGTGTCACAGCTTTGTAAATATTAAAATGTTGTAAATACAGTTGCTGTATTAAACTTCTTTCAAAATGATTTCGAGTTCAAAATAATTTTGCTTTTATTGTCGAGTCGTTCAGTTTTGACTAAGTTCTCGTCATAATGGAGTACATGTATTCAATGTGCAGAGAATTCCCCCCCCCCCCCCGCTTTATTTTAGACCATTCCATTAAACCCTGCCCACTGTGAACAGGACCAACGTAACATGCACCTTACCAATGCTACACTGCATGTGCTAGCTGCGCACATCATACGCAAATGCACGCATTTTGTCACTGTTGTGCAGACGTGTCGGAAATTAATCGTGGCAATGATTGGTCAACGTGTCATGGATCGTTTGTTACGTAAATTACAATACATGAGCGCACCGTTCGTGGGCAGTTCATCACCCACGAACGGCGCGCTACTGAGTGTATTAACCTACTTAACCTCCTCCAAGAATTCTTCTTTATTGCTCGAATGAAGGCCTTTGTACATCATTGTTGACCTCGTTAATGGAGGAAGTTATGTTTATTCAGGAGAAAAGAACAATGACATCACATCATTGTTATTATTAAGGCAATTACATGTAGTTGCAATTCAAGAATTTAAAAGAACGGCAGTCAATTTTTTTGCTCCAACTTCATCGATAATTTTTACTGAAGGGGAAAAAGAAGAAAAAATACAGTACCCAGATGTCTTGCTGTAATTCTATGAAATAACGGCATTATTCATAAGTGGCTTCATACATCTACGGGAAAAACAACGAAAGTGCAACACGCCATGAATAAGATGCCAGTTGGCGCACCATGCTCCATTCATGCAAAATAATGCCGAGAAAAAAAAAACTTTCATTTTCAAAAAGCATTCGAGATATTCTTTGCGAGGCCATGAAATATGAATGATGTTTGAATGAATGGAACACCCTCACACAAAACAACAAAAAGCAACGGCAGATTGAAGTAACAATGATTACTTTCGCCTTTTTTAATGTTCGTACATATCCACAAAGTGAAGGTTAATAATACAATACACGTGACATGTACATCTACTCGAAAAAAAATAACCGTTATTAGAAAGTCGTACACTGTACAAATCAATGAATAGTGTTTTTTTTTGTACAATTTGTATTTTTTTCCCAATTACTATTAAACTTTACATACAAGGAACTCTGGAGGATTGGAAATCCAATCCACAATTCCTTTCAGATAGCACTTCAAATACTAATTTTGAACAGAAAAAGAAATAACCCCCAAAAAGTCACACAAATATTAAAACAAGTAGACCATCGAGGTAACTGATAACTACCTTCACAGACTTTGGAATGAACTTTGGGGGAGTCAGGTTGGCAAAGCAGTACTTTCCTGGCCTTCCACCGTTGTGACCCCGGTTCGAATCCCGCCTGGGCAAATAAGTGGATTGGGTTTTCAGTCCTACCTGATTCTGTGGGTTTTCCCCAAGAATATTCTTCTGGGCTTTTCCTCCCATCTCTAAAACTATAATTTCTTCTCACTGTCTTCTCTCTACAGGTTTCTTCAGGCTTGCGAGCTGCAGTGCCTAGGGCACTTTTGAGGAATCCTTGGTTTCAGTACCAGAAACTAATAATAAAAATAAGAATAACAATAACTTCCAAAGCATTCTTTTATGACCCACCGTGACAGGGTAATCCCCAAAAATAATGCGGCCCTCCTTCACATACTTGGCCGCAAAAAGGCCATCGGATCTCATTTTTGCAAGATTGACCTCCGTGTTCAACTCTTTTAAAGGTAGAGTAGATCATTTGTCATTTGTTTATGTTTTTCGTTGGAAGCAACAAAAGTGCTCAAAGTCTAAAGACGGGTGCTCAACAACTAACCTGATGCACTTTTAGCTCAGTGAATGCCATATATTTCAAGAAAATATTCTAGGATCTAAATTTCGATTCAAAGTTGCAGAGTCACGTTTTTTAATTGCGCCCGAAATCAGCATCCGGGACACGTTCTCATTTAGCCAATTTGCACAGAACTGACCAATAATAGCAAATGCGTGTGCATCATGTCAATGCTTGTTTTGTGAGCACCCATTCACGGATTCGCCGAATTACAAACCAAGTACTACCAGAAATTTCCAAATTTGGAAAATTGGCATTCTTTTATTGTTTTCTTCAAAATGACGGCATGCCAGAAAGAATAACTTCACAGGGAGTTCATTGCCATTACTATCTTTAAAACAACTTATGCTTTTCAACAATAATTTTGTCAGTTACCTTTTGCATAGCTGCAAATGATCTACTCTACCTTTTAAGAATACACACTACCACTGCATCAACAGTGTCAAATTGCGCAAACCTCAATGTTTGCCGTTGCCCCATATATAAAAGTTTTGGTACCCCACTGTACTTTTTAATGCTCTCCCAAATATCGAGCCTGAGGAGTCTAGAAGATTGGTTCATTGTTTCATGAACTCAACATCCGCTCTGAAAATAATCCTAGTCCACAAAAAAATGATGTTTGAATGGAACATGAATTACACATTAAAATTCTCGCCCAAAAGAGGTAGAAGTATGTACCAGATTTAGTTGTGAACATGTTGCGGCCGGAACAGTTCAGAAGGAAGAGTTCTGGCCTTTGGAAAGTCAAACAAGAGTACCTACATGAAGGGTCTTCATATCCTTTTTATAAGACTTGATTTTGAGACCTCCCTAGTGTGCGAGGGTAAATTGGCAATGAACTCTATGAGCTCTAGTTGGGGTCTTGAACCCTGAAGAAAGACCCTTAATTGACTTGTGACCTTTCCCTACCAGCCTGGGCCCCCTCTACCCATACCACCTCTTCCCATACCTCCCCGTCCCATTCCACCACGAAACGCCCCCCTGAATCCAGTAGGGCTGCCCCTCATCCCCGGATCCCCTCTGCCCCTCATGCCAGGTCCCCCGCCTCTCATGTCCCCCCGCCCTCCCCTCCACATGTTGCCCTGTCCGCGGCCTGGGCCGGCAGGCCCACCGAAATTTCCAAACTGTTCACGTTCTTCCATGTCTCGGCCATCTCCAGGCCCCTCGTTCCAAGTTCTTTTCATATCGTTGCCATCGGGGAAGTTTCCCCGCTCATCGTGATCACCGAGCAGGGGTCTTGTGCGGGGAATCGGCGGTCCGTCGTCGCCCGGGTGCGGTAGTAATCCTTTGGGGTGGAAGTCTGGGTCAAATGGCTCATCCCGGCCAAACCGACCCCTCGTCCCACCCCTCATATCTTCATCGTGTAATCCGAACCCGCCCCTTTCTTGGAAGCCACCCCTCGATTGTCCCGGTTCCCGGCCGGGGTCAAATCCTCCGAAGGGATCTTCCTCGGATGAATCCTCTCGTCTCCATGGCCTGCCTCCGGGAGGACCTCCAGGAGGACCCCCACGAGGGAACCTCCCTGGAGGCTGTCGTAAGTCTTCATCCATGAAATCATCTCGTCTCATGCCTGGTGACTCCTCTCGTCTTCGAGGATCGCCCAGATCTTGTCTGTCCACTGATCTGGACCTCCTGGTGTCCTCAAAGGGCAAATCCCTTGTGTCGTCCCCCCTAGGTCCGATTCTGGCATCCATGTGCCTCATGTCGAGGTCCTGATGCGGTCCGTCCCTCGGTGCCATTCTACTGCCCCATCCCTCCGGGGGGCTTTCTCCACGGTCGAATCTCCCCTCAAATCTTTTGGGCGGGGGCGGGTCATGAAACTGCTGCCTCATATCCACGTCGGTAAAGCCCTGGCGGAGGTCAACATCCCCGCGAAGATCCTCGTCTCTTGGTTCGCGGAAATCCCGTCGGTCTCTGTCCTGGCCTGAGGAACCTGGAAAGTCTGCGTTGTCCCCCGGGAGTGGCAGGGGTAGGGCATGAGACGAGAAATCCAGGCCAGGAGCTCCATCTTCCTGCACGTCCATCATTTCCTGGGAACGGTTGGGGTGTGGCACACCAATCTCCGGCGGCTGACCTTCCGGGCCGGGCGGTTTAGCACTGGGGCCATTCAGGCGTATCCCCATGAGGGAGGGGATACCTGGTTTACTCTTGGCTCCTCCCTCTTCATTTGGTATCATTTCCTGAGGTCCGCCCATCCCGGGAGGTCCGCTCATCCCGGGAGGTCCTCCCATCCCGGGAGGTCCGCCCATCCCGGGGGGCCCGCCCATCCCGGGGGGCCCGTCTCTCCCTGGTGGCCCGCCCATCATCCCGGGGGGCCCGCCCATCATCCCCGGGGGTCCGCCTCCCCCAGGGGGTCTGCCTCGACCTGCAGGCCCAGGGGATCCATCCATCATCATGCCAGGTACTGGACCCATGGAGGGAGCTCCTGGCGGGCCCATCATCATTCCCGGGAGGGGACGCTGTCCGCCGTTCTCCTTGGCATTCTTCATGGCATTCAGGACAGCTTGATGAGCCTGAGCGATGGCCACGCCCGAGTTCTTCACAATCATTTCCATCTTCTTGGCTGCAGAAGGGAAAAAAGCAAAAGAAATATGTTTGGTGAGCAGCAGCCATGCGTAGGACTTACGCAACAAATTGCGCAGCTGCGCAATCAACTTACGATCGATTACACGAAACTTGACGTAGCTGCCCAACGTTTTAAATAAACTAAACATCTTGGACGAGGTTAATAACAGCATTTAAGATGGCTGTTCGTGATTTGAAGACAAGGGTCATATATTTGACAACAAGGGTAATATATTTGATGACAGCGGTCATATATTTGATGGCAAGGTTGAAATATTCGATGACAAGGGTGATATGTTTGACGACAAGGGGGGATATATTTGATAACAAGGGGTGATATATTTCATGATGAGGGTGATATATTTCATGATGAGGGTGATACATTTCATGACAAGGGTGATATATTTCATGACAAGGGTGATATATTTCATGACAAGGGTGATATATTTCATGACAAGGGTGATATATATTTCATGACAAGGGTGATATAATTCACGACCAGGATGATATATTTCATGGCAAGGGCGATATATTTGATGAAAACCCCTACTTTCATCTCCGGTCCCTTTAGCCTCTTCGTTCCCAGATTTATCGTCCTCGGATGACTCGGTCTGCTGCGGAGCTATACCGGGCGCCTTGGTCTTGTCCCACTGGCGCTGGAAGTCGGCCGGGATGGGCTTGGCGTAGGGCACTTTGCGCTGGGGCTGGGGCTTGAGTTTGGCCAGCTCCTCCACCGAGGATTCCAGGCCGGGGATGGAGGTATCCAACGCCAGTTCTTCCTCCTCTGCAGAGAAGGAGAAAAAAACAACAAAAACAAACATTTAATAACTCTAGCTTCCTGGCCAGTTTTGCATCTGTCTCTCATGATTACCTCTCCAGAGATGAAAATGGACTAAGGGAAAAAAATCGAAAAAAAAAGAAAAATCTGAGTCCGAAATCTGGGCTGCGTCGCAGTTACACATAACAATACGGGCATGTATGTACAATAATCTTTGTGCCCAATTTCCGGACATCGCCTCCTGTTTTTATGTTAAATCCAAACAAAATTGACCGTGTGAAAAATATTCAGTGTTTCCATAAAATTGAAAAGCCTAAATTAAGGTCACTGACTTGTCATCAAAGAAGTTCACTTCTTACTTGAGAACATGGAGAAAGTCGAGGAAAAAGTCCAAGACAACATCTCCACTAAGATAGGTGGGAAACAATTCGGCATTATCATCTTCTTCCAAACACCGCAAATGAAATTTATCTTTTGTGCTCTCCTTGCCATCCAGAATTTTGGAATTTTTTTTGAAAAAGTCGGATTTCCGATTAATATCGGAAAAGTGTCATCTCTGCCTCTCAAATACGCCACTGTGGAGAAACCCAAGTTAAAGTCAAAGTCACATGAATGCAACGTGCAATTTGTGACACGGAATGTCTTAATACTCCCTTTCTCAAGTCCTTGTCACTTCTTGTTTTCTGTTTGGGTTGCCTGTCGCTTGTCCGTTGGTATGACGTCCCAGTCTATACTGAAAATGCTTTTTCTGAGATTCAAAAAGGTCTGATTTCAGACCAAAGTCTGAAGGATCTCAAGCCTGTTTGTGCTGTCTTTTGAGTTCAAGAATGTTCACATTTATTTGTTTCCGTGAAATGACTCACCGATGACCCCTTCCTCTGGCTTCTTAAGGTGATCTGGCAGACCGTGCTCCAGTCCCATGCCCGGGATGGCAGGCAAAGCGGAGGTATCGTCGTCTGTCGAGGGAAAAGAAATCTCAATAATTCAATCCCACCTTATGCCTAGTTTGATTCGGTGCCCGCTGCCATTTCAGATTCAAACCAGCCAAGCTCGGTGGTTGAGTGGTAAAGACACCTGCATAGGAAGTTGGAGGGCGTGGGTTGAAGTCCCACCCTGGTGGTTTGTGATTTTTCTTTTCACAGATGCATGGAACAACATTGAGTATGCACTGTTTATAAAATACGTTGACGAAGGGCAAAACCCTATATTGAATTCAACTACGAATCTAGGCAGATTCGAGAGGTCTTTTTTTTTTTTAGCCTATGCTGGTTCTGTTTGAATGTAATTTGACATCAACTTTTGTGGGTAAGAAAGTAAAACTAACCGGAACTTTAGTGTGGGAATGTAGCCTGTAAATTTGAAGTATTGGTCCAGTATGTAGTAGAGTCTATCACAAGTCCCTGCATATCCTCATGAGTTTATCACAAGACGTCCAGTCCCAAATCATGTCATAAGCTATTCAAATGACCATTGACAAAGGCATTCCTTTGTTATTGTTCATCCAATGTTACTTGTGACTGGACTTGTGAGTGGACTTTTGAGTTTACTTGTGACTAGACTTGCGATGGACTCGACTTCATAAATGTATTGGTCATGATCCTTATTTTTTCCAATTTGGCAACTACACATACAGAAAATAGGGAGAACAAAAATGTCATCATACCAAATTCCAACATTTCTTCGGACGTTCCGATGGGTAACATGTTCAAGTTGTAGCGATCCCTCATTCGGTCGCCAGGTCTATTCCTGGTCCAAAATTTCCTGGAGAACAAAATACCACAATTATAACAATGAAACCACGCGGTCTGTGGGTCATACATCGAGAATACATGCAGCCATCATCCATGCACTATGTGCTAAAATACAATTACAAGAAAATGCAATGGGCGTAGGCCCCTTATTTCATATTTAAGTGAAGATATTTTGTTAAAACGCACTACAGAATCAAAGATCCCCCTAATAACCATTGCTCATCAGGGCCCAATTTCACGGCACTGCTAAGCATAAAAATTTGCTTAGCACAAAAAAAGTCTGGCTTATAAAAGCAGGTTATCCGCCACAACTCCATGTGATTTTCATGCTAAGCAAACAACAGCTGAATACTTATCACGAGCAATATACATCACGTGGAGTTTTGGCTGGTAACCTGAAGCCAGACTTTTTTTGTGCCAAGCAAATTTTTGTGCTTAGCAGCGACTTGAAATTGGTCTCAGGTGGGTGGTTCCCCACAACTACGGAGAATGTGTGTACTCACGTTGTGTGATCGTTGGACGCTGAGGCTAGGATGTGACCGAGCGGATGCCAGGCTAGACTCCAGACGATGCTGTCGTGCGCCGTCTCAACGCTTGCGACCTCCTTCGAATTCCTGGACACAAAGTTGAAGGAGAATTAAACACTGAATGTATTTATCCCTTGTCACTTTATACTGACTGGAATGGGCTGAAGTCACTAGGACGCCATCTTAGGAGGCTAAAACCTTTACACACCTGCGCTTCAATCTTTGATCCTTCCCTTCTGTTATCTCAGTAATGTGTAGCAGGGGCGGCCATATTGGGGGGTCTAAAAAAGTGATTCATGGCGGCTTCACTGTTTTTGTGCAGGGCAGTTGGTGCTATGCTGTCAGTATTATAGTGATCAGTGGTGTTGGATTACCGCATGGAACTGTTAAGCAAGACAGCGTTTTCAAAAAGTCTCTTGCAGGTTGCTTAACAGTATGTAAGGCCAAAAAAACCCAATAAATCGGTCTCTGGTCAGCGCGCGCGTCGATTTTGCCTCTATTGCCGCACCTCCTCAATTTTTTTTTAACAAAGAGCACCAAGGAATGGGAAATTGCACCACGTCAAATGATTGAGAGCACCAAAGCAAATTATGAAGGACACCAATGTACATGAGGACACCAAAAAAGCAAAATAGTACCCCACCTTGTCTGTACAATCCAAGCTTGAAGAAAAAAAAAAAAAAAGCAGCGTCGCCGCGCCAATTCCGGAACTTTGGTCTGACCAGAGACCAAATATTTTTTGGGGGGGCCTAACAGCGTATTTAATCAGACAGGTACCATGTGGCAGCCCATATGGGCAAAGAACTTACCCTACTTCCCAGAAGAGGAGGGATCCATCAGAACCGCCGCTGGCAAACATAGTCTCGTGAATCGGATGCCAGGATATGGCTATAAGGGACACAACAAAATGGCATGTTATGTAATGTGACGACTGTTTTAATCAATAATGTGCATGAGTCTCCCCATAGACATTAACTAGAAGTTTCAAGGCAGACTGCAGAACAAGTAGTTGAGGTCACATGCTAATTATTCCCATACATACAAACATCCTAATTTTGACTACTCACAACATCTAAATTTGTATTGTAGGAAGTTTGACCTCATTATTATCTGCCTCTGTGGCCCCTGAACATGTATGAACTAAGAATACCGTTGTAGCATTGAAAACAGCAACTGTGTATACAACCACTTCTTTCTGAGGCCCTGAAACATGAATTTTCATCAGTACATTTATGATGTTCCTTTGACCTACCCGTGGCCTCCTCCTTGTGGCCCCGGAATGTGTATTTTTTTTTATGAGGCCACTTGTATCGTGATACAACAGTGTAACCTTTGACCTACCCGTGGCCTCCTTCTTGTGGCCCCGGAACGTGTACATCTCCTTCATGGTCCGGATGTCAAAGAGCTTGCAGACGTGGTCCCGGGAGGCGGTCAGGAGCCAGTTGCCATTCTGGTTGAACTTGACGGCCATGACGGTGCTCTTGTGGGCGTGGAGGGTGGCCAGGGGGTTGTTGGCGCGGGGGTCCCACAGCTTGATGGGCTGCTGGCTGTCCTTGCTGCCTGAGACCACCAGGCCCTTCTGGGGGTGCCAGTCAACGCACTTGACCTCTGCACCGTGACCTGTTGAAGACATCAAAGAGTTTTGGACTATTTTGTAACGAAAGACTGCCTATTACTGATTAGCCTGCCTGAGATATGACAGGCACAATAGTATGGTGCTGTTAAGAATGAGTAAATTTGGGTCTTTCCAAAGACTTTACCCCCTTACTGTTGTGTCCATCGTAACTCACTAAAAAGTCCAATGAAATAACAGTGGTGATGGGCAAAACTTAATATCAAATTTACATCTCCCCGACACAAACAATTTGAAATATTAACTGATTGTGGCAGCCCCTTCAACATGAGATCTGAACTGGCCAGCCAACCTCAGCAAGCTCAGTGGTCGAGTGGTGAGTCGTCTGCACTAGTAAACCGGAGGTAATGGGTTCGATTCCCAGCCAAGCAAGCTAGTGAACCGACTCTTGCAAGCCTGCGGAAGGCACCAAGTATACAATGCCTACAAGGTGATGCTGGTCAAATGCAAAACCTAAATTAAAGTGTTTTTTAATCTGGAATTCAAGACAAAACTAACATCACACACACCTTAAAACACGAAACTCAAGCATTACATAAAAAAACAGAGCACGACATTCCTGGTTCAATACAGACCGTGCAAAATGGTTAAATCTTTCACTGTTCATGCTGTGTATTGGAATCAGCACTTAGGATTCAAGTCTGCTAACCAAGAACAATACTTACCTCTAAGCACACGTTCTTCATGGCATCGGACAAAATCAAAGATCCGAACCGTCCCGTCATCTGCACATGTTGTGACCTTGGTGTCGGTCGGCGAAAAGCTGTGGCACGGATAAGACATGTAAAGTAACATTAACGACACTTTCTACAACTGATTTCCAAATCCTTCGTTTCAAGGATTTTTCCAACTATCATTTTCTCCTTTTTGACCGAAATGATGAGTAAGTACCGCTATCTTTGTTTTTTTGTTTTCAAAGCGAGTTTTTACTTCTTTCCTTATCAGTTTAATTATATTAGTTTATTGTTAAACCCCAAAGAACACGAAAAATATCAATGACTTTTGGTTAATAAGTATAGTAGTACTCCCCATTTGTGTACTCAAATTTCGAGACCAGCCTGTCTCTCTTGCATTTCCAAATGGATATCCTAAACTACCAGTGACATTTGGACTCCTATGAAATCTGATCTTTTACCTTATATGGACTCTAACCTTCACACATTTGCTAACACCGTCCTAATTATCTTCACTGCTACATACACAAGACCAATGAGTCCGTTTTTCATTTTTTCATTAGAGTCCGAATTTCACCCTACAACCGCCTTACTATGTTGACAACGGCCTACCTAGCACCACGGATGGGCTGGTCCTTGTGTGCCTGGTACATCTTGACGTTGTTCATGTTGGACTGCCAGTACTTGATGTAGCCCAGATGGTCACCCGTCAGCAGCCAGAGGTCGTTGTGACTCCAGGTCATGGCCCGGACCGGGTAATCATGGGCCTGTGTGGGGGGCAATGCATATTCATGAGATCATTTATGTAAAGTAGAACTTGTGTTCACGATCACAATGGTTTACAACACAGTACATGCAGCATGATTGATAAATTCCATCGTGTTTATCCATGCTTTCGTTTTGGGTATAGATGCACATCGTGGGTAGCTGTAGTCCAATGGTTGTGGTGTTCGACCCGTGTGCCGTGGTACATGGGTTTGAATCCTGACCGTTGGTGCATGGTGATTGTGCTCTTGAGCAAGGCACTTTACCATTATTGCTTTGTCCTTCGGATGGGATGTAAAGCCATAGGTCCCGTGTGTAAGTGCTACATGATGGGTCTCATATTTCACATAAACTTCATTCACCTCTCTTTAAAAATAGACATAAAAAACAGCATTTTTAAACCAGTTATTCAGACGCAGCCTTACACAAGGTAAATAGTCTGACATCTTGACTGGTTCCAGCACCCTCTTTTCGGAAGTCTATACCATGGTAGAGATACCGGAAACCAGACTCTAATTGCAGCGACATATCGCCCCCTATTGTTCACGCATGAACCCCAATGCGATTTTTTCCTTACCTGGAGGATGGTCTCAAAGTTGAAGGTGAGGCCATTCCAGAGGGTGAACTCGCCGCTCGATGCCCCCGTCACGAGCCTACGTCCCTCTGGCGTCCACTGGAGTATTCAGAACACAGATACACAGGCTTTGAGTTTTATTTGAAAAGTCGCTTGCGAAGTTCGTGGTGGCAAAATTTTAGCTCTTGGTCAATGAACATGACAAGGTGGAGGGTTATTCTGCATCAGAACGTTTACTTTGAAACCACATAATGTGTTCAGCAGGTAAATGTTGTCATCATCTGCAGGTCAAGTAAGCCAAGGGTTCCTCAGGACTACCCTGCTAAATCCAACAGAGTCCAACGGTTACTTCCTGCTCAACAGGAACGCACCGCACGTATGGCGCAAAGTAGGGTCGACTCATTTTATTCATCATGTGCGCAAACGCACAGCATCTTCGCATAAACATTCAATTGGCCTCCCCAAACTCTCTGTTTTTAAACGTTGAGGGGGGTACTTGTGCGCAGACTAAATAAATGACAAAATCTGCTAGCATCCACAAGTGACTCCTAACCATTGAGTTCTATGTAGAACTGCTTAATCAGCGGCGGCATGATTAGCACATTGTCATTTTTATCACTGCTGCCTACATTTTTTTTGAAGAATACTTACAGCACAACAGAAGATAGGACAACGGATCTTGTTGGTGGACGTCCGGACGAACCGCGTGGTGACGGCGTTGATCGGGTTATTCAAGTAAGTCTCCGGCAACGAGAGCTGAGAAAAGAGTAAGTATTATTTTTAAAAAAGCAGGGTGGCAAACTATGTACAAGTGATATAACTGTGATTTTCATTGATGTAATCTTTCCAATAAAGCTCGTGCTATGGGTGAATCATGTAACAATCGGCGAAGACACTTCTGCGCCAAGTGGGCGAAGCGAAGCCTCGTAAACATCAAAATTGCATGTTAAAAGTGTTATATCTAAAATGTCACTAAATACACGAGTACATGTATCTAACATTATACAGTTATATTCCGATTATTGAACGAACATAGAAGTAAAATGGAGCACTGGTTTTGATAAACTACATACCTCATGTGAGTATGTCGGGTCAGGCTGTATCCAACGCACATCCCTTGAATCTCTTTGCCAGATACGAGACTAGACGACAAAAAAATACGTGACAAAAACATGCTTGAGGGTTCAATCCACAAAACTGGTTCAAACTTCCAAATCAGTCTTTTTTTGCGGTGAACCTAAATTGAAAAACAAATGTTAATGTCTTCGGAGATCGACAGAGGACTGTTAGTGCATCAGAACGTTTACTTTGAAAACCACACAGAAATTCGGTGGACAAATTTTTCATCATTTGCACTTCTGAGCAAGATATGAGAACCAATGTTTTTGACATACCCAGCACACATGCACTATAGTCAATGAAAAACAGAATGAGCTTACTGTAGAAAAACTTAGAGTACAGAATTCTGATATTTTAAAAATAATTTGAACCAAAGCATGTCAACTCTCGGTGCTAGTCCAAAACTTTGGGGTTGTCATATCTAGTGAGTCCCAAAACATACAAACAATGTGAGAAAGACTAGCAAATAAAACAAGCAGTCCAAACTTCATCAGTACTTGATGATGGACATGTATGTTTACATTACTTTTCGAAAATATACATCGGAAAATGTATTTTAAAAGGTAATTTTTGGGTAAAATTTGCCAGTCAAAAAATCTTAAGGGCCCCCCCCCCCCCAAAGTAGTTCTGCCTCCGATTACATGGCATTTGAAAAAAGGGCAGGTAGGTAGGGAAAATTTGGGGGGGGGGCATTTTTTTGTATACAATCCTAATGAGGCATCTGCGTGTAGTCAAGGGTAAAAGGTAGTAATTGATAGTTTTGGGTGTTTTTTCCCCTCATTTTTTCCATACAAAAATTAGGGTAGGGGCTGTCAGAATAGGGTAGGTAGGGAAACCGGAAGCAGAATTTTAATTTTTTTTGGCCTAAAACCTAAGGCATGATGATCGAGTCCAAGCACAAGTCTTTTGCTGATTGGACTCAAATCGAGTCCAAGTCACTGGAATTGCAACTCGCATTTTTGCGCCATGAGCGTCATTTATGGCGGATAATGGCGCGGTATAAATTTCCGTTATTATTATTATTATTATTATTCAAGTTGGAAATGCACTCAAGTCCGAGTGATGGACTTCAGTCCCACGACACTGCTTTTTTTTTTTGCACTAAATGTCTAAAATCAAGCAAGAACTCAGCTCAGCATTTCTAGACAGTCTACCCATACCTCCAACAACTTGATGACGGATGAGTTATAGTCCACGGTTTTCCGCGTGATGCTCTTCCGCATGCGCTTCCCGTCAAAGTTGGTGGCGTTGTTGGGGCCCTGCTCCCCCAGCATGCGGTTGTAGTAGTGGTGGTGCTTGTAGAACTGGTTCTTCTCCCTGTACGGCAGCCTGGGACGATGGAAAAAGCCCTGGTTGGACTGTGGCGCTGCCACGGCGGTGCCCCCACCGCCATCCATTGTGCTGGATCGGTGATCTGCAAAATTGTTGTGTAAAAGAAAGCTATTTCTACTTAGCGAAATGAGATTCCACTTTACTTCAAAATTTCCCGCTGTACACTTTTTCAAGCCATTTCATGAATACCGCCATCTTTATGATCATATCTCAGGAGCATTTCAATAGATTAGAAATACGTCCTATCATGCCGTTGTATCCTAAGCATGATCAATGATGGGACACATTTCTGGTGAAACGCCCGAGATTACCATGTCCATGCGATCAAAAAGATGGCAGTATCCGTAAAACGGCTTATGTAGGCTATTTTTTTTTTTTTAAAGCGGGAGCTCATGCAATCTAAAAGTGAAACCATGGAAAAAAGTTCAAACAAAACAAAACATCAACAACTTGACCATGATGACCAAAATCCATCCATGATCACCACCTGATCACGGACCATGAAAATTGTATTTTATTTTAAACCTAGTTAATTGAATAAGTAAAAATAAATTAACAAAATATACCCAAAATCCCCAAAAATGCAATTTTGTAAATTGAAGTCATGAATCTTTGCAAATAAGCATTTAAATAGCGCCCTCTATGTTCCAGTTGAACAGCCTCATTTTTCCACATCAATCATCATGTGTGTATGGACGAAGTCGTACCTTTAATTTCTTCACAGTAACCAATGCTTAACACTATTTGAATACTTACAAAAAGTCTAACCAATAAGACGCCTTTCTAGAGCTGATATATGTATATTTGTTTCTTTACATGAATAAACAAAACAAATACGATTGGTCTCTCAATCTTGCGCGTTTTAGAAATTCGCGTTGTCGGCCATGATTATAGTCTGGTTCCTACACTTGCAAAATGCATTATTTTTGTATGTATATCGGATGCGAAGACATCCAACGCGGAGGTTAGGCTTTACATACACTAGACGGCATGATTACCATTTTAGACTGGTTCCATCATCAACTATACGTAAATAGATGGTAGGGTACCATTCTGTGATTTTCAGTGGCATATTCCATTTTTATGAAGGGGAAACAGAATAAAACATTGCCGTAAAGATGCTAAACGAATTTTCTCTTTAAAATATCAAGCATCATTCGTTATATAATTAAATTCATAGGTTTTTTTTATTGAATTTAGTCTCATTTTGCAGAGTTTAGAAAAATTGCTGCTTACTTTAATTCTTGCAATGACACTTGGAAACCCTATTGGATTATGCTGTAACCCATGCAATTACAAATGGCTGCGGAGACTTAGGACGACGAAAACAATTTACCAGTTTTTTCATCCACTTTTATCACATTCATCTCGACCAATATCTTAATTTTGTTACTAAAATCTAAAAGGATCATATATTGTCCACTCATTTAGCGTGTCATTTATACTAACCGAATCACTCAAACGGAGGGAAAATGTCGGGAAAGCTGAAGGTTGCTGTTGTTTGTTCGAGTAATCAAAACAGAAGTATGGAGGCGCACGCAGTACTAAGGTATCACTATCAAAATCACTTTCTGCACTGACAGTCGCAGTAGATTTTTCACAATGGTTTTAGTTATCAAATACTCAGTGCTTTCCATTTAATTGGATGATTTCCTTTTTTAGGAAGAATGTGCTATCCTGACTCCACTTCTTTGCAATGGTGTAGAAGTAGAAGGGGGATGGGAAGGGGCCCAACCCAAGGGCCCTGTGGATGTTAGGGGGGGGGGGTACGTGCCCCCCCCCCAAGAAAAATATGTGTCTTCCCCCCCCCCCCCCCCCTCAGAAATCAAAAATGTGTAGCTTTCCAATGAAATGTCTTTTTAATGTTTTTTTTTTTGTCAAGATTATTTTTGACTTCCTGCAAAGACCTACTCACCTAAATGACCTAGACCTAGGCCTACGACTTCAAAAAATGTTGATAATCAAAAAGGGCACCCTCTGGCTTTTCAAATGTCATGAATGTGTATGTAGCATGTGTGGTGACCAGTGGCCTGGAAATTTGGGTGAAATGTTGAATCCCCCCCCCCCCCCCCCCCCCCCCCCCCCCCCCCCCGGCTAAGTCACTGCTTATTTGCTTTTGTACAAAGTCTATGGTTGCATGCATTTTGGGAGTAATTGCAGAATACCCCGCCACACGGAAATTACCCCATTAAAATAAATGGCTACGCAGTCGGAAAATGTTGCAGAAATGTCCAAAGTAGGCTTACATGTAGATGTCGGGAATTGATACGTGAATACAATATTGAATGGGGAGCAGGGGTTAAATAAATCTAAGTCCAAAGTAGGTTCCAGGAAGCGGATATGGGGTGGACTTTATTTTTAGCGGAAGAAAATATTTTTGAGAACGAGGCATCCATATTTGGAAAATAACGAAGGCAGAGACAACGTGAGTTGAATGGGGATCAAGGGAAAAATGTGTAAGTCCAAAGTAGGTGCCGGGAAGTGGATACGCGGATACGGGGATACGGGGTGGACTTTAGCGGACGTGCACGCGTGTGGTTTTGGTTGAGCATCCAAGCGTGACTCCGTATCCGCGTATCCGGATACGAGGTGGGATAGGTGAGTGGCTGGGTATTCTGCAATTGTGCCACATTTTGTAAGCATTTTCTAACGACATTGGAAATGTTTTCAGTCCCGGATTCATATCTTTCCACACTTTAAGTTAAAAAGTGGCGTCAGGATGTATAACATCCTTTCCACTTTTTTTAACCTATGATTTATTTCATAATTTTTCAATAGCAGAACATGTCTTTTTTTCACGCATGTTATGTCACAGTGTCCGTACAGTGCCCTGCTTTGTTTGATTTAGTTTCATTTGGTTTAACATGGAGGAAGTAAAAGACTCCTCCACGGGTTCACTCACGTCACTTGCTCGCGCTGTGACATGGGCAATGCTTGGAAAGGCATATAAAATTGTAAGAGTAAATGCCTTCATTTTGAAGAAACTGTTCAGTTGAACTGGACAGCAGTCACAAATGTGTGTAGAAGCATTAACCCTACCTCCCTAGGGTGATTTACTTGGAACATTCCTCACCCTTGCAAATCCCAACACCGTATGGTAAACTGTGCACATAAACAGTTGGACTCTGTTTATTTATGGTATGCCTAATCCCACGTAAAGCACAGTCAGTTTACTAGTGCAGTACTCATCTAACAGATTCCAACAACTCCTGGTGTTGGAGTTTGGCTGGTTGGGGCTCGTTAGGGTTAAGGAATTAATAAATGAAAGAACACAAAACTGTTGAACTCAACATTTACAAAAATAATCCCAAATTTAAACTGGCTCCATAGGAAAGTGCACATGTAAACAAAGTGTGACATCATCAGTACAGAGGCTTATTAATAAGTTTTCTTTTAGTACAAGAATCATTCAAATCACCCATGTACTTTTCAAGTTACGGAATTTTGAACTCAAACACTGTTTTAAAGTTCTGTCCACGGATCACAAAAAAGTAAGGGTTCTTTCAGCCAAACGAAAACAATTCTCCCCAGGAAGGATGCATGTGAATTTTTTTAATTTTGCTGAAAGAACAAGTGTTTGTGTTCAAAATGCCGTAACTTAAAAATCACAAGAGCGATTTGAATGATTTTTGTTCTAAAAGAAAGCTCATTCATTGGGCTTTCTTATCCTAGATTTTGAAATTGCTACAGGCAAAATTTCATTCAAAATTGGTCCTGCCATTTGGAATGCCTGTTTTTTTTTACTCACCCTGTACATGTACCAGTACTTACTTACATAGTACTTTTTGATATATTTTGACTTGTAGCATTTATGCCAGTGCTAAAAAATTTTGTTTCTTATTTGTCGCTGAGTTTAATTTAAGCAATCTTAAAATAGGGAATCTCATTCTTCCTTTTTTTCTTTTTCTTTTTTCCTCCAGCAAAAAGGGCTACAACGTCAAATCATTCGGAACTGGTGCAAACTGTAAACTTCCCGGCTCCGCTCCAGACAAACCAAACATCTACGACTTTCGGACGACCTACGAGGAGATGTACAGGGACCTGGAAAGCAAAGACAAACAACTGTATCCGCGGCCACCCACGATTTACAGCCTTGCGGCTGTGTACCTTTTTAACAATATTTGTGTTTGTGTGTGAAATGATGATGTGATAACTAACAGACTGACACACAAAGTGAGTGCGAGAAGAAAGAGAGATTGTACGTTTTGTTGAGCTGCAGCTTGAAAAATGTAAATATCATGTCGAATTATGCTAGGACGTGCATATGAGATGCGGATTTTGTCTTGTTTGTAAAATGGAAACTACAAATAGTTCAGCATTTTACCTTTTTGCATCACCCTTCTTTCAATGTTTCCTTTTGCATCACCCTTCTTTCAATGTTTCCATGATGAGCAAAGCAATTTTTTCACAACTACTTGTGATGAGAGCCCAACAAAATATTGGAAAGTTTCAAGGAGCACAAAGGCAAATTATTTACCAGCGGCAGTGAGACAATAAACTTCATAAAATATGGGTTTGACGGAGTTTTAGTAGTTAGTCAAAGCTTTATGGTAAGTATGCGGTCTCAGAAAACAACTGTAACTGAAACGCAAACAGTTTTTCTGTTAACGATATGGATACGATCAATGTGTAATGAATAACGGTTTATAGGCAGGTGAGTATGGCCTTTAACCCTAACCCCCTTATAATCTTACTGTGTTTTAAAAAAGTCTTCATTCTTTCCTAAAAGGCCTACTGTTCCTTGGACGCCATCAGTTCTCGTGCTAAATACAAGGGTGGTCTAGAATGGATATGCAATTTATCTGGAAATAAATTTTGATGAATTCAAGGGGACAAAGCTAGTTATGGTCGAGTGATGAAAAAAACTTGTATCGAAACTAGTAAGCTTGCCATTAAGATGGCATTGATATCACTCTCACATCGAAATATCTGCTTACAATTTACCGCCTGATTTAGCACACTATCTTTTCACCGACATACACTGTATTTTGATACCCAGCTGAAATCTACACACTTCATCAAAATGGTAAATGTGAACGTGACAGAAAAGCAGTCTGTTCTCTCCATTATCTGTTTTGCAAAGCTACATTATCTCACTATTAACAATGACACTGACAGGGTCTTTCACGGCAGTTGAAACATGTAAACTTATATGGTTATGAGGATACCCGTTTTCTGCAAATGTGGGAATGGGAGGGGCATGGGCATAGCGAGAGGGGGGTAACTTGTGCCCCCCCCCCCCCCCCCCCCCCCGGAAAAGCAACCAAAACGACAGAAACAAGAAAAGGAAAAAAAGAGGACAAGGGGCCGGGGCGAATCATTTTACCGTGAATGTAATGCATATTTAACAAGGGCGTCGATTTTTCCACGGCCACTGAGTGCTTTGCCCCCCTCTAGAAAAAAATCCTGGCAACGCCCATGGGGAGGGGTCAGCACCTTCAGCTCGTGCTGGCTTTTTGAGCGGAGATGAAATCCGTGCATCATGGTGAGCCCCAATCAGTTTGGAATTGATGCTTTTCTGTGCAGCGCGAATGTTTCAGCTACCGTGAAATGACCATCTACCGCCGTTGTACCTTACTAGTAGTCCTCGGTACGTGTTTGTGGAACAGACGAGAGGACCTAGTACAGGACATCTGGCTTAGGCTATTATGTTAACTATATTTCTACCGGATTGTGATTTTGAATTGAAGGACTTCAAAGTGATTTGAAGAAATAAAAAGACATGAAAGATATGTTATATGGACCGAACGAGTCTTAATTATTTGGTTTGAAAAGCCTGGTTTCCCCTGCGCTGATACTTCATGGGGAATAGACCTTTTGCGTTGCGGGTATCTCAGAGGGCGCTCTTTCTTATTTTAATCGAGTAACAATGAATGCACTCAAGGTTTGATTGTGCCTATCCACGCAGATACGAAACAGCTGCCCTCTAACTCCGCGCGGTGACGCATAACGTCAATTACAGTTAAGAATGACGTCCTACAATATACAATTTCGGAGAACTTTTTGTGTGTGTTTAATCAAGGAATGAAGAGTGCTCACTGGTGATTGTCGTACAATCGTGCTCGTTAATATGATGCCTGAAAACTCGGCGAAAATGCTTTTGAATGGAGCTAGGAAGCCAGCTTTTCGATGCGTGGCCCGTTTTTCAACGAACCCCCACTTTTCTTGGTTTCCCATCTTTCGTTGTGCACCCCATCACAGCTCAGATATTGGTCTTGACCTAACTTGACTTGTCAGATAACACTCGACGCATAGCCTGTAACTGTACATGAACATTCAAAAAGTATGACACAAGTTCCTGAAGTTGACGTTAAATGGCTTCTTTTTGGCCTTCAAACAGTCTTTTGCGTACACTCATTAAACAAAGAAACGCCCTGAATAATACCACAAATTGACGTCACGCTTTGTTTACCTGTGGACGAGGGTACATCTTCCCTCACCCGGCCGGCTGCCATGAGAAATCACAAAGTAAAAAGTTACCGAAAGCGTTTCGAGACTGAAACTGTTCGCTGCCCGATACTTTGGTTAGAATTCACAGAAAAAATATCAGTAATGACAACGAATCTGCAAAAATTTGATATGCAAATGTAAAAGCTAGATGTTAACCGGTGATAAATAATTGGTGAAACGATGTTCCATCCAGTCTATTACGTTTGAAGGAATTCGCGCAATTATGTTGAGTGCTTATTTTTTTGTTTTACTTTATTGTGACGTTCTGTAGTCTTTCTCATTTTCTGCACCGGAGGTATACGCTCTCTGTTGGTCAGTGATGCCCTGACGCCAACACCAGCGAAGTAGAAGTTAGTGAACGACACTTGTGAACGATAATGTGCCCGGTGGAAAATTTCCGAGGGTCGGATCCGGAGCGCTATTTAATGTTGTTAATGCCTTCGGTTCTCTTCTCGTTTCTCAAATGAAAACAAAAATAATGGATAGAATGGTCTGACATTATCAACATTAACATCGAACGTGATCTTCCCCTCGAGACCGCGGTCCCGACATTTTTGATACCAATTTTCATAAAGGAAGCACAGGCGAAGACTCCCTTTGCACCTTCGCCAATGCAGTTGGTCTAGGCGTGAAAGTGGGACAGATGTGACGCGGCGAGCGTGACAAGTGGTACACGCACGACTGTGATGGTCCAACACGGCAAGAAGACATCAGCAACCTCTCTACACATCACAGATGCGTGGTCCCAGATGTTCCTTTGAATAGCTGCATGACTCGAGTAAGGTGAGTTTTGTCATCTTTTAGTAAGGGATTTAAGCCCAATTTCCCGTGTTTTTATTTCCTGATTATTCAGCAGAGAATCTGTCAGATCTTGAGAGATAAAGCAGTTTGTTAATACATGTACAGGTAGTTCATTGATTTGAAATCGGTACTTGATTAATCTTGTTTCCTGAAACGTATGTTAAATTTGTTAATGTTGGTTATTGGAGATACAGGCCTGGTAAACCACTTTTGTATCCCTTAAAATCAGGCATGCAACTTTTCCTCAGATCAGCTGATTTCCTCTTTTTTCACTCCCAATGTGTGCCATTGAAAATAAAAAATCACTGTACAAAGTCTTGGAAAGATTTGAATTTCCTCTTTTTTTGTGACTTCCCAGTTGCATGCCTGTAAAATAATTTTTGGGGAAACGAGTCTTAACTCCTGTATGACCGTGTCCCCGTATTCATGTTGAAGTTTTTATACTCTTGCTCGCATTTCCCTAATTCTCGTCTGAATTCCATAAGACCTGGACAAAAGGGGCATTGCGTCGCAAATATTGTACGATAAAATTCATGTCAAAGGTCATAAGTCAAAGGGCAACTGATTATATCCACAGAGGTTTAGCGTTGATAGATTTCGATGAAACTTTGCTGGAAAGAAATCTTACGAATATTGAGCTCAAAGGTCATGTAGAGGTCAAGGGTCATGTAGAGGTCATTGTTCAAATATGATTAATTAGGATTTGATGTAAATAGAGAGTTTTACTTGATTGGGGGTTATGGCGCCTCTTCAGAAATCGGGGGTCAAAGGTCATCTAGGGGTCATTTTAGGTGCTTAAAAAGCAAAAACATTGTTTAGGTGTGCTGATGTGAACGTTGTATTGAGGATGTAGTGTCAAAGGTCATCCAGGGGTCACTTGATGTCATAATAGGAACAAAATTGTGAAAATAATATCTATGGGTCACCAGAGGTCATTGTTTAAACCTGCCTCGGATGTTTCTTCGTATTGATGAATTTTGATGTAGGCCTAACTTGGATTCGGAAAGAGGCGACACGTGATCCGCGGATCGCTTTGCTTGGTGGATGAACTCCCATTGAGTAAATGCATGCACTCTGCTGATAGACTTTGGCTTAGCTAAAACTAAAAGCAAGTTGTTTTGGTTAGGGTTAGGAGGTTGACGATCCTTTCTATTCCCAAACTTCAAAGTTAAAATCTCCCCGTAATTTTTTTTGTTCGAGTTTCACCCCGAAAAAAAGTGTGTTGTACTTTTTCTATAATACAGATGTATTCACTTTTGAATGAGAAATCAAACAAAATCCATCCACGTTTAGTTATGGAATATTTACTTGGTTACAAGCGTGTCTTTTGGGGTCGATCCGGGGAGCACCGCAATCCAAAATTATACTATATATTCAGAGGGTTGAAAACGTCCAAACTAAAAAAAAGAGGGTTTTCCGTTGAAAGAGAAAATCCAACATGCTGAGGCGTACGGGTAAAGCAGCGTTACAGCTAAAGCATATGCTACTTTTTTTCAGCGTCTCTCTGCACCACACCCCCTTACATGCATGTACACGTACTTTGAACTATGCATGAGCAAATTCCAACCTTACGCGTACGAAGTATAATACGAAAACAAAAATACAAGGCCTATTATTTCAGATAATGCCACAGGGTCACTGGGATAACTAAACGAAAAATAAAATCCACTCCCCGTATTCCCCACCCACACACCCACCTGCCCTGGCCCTCCACACCAAACACAAAAACAAAATTGAACACAATGGTCCGTTGCTTGATAAAAAAAAAAATCCCCCCTCCAAATATAAAAAAACTACCAAACAAGAACACACACCCCCCCCCCCCCAAAAAAATTATATATATATTCTGTTCTTGTGTATGAATGTTTAAAAGGGGCTAATATCTGTTTGTCGACGCCCTGCCTGCCCCCCCCCCCCAGCCCTCCCGTTTAGTCTGTGAGCCCCGCTCCCTTTTTTCTCTCTCACCTTTTACTCCCAGTCGTTCAGCAATAGAAGAAACATTTCGTATTTAGAACTATTACCAAATCCTGGTAATGTCATAACTAAGCGCGTCGGGGCGTCAAGTGAAGGCACAATTAAACCATTGAGAGCGCCCCCCCCCCCGCCCCCTTCAAAAATTGACTCCAAGTGCCGCCCAGAGATTCGTCGTAACTGCTCAAAGGATAGCATGAGCAAATGTGATTGGCGCAAAATACAGGGAAAAACATAAACGATCGTGTTTTATGTATTCATTTTTTTTTTTGCATGGCACTCACAATGGTTAGCTTTGGTTTGAAATGGCTCCCTGTTTCCTGGGGTTTTTTTATTAAAGCTCGCGAATTTCTCCTAAAATTTCAAACTGGTTCTTCCCACCAAGAACCAGTTTCGCGTGCATATCATCAGGACTCGGCTTCTTGGGGGCGTCGTGTGCACTATAACAGGCAAAATGGAACGCGCAACCCCCAAAACGTTGTAGACATGAAAAACTGAAATGATGTATATTTTTTTTTGTCAGTGGATTGAATTTGCAAGCTTCAAACCCGCCAAATAACTTGACTATACTTGCGCATATACCCCGAATTCGATCGAATAGTCGTGTAGAAGTAATTACCTCCTTTTTGCACTTTCGATGCCTCCACATGATTTTCTAACAAATTGTGTTATGTGTGATTTTGACTTGTACTTGTGTGAAGAATGTCGTGACTTAGGGGGTGGGACACTCCCCCCTCCCCTTAGAGGCCAATGACCCCCTCCCCCCCCCCCCCCCCCCCGCGTGCCCCACCCCTTGCTCAGAAATTTTGTTAATGAATAATGAGATGTTTCAATGTTAATAACCCATTGAGTGTCCCCTCCAGTAATTTAGGACCTTATCGATTGAACCCAAGTTACGCCACCGCGTAAAACATAAACGCTGCACCCAGCCCAGGTTGGACGACGTCTTCATTGCATTACAACGCGGAGTCCAACCTGGGCTACGTTGTACCTAAAGGATAGGCCCTAGCCGTTTATGGCGCATCATGTACAATGCATGCAAGAGTATTTCCTTCGGCCAACGGGAGAGCAAGTGCATGTCATAACTGATTGGCTCGAATACCAATGCTTCTTACTTTTGTACTTCTTACCCGATAATTAGCCCTTAAGCGTGGGCACGCGTGGTCTGGTGGAAAAGCATAGGATTCATGATCGTGAGGTTGTGGGTTCGAGCACCGCCGTGACCATGCGTGTTGTGCCCTTGAGTAAGGCGCTTGACCTCAATTACTCCTCTCAACCCAGGTGTTAAATGGGTATATATACAAGCATTATCCAATGCTGGGAATTAATTGAAGGTAACAGACTCTCTGTGGAGGAGGTGTGGCAACACCCCCCCCCCCACCACCACAGCAGCATTTGACTCTGGCCCAATCGCTAATGGAAGAGAGTTGGGCACTCCGTTCCTGTGAACACAGGTTCGTCCCCTTTACCTTTTTTAGCCCTATTAACCACCCACCAGTGTTGGAGCAAAGGCTTTGACCCTAAAGGCCAAGGCCAAGGCTTCGACCCTCAAGGCCAAGGCCAAGGCCAAGGCTTTGACCATCAAGCCTCGAGGCCAAGGCCAAGGCTTAACCCTCAAGGCCAAGGCCCTGTTTTATGAAATGACCACTGATATAGAACTAATTATAGTCACATGAGTGACACGTCATCACGCAAGGGCGGATCCAGAACACAATTTGGGGGGGGGGCAAAGAAATGTTGGTCCCCCCCAAAAAAAAAAGTGGGTGAAAAAATTACAGCTTGGGCTTTGAAATAATGATTTACTTCTATATTGACACACAATTCTCCCAAGTGTATCAAAAGGGGGATCCAAAAATCTGATTTGGGAAATTTTGTATTTGCTGGCCCAACATGGTCAGAAATATCGGCATTATCTAAAACAGATACATGCAAATCTTTAGCACTTATCAGGGAGACATATACAACCAATCAGATCTACTCCATAGTTATATGCGACTTGAGCGTCTTTTTTAGACGGATTTTGGCGCTGTATAAATATTCTCTATTATTATTATTTGCAATTAAAGTGATCATCTCATTAGCCCCACAAGTGTACGGAATATTTTTGCAGCAAATCTACTACAATGGTAACAAAATGTGATGCTACAAAAGTGGAAGTGTGCCCAACACACAAATCTATAGGGTGCTTCCCTCCTCCATGGTAATGCGATTGAAATGGTAAAAGCAAAATTTCGAACAGATTTATCTGGAAATGCAAAAATCTATGGGCCTTGAAGAGCCTTGACTCAAAATTGCAAGGCCCTGAACCCTCAAGGCCAAGGCCAAGGCCAAGGCTTTTGCCCTCAAGCCTCGAGGCCAAGGCCAAGGCCCTAAAATCCAGCCTTAAGGCAGCCTTAAGGCCAAGGCCCAGCATCAAGGCACTACATCACTGCCACCCACCCTCGATCAGTAAGAAGAATATGGCCCAGTGTTTGACTCATGTACGATGGTGTGTGGCCGGCTTCGAACCCTGCCAGGTGTTTGTGCCCTTCGGCAAGACACTTAACTACAATTGCCTCTCTTTACCCTAAGCATAGACCATTATCATGTTGCAACCATTTGATTTTCCCCATTCAAATCAATGTAACCAAAGCGAGGCTGGAAGGTCAACTAGTCTGGTTCCTTTTCGCACAAAACCATTATCATTTAGTACTGTTATTGGATACAGGGAACATGACTGAAATGGTGGCAGCATGATAAATGTCAATTAAGGTGAGAGAGGAGGCCGACCGCATGTGCGCTGATATCGGCTGCTGCGTGGTCTCGTGGCCTGATGAACGGGGGGGGGGGGATTATTGTAAAGCGCTTTGATATACATGTATTGTTGATGCCCTGGTAAACGATACATAAACATTACCGATATTGTTATATTATTAGGCTATTATTAGCCTATAAGGCAGTTGGATAGTTGGTTGGTTTTGTGTGCCAAGGCGGTCGCTTGAATAGTCTTTGAAAATAGTGTGACGTCACTGTTTCTGTATTCGAACCCTGTTTTATAACAAGGAAAAATATTAGGTCCTAAGTCTTTGTTTTCCTTGATTTCCATTATTGATAACTTTAAGGTACAACAATGTAAGTTGTCAAGTCCCGCCAAGGACCTTGTCATAAAGGTTTTCCCACTGTCTACGGACCAGTGCTCTTGAACAAAGTCAAGGGCGGATCCAGGGGGCCAACGGGGGCCATTGCACGCCCCCCCCCCCCCCCCCCCCAAAAAAAGCTTTTTTTTTGTTCTTTAAGTGACGTCGCAATTAAGGCAGGCACTGCGTACACCATCGTCTTTTCCTAAACAAAATTGGTTAAAGTTATCAGAAATTGCCTCGGATTGTACCACAGAGCATCTGAAATCCTTAAGCGGACCCCGAACCCCACGCCGTAATTTTTTGGACCCACTTTTTTTGGGGAACCAAAATTGTGTTGGCCCCCTAAAAAATTGTGTTTTGGATCCGCCCTTGAAGAAAGGTGTAGGCCTACACACCCGTACCCATGACACCTTAGTTTTGACCGCAGCACTGTTGAAGCTATCGACAAAAACAATAATGTTAAGTTTCATGTGAATGTTGATTTATTTTTTACTACTGACTGACTGACTGACCGACCACCGACCAACTGACTGAATGTCAGTCACTTGTTGGTCGGGCAGTGCTATTGTATAGGATTACCCTGTAACACCATCCGATGGGCTAAATCTGGCTGATTGTGTAGATAGACCAGAGGCATGAAGCGACTTCCAGTGAATAGTCATTCTGAATTAATTGAATAGAATTTATTCTGCTTTTGCTCGTAAAATGTTCTGACTGGACTCTTCTTTGAGCATAAAGCCAGGCATGTGCCCGGAGGTAGGGGTGAACAGTTACATGTAGATGAGTTCCGTACAGTTTGATATAAAGTTGTCAATATTTGGTGATTTGACAACAGAGTATGGTAGAGTATTCCACTCCTTAATGGCACCAGGAAGATATGAGCACTTGTATTTGAGACGGCCGAATGGAATGTGGTACGTGTAGTTGGTGCTGTTTGAGTGACGCAGACGGGTCACTTGGGTCAATAGTGTGTGTTCTGGGGCAAGCTTTATGCTAGGCTTGCCTCGTGTTGATTTGTGTGAGATTGCATTTACTGTATACACGTGAATATTCCTATGTACCCATTTTTGCCAAATGTTTCCTTAACCCAAATTTACCCAAAAATCAGCTACACACGAAACGGCATCTTGTCCATGCTGGACCGAAACAGACGCATCAAGCAGCGGCCGGAGAGATTCCAGAACAGCAAGGAGAAGTTTGACATTGTGGTAACGGCTGAGGAGAGAGTCTACGACCAAGTTATAGAAGGTCGGAGCAAAATGGCGACCTGTGACGTTTTTGTCATTTTTTTTTCTTTTTCACAATCAAGTGTCCCAAATTTTAAGTGAGAAAAATTCCAAAATAAAATTATGAGACTGATACATGAACTGAAGAAAACAACTTTGTAATCATGATGATACAAATTTCTTGATGTCAGGTTGTTCAAAGTCTCGTCAGCTTGTGATGGTTGCAGAAACTTTTCTGAATCAACAAAGTTTTTTTGATACTCAAAACATTTACCCTCATTTTAATGCGAGAGGATCACTTTTTCACACCATCGTTTCAAAAAAGGTTTCAGATTACTAAATCCTGCACCAGGATACCACACAAAAAAACAGGCTTTAATTTTTTTTTTTTAATAAAATTTTTAAAAAAATAATTCATTTCTGTTGTCAAACCAGTGGCAGCTGAACAATTACCTCATTGATCTATGTTGTGTTGTTCATTTTTCTCCATTGTTTGCACTGCACGTTAAAAGTAACCATACAGAAGTGAAACTCGTTTTGTTGGGGAAAATTAGTCCCCTCAAAATTCGAACCCGTGATTCAAGCGAATTCAATTTTATTTTGGTACGATTCGTTAATATTTCTTGCAGATTTCAATACAAGGGAAGAAGACTCGGGCGAACCTGTGCACGTGATCAACATCGAGATCATGGACAACCACGAAGAGGCCACGCTAGGGGCGTTCACCATCTTGAAATTGTGCCAACTTGTAAGTAACACACCCCCATCCGCCCATCCCCTCCGCCCCCCCCCCCCCCTCCCCAGGAACCCAAATCTAGATGTTGGGGTGTTTTAATAATGGTATTGGACGTCACACTGACCAGCCGGATTTTAAAATGGGATTCCCACAGAAATCAGTCTCGTTTTCATTAAATGGTGTGTAGGGGGGTTCTCAAAACCTAAGTCGGCCGAGTATCATCCGTTGTCCAACGCAGCCGGCCCTCCGTTTCCAAAGTCTGATTCAGTGTGCAATGCAAATTTAACGCGACCCCGCGCGCCAGCCAATCGGAGTCGGCTTTAGAAATTGTGACACCATTTCGATCATCAGCAATGTTGACTGAACTGTTGATTGGTCAATTTGGATGCCATGTGTTGGTAATACATGTACAACAACAGGTTATTTGAAGACCCGATAGAAGGCGCCCGCTGAGTGCTCAGAATCTCGAGGTCGAGACGCAGTCTTGTTTTGCATAAGCTAGTAATCGCCGAATCTGCTCGCAATTCACAGACTCTTGCTGTGCAAGAGGATATTCCATAGACCACCAAAAGGTTTTGCCTTCAATGTCCACTGTAGATTTGCTCTTAAAATTAGCCTCGTTGTTTCTGGACCTTTCTTTGGCAGTAGTTCCCCATTTCAAGGGCCTAGATATCTTCAGAAGCCGCCGCTTGAGTTGAGGCTGAATTTGGGGTTGAAAAACAAAAACACCCATCAGCTTCTGTGTACTCTGAAATGCGCAATACGGGAATGAGACCTGACTGAGTAATTCTCCACAATATCTGATATCCATTCATTTAATTAATTTTTCCTTCTGTCACTGTTTTGCAGCTTGAAGGGTGCACGGACTTGGAGAGAGACATTGATGAAAAAATACTGAAGTTTGAGCGAGAAAGCAACAGGGATATCCTACACACTATTTGCTTCTACTGACGGGACAAAAATTGAATGAACACTGTACATGTAGGCCTACCTCGATAGTGTGTCAGCATCATCTCCAGGGACCTCAAACCAGAACTCTTTATGTTGATGATGATGTCATTAAACCAAGCACTGCTAGTGTGTGGAGCCTATATATAGGAATGCTGAGTTTAACCCGTGCTGAGTTTGAACTGTGTGAGAAATGCGCGTGCGTGGACATGAGTAGTTAATAGCAAGACTGGCGCCATGCAGGGCCGGGTCCGAATTACTTGACTACGGCTGGAAATAGCACACGGGTCCATGAGAAGTGGCTGTAGCCACTTCCATTGAAGCGTGTAGCCACTTACATAGGCGCGTGTGTAATTTTTCAGCCATAGCCAAGAAATTCGGACACGGCTCATGTTTATGTTCTATATAGGTGGAGGGGGCACCAGACCGAGGTCAGTTCTCAAACTTCGGTTCTATCACCAGCTTAGGCTCCAGGTTTCAACTCCCATTTAGAAATCGGGCTTGATTGTGTCTATTTTTTGCAACTGTAACATCCAATCTAAACAGTTCTGAGTCTGAATTTCGAAGTTTTGTCAGTTTTGTTTCAACAATGAATGCATTGCATTTAACGATTTAGGTTCAAGCTTTAAACGGTCCCAGGCCAAAGATGAAGTTGAAGCCAGAGACGTCCAAGTGCGCCCTCTGTTGTTATACGTAAGGGGAGGTCTGCATCCGCAACGCGCACCGCAGAGGTTCATTATTTTGTTCACATAATAATATTCCCACCATAATTTATTTTCCTATAACTATTGTACTTGTCTTATTTTAAATTGCTGAAAGTTATTTTTCTTTAGTGGGCAGTTTTGCGGTATTTTGTTTGATATTGCACAAGTTAATTACAGCTTCCATTATAAATATGCTTCGTTTAGATAAATTTAATGATGTAGATATGTATTATCAAGTTTACTAACATTTTGGTATGAAAAAAAATCAGGCATTTTAAACCGTACCTATACGACTTTGAAAGTTGCACTGTGACACAAATCAATTCTGGATTACATAGAAAAATTAAATTGATCAGAAAATTAAAATTGTCTTACAAAGCCAATTGTAGCTGCTTCCGTTTTATTTGATTATTTTATGAAAATGACTAATGACACTGGAAGAAATGACTTGCAAACTCAATCGGGTATCTGCGGATGTAGTAAAAAGGAAAATTTCAGCACCGACTGGATCATCGTTCATTTTGTGTGTCGGCCATTCTTGAAAACAACGAACGACTCAGAAAAAAAAACGTTTGCCTGTGTTGTTAACGTTCGCCAACGTTGGTGGCAAATACATGCACACTGTAGTCGGTGGATCCCACCACTGATCTCTATATAAAGACTGGATAGCGGATATGCATACAACATTCACACAGAAGACTTTGCATATTGACCAATTCGCCCCCGGTCTCACGAAGATGGCCGCGTATCATACGAACGTTCTACGCGTAAATACGCGCGCGTTGTATCAACAGTTTACGCGCATTTTGGTCACGTACACATATTATGATGTTCTAAAAGGGACACATTTCCGTAGTGATTATTATTTCAAAAACGCCGAAAAAGTGATTTGCGACATTTTAAAAAGTAACCATGATGTTAGAAAAATTGTAGTAAACCTTGGTCAGTGGGGGTGGTCAAAATATATGTCAAGTGAACCTTGACGTTACAAAAGAAATCATGCTGTCTATAAAGACGGCAACTTGTCCTTTGTAGATTCGCGCAACGGAAGTCAGTGGAACGCACCCCAGAAAGTTTCGATTGTCCTTGACGTGTTGGGTGCGCGCGTATAAGAAATGACGCATTGCGCGCGCGTGCTGGAACACACAAAAAAACTGATCAAAAACATGGCGGTCATCAAAGCAACACTGAGCCTGAATGCATTAAAAGATGTAAACCTTTCGGACGTCTTTTTGATGATGAACAGATAAACACAGGTAAGTTCACACCAAGACTTAAAGTCCTGTAAACACACCGCAAATGCATGTCGTTTGATGTTTCTAAATACATTTTGATCAGATTAGATCACATGATTGAAAATGTTTTTCAATGCATGCAGTCTGTCATTCTGGTCAATGAAGCCATTCCAACTTCGATTTATCCTATGCCGTCAAGCTTTTCAATCTTTTCATTCTGTTTCAACTACATGTATATTCGTCATTATTTAGTTTCAATTCAGTTCCTTTTTACACGTTTTGTAATAAGAATAGTGGCAGGTGTTTCAAGCGAAATTTAATTTCTGGTCCACGGTGTGTTGCTTTCGATGAGACAATGCAAACAGCTGGAAACTGATTCGTCCAAATTGGACAATTTATCGTATTAACGTTGCAGCACTTAATGGAGAGAAATCGTACTAATTGTCAGCATGTACAATGTATTGATAAAAGGCCGTTCTCCTGACTGCTAGCGGGCACAGAATGAGAAAGAATGGGGAAATACTTACCCAACCCAGGCAGTGTCACCAGTCGAGGATTGCTCTATTGATAACAACTCGTAGTCTCTCCCTCTCATACGATTATAGCGGGTTGATTAAGGAGATTATTCTTCGCATGGATGTCCTCGTCGAGTTTTCAATAAGTGATTAGACGGAATACCGTTTTTTGAAAACCTGGATTTTTGATTTAAAAAGATATCGCCAATGCAACATCAATATCCACTCGACGTAAAAAGGGATGCAAGTTGAAGAAAGACAACATCTGGCATGCTGAAATTGTATTGTTGAGGGTACTCTTGATGGTCGACCGTTTTTGAAAACCTGCATTTGAAAAAAAACCTGATAATCGCCAATACAACACCAAAATCCACGTGGAAAGGCATGCAAATAAATAAGATGCTGAAAACGATGGTACTCTTGAAAGTCAACATGGGAAGCATGCAAAATGAAGAGAAGCATGAAGCATAAACCAGGCATCGCTGTTTTCCTCTTGAACTCAAGCTACATGAGGAATTGAAATCTTGAGACCGATTTTGCCTCATGACAGGGGGCCTAGACCTTTCTTTCGAATTTCGGGAGACTGAGCCCATAACCTTGAGTCTCAACATGTGGCAACTTGTAAACACCAAGGTAGATAAATCGCCATCTCAATCACCTTACATTCTCCCCCGTATCATCGGCAGACAGATGCCGATTTCGAGCTCCACGAATCGCCTGACCCAGGCAGCGGCACACTCGGTGGCGGACGAGGACCACCACACGGGGCCCCAGCGGTCCGGAGCCAAGAGCGTGCCGGTCTGCATCGTCGAGAACCAGGGCACGGGCAAGCAGGCCAGGCGCGCCAGCGTCACGCCGTCTCCCGCGGTCGCTGGGCACGGCGGCGCGGTCAAGACGGAGACAGGCCATGGGAAGCCGCAAGATAAAGTGAAACTGCCGCTGATCACACGGATTCAGAACAGCCTGTTTGGGTAGGACAGTCACCTTTTATTCATTTCTTCCGCAAGGTACATTTTAATGGATCGCAGGTCATCACAACATCATCACAAAGCCGTCACAAGACATCTCAAATAATCTGTGACAAAGGTATTCTGAATGGACTGGTCAATTGACTTGTGAGTACTTGCAACATGTTTTGTGATGTACTTGTGATCTGGTACATGTACCTCGACAACAAAACAATTCTGCTTGTGTGTGTTATTTTATTATCTTTTTTAAACATAGGCCCCCTACATCAAGGTTTATTAAATCGTCCAACATGGCCTAATGAAGCGATAATATAGTCATTTGCTCACTTTTACAGCTTCCTTAAGTTTTAATGCCTCAAAAGAATAACTAAGTCTTGTTAAATTCGCAACGTCAGGCCGCATCGATCTTTTAGATTTTTTTAATAAAGCAGTTGGAATAAATCTACATGCAAATAAAGTGAACGATGTAAAAAAAACTTAAGTTTAAATTGAACTTGAAACTTTTGCAGCCGTTCGCGCTCCCACGACAGCGCCGTAGACAAAACCAAAGACGCCCAGCCTCCATCTCCGAGAACCCCGCACAGGCGCCGATTCCGCCACCACAAGCACCACAAGCCGGCCTCGCCCGAGTTCGCGCTGCGGAAAATCCGCTTCTTCGCCGCCCCTCCGGAGCCGGCGCCCCTCACGCTCTGCTTCACCTACCCGGGAGTGGAGCTGACCCACCGTGACGTCATCCAGGGCATCCAATCAATGCACGCCGTCGATGTGGACGACATCGAGAGCATCCAGTTCGTCGACATGAATGTGATTCTGGGAACTGCTGGTGTCAGTAACAGGCAAGTAGAAAAACTCAAAAAAGCAGTCAAGTTTGACTGACAGTTAGAAATCCCTTACATTTGATTTTTCTAAAGATCAGCAAGCCAGACGGAATAATTTTACAGGGTGTTTAGTATAGGCCTATACCAGTATGATTTTTAATCCAAGTGAGCCTTTTGACAATAATTCGGTACGTTACTTTTGGGATAAATGCAAATGATCCTATTGTTTATGCATCATATCATTTACGTGTATCGAGGAAAGTTCTCTAAATTGTATTATTTTTTTGCGAAATTTTCATCTTTTTTTAGATGGTTGATAAAAGTGAAAGATTACGACACCAGGTACCTGTTGCTATGCGACGGCTTCAAGATCCATGGTGAATACGTCATCCTGAGGAAATACGACGACGTAAACATGGAGGACTACAGGGAATATATGCGGCGGAAGGATACGTTGGCGAGTGACGAGCACCGTGATGCAGTGCAGAGGCTTTTGGCCGTGTAGCCCTACGCCGCGAGGAAAACCGAGTTCGCAGTGCAAAGGAACTTTTGTTGCATAAAGCTGTATGGTTATTTCAGAGCGGATATAACTGCTTCACGATTTTTCGGTATCAAAAAAGTGGGGGAAAATTTGTTAGCCATAGTTGGTCTTGTCTCTCATCCTGTGTCGCATTTTCTACCAAATTATTTCTTACACGAAATTAACACGACTATTTTTCAGTTCAATTGTGATCATATTTGAAGCTGAAACTGATTCCCCTCCCCAAGAATATTTTTTTTTTATTATAAATTATAAAATACCTGCTCTGATATTTGGTGGACTACGATTATCGAATCAATCATGGACTGTATATATTTCATATGCAAGCATTTAATTTTAGTATCAATAAAACCGGCAAGGTCAATATCGTGTACATAATTACGTTTGCCTTGAGCGCCTGCACTGTGACGACCCTAGATGAATCAATTAAGGTGTATGCGCAGTATAGTTTGTGATGCTGTATTAACACTGCTACTGTTTGCATGCGGACGATTGTGATTGGAAAGCTGTCCAAGAGGCAAGTTCTGTAAAGGCAAAAAAAAGAGGAAAAAAACAAGTACGACAATGGTGTGATTGATGAACTATTTTCAGGATTTGGATAAGAAAAGCTTGTTGTTCCCCACGAAATCTCTTCATACTAATTCGGCAGTCTTCTTTTAATCCGCTGGCATCCGTGAAGATGGTGAACAGAGATTATTTGTGTTGGTCGTGAATTGAAATAATTTCAACCTTTTATCCCTAATACAGTCAGGGTTTGAACTCAAGGTATAATCTGGGCCTGCCTCAACCACGCGTGACAATATTGGTGAAACGGAATAATAATGCTTGTGTTATGCACTGTTAATACGAAAATTGCTGTGTGAACCGCATCATGCACCAAGAACGACACGGTGTATCTGGTTCGAAGTTGGGAAAAGTGACGTCACATTATTCAAACTGGAGTGTCGATTTGAATTGTTTCTTTTTATAAATGCAATTTTGTGTGACATTTGTGTCAATGGGGGTGTTGGTGGTGATGGTGATGGTGACGGTGATAACGCTGATTGTGCTGGTGATGCGGGGATTGAGGTGACTATTATGGTGATTTGTGGTAATGATTGTGTTGGTGATGCATGATCGCGGTGATGATGAGGATAACAATGATGCAAGTGATAGTAATGATAATGGTGGGGATGTTGGGAATGACGAAGGCGGTGGTGGTGATGATGGTGATTTATGGTAATGATGGTTGTGGTGATACATGATCGCGGTGATGATGAGGATAATAATGATGCAAGTGATGGTGGTGATAATTATGACGAAGGTGGTGGTGATGATGAAGGGGATTTAGTGATGATGGTGATAATGCTAAGGATGTTGCTGCTTCGGCTGGCACTGTTAATGGTGTTTACGGTATTTACTTCCGTTTTTGAAAGCATGATTTTCTGCTATGTTGCTCCAAAATGCGGTTGCAGCTGCTGTAGAATGCTTATACATCAATCATTCTGTCAATACTGGAAAAGCCAACACATCATAATAATCAAACACCGTACAACAATACCTTGTTTGTTTTAACCCCACCAGCGCTTAATAAATTGCTTTCGAAACCTTATTTGCATCAAAACGTACCGGTGTCACTGAATAATTAAATAGTACGCATACCCCTTCGTGACAGGCCCTACCATCAAAATGCAGCAAAACTCCACCCCCCCCCCTCCTCCCCGTTATCTGCGCGCGCAAACTCTTTGCAAATTTGTATTAAGCATCCACATTTCAGTACCATATGTTCATCTTTCTCCAGGGTTTTGACATTCACAACCGAGGTTGCGACAACCAGTATCGGCCATTATATTTGACAGTCTGCACGAACAGTGTACTCATTGTTATTGCCATTCCATACCGTTGCACTATGGCTGCTGCATAAAACTGTGAATTCTATCGCACTGCACGCAGCGCACAACAGAAAAAAACACAAGCAGTTTAGTGTCTTATGCGTGCGGCGTATAATTTATAGGTCTGCTCCACTGAATGTGACAGGAGTTACTGTTGTGTTATTTTTCTGTGTTCGGGGGACTCTAAAAAATAGTATGCCATTTCTCCACCATGGATGTCGGTTCTATATGTTCTAGCGGTTTCCTGTCGGCTGCAGACGACGAATCACCATGTGTCGAGCGGTGATATTCTTCCAAGGAAAACAGCTTTAAAAGGTAGGAGACTTTTTTGTAATTAGCGGTCGAAGTGAGCTCTCCCGGATATATTTTGTTCAATTTCATTCTGTAATTTGTACTGGGATACTTGGGAAGTTTACGTAAAGCATATGCTACACGCAAAGAGAAATTTTAAGTGAGCATCAGCGACGCATCCCCACACACAAAAACTACAAAATTCAACTCGGCCTTGTTAATTAGCCTTTAATTCAGCATTTTGTTAATTTGGTCGAGTTTCTGTAATTTCCATGCTCAATATATGGCATATTTCATTAGTGTCAGTGCCCAATGCATGTACACGGCGCTATGAAATGAAGTAGAAACCCACACCACCTGTTGGTTGTCGGGGCCCCGTCATGCGTGGAACGAAAAGTCGAAATGAAAATGACAACCTTTTTGGCTATAATTACAACAGACTATTATTATTTTGCCAGACACAATTACCGTACGCTTGTGCTTGTTATATATTTGTCTCCTGAAATTTCCAGTCAATGGTGGTTTTATATTACAGCATGGTAAGTATTAGTATACAATGTGAAAACGAATTGCCTAATAATGTAGAATTTCTTCAATTATTCGCAGTTAACACTCTAGAGAAAGTCAGTTACAACGAAGGACGGTAACAGATATGTATAAAAGCGATTCATTGAATAAAATGAAAATCTCAAAATTTGCAGTTATATCTGAAAATGCTATAGCTGCACACTGACAGAAAGTGTCAATTAAAACGCTGTAGCTTTATCACAATATAGGTCTGTTACTCAAGTACACGTGGTCACTCTTCTAGACGAAAAATAAATCTCTCAAAGAGTCAGTTTTCGAAATGTTCTCAACCGAATGATCATCAGCACCCAGAGTTGTACGACTCGTGACTCGGACTCAGACTCGAGTCCGACGCGAGTCCCATTTTTTTACTCGGACTCGGAGTCCGAGTCCGAGTCACGATGACAAATACCTCGGACTACGACTGGGGCTCAAGCCCACGGACTCGGACTTGGACTTGGACTTGGACTCGACCCGCGTGATTCGGGACTCGACCAAAATTATCACCGATCACTTATTTTTTTTCAACAATTTATAATTGTAAATTGTTTTGAAGACAATCTTTTCCTGAGCAAGCGATACAGCCAGTGCGTCGCAGAAGAAACGCATCAAAATTGATTTCCAATAGCTATGACTCGGACTCGGACTCGACCTGCATGACTCGGGACTCGGACTCGACTCGGGAGAGGTCACAAGTCTGTAAGCATCTCCCTTACGTGGCAAATGTAAATAAACAATATTTTTTCAAACCGTGGTTTCGTCTCAGATTCGGTGTTCCCTCTACCCCCACACCTGTTTGTTTGAACAAAACGGAAAGACTCCGATCTTGAACTCCATATAGTATGGATCCAAGACCTGCAGAAACAAAAAATGAACCCATAAGTTTCAGACCTGAAATCAGGATGTCAGATCCCGAACTGGAAAACGGTGGCTAATTCAATCGAGATCTAGTTAAGAAATTGCCAAAACAAATTTGCGTGAAATTCAAACTCAACACTGATGCTGTTTCTTCCGGTTCTGTAATTGGGGACCGAAAACCAATATTACCGTTCAAGGAAAAGAAAATATACCTTAGTCAACTATTACCTAGCTGTCTATTCCTGTATACCCGGCCTACAGAAGCTATTTCATAATATCCCGAAAGTGATAATTATTCTGAATGAGATTAATCATTCGGGATACGGGCATAGAATTTTGCACTCTGTGGATTAAGTGCCGACACACGGAAATTTCATTAAACTCATCCCTGTCGATGACGTAATCGTCTGATTAAAGATTTTATTGTCTTTCCTCTTCAACAATTGGATTTTTGTTTTAAAAAAAATGAATATATAGATGTTTTTATTTTGACAAGTTTTTCTTCTTCATTTTTTTTTGGCATTCTGCAACCCTCCAAAAACGCTTTTTTTCTGGGTTGCTTTCGTGTTTCTAACGCAAAAAGCAAATTATTTGAAATGTATGAAGTAATTATTTCAAAAATGAATAACATTCGTATTGCTAGTAAAAAATAATAAAATATCAAGTTAAAAAAACAAAATGTTTTCGCGTTCAAACTCAAAAATAGCACGGCATGTCATTTAACAATCGCCATTTTATATTTGCACAGATCGAGGTCCGTCATTTTGCTGTCATCGACCATAAAATTTGATAACACTGTCAGAGCTGATAAATAATCCATTAGCGGCGCCTCCCTGTCTCATCAGTTAATATATTCACACCTTTTGCCAGGGAAAACAACACGAAGGCCAAAATATGAACATATGCCGCATAGATATTGAGCCATGTTTCGAAATTGGATGCTGTAATAGAGAGTAACTTTTGTTCCTTTCAACCCGAGACCTTTGAAATAGGATAAGTAAACAATTGAAAACACACAATTTGCGGGCATTTCAGGCCGTAATGTCCCTTTAAGACGAATTGCCTTTGATACTCATATTCAACTATAATAGTCGGTGGAATCTAAGGTCAAAGTCGAACTTCGCCTCTTGCAAAAACTTTTGGACAAAACTGGAATCAACCCTTTTTTTTTCAAGAGAACGGGAGATTAAAATGAACGGTACTAAAGAGAAGGACCCCTTCCCCAAAAAGAAAAATAACACGCATTGTAAGCAAGTACCCAACCTTAATAGATTTTACATACGAATGTTTCAAATATATAATTTTTTTTGTAGAATAGCAAAATAATATGCCCCCGGATACTCATACTACAATTACATTTTATGAAAAACTGAACACCGTGACTTGTTAACGTTTATTCAAGCGTGACTAAATAACCCGTATTCTTTCGCGTCATAATTATTATTATTTCGACAGGACAAACGATAATTTTATGCCATATGCATTATGCGGGTTCGGGACATCCACACCAGACATCTGTTCTTTGGTTTTTTACACTATGCAAGAATTAATGCATATGTGGAAAAGACAAGACGAGGTTAATAAAGCTGGTCAGTCCGTCGGTCAGTCGGGGAGTCAGTCAGTCGGTCGGTCGGTCGGTCGGTCGGTCGGTCGGTCGGTCGGTCAATCAAAAAGACAATAGGCTACTTCAAACTTTAGGGGGGGAATCAGGTTGGCGTAGCGGCACTTTCCTCACCTTCCGACCCTGTGACCCGGGTTCGATTCCTGCCTGGGCCAATATGCGGATTGGGTTTTCAGTCCCAACTTGATTCCGTGGGTTTTCCTCAGAATATTCTTCATGGGGTTTTCCTACCGCACTGTAAAAAATAATGGGTAAAACACTGTTGGGCAATACAATTTTACCCAAAATTGGTTTGAAATTGCTCACTTTGGGTAAAAAAAATTTCCAGCAATTGGGAAAAAATTGCCCAAGAGTTTAACCTGTTGATATGTTGACCAACGTTGGTCTACATCAACCCATTTTGCCCAACATTTTGTTTACAGTGCGTCTAAAACTGTCATTGCTTCACATTGTCTTCCCTTTACTAGGCCCCATGGGAGATTCCACTGAATGGGCTACCGAATTAAAACATGAATTTATTAAAAATCGATTTCCTCCAAACACCCTTTTTTTGTGTTATAGGCTGTTTTGCCATCGAAGGTCTGCAGTGACGAGAGGTAATCCATAGCCGCCATGTCCTGGGAGGACCTTCCGGAGTGGGCCAAGCTACTCATCTGCGCCTTGGTCGGAGCAGCACTGATGATCCTGATCCTCGTCGTGATGTGCCAGTGCCTCTGGTTCTGGAAGAAAGTGAAAAAGAAAGGTACATTATGAAAATGAGGTTCTATTGTACTGCTAACAAAATGCTGTGAAGGACCTATGGTGACCGTGACACTACATGTCATGATGTCTTGTTGTTAGTTATGTGTGGGTTATAGAACCAGTCACATTGTTCGTCATTGGGTTTGGCGTCCAAACATAATATGGACGAACTTGAACTGTTATACATGTGTTAAAGTAGCAGGGCACTAAATACAGTCGACTCTTGTTAGTACAAACTCTGTCAATACATAATTCTGGTTATTACAAATATAAAGCCTTGGTCCCGACTGTGCATTAATGTGCACAATGAATGGGACTGATGTTCCTCTTAATTAATACAAAATTCTGATATAACAAACAATTTGGCTAGGTCCGAACGAGTTTGTTATAACGAGACTCAACTGTATATCTCATTTATTTTTCTCATGAACATTTAATCTTGATAACTGTGCTTAAGTTAATGTAACTGTATCACTAAATAAACGTCATAATTCAAACCCAAACCAGCACTTACCAGCAGTCTGGGTTGCTCCGCTGCAGGAGGGTTTTGCCTCCTCTGGATGTAACCCCCATTTGTACTATTTAATTTTATTGGTTTATATTTTTAAGTTCTTGTAAGTTCTCATTGTATTTTTGTTGTACAAATGGAAATAAACAAGCAAATAAACAAACAAGACTAGTCAAATCCCAAATTTCACAAAAGATTTTTGTGTCACACAGTGTCACCATTATTATGTTAAGTTAAATCCCACGAACACGAAGGAAACATGGATTTGCTTAATATGAAGAAAAGGGGAGATAAAAAGGGGGAAGAGCGTCCCTTGCGTCAAACAAGGTCCACAAACCTCGAAACATTTGCCAATGTTTCCAGGTCAAAATGACACTTTTGCCAAAGTTCCAGGGTCAAAATGACACTTTTGCCAAGCCTTCTACGTCAAAATGGCACATTTGCCAAGAATTTCCAGGTCCGCCAAATGATACATTTACCAAGGTTTTCAAGTCAAAATGACACTTTGGCCTAGGTTTCGAGGTCAAAATGACCCAGAAAATGAGTAAGAAAAGTGCCATTTTGTGACCAGGGACGTCTTATTTTGCTCTGGTAGGAGCTTCTACATGTCATTTGGTGGTCGGTCGCTCTGTTCACGGAAAATTGACCAAAATAAGGCCCCATAGGTTTCTCACAAAATATAACTGCCAAATTTGAATTTTCAAAAAAAAAGCAAACAAATAAAATTAAGTATTAACCATTTCTTTTGTAATAATTGGGAAAGATGTGTATGAAACGTTTGTAAATGGAGGCAAAATATGTGCAGTAATGTTATAGTCATGTGGTATTTATCACAAATCGCTATATAGGTGTACGTCTAAAGTATGTGTTCCATAATGTGGCATCGGCGTCGCACTTTTGGGCGTCACCTTTATTCAGCTCTGGCAGGGATCATTTTGATAGATTTCATGCAAGACTTTCATGCCAGACGTGATGTAGAACCAATCATTAAGCAATGTTACTGGCTTCCTTGATCCTCGTCATCAAGAAATTATTTTCCCCTGATTTTCTGTGCCAGAATTTCGGCGGGCCGAATCTCCAGACGCCAGCGACAAAGAGCTGACGGACATTGCTCCCCATCGCCATCTGCCGAAGAAGAAACCCCCGTCGGCGGAGACGAAGAAATGGGAGACGCAGAGCATGAGGAGCCGCACGTCACTGTCTTCCAGCGCATCCGAGGGATACGGCAGTATGAAGGTTGGTCAAGTCTAAGAAGTCCTTGATTAGATTAAACCGGATCCTTTTCCCGAGTCCAACATGTCACTTTTCCGGGTCCAACATGTCACTTTTCCGGATCCAAAATGTCAACTTTCCGGGTAAAAAAAATTTGATTTTCAGCGTCAAAAGGACACTTTTGCCAAGATGCCAGATGCGCTGCTCATGATACAAAATGTATCTGTTCTGTTTGTTTTGGGGTTTTTTACAGACCTATTTAATACATTTTGGACTTTTTGAAAGTTAAAAGATGGCCTGAAAATTGGCATTTTTTTATATTTTTTTTTTTTTTTGGTTTCTCGCCACAAAAATCTTGGGAATGATTAATGGCCCATCCCCTCTGGTAAAACAGTAGGCTGTAGCTTCTCCCATCCCGGATTTACGCCCATGATAGTTAGTTACGGTTTACTGTTCGGTATTCCGAGGAATTATTTACAGTTTTTGTAATCAGATAAATCGGGAACTCTTCAGAAAAGATGGTTGAGGTGTTACGAAACAAAGTTTGCCACTTCTAGTTGAGTGGTTAAACTAAAATTCTTTGATGAATGGACCGATCCGGTAAGCTCCGCCCACTGCGCACGTGGGCACTTAACACGTGCTCCTTTCCAATGCCATTATGTGCATTTTCTAGCCGCGCGCATCATACGTGCGCGTGCACGCATGTCAGACGTTTTGTGCACGCATGTCGAACATAAATCACGGCTGTGATTGGTCGGAACACCATGGGGCGGGGCTTGTATTGGATCAGTCCACTATGGGTCACCTCGAGAGGGTAATTTTTCTCTCCCGACCGCTAGCGCCGAGTATCAGAAAATGTTCTACTTCTAACACAATGACGATTTCAGCGGAAACAAATGGTAGAAATAATATTCTTTATTAATGAGTTCTTTTAACAGGATGCAGATTTTTTTTTAATTATTCGTCCCTTGTTTAATTCCTCCATTTTTTTTAAATATCTGCCAATGAAAAATATTTCGTCAAGAATTAATATTAACGAAGTGGGAACTTCCCTCAAAAGATGTTTAAGATAACAAAACGCCATAAAAAAGGTGCATATGAAAAGGTAATCCACAAATTATGGGTTAGTATGTGAAAACTACTGTACGTATTTGAACATGCTCGAGTGTTACATATTATCTTAATTAAAGGTAGTTTTAGCATGTTTCCATGGATACCACACTTGCACCCATGCAGTCAAGGATGACGACTAAATATACCATTAATTTCAAAATACATGTAGAAGCAATGAAAACACTTTTGCTAAGTTAGTCTTGTTTAGCAGTTACACGCAGAGCTATCCAAACAACGCGCATGTATTAGTGGTCCCTGTTGGCCTCCCCTTTTAACACGTTCCCCCCGAAAATCAGTAGACCTAGTCATAATGACGTCACACTGTGTTTACATGTACGCTTTCCTATGGGAGCCAGGTGGGGGCGAGAGCCAACAGTGCATAACATAAGAAAGCACACATGTAAACAATAGGCCCTATAATTATACGTCATGTCATTGTGATACAGGTTCTCAGACTTTATGCGTAAAGCCCGCCCGGTTCATACTCGGCACGAAAGCGAAAGCGAACGCGAATTTGTGACGTCATGGCAAGCATTCGCGCTGCGAATTCGTAAAAGTTGAACATATTTCAACTCGGGCGAATTTCGCAGCGAATGTTTCATGACGTCAAATTCGCTTCGCATTCGCATGAAGTATGAACCGGGCTAAGCCCGGTTCATACTCGGCACGAAAGCGAAAGCGAACGCGAATTTGTGACGTCATGGCAAGTATTCGCGCTGCGAATTCGTAAAAGTTGAACATACTTCAACTCGGGCGAATTTCGCAGCGAATGTTTCGCATGAAGTATGAACCGGGCTTTAGTGTAGCCTTTCAAGTACATCAGTGGATGTTCTTTGTCAGTGAATGGAGTAACAATGAATGCACAAATGGTTTACTCGGGCCTATAACCTACATCATTGCCCTCGGACCCCGCCTTAAGGTTGCAGACCAGTAAATCGGTCCGAAATTGCCTACGCCGGCCAAACCACGATTTGCATGCCCTCAAAATCTTCAGTATTTGAGCATACTGTGGGCCATGAACTTGAGGGTTTGTAAAAAATATGGGTGGAAGCCGTGCACAGGACTGTGAGCTTGTAGTTCCGTTCAATTTGGATGAAATTGGGGCCCTTAAAGCGCTCTATTTTGCAATGGAGTGTAGGCATTGTTTTTCAACATGGTGATGGGCTTCAGGACTATTTTCAGGGGTGATCATCTTCGGATGGAAATTTCTCCTAAAAGTCATCAGTTAACCCCCCTGAAAAGAAAATGAAAGATGGTGAAATAAGCTTTAATTTGATGTGTGTCTCGAACACCTTGGAGAGTTGTGAATATTTTTCCCAAATTTCTGAAGTGTGAGCATTTACCATTGGGGTCTATGGAAGTTTATTGCGGACGCCTTACGTCTAGTTTTCCATAATGAAGTCAACTTTGTTGGTTCTGGTGCTCAGAAAATCGCTGCGGATCAATCGCGTAATCATCGTGCAGTTGATGACCAGAACCGCCAGGGTCAGCAGTGGAAGGGCCACAGCCAGCATGACCGGCATCTCCGGCTGCATCCGGAAAAACGATAGGTAGCAGACGTAGGCGACGGGGACCAGACGACACGAGACGCCGGTCACGATGGTGAAGAGTTTGTGCACGCGGTAGACTGGGGAGCTTTTGGAGAATCCATGGATCAGCAGGAGCTGACGAGAGTGGAGAAAGATGGCGCTGACTTCGGTTAACAGTGAGATGATGCAGGAGCCGATTTCCAGGCGTTCCCTACACAGCATGTAGAACAAAAAAGCGACCTGGAAAGCACACGGGAAAGATTTAGACACTGACAGAATGCACCATGAGGCAGCACAGAGGTCTGGCCCATGCAGCAAAGTCGCAAGAAAGACTGTTTCACCAGATGTATTGGCCTTGAAAACAAGAAATACCTACAGTATAATAAGAAATATTAACACGAACAATATTGTTAAATGTTTTGGCTGGTGCCCATTTATGTCGACTTCCTTGACTCGGAATAAAAATAGCCTCCCATGATGATCAATGGATCGATCTTTTTTTCACGGCTTCGCCTCGAGAAAACTCAATGGATCATCTCGGGATCAACTCGAAGCAATGTTTGTAATTTAGTAAGAACACAATATATTGGTAAGAAAACAAACTTGTAAAGGACACAATCGTTTGGTAAGAACACAATATTTTGGTAAAAAGAACATCATTTGGTACTTTTGGTACTATACGCAATCGTTTGTTAAAAACAATCTTTTGGTAAGAACTCAATCTTTTGGTAAGAACACAATCTTTGGTAAAAACACAATCTTTTGGTAAGAACACAATCTTTTGGTAAGAACACAATCGTTTGGTATTCTACACAGTCGTTGTTAAAAACACAATCTTTTTGTTGTAAAAACAGAATCCTTTGGTAAAAACAGTATCACTTAATTGATAAGAACACAAATCTTTCGGAAAGAACACAATCATTTGTTAAAAACAAATCTTTTGGTAAGAACGCAAATCTTTTGATAAGTACACAAATCTTATGGGAAGAACTCATCTTTTGGTAAGAACACAAATTGTTTGGTAGGAACACAAATCTTTTGGTAAGAACACAAATCTTTTGGTAAGAACACAAATCTTTCAGTAAGAACACAATCATTTGGTAAGTAGACAAATCTGTTGGTAAAAACACAAATATTTTGGTAAGTACGCGAATCTTTTGGTGAGAACACACCTTTTTATAGAACACAATCGTTTATACTCTCTTAATTTTCTTACCAAAAGAGTTAAGCCGTACGTACTTTTTTCTATTCACTTGACTAACCTTCGCGCCTTACAGTATACTTACAATAATATGATGAAGGAGAACAGTCCACTTCTTGACCAAACCCGTATGGATCACTATGTCCCATGTGTCGTAGACTAGATACCCTGATATCAACGAGAGAAAATACAAGAATGGGAGACTTCTGAGGCGCTTAATGGCAGCAAACACGCCGATCCTTTTCAGTAGTTTGCGTCATATTTAAAGGTATAGTCCATCATTTGTAATTTGTGCATTTTGTTCGCTTGAAGCAACAAAAGTGCTCAAAATCTAAAGAAGGGTACTGAACAACTAACCGGAAGTTTCAGCTCAGCTTCAGCTGTATATTCGGAGAAAGACAGCATTCTAGGATCTCAATTTCAAATCAAAAGTTGCTGAATCATGTTTCGAATTCTATCCTGCCACCTTTGTTTCGCTCGTACCCCCCGCCCTGCAAACAGGACGCTGGGATACTCTGAAGAATTCACGCTCTGATTGGTTGGATTCTGCGTGACCAGTGACCTGCGCGTCATCAAGGTCATGACTCTGCAAGGTTTGAAACGGCCTGATTCATTACTCTCTTATTCCAGTTTAGAGATGTTTTTTTCTCGTTGAAAAGTGTAATAATGTAGGAAATTCTGTAAAACTTATCTGTGTTCAGTGTGTTGTAAATTTACAATTCCCGTCACTTGCTAAAGCTCCGTTTCGAATCACGAATGGTCGGATTGCATTATGCGACGCTCAACATTTTGTCCACATGGTCCGCAATGAAACAGAAATCACATCCGGTATGGAACGTGTGCATTTCTACGGGAGTTTTTGGATAGCATTTACGCACATTGTTGAACTGCGGTTTTGAACAGCTGCAGCCAGATGCTTTATACATAGGTCATAGGCCACTTCCTTCACAAAATTCTGTGAAGCTCATCAGAGTATCCCAGCGTCCTGTTTGCAGGGCGGTGGGTACGAGCGAACCACCTTTGTTCGGTCAGCGCGACGATGTCACGTCACGCATGGGTTAGTGGGGTCATCCACAGGTCGTCCAACTTACCGGAGATAATTGACAGGCATGCCTCCGCCAGCACACTGTAGTACGTTTGAGGCTCATGCCACGACTCCGGATGAACAAACAAACTGAAAAGAAACCAACCCAATACAGTTAACCTCTATACCATATTGCTTGTATTAGGCTGACATATTCAGAGTCCAGTTTGTACGTACGTATACGTGTAGGCACTTACAATGTGGTTTGTAAATTGTACATGTACAATGTAAATAGGCAGACAGATATACCTAATGAATGTATAATGAAAAAGCTAAAAAAAAATTACGGTCCTTGAAATAACTAAATGATAATGACTACCTAGCACCTATCTCGTTTCAAACCACCTTAAATTATATAATTACACCATATAATGGGTTAAATTACCTTCTCCCATTAAAAAAAACGTCAGTCATTCCAACATCTTCTTCGCCAGTGTGCTGGGTCTCGTGAACATGTCCAGGAAAGATTCCCATATCTGGCCATCAATTATTGTCACCCTGTGCACAAACCCATATTATCACTTTCTGATGGCTGATATAGGTCACTATAGGGAAAAGTTAGTGATGGCCAGATATGGGAATCTTTCCCATGTCCAATCTTCAGTTTTGAAACCATGAGGGTTAGTATGTTAACTTTGACAGCACTGAACCTTTCACAAGTTCTTTCTTCACCGATGCTCCATTGAGAAAAAACTCCAACAAGTTTGGTCCATACCAGTACACTACGAGGGCAGACACGACAACACCATTGAAGCATGAGGTAGCGGCGTTCCTCCATCTATGCCGGTCGGTGCTGGCATATTTCCCGGGCGGTAGCGGCACGTAGCCAAGATCCAGGGCCGAGTTGAAACACTGGAACCCGGCGGAGGAGACTACAGCCAAGGGGATGAAGAAACTGGACATGACTGGAACTTACGAATCACGGAATTTGTGCCAAAAGTAGAGGCTTAGAGTCTATGTGTAACTGACTCGCGCCACCGTGGGATCCGGAATACGTAAGGTTCAAGGTGACCGTAAGGTTATGCCCAAATTCCGCTAAATACACTTCAAAAATCTGTCAGATTTATCAAAAATCTGCCAAATTCCCCACAATCACTCGAAATACACTATAAACACTAAAAATCACATGCAGATGTTGTAGCATTGCCTTAATTAAGGTTCAAATTACATAAATAAACAATCTATAGTCACATAATGATGTCATGAAATTGCGTAGATGTCAGGCAAAATGCGGTTGCTTCACGACGAAGATCCGGTTCCGAGTGAATCTCAGCAACTTAGACCGGGCAACCTGTCCCATTATGCAAGGGTTTGCTTGAAAAGATTGAAGCTTTTTTAAACAAATGTACCTTTTTTTCAAATCTGCTATGTTTTATCTGTCAAATAACCATTTTTGCAGAATTCTGCCAGAAATCTGTCAAAAAAATCCATTCTGTCAAATTTTCTGTCAAACTCGTTTTTAACGAAAAAGTCTGTCAAATTTAGCCGAAATTCGGCTAAAACGGTCACCCTGGTTAGGTTTATTGGCCCCTGTGGGTGCGTTCGATTAGCTTCCCCGTGTATACACGGGGTTTACACTCGAAACCACGAAATGAGGTAAATCGAACGCTGTGGTGTATTCGCGTGGCATTCTGGGGAAATTAAGGTAGCTAATCGAACGTGGTATAGCTAATCGAACGCTCTCGTGTAAGTTTTACTTACATCATCACGTAAGGGCAGCGGAACCGGTGGGGGTGGGGGTAGGGCGAGGTGGGGGATGATCCCTCCTCCTCCCCTCCCCTCCCCCCCCCCCCCCCCCCCCCCCACACACACACCCACCCACGAACCAATAGTTAAACATCTTCCACTTGACTCTGATTGACGTCATGTTGAACAAGAATGATTAATTTAGGTTTCTGCCCCTTTTCTCTTCAGGGATTCCGGCATCAGCCATCACGGAAGCGGGAATCGAAGCGCTCCGCCTCTCAATCGTCCGCCGACCTGCCACCGTTGGACGAAATCCAGTTCCTGCAGGTGCACGAGATCATCCCGGAACCCGGAACCCTCGGCGCCGTCACGTTCTCGTTGTCCCACGAGAAAGAGGGAGAAAAGCTGAGAATCGGCGTGATTTCAGCCCGCGACTTGAAAGCGAGGCCTTTTGTTGGCGGGGCGCCGAACCCGTACGTCAACATCAGCCTGTTCAAAAGTGGCTCAGGTATTGCGGAAGCTTTAATTTTTGTCGATCTGCTTCTTTTGTTTCAGGGTCATGCTCTTATAAAAAGCCCATGCAATGTATTTTGTAATGCAATCCTGAAAATGCACCTTCATGTCCCATTTTTGTTTTACCGTTTTCAAGGGTATTTTGGTGCCTTGTTTCCTTTTATGCTAATGCAAATGTACATATTCATGAGCAAAACTGTGAAGTTATTCAGGACAGAAACCTCAATGTAACAGCTATTTCAGCACAAAAAGTTGCTAGAGTTTTGAATATTTTGCTGCATTGTTGGAGGTCTCGAGGCCGGCCTCGGCCTCGAGGCCGATTTTCATGGCCTCGGCCTCGGCCTTGGCCTCGGAGGTGCAAGGCCTCGGCCTTGGCCTCGGCCTCGGAGCCTTCCGGCCTCGGCGAATCGGTCGAGGCCGGCTCGAGGCCGCCCATTTTGATGTGTTTTCTATTTTAATTAATTATATTTTTTTACCGTTTCAAACTCTCGAGATTCTGCCACAGTGGGTTCCGTGAAACGAACGCATAAACAATGTACGCCCGAAATGAACTGGAAATGGTTGCATTGAACGTACTCACGTACGTAGCATCTTCGCCTAATCTGCGTTTCAGCTTTCCACGTGCGTGCAAGCGTTATAACTGTTACCGCGTGCCAGACTACATAAGTCTGGCACCAATCCCATTTGCGTACAATAACATGTGGTAGCAGACTAGTCTGGTTGCAGTGTTGTACAAAATTTTCTCGTTTCGCCTCTGTACCCCGACCTTTAAAAATGATTTGCGGCAAGGTGCGGCAAGCTTAATCATTTCTTTTTATAGGCCACTGTTTCAGTAAAAGTCTGAACTTTCTGGGTACGATCGAGTGTACTAGTCCGTACCGGGTTTTTTTTCATAAAGATATGATAAAAACAGTTACGATTTATCAAGTAGATTTTATTTTTACACCGTGATTTAAAGGGAATATACATCATTTGCTTTTGCTGTAATTTTCAGAAATGGATGGAATTGGGGGGTTGGAAATATATAGCAAATATAGTTACACTGACTTTTTTGAGGTTTTGGGTTCGAAAATGCTATAAAAACCAAGAAAAACAATCATTTTCCTGTAGTCTGGTTCCCTGACTCCATTTAAGAAGAAACAGAGCAGTTTACATATATTGGAGAATTGTAAGGTCAGGGAATCAGTCTAGCTGGCTTGTACCCGTTCATAGGTGTGTAATCGATTGCAAACAAGTGCGATGGTCAACTGGGGCCAGTATTTGAAACAAAGCCAGTTTTTTCCAACGCTGATCGGCCGATCAGCGTTGGAAATTGATACAAAAATACCACTTTTCTTGAAAATGACAGTATACTAGGTGCCATGATTTTACAGGATGCTTTACACTGTCATTCACTAACAGTCCAGCAAGGTATTTCAAAATGATTTGGTAGTTTTAGTTTTTGATGTTTGCAAATGTTGTATTTTCCCTTTAAATGAAAGTTCCGTCTCACACGGTAATGTTTGGCGCAAATGGTCGATTTGGAAAGCGTGATTTTAGAATTCGTTTTTCCATCCAAATGAATGCAAAGTTCTGAATGAATGTTTTAATAATAGGAGTCAGTATTCCTCGTGGTACCAGGATACTTTTTTTGTATTTTTAGAGCCACGTTGATACTTATTACATGTATAAGCACGGTTTGAAATTGACTAATTTTGCGTGGTTACAGATATACGGCCAAAACCTCTGGACTCCCTAGGCTCTTGCCATGATCTTAAAATTCTTCGAAGCCATTGGATTCAAATCGGATGATCCGAGAATTCGTGGTCATTTTGATGAACTGAGTGATATCATGCACGCATGTTCCGTGCTGCCGTGTTGTTTGGAGCGGGATTAGCCATTGCCAGACTTTGTCTGGCACCGCGGTATTAACAGTGATAATGCGTGGACACTAATTATCCCGTTGTGTGGACCGGGATTGGAACTATGCTTTGCCCGTGCGTAACGGCGGGCCGTCTGGCACTGTCTGGTTGCATCGCGGTGTTTGCTCGGCGCGCGTCTGGACAGGGCGAGGGTCGGGGGGGGGTCGTAACTTTTTGGTTATGAGTGGTAAAAACCTGAATCAAAAATCAAGTTGTTGTTTATTTAATGGGGATTCCTATGATATTAAGCATTTTGATAGGTTTGAAAATAAGATTTATAAAACATGCTAAAAGTAAATGATGTAAATCTTACAGAATAGAAACTCAAAATTTGGCCATTTAAATTGTTGTATCTCCAAAGGGCAAACACCTATGAGCCTGATTCAAACGCCATTGATCTTGTTGTGTAATTTGCTTTCAGTGATACAAAACTTGAGATTTCTTTCTTTAAAAGATAAAATTCGCCGGACTCCCTACAAGAGGAAACCCATTGCAAGCTGTAAATTTGTAAGCCAGGCACTCCAAAACTCAGTGAATTCAGCTAAAAAGATGTTAAAACTCCAACAAAATCTTAGCCTTGTTTTAGTGTTTTATATTTTATTGCGTGTTTTCATAGCTGGCCTCGGCCTCGGCCTTGGCCTCGGAAGTGGTGGCCTCGGCCTTGGCATTGGCCTCGCGGTTGTGGCCTCGGCCTCGGCCTTGGCCTCGGAGGTTGTGGCCTCGGCCTTGGCCTCGGCCTCGGAGGTTGTGGCCTCGACTACAACACTGTTTTGCTGTCACCCGAACAAGATCACCTCTAAAAGTAGTCCTGAAGTTCATCGCCATTTTGAAAAATGATGCCTGCGCTCCATTGCAAATAAGAGCAATTTTAGGGCCCAATTTCACCCGAATTTCACAGAAATACGAGCTCGCAGTCCTGTTCACGGCTTCCACCTTCCTTTTTTCATGGCCCACAAAATGCAAAAAAAAATAATTGAGGACATGCAAATCGTGATTTGGCTGGCGTAGGCAATTTCAGACCTATTTACTGTCCTACAAACTACCAAGTGCGGCTGACACGCACTGTTTATAGTCTCTTTTCAATCGTCAAAAGTTAAGGTGAACATTGTAATATGTAAAGAGGCATATATCCTACAAATCTGCAAACGCATCCACCTCTAGCTACAACGATAAATTAAAAAATATATAATACATGTAGTTGAAAATAATTTCTCCATTACCCATGCAGAGAAACCGGAGTTCAAATCCAAGACCAAAATTCATTCGAAGACCAACAGTCCGCAGTTTGACCAGGCGTTTGAGACAGCAGTAAAAACTTCAAGTTTGTCGAGACACACATTACGACTCGTCGTCTGCGATCATCACAGACTCGGGCAGAGTGAAATCTTGGGGGAGGCGGAGTTTAGATTGAAGGGAGTGGACTGGAGTACGGGAATTGAGGAGGAATTGTCACTGGAACCGAGCACGCAGGTTATTTTCTAGCTGTAAAAATAAGTTTGAAATCGTTCACATTATTTTTTTTCTTTTAAATCGAAAGAAACGACAAAATAATGGGAAAAACTTACCGTGATATGTATTTTAAGCATCAGTGTATAAAAACTGGATTAAACAAGAGATGACGCTCCCCCTCTCACAACAAAAGTTTTCTGATGAGACAGGCATTTTGGAACTTTGGGCAAATTTCAAAATTAAAAGTGGAATAGGCCTATGTTGACGAGGTTTTCGACAAATTCTATATTAATGTTTACCCTGACGTATATTCAACTTGTCATAGTGTTCTTTTTTACTACATAAAACTGCGCATTGCCTCATTAAAAATTATCGTCGTATATTTTTAGAACTTGCAATTGTGATAAATTCTGGAATTTGATGGGTTTTTTTCAGTTGGTTGGCTTATACCATATAGCAACACAGAACCACGCAAAACGCAGTGGCTCGATGAACTCTCGTACGAACACGCAAAATCCTGAGGACTCGAACGAGATTTTTTTTTTTTTTATTTCATGAAGACAGTCCAACTGTTTGCAAAGTCTGCATCATTGGACAACGCCATGTTTTTTAACAAGCTACCGAAGCACACTATTTCGTTATTTTTGATAGATTCCGTACGGTGAGCTACTAGTGTCTCTGAGTTACCTACCGACATCTGAAAGGTTGTACATCACTGTGCTACGAGCAACCGGTTTCAGCAACGTACACGGTATGTCAAGTCCAAAGCATTTTGTTCATAGTCAACAAGGCACAAGATATCTTCATATCACAATGTTGATATGAAGATGGTGGGCCTGGAGAAATACTCACTCAAGTTAGTGATGTCATCGGCAACTCGAGCCGCATAACGTCCTGCTTCATCCCGTACCAACTTAATGGTCCCTAATGGTGTGGCCCTCAGATAGGCCATAATTTGTTCGGCGCGATACGGGTTCCGGTCCCTGCATTATTATTATTCGAACTGCACATGTTTGTGAACCAGTCTACCTTTTGCCGCCTTCTTGCCTCTTGTTCGCTGGTGTGCAATGTACAGCTACACATCTCTCTTTAATAATTAAACATATATGCCTACATAGCTCAGGATAAACATGCACGCGAGAACCAGTTAAGTGTTTTCCACATGCCTTCGTTGTTTTCTTCGCAAAAAAAAAATATTAATTCGGCGGACAGTTGTACTTTAACCCTCAAAATTACGATTTGACAAAGTGTGTTTTATGTTTGTGTCTGTTTTTCCTACAAGAACCTTCCACCAAGGTGTCTCTTATCCTATCAGGCAAGAGCGCCCTCAGACGTCGAGTCTCCTCCAGTCAGCAGCGCACGGGTCTAGTCTTCCACGAGGCGCTCTTCTTTGAGACTCCCCGTGACAAACTGGAGCGGATCAGAATCCTCATAGTCGTCACGGCGGCTGCGGAGGAGGAGAAGGAGACTACGGAATCCGTCCAATCCCGTTCGCATGCCCCGCCGCCTGTTGTGGACGAACCCGACATTGATGGCGCCCTAGAACCACCTGCGCAAGCGCGGCGGGAAATCGGCCAGATTATCCTGGGGAAGAACTGTGCTCACAACGCGCATGCGCACTGGGAAGAGATGACCCTGATGCCGAGGGTACCAATCGCTCAGTGGTATCCGATATTCCAGGATATCATTGAGTGATGTGAACGAGAACTATACGGAACAATTACCCGTGTATAAAATTATATAAAGAAGAATTTATAAATTATATAAAATTGAGCTTCCAGACACTTTTCCTGTTTCTATTCTGGTGTTATTATTAACTATGCACAATCGAGTAAAACATATTTTCTTGCAAATTATCTTTATCGTTACTGTTATATTATGGTGCTAAGATGGTGTCGGATTGACCTACCTCAATCCTCTCAATATGTATTTATTTTTCAATTAGGCCTTCCTTTGGCGGAGCCAAGAGGAAAATAAAGGGCTCAACATTAACAGTGAAGCCCTAGGCTAGCTTCCTTTATTTTAGTTGGATGATCCCACCTTTTGTTTCTGTTATAATTGTGGTTGAAGGGTAGTAACCGACAGATAAGAATCATTGAGCATTTGGCGCCATCTTGGACTGATTAGGCCTGCCATTTAATTAGGCATATGAGGACAGAGATGAGGATGGCGAGCTGCGAGATGGCTGTGTAAGACCCTCCTGCGTGAGAAAAAGAGGAGTAAAGACCTGCAGTCTGTGGGTTTGATGAAGATAACAGATGAGATAAGGCAAGGCAGACTGACATGGTATGGACATGTAGCAAGAATGGAGGAAAGCCATTGGCTGAAGAAAGCATGGAACTTTGACATAGTCGGTCTGAGACCATGAGGCAGGCTACGGAAGACCTGGGATGAGACCCCGGCAGAAGACCTCAGACTGTCCGAACCTCGCCAATGTGGATGTCAGAAATCGGTGGAACGGGACCATTAAGGAAAGACAACGTCTCATCCCACAGCGTTGGAAAAGTGGACGTTGAATGATTGTCTTAATTTTGTTGAAAAACATCAAGCACGCAAATTTAGATCTGGATCTGCCCTGATCAAAAAGTATGGAAGGATTATGAAACGACATATATAGGGGGTGGATGGCCTCCGTAGGCCCCTCCCCTTGGTCCGGTTTAAGGCCTAAATAATTTAAGGCGTGCCTGTTATGGATTTTTTCGTGATTTATTTTGTTGTTTTGATTAAATCTGAGTCTAAAAGATATTTTCATATAAAAGAAATTTGTAGAGTGCAAGACAATGTTTTGCCGAAATAAAAGCTACTTGACTTATTTTACGATTAATTGCATAAATGTAACGTGTGCCCTGAAAAATAACAGGGCTGTTATTATTATTATTAGGGCCAAAAAAGTCTCCAGTTTCTGGTATGGAGCTTGCCCAAAAAGTGGTGCGGCGACGCAGCTTTTTTTTTTCTTCAAATGTCGGCTGAAGACTGCAAATTGTACCCGACTAAACTTAGTGCAAATATGGGAGTCCAAAGAGGCCGCATAAAGCTTATTCTCTATCGCAACCCCATCTAAAAACAAAATTGTGCAGCAGCAGGGTTCCAACTGAGTTTGCGGTTCAAGTTGAGACATCATTTTTCATTGGAAAAAAACTTTATCATATTGCCGACGCGCATGCATGCTACGGCGACGCGCGCGCCATATACCAGAAACCGGAGACTTTTTTTGGCCTGTATTAAAAAATTAGTATTTATTTTACATTCGATTTTATTTCTTTCTGATAATGAAACCAAGGATTCTTCAAAAGTGCCCTAGGCACTGTAGCTCACAAGCCTGAAGAAACCTGTAGAGAGGGGATCATAGTGAGCAGAAATTACGGTTTTGGAGGTGGGAGGAAACCCCAAACGAATATTCTGGGGTAATCCACGGAATCAGGAAGGGACTGAAAACCCAATCCACATGTGGTCCGGACATGAATCGAACCTCGGCCATCGCTATGTAGGCGAGGAAATTAACCACTGCTATGCGCCAACCTGATGTTTTGCATTTTCAATGCATATTATGCTTTAATTTCGGAGTCCACTTATCATCTGATATGTATGATTTTATGATTCTGATGCGCTCCTGATCCTAAATGCAGTCATCCTCCAACAGTGATCATAGCAAATTATACCTGCCCGACCATTAAAAACCATCGTTTGATGTCATAATGACAAATTACAAAGTACCAAGGTAACAGGGCCGGGACAGGAAAAATGTCACAGTTTGGACCCAAAATTTACAGAATGATCCATATCCATTGGTTCTCCTCCCGGTGCACCGAGAAGCTGATACACTTTACTGTCAATATTATTTTGCAACTAAGCGCATTATCAGGAGCGCATCCATGTTTTGTATCTCTGGGGACACTGCAGGTCTAAATGTGCAATTAATTCTTTCTGTAAAAAAAAATAGTAGCCTCAATTGTTTCGTTCCGTAAACGAGATTGATTAATAGCGTAAGAGGATATAGCCACCAGTAACGATTGAGAGGTGCATTAAGTGATTTCATTAAAAAAAAAAATCCCCCAAAAACACACAAATGAGAAAATGTCCCCCCCCCCCCCTCGATCGGATACGCCATACAGGTGTGCAAACTGTAGATTAATGAAACTGTTATGAACGACAGAGGGCGCTGTATTAAAAGCTTGTTGTTTTGTGGGCAGCGCTGACACTGTGCGAGAGATGTTGTTGACAAAATGAACTTCATTTGTGGCTAGAAAAAATAAATTTGAGGTGAGTGTTCGTCAATCATATTTTGGAAGTTGTTAAATAATAGAGGTGTTATTTGCGCTGCTGTTTTGGAGTTATCACTCGCATGCAACAGTCTCCTGAATAGTGATTGTGTAGCCTATGTGTTTCAGTGTTAGACTCGCCCGCCTCCTGGAGTTGGGGGAGGGGAGGGGGGGGGGGTGAGTGAGTGTAGAATACTCGGATAGCTGAATACGTACTTTTTTTCGATAATTTAATAGCATTTGAAATGTGTCTCGTAGTCTGTGGATGTCATGAAGCTTAACAAATATTTTGTAAATAAATTTACGCACTGATCACTGTTCATCATGGAAATTGGAATATTTTTGGTTAATTTGGGTTCAAGACTTTGACTAAAGACATCAACACATCGAGACTTCTCACATGTTGAAATGTTACTCCCTTTTGTATTTTTGTATTTGACTAGTCACCATATTTAATCTTTCCATGATTTGGACTAGGTTTAATTTTCACAGAAAATTTGGGAAGAATTCCATACGTGGACATCACTAATTTTTCCCTGCAGTGACGTATTACTAAAAACATCAGCCATCTCAAAGCGATATTATGTCCTAAAAAAGTCAAAAATACCAGGAAAAACATTGAAGCATTTACTGAGAAAACACTTGGAATTTTTCAGACCAGTCTCGTAGGGTTTGTGCACAGAGTGTCAAGTGATGTCCAGGTATGGAACTCTTTTTAAATTTACAAGTATGGAACTCTTTTAAAATATTGAATTTTTTTAATTGATTCTTTCAGCAGCAGTGCACATAACTCCCATTCCGTCCCTCACGATGGTTCACGTTCTACCCTGCCACCAATTTGCCGGTGACCCCAAGACCTTAGCCTTGTCTCAAGACCCACTGACGATCTTTGCCTCGCGGAGTCAGCTGTTTGTGGCCACTTTGCAGCACAGCGTCAACGTGTACGGGCTCGGAGACGGCTCGTCTGGAGACCATGGGTCACTGCAGCATAGCTTCACCACGGCCGGGCTGGTCAAACAGGGAGCATACAGCACCACAGGTTTGTCCATAGATCTTAGTGTAACCTACCGCCCTGAATCCTTCAAAATCTACTTTTGCCAAAGTGGAGGAATTTGGAGGATTGAGGTAACATGGCAAAAGTGCGTTACTGATTTCGTAGATGCACTTTGTCAAGGTCTTGGGCCGGACCTTGTGTTGTTTTTGCTCGGCCATGCGTAGATATAGGCCTGGATTATGCTTGAAATCCTCCGTACTGCTCCAGGATGTCACTGGCCAAGCTTCGACATATTGACAGTCACTGCCGCATGATTTTGCAGGATTCAGGCAGTGGTCGCCCGTCCACGGATCATATTCAAGAAATAATGGAGGAATTTGCAGGATTGAGGCTATATGCTATTTTTCCATGAGGCCAATTGGAGGATTTTGCAGAATTGAGGCTACATCCTAGCAAAAAGGCCTAGGAGTTAGGGTTAAGGGACTAAACAGGACAAACAGTGTAGCTCAAAGGCCTTTTCACACTAAACAAATCTTGGGGTTGATGCGGGGTTGACGCAGGGTTCAAATCAATAGTACCGGTCACTGAGCAAAATCAGCTTGGTTTGCAAGAAACAAGTGTGAAACGATGCAGGGTTGAAAAATCAAAAACTCAACTAGGGGTGGCGCTGGGTTCGCCAAATAAACTTGTACCCAAAATAAATTGGAGGGAACACGAGAATGATTTCCTTAAACAAAAAAGAAACGTAAAATCAGGCTGGGACTGGAACCAGCTGTCGCGATTGAATCAAACCCAAGTCACAGAGGGAAAAGTACCCTGACTCCCCTTTGTTTTGCTTGTTTTCACAGGTAACTACATTGCAACCCTGGAGGTGCAAGGCAGCCCCCAGCACCAGACCACGTCCATCCGGGTGTACTTCAACTGGGAGATGAGCGGGCCGCACTTGGCCGTCCGCGCTCGAGTTGCCGGAGGTAAGAGACATTGTATACACTTCTCCCTCTTCATATAAAACAGGAGGTTCGCTTGTCAGGTTTTAGCTTTTCTGAACCCTGAAAACAGCCTGGGAACACCAGGTTTTTCGTGATGGGAAGAGTTGCCCAATCCAGCTAGGAATCTGCTTTGAATTCCTAGTTTTTCAAAGCACTGGTGCTCAAGGCGATACATCATTATTACCCTGCTCATTGGTTCGTTGAAACATTCCAAAGACAATTTCAGTTCTCTGGGGAGAGTAAAGCTCAGTTTTGCCATTTATGGCGCAAGCCAGCTAAAATCAACCGCGACAGCTATCTCTTGCCCTCACATGTACCCAATTTACTCCTTGGTGGGGAGAAGCAATGAGTGACAAAGTGCCTTGCCCAAGGGCACATGCACCATAACCCCAGGCTGGACTGCAGAATTACCTGCAGACCACGATTTCAATGCTCAGTGGAGTCAAATTTTCCTGTCTTCTTCTTGCGATCTGCAGGTGATATCCGCGAACGAGGTGCCACTGTCTCGACCTACAATCTAGACCGGCGCTCCGGCACCCAGTTTGAATTGGTGGAGGTGCAGACCCCTGCCCCGGCCCAGTGCATCAGCTGCTGCCCGGCCACCGGTAACCTGGCCGCCGGCATCGACAACACGGTCTCCGTCTACCGCTTTGTGGTCCAGAACCCCGGCACGCCGACGGAGTGCGGGGACTTTGATTGGCTGATCCAGCTGCGGATGGGCCTGATGGTTCGAGAGGTGCGGATGTGCGAGGGGACCATCGCCTGCATGGGCACCCAGGAACTACAGGTGAGCACATTTCGGCTGGGAACCTGCCTGAATCTTATCAAATCCTACCGCGTGAAACAATCAATGGGATCTTCCGTGGGGTTAGGGCTCGTCTCAATTCATATCCGAGTCGAGTTCCAGACAAGTTGCAGACATTGTATCTGGTATAAGTTGCAGGATTCTGAACAACCTCCCCGCAATCTTTCCCGCATCGAATTTATCAGTATTTATGAGTCAAGTAGTTGCCACTTAGAGCTTCTTCTGGACAAAGTGAATGATTCTACCCACATCTTGTCTGGAACTCGTTCTGGATGTGAATTGAGAGAGGTCCTTTAACTTTCCAGGGGCTGCATCAGTGGCCCGGCTCTACCTTCTTCAATGCTTGGAAATCCTCCCCAAACCCCTTTGATGATTTTGAAGGGTCCAGGGTCCGATTTCACGAAACACTATTGAAGACACTATAAACTTGTCTTAAATGCTCGCGACTCATCCTAGGATTGATTTCACCAAACTTAAAACGCGTTCAACACGTCCTAACTTCCCAAGCAAAAGAACTGAACTTGTCTTATCTTAAGATTGGTCTGAGGGTAATTTATCTCATTAATGCCTGCATAATTTGTATATCGCCTGGAAACCATTGCCATTAAAGACGAGTGTCGTCCTAGAGTTATAGTTTCGACGAAGAAACCACTGTGGAAACAGATTTTGTCGGGACCCTCTCTAATCATGCATGAAAAGGAAAATTGGTTAATCCCACTTGTCACCAGCAATAAAGTAGTGTTGTACCTATCTTCAAGAAAGTTGTGATTCTGGCTTGTTGTACATGACCTAGGTGGTAAAAGTCCGTCTGTGGGACACGGCCAGTCGTGAACCCCTCCGCGGCCGGTCGGTCACCGACACGGAGATCATCAAGACCCAGCGGGGCAAGCGACGGGTGCCGCTGCTCATCAAGCCGGCCCCGTCCCCGGAACACTCCGGCTCCGATGAGGACAGTGAGGCCCCGGCCTCGTCCTGGAAGTCCCCCGCCGATCTGAAGAAGGGCAAATCGCGGGAGTTTTGCCAGGCTCAGCCGTATTTCGTCATCGCCGAGGGAGCAGCCTTGGACTGGGATTTTGGCATCGAGGCTACCTCGGGAGTAGGTGCCGACAAATCATCGTCGACCCAGCAAACCACTCCAGGAAAGTAAGTTGGTTTGTCTTGACACTACGACCATGCTATACAGTATTCCTTTACAGTACCGATGGTTCCAGTGTTGAATAGTCTCCCAGATGCTACTGTGGGTCAGCCCATGGCTTGGGGAGTCAAGTTTACGTAGTGGTACTTTCAGTCAGGTTGGCTTAGCGGTACTTTCCTTGCCTTCCAACGCTGTGACCCGGGTTCGAGTCCCGCCTGGGCCAATATGTGGATTGGGTTTTCAGTCCCTGCCTGATTCCATGGGTTTTTCCTCAGAACAATCTTCTGAGGTTTTCCTCCCGTCTCTAAAACTGTAATTTCTTCTCATTGTCTCCTCTCTTCAGGTTTCTTCAGCTTTGCGAGCTACGATGCCTAGGGCGCTTTTGAGGAATCCTTTGGTTTCATTACAAGAAATAAATAAATAATAATAATAATAACTTCCCAAATAAGGTGCCTTCTCATTTATCTGCGGACCTTATTGATGCAGAATTGCATTGTTTTATCTTATCATCCAATCAAAAGAGTCCGTACAAAAATGTTTCTGAAAAAGTTCTTTCTGTCTTTGTTCTTAATGTTTTGTGCCGTTATTACTCCAGTTTTATAATTGTTTTCATCCCTATCTCCACACTTAGAAGTTCTTAAAGTTTCTATATCTTTAATTGTTATTGGTGCAGTGCTACGGTGTACCTACCAAGCATCCAATCGGAGGAGCCGTACTATGAAAGCTCAGAGGTGAACTGCGAGATGATTGGCCCGGTCAGCAGATTTGAGGGGCATCCGACTCACATACTGCTTCCTAAGAGACGTACTCGCAAGTAGGCCAAAACGTCTGCTTTGCTTTTCAAATAACTAAAATTCAGATACTTGAAATTTTTTCCTGAGAACCGTTTTTTTATCCCACTAAACTAAGGTTTATTGTAAGCCCAAATTGTGCACCTCTTGTGAAAAGATGAAACATGATTTAACAGTCTTGAGTTAGCAAAAATTTGTTGAACCAAATTTGAACTTGCCCTTTTTGGCAGAAATTCGTTTTCTAAGTAAAGCGGTGCACCTGTGCCCAACTCAGAATTTCAGTATTCCTAATTTTTTTTTTCCTTTTCATGGTTTGGCAATTTCACCACGTTCATGTTCTTTTGAGTTGAATGATACGCAGCAAAACAAACTAAATCATCACGTCAATTCATAACTTCTAAATTTTGCATTGAAAAGCTTCAAATGAATAAATAGAATAAATACTAAGTTGGAAAATTCAGGAGGAAAAATCACAACTACTTTACCCCAAACATAGAATCCTTTCTTTTGATATGATTTAGTAAAGTGCGTATTTTCAGTTTGGGGCCATACAGGATTAGAGGGAATGTACAACATTTGCTTTTGCTGCAATTTTCAGAAATAAATGGATTTGGAGGATTTGTATGTTATAGCAAATATTGTTAAAATGACTTGTTTCACGTTTTGGGCTTGTAGATGTTGGAAAACCCAAGAAAACCAATCATGTTCTTGTAGTCTGGTTCCCCGACTCCACTTAAGATGAAACGGAGCAATTTATAGACTTTTGGGAATTGTAAGTTCAGAGAATTAGTCTAGCAGGCGTGTACCACATCTGTGCAATCAATTGCAAAGAAAACAATGAATAACTAATTATGAAAAATTAGAAGCAGGTTTTGAAAAAAGCCAGTTTTTGTCCAACGCTGGTCGGCCGATCAGCGTTGGAAAAATACTATTTTTCTTGAGAATGATAGCACACCAGGAGCCACGATTTTACAGGATGCTTTAGACTGTCATTCCCTAACAATCCAGTAAGGTATTTCATGATAATTTGATCATTTCGTTTTGTGATGTTTGCAAATGTTATATCTTCCCTTTAATCCTAACCCCAAGGGAATTTTGGCTAGAACCCTCGCTAAATGCAGCAACATGTCGCCCTTGCCAAAATGACAAGCCTGCCCAGTGTTTAGATTCATCAGGTCAAAAATCTCAAGGCCAAACTGCCTCAGAGTCTGTGGTCACCGAATCCAGCAGGATACAACTGTGGCATTGTTCAATGGGACAAGCTCTCATTGTTTCAAGAATTGGCTGTTTGTGCACTGGTGTTGATGGCTCAATGCAACAAGGTCCCACAGACTTTTACACCTGATAATTTTTGTTTTTCCGTGTCATGTTTGTTTAATTTTGTGTATTTTTTTTCAGGTTGAGGACATCACTGACGCAGCTTCTATATCGCCGCTTCATCATGTCGAATATTAACGAGGGGGATAACGATAACGGCCTACACTCACTACAGTTCCTTCCTACGTATGCCACAGGTAAAATCCTGATCAACCTTTTTGCCAGGAGCTTTTCTAAATCCTCTTAGAGGGAGTGTCGCATCGTCTTTAGGCTTTGTGACTTGCGATTAGAGGTCAGGGGTTCGAGTCCTGCTGCTGGCCATATGTTGTGTCCGTGGGCAAGCGACTTTACCCTAACATGCCTCCCTCTACCCAGGAGAGCAAGCAGAGGGGGAGTGTGGCCTAGTGGTTATGGTTTGTGATGTATAAGCAGAGGTTTAGGGGTTCAAATGCTGCTGCTGGCCATATGGTGTGTCCTTGGGCAAGCCACTTTACCCTAACAGGCCTCCTTCTTCCCAGGAGAGCAAGCAGGGGGAGTTTGGCATAGTGGTTAGGGTTTAGGACTCATGATCAGAGGGTCAGGGCTTCGAATCTTGTTGCTGGCCATACGGCGTGTCCTTGGGCAAGCCACTTTATCCTCACGTGCCTCATTCTATCCAGGAGAGCAAGCGGGGGAGTTTGGCCTAGTGGTTACGATTTGCGATACATAGTCAGAAGGTCAGGGGTTCATATCCTGCTGCTGGCCGTACGGCGTGTCCTTGGGCAAGCCACTTTATCTTCACTTTGCCTCATTCTATTCAGGAGAACAGGCAGGGGGAGGTTGGCCTAGAGGTTACGGTTTGCGATAAATAGTCAGAGGGTCAGGTGTTCATATCCTGCTGCTGGCCATACGGCGTGTCCTTGGGCAAGCCACTTTATCCTCACTTTGCCTCATTCTATTCAGGAGAACAGGCAGGTGGAGGTTGGCCTAGTGGTTACGGTTTGTGATACATAGTCAGAGGGTCAGGGGTTCATATCCTGCTGCTGGCCATACGATGTGTCCTTGGGCAAGCCACTTTATCCTCACTTTGCCTCATTCTATTCAGTAGAACAGGCAGGGGGAGGTTGGCCTAGTGGTTACGGTTTGTGATACATAGTCAGAGGGTCAGGGGTTCGAATCCTGACCATATTTTGTCTCTTTGGGCACTTCCTAATGTTGCTAACCAAGCTAGGCAGTTTCACTTTGTGGAGTACGTGAAGTTCTAGTTTTCTTGATTTAAGGTAGTGATTGCAGTACCCACTGCTATATCAGATACCAACTGGCCATCCGACCTCGGAAACTCGATGGTCGATTGGATAAAGCTGGAGGCCATGAATTTAGGCTTCGTCTGAATAAGCTTGTGATTTTATTTCTTGAAAGCTGTCAGTCGGCAACTTACTGTACAGTGCCTATGAGATTATAGTGAAGGGCGAAAAATCCAATATTATAAACATTTTCTTTGATGCTAGCTTCCCACGGCAAGACGGAGCCCAGTAACGATCTCTTGGAGAGCAGCAACGCCCAGAACCTGGCCGGACTCTGCTGCTTCTTCAGCACCTCCCGAGGGGGCTACCTGTACGAGATGCAGCCCCGGCCCCGCCTACTGACGGAGTACACCTACAAGGCCGACGCCCTCCAGGTTGAGGCTGGGCGGAGCCTGCTGTACGCGTTGACTCAGAACGGGCTGGAGACGTTCACGCTGCGCACGGCGGCCGCCGCGCTGCCCAACATGGAGGCCGTGGATAACATTGCCAATGTGAGACATTTGTTCAGCGACTTTACAATTTCAGTTTTTATATTACCAACAGCTTTATGAGTCCCTGCTCAGATCAAGGATGTAGTCAGGTCTATCACAAGTCCTTCACAAGTCCAGTCGCAAGTTAATCACAAGTCCAGTTACAAGTTAATCACAAGTCCAGTTACAAGTTAATCACAAGTCCAGTTACAAATCGCAGTGGATAAACAATGACAAAGGAAAGCCTTGGTCAAAGCTCGTTTGAATAGCTTGTGAGTTGAATTGGGACTGGAGGACTTGCAGGGACTTCTGATGGACTCGACTTCATCCCTTGCTCAGATTTTAAACCTGGAATGTAACCCATACCCTAGAGTATTCTTTAAGTAAATTTTGGTATAAATTGTCTTGGATTTGACAACTATTTTTACAATTTTCAGAGCTTTGTCTTTTGCAGACCTGTCCCCCAGCAACGTTGGACATCAGCCTAGTCGGTCTGGAGCCATACCTTGGTCTCACTCAGCTCACAGTCAGTCAGAAACACGTCATGCTTCTATCTAAGACCAAAGAATCCTCCAGCCAAGCCATACTCACCAGAGGGTAACGTACATTTTTGTTTTGGGTTGCTTCGCCTCAAAGATTCTTGAAATTCTTGTGTCCTGTCGTTTTGTCTCTCCGTCTCTCTGGTCTGTATTTTCTGGGAGTCTGGATTGGTCTGGGGCCAATTTCTTGGAGCTGCTTAAGCACAAAATTTACTTAAGCACAAAAACGTCTTGCTTAATAAAATCAGGTTACCGGCCAAAACTCCATGCAATTGTTATGCTAAGTAAACAATAGCTAAATACCAGTCACAAGCAATGTACATCACATGGAGTTTTGGCCGGTAACCTAATTTTACTAAGCAATGTTTTTTCGTGCTTAGGCAAATTTTCTGCTTAAGCAGCTCTATGAAATTGGGCCCAGCTGGGTCTCCTCGAGTGTTGAGTTTTAGCCTTCGTTTTTATTGTATACTTAATTGTGGAATTGTATTTCAAGCCTCTTTTTTTTCTTTTTTCTTTTTTTTTTTTTAAATTTGATTTTTACTGTTTTGGACATTTACCTGGATCTCATGAAATTGACCTGTCATTTTTCAATGTATTTTTTATGGTATTTTTTTAATGATGGCCCATCGAATATCATCCCTGAGGTGACATTGCTACCATCAATAAATATAGTCATTAATATAGATTTGCCTGAATTATTGTCGGAACCCAGATAATTTGAAATTTGTAAAAATAAAATTTCATAACTAAACGTGCGTCTGTTTGGTTTTTGTTCGATATCTCATTCACAACAAGTAAGTAAACTTTTGTACTGCTAGAAAAAAAAAAAACTACCGTAGGGAAAACATCTTTAAGTTTAATACTCTTTGCTCTTCAAAAAGTGGATTTCTTTCTTCTCCTAGCAAATTTTCAATTTGTATGTTTTCTTTTGACTTAAAATAAACTACATTATTCTGATTTGTGGCGTCTACAACCCACTGGAAAAAACCTGTAAGGACCGACGTATTTTTTGGCAGCCAATAATTTAAATTTTGTGAAGAACTAATTCTATAACTGAAACTCAGTGGATTTTTTTTTAGTTCGATGTCCATTCGAAAGTGAATAACTGTTATATTGCCAGGAAAATAATTTATTACAAAACAAAAATCTTTTTTCGTTTTTTTTTTTTTTTTGAGGTGGAGCTCAAAAGTTGGGGGAAAAAAGTATCTTTATTCCATCATAATAAGCCAGTTCGGTGTCTCGATGAAGTATTCCAGGTCAAAGGTCATTCAGGATAAAATCGCTGACTTGACGTTACGCAGTGTTACGTGAACGCCAATTCTGCTCGTAATTAGCATACGAGCATTGTGCGCCCGCCTCCCAGCACGTTCAGTTTCCTTCGGTGGGCTTCCGACTTTGATTATCCCGAAAAACCCGTTGAAATACCGAGCTGGCTTATTAGCCCTTCAGAAGGTGAACACTCGCATGAATATCAAACTGACAATGAACATTTTCATATCAAGTTATCTATTAACATTGGATTGAAATTTGATTGGGTCACCAGTGAAATGAGCGCCAGTATATCCAGCAAGGCTAGCACAGTCTACATCCTGGAGCAAGCCTGCCTCTCGACTATCTACAAGTCGCTGGTGGAGCTCGGGGAGCGATATCGGCACACCAGCCCAGGGGGTTACCTACAGAGCCTACTGGAGGGTCACCTGCTGCTGAGGATGGCCAAGATGAACCGCCAACAAGAGAACGCCCAGGCAGGGCTAGAAGGTGGGGTCAGAAAAATGCTCAGAGCCGGCAGATTTGTTTTGAGACTTGATTTGGATTTTTAGTCACCTATTCTCCCTTTTATTCTTCTTGTCTCTGACAAGTGCGGTAGTGCCACCGGGGCAGGAGGTTGCTATCAACAAGATGTTTCAAATCCAGTCCGGGGAATTGTGGCAGCGCTACCCATTAAGTTCCGAGCATACCTCATGTGCTTGCATTAGCTTGCGTACAGTTGTGGGGAGGTATGCTTGGCACTTCCTGGGTAGCGGCGCCGAAGTTCTCCAGTCTTGATTTGATTCATCTTGTTGACGGGAATCTCTACTGCCACTGCTGCTCTTCCACGCTGTATTAGGCGAACAAAATTCGAAAGCCATTTTTAGATCAAGACTAGAGATTTGCCGAATCGTGTATGGATTCATCTTTGGCTACTTACTACTGTGGTCTGTTTCCATGCGGACCAGTAAAACTCACTGAAAAGTCTGGCGAAATCTTTTGTCACAAGGTGATCAGCCATTGTTGTCTAGTGCCCAGAAGTCTAAACCATGTGAAAGGCATTGTCTGCAATTGATGCTCTGGTCACCAGCCTGTACTTTGCAGTTACTCTCACATTAATTTTATGTCACGGCAGAAAAATGGCCTTTATCTTTGCATAACACTTCAAATATGATTTTCTGTCGGTTTTCTCAGATTTTCCCAGTTCTAAATCGCCAGACGAACTTCAATCTCTCTACCTGCAATCCTGTCTGCAGTTAGCCCTCCACTACTGCAGGTATTAGTCAACTTTGTCAGTTGATTTTCAAATCTCATAAACTCTAATCACCTAGCCAAGGATAATTCTTGAAACATTTTTAGATTCCTCCAAACTCCGCCATCAAGTCCCTGAAGCGGCAGAGCTCTATCCTGCAAAGACCTCAAAACCTCTTGGTGAATATTAAAGAATCAGTCTCCAAAGGCCAAACGTCGTCTCTGTAGGGGTGTGCCTTTACGGGAACTGGGTACCCGAATGAAAAAACATGGGTACCCGCATACCTGTTTAAGGTTTAGTCCATCATTTGCAATTTGTGCATTTTGTTCGTTTGAAGCAACAAAAGTACTCAAAATTTAAAGAAGGGTGCTAAACAACTGACCTGATGAAGTTTCAGCTCAGCTTCAGCTGTATATTTCGAGAAAAACAGCATTCTAGGATCTCAATTTCAAATCAAAAGCTGCTGAATCATGTTTTGAATCAGGCCTGAATTCAGCATCCGAGACACGTTCTCACTGAGCCGATTGCAGCTACGCGATGTCGCGCACTGATCCAACAAATTATAGCAACCATGCGTGCATGTGCGTAGTGTCAACGCTTGCGCACGCTTCGCCGAACAAAGTAACGAACTACTAACAGAAATTTCCAACGTTGCTTCTTTAAAGACGCACCATTGGAAAGGCCTTCTTTTGTTGATTTCTTCAAAATGACAGCTTGCCAGAAAGAATGATTTCATAGGGAGTTTAGTCCCCTTACTATCTTTCAAGCAAGTATGTTTTTCATCAATAATTACGCCAGTTACTTTTTGGATAGCTGCAAATGATGGACTCTGGCTTTAAAGACTCCCAACACCAAAATTTTAAATCTTGGAAGTTGCAGTTCAGCTTGTTTATAAAGGTCCGCACAATAATACTACCACATGCGTCGATCCAGCAAGATATACGAGTGTGCACGGTGTAAAACTGGAACTTTCGCGAGCGTCACAAACATGTTTTGTTTCTTGCATGTAGCCTGGTTTTCATTTTTAAAATCCTCCACAAATGACATTCAAAAGCTTTCTATTTCATTGTCTGAGAAGTTTCTTAAGTAATTTGTAAAAGTTGGTTACGAGTAGCCGATCCCATAATCTGGAACCGGTTCCTGACATTAACGGTCGGGTACTCAGGTACCCGGTTCCAACGCCCAGCCCTACATCTTTGTGACGTCACAAAGATGACCTTACACAAAGGACAGCATCCCGCATGGAATAAAGTTGTTATACTGACCCTTTTCCTTTTCAAATACATCTTTCAGAGGAGAGACAACTGATTGGCATTTGACCGATGCACAGCCCTACACCTTTGTGACATCACAAATTTGTAATACAGTTGTAATACAATTGTTACAGTTGTAATACAGTTGTAGTACAGTTGTAGTACAGTTGTAGTACAATTGTAGTACAGTTGTAATAGAGTTGTAATACAGTTGTAATACAGTTGTAATACAATTGTAGTACAGTTGTAATACAGTTGTAATACAGTTGTAACACTGACTCTTTTCTTTTTTTAATGCATCTTTCAGAGGAGAGACAACTGATTGGCATTTGACCAATGCACAGTCCTACACCTTTGTGACATCACAAATTTGTAATACAGTTGTAATACAGTTGTAATACAATTGTAGTACAGTTGTAATACAGTTGTAACACTGACTCTTTTCTTTTTCAAATACATCTTTCAGAGGAGAGACAACTGATTGGCATTTGACCAATGCACAGTCCTACACCTTTGTGACATCACAAAGTTGTAATACAGTTGTAGTACAATTGTAGTACAGTTGTAATACAGCTGTAATACAGTTGTAACACTGACTCTTCTCTTTTTTTAATGCATCTTTCAGAGGAGAGACAACTGATTGGCATTTGACCGATGCACAGCCCTACACCTTTGTGACATCACAAATTTGTAATACAGTTGTAATACAGTTGTAATACAGTTGTAACATTGACTCTTTTCTTTTTTTAATGCATCTTTCAGAGGAGAGACATCTGATTGGCATTTGACCCTGCCCTACTTCAACATGTCCGAACTTCCCCTGCAGAAGATCATCCAGCTCTGCCCAAAGCCATACACGGCATTCGAGGTGGGTAACAAGAATTACGATTAACTCATGCATATTCATGAACCAGTGCGCTAGTTTTTAGTGTTCCATATTCAGGCGTATTTCAAATAACTGATGAACCCAGCCTTGTAAAATGCTTCCAAATTTAATGACAGATTTCCTTTTATTATTTTGAAGCACGTTATATTTTTTTTTGGGGGGGGGAGAGAATTTGATATGAAAAGAACTATCTAGAAATGCTGTTGTGATTTAACCCATGGACCACACCGCAGGGTGATGCACATCCTAGACTGTCATGTTTTTCCACTTGTACTGCGCCAAAACATCCCTAAATCCCCACCCCCCTAACAAATTCCCTCACACCTAGCTGTGACCCAGCACCAACCCTACCTATTACCCCACCTCACCCTTATTACTTACCCTTCATACTCTTTTTGTTCAGGATGAGGAGATCGTATCTGGAGCCGGTTCAGGAATGATTCATTACTTGGACTGGGCCCAGAGATCCCCCTCCCCAACCCCACCCTCACCAAATTCCCTCACACCTAGCTATGACCCTACACCAACCCTACCTATTGACCCACCTCACCCTTATTACTTACCCTACGTACTCTCTTTTTGTTCGGAATGATTCATTACTTGTACTGGGCCCAACTCCCCCCCCCCCCCTCGACAAATTCCCTCACACCTAGCTGCTACCCTACACCGACCCTACCTATTACCCCACCTCACCCTTATTACTTACCCAACGTACTCTCTTTTTGTTCAGGATGAGGAGATCGTATCTGGAGCCGGTTCAAGAATGATTCATTACTTGGACTGGGCCCAACTCCCCCCCCCCCCCCACCCTCACCAAATTCCCTCACACCTAGCTGTGACCCAGCACCAACCCTACCTATTACCCCACCTCACCCTTATTACTTACCCAACGTACTCTCTTTTTGTTCAGGATGAGGAGATCGTGTCTGGAGCAGGTTCCGGAATGATCCATTATTTGGACTGGGCACTTTTTGATGAGAACAGCACTGTAGAAGTAGATCAGGTAAATAAACGCTCACCAGTGGCTCAAATGGAGTCAGAATAACAGGTGGAACTAGCAGGTGGAATCCATCAAACCCTAACAGAACTCAACCCATCAAACCCCAACGGTATGTTTTGTTGGAATCTGTCAGGATGGGGTACAGTACCCCTAAACTGACAGTGTTTTAGTACATTGGGTTGGCACACCTCCAGAATCACAGTCAGAAATTGTTTGTGCAGTTTCCCATATGGTGTTGAAATTTGCCAGAATGGGTATGGTTCAATCAAGCTAGGGAGTCAGGCTTAATAACACTAAAAAAATAGCTGATTATTGCCTTTCCCAGTTTTTGAGTGGGGGCACAAGGGGGTACAGCCTGCGCCCCTATGTCCCCTTAGGTACCCCACCTGAAGGGACATTCAAAGTTGTGAATTTCTTTTGGAAATTGGAAGAAAACAAAATCAAATTTCTTTCAGAAATCTTTGTGTTATACGTTTCTGTTGTCTTTTGTTATTACTGAGCTTTCTATTTTATTTGTCTGTAATGTCATTTTTTGTCCATGTGTTTTAAGTACACGCATATAATATTTGTTGTTTAATATTTGCTGTGATTTGTTTTGCGTTTATTCGAAATCAAGTTCAACAAAGAAATGAAATTGAACAAAATCTGCAATTACGACCTCTGTATTTTCATTGATTTCAATTTGTACATATTCATTTATTACAAAAATTTCCTGAAAAAAACGTGTAAGAATTACATAAATTCTTAATCACATGTGGAGTGCCGTGGCCTAGTGGTCTGGAGCATTGAATTTGTGGTCTGCGGGTAAGTCTGCAGGTTGTGGGTTCGAGTCCAGCCTGGGGTCATGGTGCGTGTGCCCTTGGGCAAGGCACATTGTCACTCATTGCTTCTCTCCACCCAGGAGTGAATGGGTACCAGTGAGGGCAGAGTTGGTTACTTTGAGAGGTTGATTACGGCCAAGAGCACCAAAATGGCTGCCTACCGGCCGTGTATGCTCCCCAGGGAGTTGAGAAGGTTTCAGGAGTGTTTGCCTGTTGAAACAGCTAAAATAATAATTGTAAAGTGCTTTGATACCACGTTGCGGCGTAAAAGCGCTTTGTAAATGCCTGCTATTATTATTATTATTAATCTAAACTAACATCTTTTCACCTGTCATTTCTGGGTTTTTTTTTAAGGAAACGGCAGACAGCATCTTGAAGTATTTCGTCTCCCTGGCTCCCCAGCATTGCAGCAAGGTGGTGCTGTTCTCCAAGATCTCTAGCCTTGTCAGCCCCGACAATGCCCTGACCATCCTAACCAAAGTCAAAGATACACACCAACCTGGACAACAGTAAGTGTGGGATTCCTTCTCTCTGCTGGTCCAACAGGGCTAGCGTAATGTCTCGTTTAACTGACTCGACTAACAGATGGACTGACTGACCGACTGATTCACCGACTGACAGTCTCTTGTGACCTAGACCAGCTAGATGTAAACTGGTGAATAGAGCTGGGCATTGCTCTCGAGAAGAGAAGACAGTGAGAAGAAATTACAGTTTCAGAAGTGGGAGGAAAAGCCCAGAAGAATTTCTGGGGAAAATCCATGGAATCAGGTAGGGACGCGGACTGAAAACCCAATCTACATATTAGCCCAGGAGGGATTCGAACCCGGGTCACAGCGGTGGAAAGCAAGGAAAGTACCGCTACGCCAACCTGACTCCCCAAATGTGGAATTGTGCCCTTGGGTTTTGCCCTTTACCGAGGTATTTGTATAAAGACGGTATACTCAGTATTGTAGGGTTTGGGAGAAAAATTTTAAAAGCTTACTTGGATGAAACTCAAACCAACGACCTCCTGCTTTCAAAATTCCATCTGATAACCAGTTTGGATTTTAAGCAGGAGTTCGTGGAAGCTATTACATTGCACCATGCACAGTGCTCACACTGAGCTCAAATTTAAAAAAATGACATTTTTTAACAAAGAACAATACAGTTCATCTGAAGATTTTTTTATTTGCAAACTTGAGATGCTTCATCTCCGATGGTATTAGTTTGTATCGCTTCTTCTCTGATTTTCTTTCCAATTTCGTTCCAGCGTGAACTTTGCCGGAATTCCAGGGAGATATGCGTGAGTATTCCTGAATGGAGAAGAAACCTAAATTGGCACCAAATTGATTGAGTATTGAAAAAAGGAACATTACTTAAGAGCAAATCAAGATTTCTACAGACAGTTTCAGGTGCTACAGTGAGTAACTAAAGGGAATGTACATCATTGGCTTTTGCTGTAATTTTCAGAAATGAACTATTTGAGGGGTTAGTATAATAGATCAAATATTGTTACACTGACATGTTTGAAGTTTTTTGTTCGAAAATGCTGGAAAAACCAAGAAAAACAAAAATGTTCAAGTAGTAAGGTTCCTTGACTCCACTAAAGATAAAATGTATCAATTTATAGATGCCGGAAAATTGTAAGGTAAAGGAACCAGTCTAGCTGGCCTGCACCTGTTCATGAACATGTAACCAATAGCAAACAAAATTTGGACTGAAAACAAGTGTTAAGTTGGAGCAGTAGTTGAAAAATAGTTAGGTTTTTCCAACAGTGGTTGGCCGCCCACCGTTGGAAATGTATACAAAAATACCATTTTCTTGAAATTGACTTCATACCAGGTGCCATAATTTTACAGGATGCTTTAGACTGTCATTTACCAACATCCTAGTAAGGTATTTCGTAAAAACTTGGTAGTTTTATTTGTCGATGTTTGCAAATGATGTATATTCCCTTTAAGAGCAAATCAAGATTTCTACAGACAGTTTCAGGAGCTACAGTGAGTAATAGGGTCAGTGGTATATGCAGGATTTTGCTGGCAGACAAGCCCACAATCTAGGAGATGCCAAGTATACAAACCTTTGTAATTCTTTTGAGGGGGGGTGGTATGACACCATCCTCCCCCCCCCCACCCAAATATGCTGCCTTTAGGCCAGGGTTAGGGTATTTGCCTCAAAAGAGCTTGAAGAACCCCTTTATTTCTTTGTAGTTGGGGCAATCTGGATCGTTTAGCCCTGTCTGAGGTGTACCTACGCCTGGGTGACTTGGAGCAAGCAGCGACCACTCTGTGCACCCTATCCACAGAAGAGATCACCCAGCTATGCACCCAGCACTCCTCCCTGCTGCTACAAGGGGACGACCAGTTCTCACACTTGGCCCAGGTACGGTCACCAGGGGTATCGTTGGACTACTTTGCATAAACTAGTATCATGTTGCAGCTGTCTTTTGATTTTTTTTTCCCCCATTCAAATCAATGTAACCAAAGTGAGGCTGGAAGGAAAAATAGTCTGGTTTCTTTTTGCATAAAAAAAACATTATCACTCAGTACTGTTATTGGATGCAGGGAACATGACTGAAATGGTGGCAGCAGGATAATGGTGTATGGACTCGGTGCACAAGTGCCCCCTCAAAGGTTACGAAGGGAGACTTTGGGGAGACTATTTGGAGGGAGTCCGGCCTAGTGGTTAGGGTTTGTGACTAAGAGGGTCAGGGATTCAAATCCAGCTGCCTGTCATATGTTTATGTCCTTGGGCAAGCCACTTCACCTCCACTTACCTCTCTCCACCCAGGAGTATAAATGGGTACTGGCATTAGCTGGGGAGTAAACTTGCATAGACTAGCATCCCATCCAGGGGAAATGGAAATTTTCTCAGTTGTTTTATGCCAAGGAAACCAGAGTAAACATTAGCCTGATTGGGCCATATTGGCTCGAGACAGACTATTTTTTTAAAACTTTTACTGGGAGAGACATTCGAGTGCATTGCCGATTGTTTCTGGTGCTCATGCGAAGACCAGTTCTCACACTTGGCTTGGGTATGGTCACCAGGGGTCACTAGTGGACTGGTTTCTATTGGGACGGGGGTACAACACAGGGATGTAGCCCAGTCCATCACAAGTCCATCACAAGTCCAGTCACAAGTAAATCATGAGTCCAGTCACAAGTCCAGTCACAAGAAACAGTAGATGAACAATAACAAAGGAATGCCTTTGTCAAAGCTCATTTGAATTACTTGTGAGTTGAATTGGGACTGGAGGACTTGTGTAGAACGCCATGGTCCAGTGGTTTAGTGTTTGACTCAGGAACATGGTGTTTGTGCCCTTAACTACAATTGCCTCTCTCCACCCAGGAGTATAAATGGGTACCTGTGAGGGTCGAGGACCGATTGAGCGCTGATATCGGCTGCGGCGTGGCCCCATGGCCTAATGAACGGGGTAATAATTGTAAAGCGCTTTGAGATCGTTGATACGATGGAAAGCGCTATATAAACACAATTATTATTTATTCATTATTTTGTGATGGACTTGTGATGGACTTGTGATAAACTCGACTACAGACTTGAGGTTGCCAGAAATAAATGAAATAAATCAACATGCTTTTTTTACCCCCCCCCCCCCCCCCAAGTTGATACGCCAACAGGAGCCAGAAAGTCTCCTCTCTGCTTTGGTTCAACTCATTGATGAGAATACTGTCGCACTGCACACGTGCATCAAACTACTCAGGGTGAGTATTGCCTTCACATCGTCACCGTTTTGATGAAGTGACGCATCCGTCCAAAACCGAGATTTTCTGAAATCTGAGATTTTTTGGATATTCTAGCATTTTATGATGTCCTCTACATAATTACCAAATTTCAACATTCCATCGTTTGTTAATTATGCTAATTGCGTTAATTACGCTAATTGCATAAAGTGTTGAAAGTGCTTCACACAAAGTTTTTCGTTTTGACGAAGTGACGCATCTCTATGTGTCACTTAGTCTCATTGAATTTACACGTGTGCTATATTTAGAAATATGAAGCCTCCACAATTTGCATTTTGACGAAGTGACGCATCTGCGTTCTAAAATGTATACATTTTAAATACGCGCACGCGCTGTGTACAAACATATGCCTCAGTTTGTTAAGAAGTAGATTTTCCGTTTTGACGAAGTGACGGATATCTTCAGTAATTAATATCTTCTAATTAAACATGATTTTATGAACAGAGAGAAGTGTTTTTGGCTATTTAACTCCTGGACTATTTTCTAAGTTATATATTTTTCAATTCTGGGGGAGAAATGTACACAAAAATGCCAATTGAAAAATCCACCAATTTTCATCTATGTGCACAAATGTGTCTCTTCGTCAAAACGGTGACGACATGAGCCCATTAACAACTGTACTACATTGTATAACATTGTGTTTATTCACAGATAAATAACCATAAAACAGTGCTCGGACGGTTTTGTGGTACACCAAAAGGAGTTCTGGAGATCATCAGGGGTGTGAAATCTCAGCTTTAAAGCTGATTTCAGCTTTTTTTTGTTTTGGATTTCAGCTTTTTTCCTCTCACTTGGCTGTATACAAAAGTATAGGAGATTTCCAAAGTTCAGGTTTTTCACACCTTTTTCAGCTGTTTTCAGCTAATTTTTATCATTGGTCACTCACACCTCACGGGGACAAATTCTGGAAATTAGCGATTTCCTCCAGATTTTGGAGAAAAAAACTCAGTTGTTTTAAAAATGCATCCTTTCAAATTTGTTTTTGAAAGGATGAGAATGAATCGCTGACTTCGCTGGCCAACAGTCACCTCAAACGTTTCCTGGAGGAAGTGGTGTCCAGCAACCATCGTCACGGGGTGCTTCCCGGTGCTGCAGTGAGTATCAACGTACCAGGGGTGTTGTTAAGAACATTCCGTCTGTCGCAATATGAAAGGACAGGGCCCATTTTCATGGCTCTGCTTGGCGTTAGCGAAAGACCTCTTATTGTAGCCAAAAAGTCTGAGCTTACGGATTTTACGGGGTAACAAGGAATTTTGTCCAGAACTGTACTAAAGCATTACAAGAGTTAAAGGGCCACTGGGTCCTGGAACAGCCCAATTGGGCTACAAAATGCGCTTTGAACGAGATGATGTTAATCGGAAATAACATTTAAAAGTAGGATATAAACATCCACACAGGTGTCCTTTCAAAACTGGGCGTTTTTGTGTTATTCCTGTATTATGCGTGCGAGAACGAATATCAGGGTCCACTTTTGCGACCCCATAAATTCGAGCTGTTTGGATGCTAGTTGTGATTTCATTCATAAAGAATTTGCCTTTTGCGGACGTTGAAGAAACCACTTTTTTTGCGTTGGTGATTGGTCACCGTGTGCTGTTCCTGAGACACACAACGTGTATATCGTACACTGAGAATGACACGAAAAACATATTCGTACTCCGTCGTGTCCGATGTAAACAAGCAGGTTTTTTTTCGTCTTTTCTCGGGAACGGTAAGACATTAGGTTGGTTTCCTTTCAACCAGCTCTTTGAAATAGGATAAGTAAACAATCCAAAACATAAAATTTGGGGGATTTCAGGACCTAGTGCCCCTTTAAGAGGATGAATATACTTTCTATTAATCTGAGAATAAATCTGATTTGTGAATGATGACAGGAATTACTGTTGGAGATATACTTTGAGAGGTTGAAGAAAGGTATGTCTAAGGGTGCCCCCCTCCGCCAGTCGTCAAGACACACCCACATTGTGAGTATCGATCTCTGTCCGTGTCATTTGACCTGTCCATTAAGCCCTGCCCCATGGTGATTGGACCAAAATTACCATACCTCATACATATTCATGATCGAGAGTCAAATTCCTTGACCTGTCCATTAAGCCCTGCCCCATGGTGATTTGACCAAAATTGCTATATCTCATACATATTCATGATCGAGAGTCAAATTCCTTGACCTGTCCATTAAGCCCTGCCCCATGGATGATTGGACCACAATTACCATACCTCATACATATTCATGATCGAGAGTCAAATTCCTTGACCTGTCCATTAAGCCCTGCCCCATGGATGATTGGACCACAATTACCATACCTCATACATATTCATGATCGAGAGTCAAATTCCTTGACCTGTCCATTAAGCCCAGTGTTGGAGGTCTCGAGGCCGGCCTCGGCCTCGAGGCCGGCCTCGAGGCCGATTTTCATGGCCTCGGCCTCGGCCTTGGCCTCGGAGGTGCAATGCCTCGGCCTTGGCCTCGGCCTCTGAGCCTTCTGGCCTCGGCGAATCGGTCGAGGCCGGCTCGAGGCCGCCTATTTTGATGTGTTTTCTATTCTAATTAATTTTATTTGTTTACCGTATCAAACCCTCCAGATTCTGCCGCAGTGGGTTCCGTGAAACGAACGCATACAATGTATACGCACGAATGAACTGGAAATAGTTGCATTATACGTACTCACGTACGTAGCATCTTCGCCTAGCCTGCGCTTCGGCTTTCCAAGTGCGTGCAAGCATTATAACTGTTACCGCGTGCCAGACTACATAAGTCTGGCACCATTCCCATTTGCGTACAATAACATGTGGTAGTAGACTAGTCTGGTCGCAGTGTTGTACAAAATTTTCTCGTTTCGCCTCTGTACCCCGACCTTTAAAAATAATTTGCGGCAAGGTGCGGCAAGCTTAATCATTTCTTTTCATAGGCCACTGTTTCAGTAAAAGTCTGAACTTTGTGGGTACGATCGTGTGTAGAAGTCCGTACCATTTTCCCCCCATAAAGATATGATAAAAACAATTACGATTTATCAAGTAGATTTTATTTTTACTCGGCAATTTCAATGAAAGTTCCGGCTCACACGGTAATGTTTGGTGCAAATGGTCAATATGGAAAGCGCGATTTCAGAATTCGTTTTTCCATCCAAATGAATGCAAAGTTCTGAATGAATGTTTTAATAATAAAGGTCAGTATTCCTCGTGCTACCAGGATACTTTTTTTGTATTTTTAGAGCCATGTTGGTACTTATTACATGTATAAGCACGGTTTGAAATTGACTAATTTTTGCGTGGTTACAGATATACGGCTAAAACCTCTGGAATCCCTACCTCTTGCCATGATCTTAAAATTCTTCGAAGCCATTGGATTCAAATCGGATGATCCGAGAATTCATGGTCATTTTGATGAACTGAGTGAGTGATATCATGCACCCATGTTCCGTGTTACTTGGAGCGGGATTGGCCATTGCCAGACTTTGTCTGGTACCGCGGTATTATAACGGTGATAATGCGTGGACACTTATCCCGTTGTACGAGCGGGATTGGAACTATGCTTTGCCCGTGCGTAACGGCGGGCCGTCTGGCATTGTCTGGTCGCATCGCGGTGTTTGCTCGGGCGCGCGCCTGGACAGTGCGAAAGTCGGGGGGGGGGGGGTCGTAACTTTTTGGTTATGAGTGGTAAAAACCTGACTCAAAAATCAAGTTGTTGTTTATTTAATGGGGATTCCTATGATATTAAGCATTTTGAAATGATATTTATAAGACATGCTAAAAGTAAACGATGTAAATCTTACAGAATAGAAACTCAAAAGTTGGCCATTTAAATTGTTGTATCTCCAAAGGGCAAACACCTATGAGACTGATGCAAACGCCATTGATTTGTAATGTAATTTGCTTTCAGTGATACCAAACTTGAGATTTCTTTCTTTAAAAAATTAAACTTCCTACAAGAGGAAACCCATTGCAAGCTGTAAATTTTTTAAGCCAGGCACTCCAAAACTCAGTGAATTCAACTGAAAGGATGTTAAAACTCCAACATAATCTTAGCCTTGTTTTAGTGATTTATATTTTATTACGTGTTTTGATAGCTGGCCTCGGCCTCGGCCTTGGCCTCGGAGGTGGTGGCCTCGGCCTTGGCCTTGGCCTCGTGGTTGTGGCCTCGGCCTCGGCCTTGGCCTCGGAGGTTGTGGCCTCGGCCTTGGCCTCGGCCTCGGAGGTTGTGGCCTCGACTACAACACTGATTAAGCCCTGCCCCATGGTGATTGGACCAAAATTACCATACCTCATACATATTCATGATCGATGGTCAAATTCCTTGACCTGTCCATTAAGCCCTGCCCCATGGTGATTTGACCAAAATTACCATACCTCATACATATTCATGATCGAGAGTCAAATTCTCACTGGTCTGTTCATCATCACGTGCCAGATGCTATTTTTGCTGTTTACCAAGCGTGCGCGAGTATTCATGCACAGGGTAAATACGCATGCATAGTAGACTGTGGCATGGGTTACCCGCGCGACAGTCTACTACGCGTGCTCTTTACGAAGCAATCGTGGAACCATCGCACGGATGTAGTACGCACGCGCGAACATCGCCGGAGCTACACCTGAAAAGATGGCGGCACGTAAATGTTATTAGCATTTTCCCGAGCTTAATGATGTCGAACTGGAGAATTATGTGGACAATAAAGACGCCTCCTCTACTAAAAAGTAGTCCACAATGCGATTTAAACTCTTATGAGTTACTGTATTACAAAAGTACTTGACTGTTCTGAGGTTCAGAAATGTCCTTCCGGTGAGTTGGACGAGCTTCGCTTTGGGAACTAAAAGCGACGTCACGTTTTACAGCGTGTCTGTATATGCATTCTGGGCACACAGATTCCTTGATTTAACTGGAACTTGAGCCTCTTCATGTAAGGCGACAGCAAATCTGCAGAGACTTTGCCACAAAAGCATGTACATCTCCGCAGTTCTCTGAGTGGTTCCGTCCCTCTGAGTACAAGCCAATGACCCTCAGAACCCAAACTAAATTCAAATCATATAGGTGCAGCACCAACAGATTTAGGACTAGCCCCCTGCCTTACATGACTGAGATGTTGAACAAGAAATAGTGCAATTACTCCACCATCGTCAGTGGTTAATCATTTGTCTGTTGTACTGTATTTTTAGATAACTAATTATTATTTATATCAGGCTTCCGGCGGTGAAAATAAATCAGCATATTGTATGCTTTCATAAAAAGTTGACTGAATCCGGGCATTTTTGCAGGTTCCCGCTTGATCAAGAGCATAGAAAGTCACAGTTGTCAACCACTCAACAGAGCGTAGCGCGCGCGCGTACCGTCGAACACGGAACACGCCGCGCGCATGCAGCGCGCAGAAGGCCAGGTATACGCGTACTGCTGTTAACAATTACAGTGGCAGCTTCAAAACATTTGATGTGAACGAAAAAGATGTAATGAAGACAGTGTCTTGAATTGTGCTTCTTGTGGATCAAGTCAGCCTGATATAAATAATAATAATAATATTGGATGGCTTGTTTTCAGTGGATACAAGAATATATTGCACTCGCTATGACAATATTGCACTTGCTTCGACTCGTGCAATATTGTCATAGCTCGTGCAATATATTCTTGTATCCACCTCAAAGCCATCCAATATTATATAAATATTTTATCTCCAATTTAAAAACTCTTATTATCCAATGTAAATGTAATTTCCAGGTTTTGGGGTTTTTTTTTTATAAATTTTTGTTTTAGCTGTCTTTTTATTGTACACTGTAAATGTCATGTAATTCAGCATTTTGCTGCAATATGATTTTTATGAAATAAACCAATGAACCAACTACACTTCCTATAGGGGAGCGAATATGGACCATCAACCCGAAATATACCATGTTTAATATATTTGTTGACTAACTCCCCTTGCCCATTTGTTTTCTCCCCAGTTCTTTGGACTTGGCGGGGGATGTTTCCACAAGACGCCTGAGTGGATGGACTATCTACCGCCTTTCCAAGGTATTGAGCAGTCTCTTCTTGACGATCGTATTTCTGAGATCTTCCCTGTTTCAATTGTTCCTTGCTAGTTTTGGTGTCACCTCTGTCTACAATAGCAGAGTAGTGTTTGCATGTGATGGTTGTTTTTATTATTTTTTTTCTTGCAGGACCAGAGTCGCTGACGTTCAAATGCCTGCAGGCCGTGAGTCCCAGCAACCCACGGCCCGCCAGGGGTTTCATGGGCCGCCTGCAGACCCCGATCCTGGGCAAGTTTGGAGGGGGTCAAAGGCCGAACGCGCCGGGCCAATCACAGCAGGGCAGGCCAGCAGGGGCTGATGGGAAGGGGGAGGAGGAGATCGTGTGTCCGTGCTGCTGCTGTAACGACGACTTGCTCAATATTCAGGTGAGGGACCAGAAATCCATCGAACTCAATCAAATGATTGATATCACTGATCGATAATGATAAACTGATTATTTTCAAAGGGAATCTTGGCTAGGTTCATTTTTCAGTTGAACAGGGAAATTTAGCGAAGTGAGATTTGAACCTATAACCCGCAGGCACACTGTTGATAAATATGAACCTACTACTTTCTGTCTTTTAAATTTATTGATAACCCCCCCCCCCCCAAATATTCCATTGAATCTTTATGTCTTTTCTGTCAGAGCCTCATCACCTCCCCCTGTGCTAGTCCTGCGCTGGCCAGCCGGGTCATGGGACTGATCAAAGCGGCTGCAGTGACCACACCCTCTACAACCACGCCCACTCATGCCACACCCGCTCCAGCCATGCCCACCCCAGGCGCATTCTCCCCAGCCATGCCCACCTCAGCCGCGCCCACCCCAGCCGCGCCCACCCAAGCCACGCCCACCGATGCCAAACCCATCACACCTGCCACTCCCACTAGTGCCACGCCCACCACCCTTACTTTCAGCCAGTCCCTGCAGTCGCTGGACACCGTCTGCCGGTCAGTGCTGGACCCCCAGGCTATCCTGCAGCTACTGATCAAAGAACATCCAGGGATCGTCCTCGATTACGCCCAGGACACATTCGGCAAAGACACCCAAAAGTGAGTCCTAAAAACATTTAAAGGGAAAATACAACATTTGCAAACATCAAAAAATAAAACTACCAAATCATTTTGAAATACCTTGCTGGACTGTTAGTGAATGACAGTGTAAAGCATCCTGTAAAATCATGGCACCTGGTATACTGTCATTTTCAAGAAAAGTAGTATTTTTGTATCAATTTCCAACGCTGATCGGCCCGCGATTTGGCTTTTTTTCAAATACTGGCCCCAATTGACCATCGCACTTGTTTGCAATCGATTACACACCTATGAACGGGTACAAGTCAGCTAGACTGGTTCCCTGACCTTACAATTCCCCAATGTATGTAAACTGCTCTGTTTCTTCTTAAATGGAGTCAGGGAACCAGACTACAAAAAAATGATTGTTTTTCTTGGGTTTTATAGCATTTTCGAACCCAAAACCTCAAAAAAAGTCAGTGTAACTATATTTGCTATATATTTCCAACCCCCCAATTCCATCCATTTCTGAAAATTACAGCAAAAGCAAATGATGTATATTCCCTTTAATTCATAGATACCTAAGACAGTTTACCCATTCCTATTGGTCGAGAGCCCGTCACATGGCCTGTCTTGAACGGATGATAAAGACATGGCTAGCTGGTCTTAAACACTTTACCAGTGTCACATGAAATTTGGACTCCTATGAAATCCAGTACCATGCCTTTTACCTTTGTATTGGTTGAACGTTAACAATCCTCACGCAGGCATGCGCAATGGTACCATTGAGTCAGTATTTCATAGTCCTAAATTCGCCACAGCTGTATCTGCAGAGATACAGCTGGAGTTTATAAGGCCAAAAAAAAAGTCTCCAGTTTCTGATATGCGCGCGCGTCGCCGTAGCCATGCGCGTCGGCAAAATGAAAAAGTTTTTTTTTTTTCAATAAAAAAGATGATGTCTCAAAACCGCCAAACTCACTGGTTTGACTGGAATCCTGCTGCTGCACAATTTTAACGTGTTTTTAGATGGGGTTATGATCGAGAATAAGCTTTATGTGGCCTCTCTGGACTCCCATATATTTGCACTAAGTTTAGTCAGGCACCATTTGCAGTCATCAGCCGACATTTGAAGGCGTCGCCACACCACTTTTTGGGCAAGCTCCATACCAGAAACCGAAGACTTTTTTTTTTGGCCTAACCTCTCAAGCACACATTATATTCCCTTAGTAACTTTCATTGTATTACATTGTGTTTATTCACACTAATGAATCCTTAACACCATTGAGTGAACATTTTACATTTCACCATCTGAAATGATTTTATTTTGTTTAAATTTTTTGATTTTTTTTTTTTTTTTTTTTTTTAAGATGGAAGGAGTTGCTGAAGATGCTATTGGATCGAGGAGCAGAGATGAGTCTTGCGCCTGAGGTGGGAGGAGACAGGGGCAGAGACGGAGGAGGAGAGGCGTCATCCAGCAACCAGGCCGACTATCTGCAGATTTTGACAGGTAGGGCCCAACGAGGCAGGTCAAGGGAGTGTCTGATAACCTTGTGGAACAAGGCCCATTTCCGGCATTGCAATTTGCATGCACACAGAATTGGAGCACACCTAAGAATCTGGAGGACCGCCCGATAGTCCGAAGGTTCGAAAGTCCTAATGTTTGATAGTCCGAATGCACACAATTCCCATAAGAGGGGGTTCGTTAGTCCAAAAATGAAATAAGGGTCATTAATTTAAACATTTAAAGCAATAATCCAAAGGTTCTTTAGTCCAAAGGTTCATTAGTCCGAAGGTTTGGTAGTCCGAACTTAGAATAAGGTTAATTAGTCTGAATGTTCAATAGTCTGAAACGAAAATAAGGTTCACTAGTCCGAAGGTTCATTATTTCAAATTGAAAATAAGGTGCGATAGTCCGAATCGGCAATAAGGTCCGATAGTTCGAATCGGCATTTAGGTCCGATAGTCCGAATCGACAATTATAGTCCTAATGTTAATTCGGACTATCGAACCTTATTGTCCATTCAGACTATCAAACCATATCGTCAATTCGAACTATCGGACCTTATTGTCTATCCGGACTATCGAGCCCTATCGTCTATTCGTACTATCAGACCTTCGGACTAATAACCTTCTTATGTTTTCGGACAAATGGACCCTTCGGACTATCGAACCTTCAGACTATTGAACCATCGGATTATTGAAACTTCGGACAAATGAACCTTCGGACTAATGACCCTTTGGACTAAAGAACCTTTGGACTAGCGGGTCATGAGCAGCATGGCCACTCCTATGGATGTTTCCCAAGATCTTGGGAATTCGGCCCAGGCCTTGGGAAAGCTTCGCCAAATCTATGGCTAATTAATCAGAGGTTTGGGGTAACACCATCTGAATAATACCTCTAAGTGAGTTGTGTGGTTCTGAGAAGAACCAGTTGGTTTAACTCAACGTTTCAAACAGTGTGCTCTGTTTGTCATCAGGACGAACAGAGCACACTATTTAAAATGTCTTATGTAAAGCTATGGCCAACAAGCATTTCATGTTAGTCACACAAGGTGTGAAGGCCACATAGGATCGTGTACAATTACTCAAAAAAGTGCCTACTAATTTAACGACAGAAAAAAATTGCTCGAAGTGAAGGTAGTACCGGTACCAAATACCCTGTGAAATTATTCTGCCTGAAATGGTTTCTTTTCAAAGTTCAAAGTCATTTGCACACACTTTTTTTGTACGTAAGCAAAGGAATCTAGTGACAAGACCCAAAAACTTGTGCGTGTGTTTTCTCTGTTTTCTCAAAGTAGCCACTGATCTGATACGTCAACAGCTTCCTTTTCACACTAGAGCTTCTCAACCCGGGTTGAACTCAACCCTGGGTGAAGCCAGTTTCGCCCTGAGTTGAGTTTTTGATTTTTCAACCCAGCGTTCAACCCCGCATCGTTTCACACTTGTTTCATGCAAATCAAGCTTATCGTGCTCAGTTACTACTGTTTCGAACCCTGGCAAGAATTTCAACCTGGGCTGAAAATCTCAACCCTGTTCTGGAGCAGGGTTGAGTTCAACCCGGGGCGAACTCAATCTCGGGGTTGACGCAGGGTTGACGCAGGGTTGAAAAATCAAAAACTCAACCCAGGGCGACACTGGCTTCACCCAGGGTTGAGTTCAACCCGGGTTGAGAGGCTCTAGTGTGAAAATGATGCATGTTTTCAACCCTGTGTCAACCCTGAGATTCATCTAGTGTGAAAAGGGAGTTAGTTCTTATGTACCCTGCTTGAAATTTGAGTAACTTTGTTGCTTTAAATGTAAGAATCCCACAATAACCCTTAACAATGTCTTCTATGGATTTGTTCTCCTCCAGGAGTCCTGGGTCACGTCAGTAACCTCCTGGCTCCTGAGGAGCTTCTCCGGTGTCTGCCAAGCGAGGGCTCACTCTCCTTCTTCCTGCCTTACCTCCGGCAGAGTTGCTGCCAGCAGAACGCGCAGGTGCTGCACCAACGACTGATCAAGATGCTCGCTACTTAAACTCTGGGAGTGAGGAATCCATGCTGTATTAAGACGGAATCGAAACCGAACGCTATGGCAGTTGAAATTGTGAGCTGTTGCCAGAAAAGAAGATTTAAGTCAGACTTTTTAAAGGCAGAGTGGACCATTAGCAGCTATCCAAAAAGTAACTGGCCAAAGTTATTGTTAAAAAGATTACTTTGTCAACGATATAAATGAGCCGGAGGCGAGGGTAATTATCAGCACCCAGACTCTAAGTGGTCTTAAACAGAGTGATAAATACCGACGGAGCACATATTTATTCCCATTCATAAATACCTTTTCGGTAAGAAAAAATCATATAATTCGTTCAAAACATCCCGATTTTGTTCAACAAATTCACTTTATGCTTTTTGAAACATCCCTCTTGCAAAATAATGGAGTGTTCAGCTGGCGAGTAAGATGTAAACAACCCTTTTATGGAGATTGACGCGCGCGTATCATGTTCTGCGCGATGTCGCGCAGAACGCACCTGGCGCGTTGCGTTTTGAATTTAGAACTATAAAATTCTGACTCCCTGGTAGTGTTGCGCATGCCTACGTGAGGATTGTGAACGTTCAACCAATGAAACGACAAGAGGCACTGGATTTTTAGGAGTCCACATTTTATTGTGACACTGGAAAAGTGTTTAAGACCAGCTAGCCATGTCTTTATCATCCGTTTAATACCGGCCACGTGACGGGCTCTCGACCAATAGGAATAGCTAAACTGTCTGAGGTATTTATGAATGTTGCTTTAAACAAAGAAAAAATTGCACAAATGACAAATGGTCCATCGTACCTTTTTAGAATTGAGATGTTTGTATGTCTGGCATCTGCAGTGCAAGAGCCCAGCAGTGATATATAATATGTGTACTGAATTCAGGATATTTTTATCTCACCGTATGATTGAAAAAAAAATAGTAATTAGTTCACTTTAAAAATGACCATATTCCATAAAGACTTTACTTGTAGATCAAATCATTCACATGAATTATATTCATGGCACCAATGAAGTAGACTTCTTTTCTGATGAAAAAAAAAGATAATAAAGCGCAAGGAGTAATATGTTTATGTTTATGTGAACAAATTAAAATTAGAATATATTTAATCTTAAACAATAGCGTCTCAAATTGAACGCTTTTATGTCACAGGATTTAATGTCATAATACTTACATTTATTGTGTTCAACTCTATTGAATTTAGCCTGTACATTTTGAACTTTATAGATGTATAATTTTGATCCTGTTGTATTTATTTGATGAAATCAAGCCAGTTTAATTTCAAAATGTCAATATTTGGTGCTATTTTTGTTGTAATAATGGAGCTGAAATAATGTCTGCTATGTGTAATATCAGTATTGAGCCTGCAGTTTATGAAATTAAGTACTTGCAGTCGTTTGTTGTTTGTTTTGAATGATGTTTTACTTTGCAGCCCTTAGAGCGCTATGATTAACATAAGCAAAATGGAAAATGGAGAATTGTTTATGAAGTGCAGTGGACGTAATAATTCACAGCGAACGTTACAATACGTACTACACGTTGGAAATTAAAACACCAAGTACACGATATAAATCCATTACTTGCCGTTACTGTATTGAATCAGGATACGAGAAGAAAGTTTACCACAGGGGTTTCTATTGGAAACGATGTTGAAGATAAAGTAATTCCTTGGGACGAGTTTGAGGGATGATTAGGAACTTATTTTAAAGTGGGATTACGTCCTGTCCCTTACAGAAATGTCCCATGAGCATCCCATGGGATTCCCATGGGGTCCCATGGGATTCCCATGGGACCCCATGGGGAACCCATGGGGTCATCAAGAACACCATGTAAGTTAAAATGATCATCATGGGAAACCCATGGGAACACCATGGAGATTGTATGGACAACATGGGAACACCATGGGGATTTTACGAGCTCCATGGGAACACCATGGGGATTTTATGAGCTCCATGGGAACACCATGGGGATTTTACGGACACCATGGGAACACCATTGGGATTGTATGTCACCATGGGAACACCATGGGGATTTACTGGACACCATGGGAACATCATGGGAATTTACTGACACCATGGGAACACCATGGGAACCCCATGGCGATTTTATGGACACCATGGGAACACCATGGGGATTTTATGGACACCATGGGAACACCATTGGGATTGTATGTCACCATGGGAACACCATGGGGATTTACTGGACACCATGGGAACATCATGGGGATTTTAGACACATGGGTACACCATGAGGATATGGGGATTTTAGACACATGGATACACCATGAGGATTCGGACGCCATGGGAACACCATAATGTGGGTGATATAAATTATGGATACAATGGGAACACCATGGAGATTTAAAAGGCAGCACGGGGACACTGCCGGGTTATACTGGAGAACATGCATGTGCCATGAAAAACCATCATAGACCCAATTGCACTCCCAAGTTATAGGCAAACCTTTCTTTGATTTAATTACTTATTCGCCTAGCTGTAAATTTGAATTCAATTAAAAATATTTCCCTTGTGGCCATAGAGGTTATCAAGAATTCTATTTGTTAAGCTGACCATGGGAAACTCCTGTGGATGTTCACCAATTGAACACAATGGGATAAACACCATGGGACACCATGGGAACACCATGGGACCACCATGGGACACCATGGGACCACCATGGGACATTTTTGTGAGAATCTCTTACAATAACGAGTGTTGTAATTGCACATTTTTGAATTTGTCTGTTGATAAGTGAAGTTAAATGATGCATACAGTATTTTTTTATGTAGACAATGTGTCATTCAAACTTTGGATAATATTGATTCATTTATTATTATGGTTGGAAACATTTATGAGAAAATAAATTGGGAACACTGTGATAATATGGTACAACTTGACAAGTGGTATTGGAGCAATAATGTCATATTAGTCATAAAGTGCACAAGCCCCTCCTTATGTAGAACAATTCCCATCGGAGTTCTGTGATGTGCTTTACCTACTTGGTGAATAGCACTTAACACACAGGGTTAAAATGTATAGGAAGTTGTTATTGAAAAATACCATGGAGCAATAATTTTTTTGAGAAATGAAAGGAAACCATACATGGGAAAAAACCAATACAAAATTTCCCATGGGAAAAAGCCAATGGGAAAACTCTCATGGGAAAAATCCCATGCTACATGGTGTCCAATTCACCATGCAATTCCCATGGGGTCCCATGGGAAAATTTCCCATGGGAATTACATGGGACATTTCTGTAAGGGGTGCGTCCAATGAGCTACAAATCCCGTTTTAAACGAAATGATGTTAATTGGAAAGAGCATTTAAAAGTAGGATATAAATGTCCACACAACCATCCTTTCAAAACTGGGCGTTCTTGTGTTATTTTCTTGCGACAACCATGCGAGAACGAGTTTCGGGGGTCAAACGTTTGACACTCGGAATTCGAAGTGTTGAATGCTCAGTAATTGTGATTCCTGGCGCACAATGCTTCGCATTCTGCGGACGTGCGTGAACCACTGTGAATCGGCGCTGTGTGTATTATGTACCACATGGCACGCAGCATATACCGTGCATTGAGTGGTCACGGCTGGAACCACAAAATGTCCGTATACGCAACCGGGGTGTTGGGGGGTTTTTTTTCGTCTTTTCTCGGGAACGGTAAAACATCAGGTTAGTTTCCTTTCAAACAGACCTTTTATTGAAATGGTACAAGTAAACAATCCAAAACATGACATTTTCGGGGATTTCAGGCCTTAATGCCCCTTTAATCCCTTTTGACGCCTTGTCCCCCCCCCCGTCCCTAGAGAAGGGACTGCACAGTTCCCATTTCTCATCGACAACCGAAAATTGGGAATTCCAAGTTGAGAAACTCCTCCAATAACAGGAGAATGCCCCGAAATTCCAAAACGAAAAATATATGGAACAACACAAAGAGTTCTGCCATGCATGGTACATTGGCTTTGACAATGGACATATTTCAGGATATTTGATTATCTTTTCGGGGGCGAGAAAAAAAAACAGGTGAAAGTTTGTGAATAGTACTTTTGGTGCCTCGTGATTTGTTTATGGTGAAGTACATGTTTGCACCACTGATGGGTGCATACCTGTGTTCCCCAATACCTATATGTTCCCCAATATCAATGTTGCCCAGTACTGATGTTCCCCGAAATCCTTGCCCAATAACCCTAACCATACCCCAACCCTAACCCTAACCCTAATCCTAAGGATTTCGGGGAACATCGGGTAGACCCCCCCCCCCCCCAAATCGGGTAGACCCCCCCCCCCCCCCCCCCCCCCCCCCCCCCCCCCCCCCCCCACTGATCAGTGATGGGTACAATTGAATGCAGGCCTTCCAAAATTCGGGGAAAATACTAGATAGGAGCTATCCAATGTATTCAAGACTGAAAACAAGTTTAAACATGATGTTATATTTCTCCTTTTTGGGGGTCTGATTTGTTGTTTATTTTTTATTGGTTTTTTTTTCGGGAGGGGGGATATTTTGTCTTTAAGATGATCACTAATGTAGTCCTTGATGAGCCCATCGTCGTTAGGGACAATTTATTGATCCCCTTCTAGATTTCAAAATAAAGCAACCTCTGTTCAAAATGTCTGGTCCTACTCCTAAATATAGGGGAATTCCTGCGTGAGAAATTTGGATTTTGGATAGTGGACTAGTACAGTACTGTTTCATCCAAATTTCTCACGCAGGAATTCCCCTTTCGAAACGCTGATGCATGCCTCGGAGTTTCGAACGGGAAAGTCCCGCATGAGAAATTCATCCTTACGTGCTTATTGGTTGCCTCTGGGGCGTGGGCAAACTGGGCATGCGTACTTTCATTGTGCTGCGCACTGTAACTTGTTTATTGAAATGCGCACTGCAGCTCTGCCGAGTAGTTTGCAAACACGTCGAGTAAAAACTATAAAAAGGCAGTATATGTCTATTTGTAAGCTCCACCGACACTATCCACAAGAATAGCGTCTATACTCATCAAGGCATTTCGGCAAAATTCAGCGTGAACAAGAAGCCATGTAAGTGAAAAAAAAATTACACAAATTCCACCCTCTTGCTTCTTATACTCTCTGTGCGCCAGGTGAAATTTACCTATAACATTGTCTTTTACGTTCCTTTTTTTCATGCTGAATCTAATCAGGCTGTACTTTTTAATTCCTCAGGGCAGCAGCAGACCTACCTGTGGGACACTTCCAGCTTCCGTTGCTCACAAACCGAGGGCCCATTGTAGAGG